CTATCACTACCCTCCAAAGCATTTCATTGCTTGTATCGGCGTGACGGCGTCTTAGAGATTTGATTCGCATCTGTACGGATACTTTTCGAAGTGTTTGTCGTTTCCAATTCTCGTTCGTATCTTTTTAAGGATTAGACTCGGTGTAAAGGTATGAGGCGCAGTGGTATTGGGTGCATCCTGAGTCTAATTATTTTCTAGGTCTTACGATCCAAATATAGCGACTTACTTCGTTGTGCTTTCGGTACTCGATTCTCTTGACGGTAAGTTCTAAACATTGTCGCCAATATCAAACCCCTCGTTGCCCCTCCACCGATTGCTTGGATTGCAGCAAAGTTTGCGATAGAATCAAATCAGGCCAACAATTACAACATGTGGCTGTTTTGTCAAAGTTTGAGAGATGTTTTTGTTGGGTGAATTTCGGCCGCAGTCACTTGCCCTCTGACCGAGCAGGCACCGACAAAAGCAGGCGCCTTGCCCCTCCAAATTCCCAACACCTCTAATTCTTCCCCTTTGCATTCTCGGATCACCAGCGCTTTGGTTTGGTACTGACATATCATCCATAGCGCTTCTACGATTTGTTTACGACGTGTACGAGTTACTACTCACGGTAAGTTGCTTTATTATATGATCTATCAAACCATCCGCCCCTGGACAACAGGCCACTTGGTGCACGGGAATTCGGGAATCACAGACTTGGCTGTCAAAGGACATCGAATCACTCCAGTATCATTCCGCGGATGGAGCTTGCGATATCGAGGATTTCTGGCCTTTGATTCACTATCGATACGATTCTGGATACCCCGAGTTCAAGGCATTATTGAACTGATTATGTGCTGATTGTCCACTACATTGTCACGTTCCAGTCGGCCCCTGCCCTAGAAACTTCATTCTCTCCACCTCTTTTGTTTTCCACTACTGCTCAGATCAGTACCCAATTCAAGTCGCTAATTCTTCATTGCAGTCTTTTTTTGTTGCTCCGCTCTGTCAAGCTCTGCAGCATCTCGCTCTTCGCATTTTGAACATTTAAGCTCTTGCTTCGTTCCCATCGGTTCGTTACCCCAACACCATCTCGCTCTCCGACTCGAAATCCTCGTGCAGTGCTGACCTCGCAAAGCCCATCATGGATATGAACTCTGGTTTCTCTGGTGTGCCTGCCAACAACGGTGCCCCTTCTGGCCCTATGGCCTACTCCAACGGCACTCCTCCCGCCCCTGATATGGGCGGTGTTGCCCCTCCCCCTGGATCTGGCCCTGACTCTCCCAAGACCACCCTCTGGTAAGTCGGAATTTCTACCACCTCTTGCAGCAATGCTGATTATGATAGGATGGGTGAGCTCGAACCTTGGATGGATGAGAACTTCATCAAGGGCGTCTTCTTGTCTTCGGCTCATGAAAATGTGAACGTTAAGGTCATCCGCGACAAGAATTCTGGTAACGCTGGCTACTGCTTCGTCGAGTTCCAGAGCCCTGAGGCTGCTACCAAGGCCCTTGGCATGAACGGCTCGGCGGTCCCCAACAGCACTCGTTCCTTCAAGCTCAACTGGGCTTCTGGAGGTGGCCTGGTCGACCGACGGTACGTCACATGTATTCACTGTTCATATCAGCTACTAACATGCTTAGGGATGATCGCGGCCCTGAGTACAGCATTTTCGTGGGCGACCTTGGCCCTGAAGTCAACGAGTACGTCCTGGTTTCTCTCTTCCAGGCTCGTTTCCCTTCGTGCAAGTCTGCCAAGATCATGACCGATGCTATGAGCGGTCAGAGCCGCGGCTACGGCTTCGTTCGCTTCTCCGACGAGAATGACCAGCAGCGCGCTCTTGTTGAGATGCAGGGAGTCTACTGTGGTAACCGACCCATGCGAATCTCTACCGCTACCCCCAAGAACCGTGGCAACCACGGTTTCGGTGGTCAGGGACACCAGCATGGCGGTCCTATGATGCCCGGCATGCCCCAGCAGCAGATGTGGAACGGTGGTGGCATGCAGGGTTTCCCTTACGGAGGCTTCAACCCTGCTACCCAGATGAACCAGTTCACTGACCCCAACAACACCACCGTCTTTGTCGGTGGTCTTTCCGGCTACGTCACCGAGGACGAGCTCCGATCGTTCTTCCAGGGCTTCGGCGAAATCACCTATGTCAAGATACCACCTGGCAAGGGCTGCGGTTTTGTCCAGTTTGTCCACCGCCACGCTGCCGAGATGGCCATCAACCAGATGCAGGGCTACCCTATCGGTAACTCCCGCGTCCGCCTCAGCTGGGGTCGATCTCAGAACAACTCTGGCGTTGGCACTCCCTACCGCCCTGCTCCTCCCCCTCCTCACTACATGGGCATGCCCAGCCACGGCGGACCTGGTAACTACGGTCCTCAGCACTTTGGTGGCCCTGCTCCTGGTCCCCAGGGACCTCCCGGACCTCCTGGACCCGGCCCCAACGGCCCTCCTCAGGTAAGCATCTTGCCTCGTACGAACCGTTGATGTACTGACAAATTAGGAGTATTAAGCAAAACTGCAATATGACCACGATAACTCGTTGACCAAGGGGCTTTTACACGAACAATCCCCCGGCACTTCTATTTCCTTGGACTCAATTATCTTGCCTTCTCGTGGGCTATCATGTCAAGCAGAATCTATCTGCTTTCCGTGGCAGTTTATGAGCGATACCCAACCTTGATTGCGATCTGGGTTATGACTTTAAGTTTTATGGCAGCTCAGGATTTCTACACGACACCACGCACACTCCATTTCCTTGGGTCTGAATCATGATTGGCGTTGGAGATCTTCGGTCCCCCCGGTGGATTGTCATCAATTCAATTCATTTAAGCTACTTGCCTGTACCCTCTGTGTTTACTTTAGTCACTCACTGCTTTTCCTTTATTTTTGACTACCTTTAACTGTTGCTTTGCGTGATGTATCACGCCTTTTTGCGGACTGCTGCTGTTTTCTGAACTGTTCCTCGTAGTCATTTCGAGCCTGTTACTTTGGCTTTGGCTTCGCGCGCATTCCGTCAGCTCTTATGGGAGGATCAGTTGCAAGGCGCTGCAATCGGCGTCGTGGCGAGGTTTGTTCGGCGTGGCGGTTGGATCGTGGTTAGCGGCATTCCTGGTGCGTTTGGGGGATCGATCTCTTGCAAAAGAGTGGCTGGGAAAAGAATGGTTTTGGCTATGATTGAGTGTTGTTTCTGATGAGGCGATGGGGAGTTTGGTCTGCGGATTTAAGGAGTCAGTATTATCCAGTTCAAGACAGACCGATATTTGAACAGCAAAGCTTCAACTGACTCGTCAAGATCGCGTGACAAGACTCGACACGTATGAATCCCCTCTTCTGACAGCTCAAGGTACAGCAGCTAGCTCAGCACCTCCGCATCTTGGACCTCCACATAATGGAGAGCTGACGTAATTTGCTTCTCCGCGATAGCCCAGATAATAGGGTTTCGAGGCTGATGGGGATAGCGATTGGGTGTAAGACGCCGTCAGGGTATCTAATGCATGCAGCATGATACCTTCATGACCTTGGGTGGAACTTTATTTCAGAGCACTTTAAAGCTGCTCCGCCTTCTCTTCTTTTCGAAACTTTGTAACCCCTCAATTAGGATTTCTCATACAAATCATGTCTACTGTTGATCTAAGTGCTTTCCCCACAGCTGCTCCCGCCGCTCCATCAGCTGAGATTCGCTATGCGGATGTAAGTTTGTCGCTGATAACAGTGGTCAGTTGATTGACAGTTTACAGGTCGCTGTCACGGCAACTGCAAATGAGTTCAAAGGCGTATACCGTGATGATAAGCAGTACCACGAGCCCGACTTTATGAGCACTCTCGACCGAGCCAAAGATGCAGGTGTCAGCAAGGTCTTGTTGACGGGTATGTCGCTTTCAGACGTTTCGCACAACGACAACATCACCAAGCAGCGTCCCGCACAGGCTTACTATACCATTGGCGTGCACCCGTACCATGCTTCTGAACTGGACAAGGGTGGAAAGGCGTACCTCGCTGAGCTGGAGCAGAAAGTCAAAAACGCCCTGGCTCAAGACTCGCCGCATATTGCCGCCTTTGGAGAGCTCGGTCTTGACTATGATAAGGAGGAACATGCGTCCAAAGATGTACAGAAGAAGGCTTTCGTGGCGCAACTGGATCTTTTTGTCAAGAACCAGTGGGATCTCCCTCTGTTTCTACACTGTCGCAACGCGTTTGATGATTTCGTCGAGACAATGACCTCATACATGGAGAAGCTACCCCGCGGTGGATTAGTACACAGCTTTGTTGGAAGCGCATCTCAGATGGAGAAACTTGTATCCATGGGTTTCGGAGTGAGCGTCAATGGATTCAGTTTCCAGACCACAGAAAGTCTAGAGATGGTATCCAAGATTCCTCTCGATGCGCTACAACTCGAGACGGATGCCCCGTGGGGTGAACTCAAGAGCACATCTGAAGTAGTCAAACAATACTGCGCCAACGCCAGGCCTCTGCCGGCGTCGAAGAAGAGGGATAAGTGGGATGTTAAGTGCATGGTTAAAGAGAGGAATGAGAGTTGCACCATTGAGAGGGTTGCTCTGATTGTGGCGGGGTTGAAGGGTGTTGCTGTTGATGAAGTTGCTGAAGCGGCGTGGAGGAATAGTGTGAGGATGTTTGGACTTGGACGACGATAAATGTTCAAGAGTAAATAATAGTTATACGAATGAAGCGATCAAGTCGCCAATTTTGTTGAGATGGTCGGTGCCAATTGGTGTTTCTTCATTATTGAGATGCCAGCTGCTTCAACCCCATTATCGTGCTATCTTTGCCGAGAACAAAGGAAGAGATGGGTCTTATCCGAGTACGATGTACGAGACGGTGAATTGAAGAATTTGAATAGTTTCAAATAGCCCAAAGTAGTTAATCCATCTTTAGGCTCCAGTAAAGCAGGGGTTTCTAGGCAGACAATAAACACCTTGAATATGTCTATAAATTAGACACGATGCCCAAGTTCTCGAGCATCATCTACCCTCAACTTCACCATCATCTTCAAAATGACATTCGATCCAAGCTCTGTACCGGATTATGATAATCTCCCCCAGGTTGAAGGTATGCCCAAGGGGTGTGCTTGGGGAGTTTTCGACCAAGATGGCACAAAGGACATGGTCGGAACACTCAACTTCTTGACTCCAGATGTTGTTCGCAATGCTGCCCTGGAAGTCAAAGATGGTATCTCAATATCTCTGAAGTAGGCCCTAACATCCAACCGAATAACCACCACTGACGCTTGCCAGCTGGCCTATAAATGCGATGACCAAACTCAACGTTCCAGGTCGAGCAATGCCTGAGCACAAAGTCTTGTATATACCCGAGAGCATGGCAGAGCTCCCATTTGAACAGGGAAAGTCATGGGACGATGAGATTAGCTTCAACACCCAGTGCAGTTCTCAATGGGATAGTCTGTGTCACTTCCAGCATCAAGATTCAGGCTTGGCCTACAATGGTGCCAACCCAGACAAACAGGCCTTGTCCGTCGACTCGACTGAGTCCAACACCATGCCCACGCTGGATCATTGGCATTCGCGCGGTTGTATCGCCGGTCGGGGTGTATTGATCGACTACGCTGCCTACGCTGAAGAAAAGAAGATCCAGTTCCATCCCTTTGACGGAAATCACATTACCGTTGAAGACTTGGAAGCATACGCAGAGTACCAAAACGTCGAATTCCAACCTGGCGACATCCTTCTCATCCGCACAGGCGCTACGGAAGTAGTTGATAAGATGGACTCTGTCGGACTGGGCAAAATGATGGCTATGAAGCTCAGTGGTCTCAATGGAAGCGAAGAAACAGCAAGATGGATGTGGAATAAGCGATTCGCTGCAGTTGCATCGGACTCGAGCTCTTTCGAAGCGTTTCCTCCCCTGAAGCCTGATGGATCGATTGGCGGAATGAAGGATCTCGGTACGTTATGTGTTGAGTTTGCGGTAGATGATTGCTGACTTTGTGATAGTGCTTCATGTGTATTGCTTGTGCTTTTTTGGTATGCCGATCGGTGAGCTGTGGGATTTGAGTAAGCTGGCTGCATACTGTAAAAAGACAAAGAGGTATTCGTTTATGATCACTTCAACGCCCCTGAATCAGCCTGGATTGATTGGATCGCCTCCGAATGCGCTGGCTATATTTTGAGGGATTTGTAGCAAATGGCCAACTCATTGTCAATCTTGAACGAAGGGTTGGTTGAGGGACGTAGTAGTGGCCCAAACATCTTAATACATTTCCCTTAAATAGCTTTGTAACAAGTCCATTTCTTTCACATATTGCGGCAGGGTCGTGATGATCACAGTACGTGTGCCAACCCAGTCACAATTGTGAGTGCGTCTTCCCAACTTGCTGTCACTCAACGATATTGAGGCCGCCATCTAATTCAGACAAGTGATTATCGTTGCATCCGAATTAGATTCGTTTAGAAGTAAGGTTAGAACAGGCGGTATTCGATCTGAGAAGCCATTGTGGTAAAAACAAGTTAGCCCAAGTTGATGGTGGTCATTGGGGTAGCCGACACTCTGGTCCTGTGCTGGGTATATCATCCATCTCTTCAGCACAATTGATGAAAAGGGATAGTTCGGTTAGATACTTCTGTTTTTACTAAAGAAGAACCTCATGTATCTAAGGGCACGCTCTTTTCCAATTGAACGTCTCGGATTGCAAAGCGCGAATACGAAAGACTTCAAACTCGGCCACGAACCGAACAATTGATAAGCTACTGACCCCTAGCTTCTGGAATAATTCGAAGCACCTCTCAAATCGTTCACTGACATAGTGAAGGATCCATCTGTCGCAAATTAGTAGTCAACTTCCTAAACGGTTTAACTTCTTAGCGAGCTTCAGGGACACCCACAACTCAGTCTCGGATCGAGATAAACGGGTATCGTCAACAATCCTATTGGCCTGCTATGGTATATCTATTGTATAGATTAGATCAGATCTTAGGTGATTACTCCGTCCGTAATAAACCGGGTCATTAACGGTGAACGTAGAAGTTGACAGCTCTCGCATTCGGGTGGATATCGTATTCGTATTCCGTATCAAGATGCCAAACACTCGAGAATCCTTCTGCAGTTGGAACAACTCCTTCGATAATCTCTTGTTCGTTTTCGCAAAGATGCTGTATCACAATTGTGATGCAAGTGTTGATAGATGAAGAATATGCGGATGGCAATGTGATAGTTCAAGGGGCTGGATTTCAATGCTAACTTTTCTATATCACTAGCAGTTTCCTATATAAACAAAGGCAATTCTCTTCAAGTCAGACCATAATCATCAACTTAACAATCTTCTTCACATCTCTCAATATCTCTCCTTACCACAGATCTACCACCAAGATGCCAAGCACCGAACTGATTTCTTACGATGAAGCCCAGAACTCAGCATTCGACAATGTCCTGCATGGAAAATCAAAAGAGTCAAAAGGTGGAATGCGAGCCATGATGAACAAAAACAACAAAGCTCATGCTGCCGCCGTTGACGAATACTTTCAGTTCTTTGACAACAAAAAGGCCGAGGATGAAGTAGAGGCTGTCCGACAAGAAAGAACCGATAACTATGCCAGTTTGACAAGACAGTAGGTGTCATGATCCTTACTATTAACTTTTGACTGACATTCTAGATACTACAACCTTGCAACAGATCTCTACGAGTACGGATGGTCTCAGAGTTTTCATTTCTGCCGCTTTGCCTACGGCGAGTCCTTTGACCGTGCTATCGCTCGGCACGAACACTACCTCGCTCATAACATCGGCATAAAACCTGGTATGAAGGTTCTCGACGTTGGTTGTGGTGTTGGTGGACCAGCTCGAGAGATTGTCAAGTTCACGGGAGCCCATGTGACTGGTCTGAATATCAACGAGTATCAAGTCGGACGCGCAGGTATCTATGCCGAGAAGGAAGGACTCTCTGGTAAACTCAAGTTTGTCCAGGGCGACTTTATGGTTAGTCATCTGTACTATTGGTCAACTTTGGGTGCTAACAATGACAGAAAATGCCCTTTCCCGATAACTCGTTCGACGCCGTCTATGCTATCGAAGCAACCGTTCACGCACCGTCTCTAGAAGGTGTCTACAGCGAGATCCGACGTGTCCTCAAACCAGGCGGCATCTTTGGGGTCTACGAGTGGCTCATGACGGATACTTACGACAATGACGACCTGGAACAACGTCGTATCCGTCTGGATATCGAATTAGGTGACGGTATCGCACAGATGTTCAAGATCGATCACGGGTTGTCAGCCATCAAAGCAGCTGGTTTTGAGCTGCTTCACCACGAGGATCTCGCAGCTACAGATGATGGAACGGCGCCATGGTATTGGCCACTGGATAGCGACATGCGATATGCGCAGAATCTAAGTAATCTCTTTACGGTGATTAGGATGAACAAATGGGGAAGACTGGTGATGCATAATCTGATTGGGGTATTGGAGGCTTGTTCGATTGCACCAAAGGGAACAAGAAAGACTGCTGATGGGTTGGCCAAGGGAGCGGATGCTTTGGTCGAGGGTGGTAAGAGAAAACTATTTACACCCATGTATTTGATGGTTGGGAGGAAGCCTGAGGAGGAAATCTGAGGGTCCAGATCCATGTTCAGACAGGTCATAGGGCTGACTCCATTAAATACGAACATGCATGGGTGGCCACTGAGTGGTTGATGGGGAAATTAGATAGGCTCAGTTTTAGTGAGTGGATAGCTTAGAAACGTGCTAATATTTTCGTCTGATCTGCTCCAGTCCCTTTTGCGACCCGCCTGCTCAAGCTGAAAAAGAGCGGACAGCACTATGGCGCAGCACGTAAGCGGGAATCCACTGTAAGAGATCCCTGAAACAAATAGAAGTCATTTCTGACAAGATCAGGGATGTCTGTCCAGCTATAAACAGAATTAACCAATTGATCAATATAGAAGTAGGTAGATCAAGGGCATTCCAAGTTGTCGTCTTATCGATAAGACATGACCCTCATGTCGCAATCTCTACGGAGCTATAATCTCACCCAGCCTCAGTGTCCACGCGTCAATAACCAATTGCAAAGGAGCAGATCATCCTGTGACTCTGTGAATAGCAAATTTACAGGCGCAGTCTTCTCTTTTTCTCGGATCACGAGATTTCCGTGCTGATTCAATGATCAATACCCATTGTATTCAAGACCAGATCTTGGCTACTAGGTCATCGTGGGGACAGGGCTGAAGCGAGACCCCCAGCATAACTGCCGATGCAATGCGATAGAGAAAAAAGAATATGATCACCCTGTTAAGATAATACATGGATATTATACCCATTACGACATGATTATCTAGGCATTTAAATGTCGCCAGGTCGCGTCGTGTTTGGCGAAATGATCTTCAAGGCCCAGCAAATGGAAGTGCCCGTCTCACGTCATCGTCAATGTCACTTCGTGGCGGTTTTTAATACACAACCCAACGACAACCTAGTCCAGTCCAGCCCAAGCCAAGGGATGGAATGGACTCAATCTGTCGCACACTCATATCCTAGTCAGTCTCGTCTCAGTCAGTGGCTGGTCTAGACTGGATCCCTGCTCACCTTGAACTGCCGCATTTTTAATCCCCGTGGACCCCCTCGACTTTTTTGCATCTTTCCTTCCCCCTCTTCGAGCTCAGCTTAGCTTCGTCACAATTCACGCGATAAAAAGTATCACCGAGTAATTTACTTCTGAAAATATTGAACAAAAACGACGACCTGACACGATTCATACAACTGCTATTTAATGCGACAAGTACACGGTTGCGCCGACACCGACTATTGGAAAGCCTTGTCAATATCGTGGCTGCAAGAACTGTACCTTGCAGCTGAAACACGTTCCGATATACTGCACGACATAACATACTGTCAAAATGTTGAAAAAGAAGGAAACTCTCACCATCATCACGCCTATCCCGGGCTTCATCCCGAGACAGCTCGCCATCGATCTTCTTCACTCCCATGGTGAAATCATCACCCTCAACCCGCTAGTTCTCAGCCACAAACCCATCCCCGCTCCTCGCAATGCCGCCTCCGACGAGTACTACAGCACCTGGTACGAAATCACAGAGCGCATCCAGTACATCCCCGGTTTGGGAAAGATAGGATCCGGAAAGCTTACATTTAATGGTTGCTTCCATGATATGCCATGGGGCATGCAGTCGCATATATATATTCCTCTTGGCATCGATATGAGGAACAAGTACCGCATCATGGGCAACCAGCCCGGCATTGAACCTCCAGAGCAGCCCGAACTTGGTCTTGAGAAGCTTGGCGCACCAAAGGAGGGCCTTTATTTGCGTACAGATGTCGAACTCAAAGCGAATATTACTCTAATGGGGTTTGTCAAGGCCGAGTCGAGGAAAGCCAGTGTTGACATGGTTAACCGTATGGTCAAAAAGGCCGAGCTTCTCGATGCTGGTTTGTTGAAAGCCATGTTCCAAGATGGGAAGCTCAAGACCTACAACCCAAATGATCGATCCGAGAGTAGTCAAGCCCGACAGCAGGCTCTGCAAAATCCCTCCACTGGCCTACCAGACACTCAGCACGCTGTTCTCCATCCTGGCACAGGACCTATGACTCCAGGTCCGTCGTACCAGCAGCCGTATGGATATCAACCCCAGATGCAACCTCAGCGCTCGCCAACGTACCCATACGCAACTCCCGACAATACTGGATCTCAGTACCCCCAAAGTCCCTATGTCTATTCAGCTCAAACACCTCCACCTGGCAGCCAATACCCAGGTCACACACCTCCACCCGGCGCGCAGTACCAGCAGCAACAACCACCACCAGTACCTCCCAAGACCAACATCCAGAGCTTCCCCATGGAACTCCCTGGTGACTACTACCACCCACAACAGTCCCCCGGTCTTCAGCCAAGTCCCGGCCACCCACCCAGCAACTTCCGCAACTCAACAGGATCCTATGATCCAAGGTGGTCACAGTCCACCACCGAATCGCACCGCAACAGCGCGCACTCGCAATCCACAGGTGGTTATCAATCGCCTGCGCCGGGACATCAGAGTTTTGCAGCAGAACTGCCTTCTCATAACGAGACGAAGGAGGAATATAGACATTAACAGCGATGGACGGTACTTAATGAATCGAGATGAGGTGTTTCCCTGGGCAAAAAGCGACCGTGGTCCTTTGATATTATGCAAATATTCTTTTATGGGAAGTGCGACTGTTCTGGGGTGGAAATGGTCCTCAGGGTATCAGAAAAATTGACCGCAGGAAGCATAAGAGACGAAATTAGTAGGTCACTTTATGCTCCTTAGACTATGGTTCTTAGACTACTTATTTTTATACCCTAAGACTTAGGAGGCCATTTTTTCTGCTACCCACTAGATGGTACACGGACAGGCGTTTGTCGGGATGGATATATATACCTTTTGTTAAAATGTAATGCGCATGTTAAAGAGTTCCGCTATTCACTTCTGGTCAGTGCTCATAGTCTCATCGTCTCCGTTTGTCCACAATCAAGTCTGAAGCAAGCTCATCTACGAGTAACCTTTACGTCCAGGCACGCCTCAAGGTATCAGAAAGGTTGGCCGCTGGAAGCATACGAGACGAAATTAGTAGGTCATTTTATGCTCCTTAGGCTATAGTTCTTAGACTACTTATTTATGTACCCTAAGACTTGGGAGGCCAACTTTTCTGCTACTCACCGGGCACGGTTCCAGGCTGTTGCTTTTGCTCTATCCCACCCTGAATTACTCAGATGTACCAACGCTTACTGTATCCATGAGGACAGCAGGTTCCTGATTACATGCGATACGATCATATACAAGAGCGTTTAGGAGACAGCAGGTGCCTACCTGCCTTGGTACCTACCTCTATTAGTAGTATGACTGGATCAGAGGTGCAGCTTCCTCATCTGCAGTCCTTGACCCTACAACCCACCAGAAAGGCTGCATCTTTTATCCTTACAGGTTATCACCGATACAAACATCTTCATCAAATAATCATCTTCATCATCACACTGAGACATATATTGTGTCATCAATCATCACGATGGGCTCTCCAAAGCCGCAGCAAGACCCGTGTCCACATCCACAACAAGACCCGTTTGAACATCCGCCGCTGCGGGGGATCGGACAAGATGACATTTCTAACATGAAACCTCGCTGCTCTTCAGTGTCCAGTGACGGTGGATATAAGGTCCTTTGTAACTTCAACCTCTCGGATGTATCCAAGGACAAAGATGAAGTTGGCCACGTTCCAGGTACATATGGCGGCAAGCAGTCATTTCGCAGTTAAACTAACTCGTTGATATAGACAAAAACCTGTCCCAATACCTACGTCCGAAAATGCCGTGTTCGTTGACTGCTATCGAGAATGCGTTCGTGCCAAGTCCCGAGTGCTTCGAAAACTCCAAGTATCTACTCACCGCTGTTTTCAAGACCATCAAGGCCGCACACCCTGACTTCCGTTTCGACACTGTTGACATCGTTCTCAGCAGTAGAGTGTTGCTAACGATGTTTTATATGTGCCTAAGGAACAAGATGGCATCACTCTTCGGTGCCATGACTTTCGAGCTTTTTGGAAACACGCTCATCATCAGCTTCGATGAAGAAAAGGAACGCCGCAAATACTGGAATGAACCCAGCGGTAATTATTTACTACGCTCTGCGGGTTCAACAAAGCCATATCACGACCTGGTTCGCGCCGTGAAATACGATCTTGGTGGCCTCTCATGCATGATTGTTCACGCCTATGATACCACCACTCGGAAACCCAACAAGAGACACCAGAAAAAAAGAAACGCCAACAAACACTCTAGTAGTGAATGTAATACTGCCAACTTCTTTGTTGAACATATTACAAAGATGGATCCCGCTGTTATATTCGAATATTTATGGTTTGGAAGGGTCGAGAGCTACGTTGTTGCGAAAGTCAGCAAGGACTCAACGAGAAATAAGATTTGGTTGCGGGATCTTACTCTCGCCCCAAAGCCTGCTCCCACAGAATAGGAGACAAGGGAAGATATTCAGAGGGCCCTTTGCAAAGTGGCTGGCATTCTGAATTGGGTGCGGGAAACAATGATCACAAAATCGTCCACAAAGTGGTGCAGACTCGGTGGTCCGCCTAATATTGAAGGGGATCCTGATCCTCTAGTCAGTTTATCAATATACGATTACCAGCCGACCTCCCGGGCGCTGCATCGAATGCATGGGCAGTTCTGGGACAATCCAGTCACGGGGTACGATGTGGTGGAAGACGTCGTGTATGAAGAGATTGCCGAGTGTTTTACAAACGAGTATTTGCAAGCCCGTGCCGCGAAGGACAGGCTGCAGCGTTCCTGAGAAGCGAAGGATACACCCTGTTGTATGCGGGTTTCGCGAGATTTTAGACAGCGATAGTTGAATATGCCTAGGGTTATGTCAAGGCAAGTTGCCAATTACTTCTATACCATTATCCTTAGTAACAATAGGACATAAATAAGTCAGAAACAGATTACCAGTAGGCTTCGACTTGACAGATATATATATATATATATACATGTTCCCTCCTCAGGATATGAGAAACGTTGGTTTCTCGGGGTATAAGGGACAAAATTATGCTATTAAGACCAAATTTTAGGTCATTTGTTTTTTTACCTACAGGCTTAGACTAGAGGTCATCGTTTCTGCTATCCACGAGACTATGGTGAATGGAAAGATGCATTGTGAACTTCAAGTTTATAAAAACTTCATCCCTTAGAACCTGATTCACCACGGCTATTCTTTCCAGGAGAATAATGATATATAGAAGAAAATAAATATAAAGAATCACTTATATAGACACAGAATTACTAATGTGTCAATCAGGATGATATCAAAAAGGATCTGATGTAAGCAGAACTCGCATAATCAGATGTCAGCTACAAGGCGCAATCAGAAAATCACTTCCTTATAATCCTCCAACGAAGTCACATCTCAAACCACCAGTCTCTTCGATAACATTAAAATTCATGCTCAAAACAATCAAGACTCGTACCCTGGAAGTAGGTTACTACGACCATGGCCCTTCTGCAGGCTGGCCAGTTCTTCTCTACCACGGCTTCCCCTACGACATCCATGCATATGACGAAGTATTTCCCAAGCTTGTTTCAAACGGCGCTCGAGTTATAATCCCTTATGTGCGTGGCTTCGGTCCCACGCGCTTTCTCTCCTCGCAGACTATGAGAAGCGGCCAACAGGCAGCTCTGGGCTCAGATGTCATCGAACTCATGGATGCGTTGAATATCGAAAAGGCCATACTGGGTGGTTTTGACTGGGGTGGTATGTCCTGCTGTGTTGCTTCTGCGCTTTGGCCAGAGCGTGTTGTCGGACTTGTTTCGTATGCATCGTATGATATTGCCGATCTATCAACTTACCAGATGCCTTTTGAGCCGAGTCTCGAATGTTCAGTTTGGTATCAGCATTTATTCCAACAGGAGCGAGGGATGAGGTGTTTGACAGAGAATAGACGAGATCTCTGTCGAATACTTTGGGAACAGTGGTCACCTTCCTTCTCCTTCACCGAGTTCTTTTATCAACGCACAGCAGAATCGTTTGATAATACTGATTTTGTTGATGTCGTCATACATGCCTACAGGTTTTGCTTTGGCAATGCACGGGGGGATCCAGCGTTGCAAAAACTGGAAGATGTTCTTGCTACTAAACCCAAGATAACTGTGCCCACTGTTGCGCTTGACGGGAAGCAGGATCCTTTGAAGAAGGGTGGTACGGCTGCGCATAGACAGCATTTTTCTGGGCAGTTTGAGAGGAAAGTTGTTGACGTTGGACATGCGTTTCCCATGGAAGCACCAGAGGAGTTTACGAATGCTGTTTTGACTATCCATAGGTGGCAGAGCGGTTAATCATTGATCTGAATACTCAATACCAGTTGCACTTTGTATGTAACTATATTTTTAGTTGTATACTGACAGTATGATTATATCTGCCACAGTACCAGACATGGGCAGCTTGACTGTTAGGTAAAATCGAAGTTGAATTTCTGTAAACCGCTAAAGGCCTTGAACTAAAATTCATTGTACGAGACATTTGCAGGTACTGAATCAAATCTCTTTATTTGAGACATAGCAGGACAATCATCTCGATTCTTCATTCCTTCATAACTGAGTTTCTGTGTACATCTAATCTCGCGATACCCTCATTTTCAGAATTCCAAAAATAGAAGACACAAACTGCCATTACATCCTCAAGGAGCCAGTTATCATCTCGGATACAGAGTTCATCCCAATATTAGCAATGTGGTATAGGGGAAGCTATAATGAAACGGGAATAAGGCCTTATGTTTCACTTAAATTGTCCCTCTTCGCCCGTCGTACCTTGACCAATCCCTACCTCGTGAGGCTCTTATCAAGGAAGATTACATCCCATGTCAGCAGCTGATCCCGAGTGCCGAGAAATAACTAAATCAACACCTCAAATGATCAAGTTCAAGGAACGTCGTCGGTCAAGTTCTGGATAGTAACATTTCTTGGGCGTGAGAGTTTGTCTCCATTCCCTCTTCAAAGCCATTTATTTTCTCGATATTGATCTAGCCTTGATCTCGATAGCGTTATGCGCCGTTCAATAACGCGTGGCACCAGCGCATCGCCAAGACCTAGACCGGAACGAAAAACCGCCGGTACTCGTCAGCATGCAGGTACCTTTAATCCCTGTCGTGGTTGGTTGAGACGTCAGCCAAGAGTCAGTGAATTGGCAGACGTGGGTGTCATGTTCCCAGGAGAAATAGCCTATAATAAAAACAAGAAAATATTCACAGCACAATAACCAAGGGAATATTCGTAATTAACTTGATAAGTTTAAATGGGTAATATCTGTTCTTTATCTTGTCTTGTCTTATGTCGTTCGTGAATGGTTCAAAAATACACGCTATGAATTAAACTCCAACCCGAATGAGTCCGTTCCAAACACATCTCTATAGTAAACCCTTTCCATCTCGGAAAACTTCGTCATACCAGCGTGTCTCAGCCTCATCCGCGTCATTACTTGATTTGCAGACAGTATTCCAATCTGTCGCTCGTAGCTGCCAAGCCTTGGACTCTTTGTTCTTGCCGAACAGAAGCGACGCGCTTCCCTTGGCCTTTGCACCATAAGACCACACCTCCAGATTGCCATCGTCTGCAGCGATGCTTGCTAGTGGCGCAGTCGTGTTTGCTACCATGTGCGCCTCCAAAAGGTTGCGCAGGTGGGGAAAGTACCACGTCTTATCCCACCATGTTGTTCGGCGGCTCTTGAGGCCGTCCCTCCAAGCGTTGTGGTGGATCGCAACAGGAACCGACGTTGTCCAAAAGTCGACATAAAGCGAAACGTCACCCCATGAGCCACCCTGGTTGCTGCCGTCGTCCAATTGAGCCAAGGGAGCTTCCGCAACGGAAACGTCGTTAGGAACACCCCCAATACGCGGTGGCGAGACACCTGCTTTGCTCGACTGTTTGGCGATGGAAGAAGGGTCGTCGAGGGACACGAAATATCCTCCTGTTTCAGAATAGCAAGTCGGGTAGAAGAGTTCTTGCGCATAGTCCAGGCCAACATGGTATTCAAATTCGTCTCGTGCTGATAACGCTGCCTCCTTGCCGGGGTTGTCGTGGGCAAAGTCATCCTCGTGAATGTGCTGGCGCCAAAGCTCTTGTTCACCAAACACCTCGGCAAAAATACCCTGATCGCCAGCAAGATCCTCGTTGGACCTCACCTCGAGAAGATCCTTGTCCATGCGGTCTTTGACGCGTTGGAAATATCGGCGCATATCCCCTGCAGGGCCCATGAAACTTCCGCTGTTGACATACTTGGGTCGTACATATTTGTATCGTCCGACGTTGTGATCGGTAAAGAAGCCAAACACATTCTCGGGAAGTGTGCTGTCGGGAACGTCGTGGCAGTAGAGGTTCGAGATCTTGTCGCGAGGAGCGATGCAGCCTTTTTGCGCAGCAGCGATAATGGTCTGCTGCATGAGGTCCCTGTCGAAGAAGCCGTACTCTTGGGCAATTCGCTTGTTTGCTCTCTCGTTGCTGCTGTAGTATCGATTCAACATGACGCTGGGTGGTAGTTGTAGCCAAATATCGTGGGCGTCGAGCATCATCACCAGATCGTCCTCCCCTAGCTTTTCGTCCTCGGAGACCTCATCTCCAGTAGCCCACTGTAAATAGTTGAGTGTACCGGTGATCTTGCCTAGCTGCGAAGGTCCAATGCCATCGGCGTCGGTATGAAAGTCGTTCTTCCAATTGACAATAACGGGAGCTGGATAGCCGAGAGCAACGGCACTGCTGATGACTTTGCATAGATCGGGACTCGAGTTGTCGACAGGCAGGATAATAACAAATTTTCGGTCTCCAGAAGTGAGGTTTGCAGGAGTGATTGTGGTATCTTCTAATATCGGTCCGGATGGTCGCCAAACACTATCATTAACGATCTGGTAGCATGGTCAGCGTTGAAATTTTAGAGTAAACGGTTAACATACTAAGCGGTAGAGTAGAAACGTAGCAATAAAAAATGTTAACAATAAAGTAAATCCCTTCTTAACCCATCGCCAGTTAGACCCATTCACACGAAACCTTTGACGAGGACGCGCAGCGCCAGGTAGGGCAATGTGTGAAGGCATGTGTCATAGGCAGAAGGTAAGGTATGTAAAGAAACAAAAAGACTGCCAGCCAGTCTTGAATCGAGATGAGGAATACTAGGTAACAAGGCACAAGGGAGGAACGAGGGGAGAAAGAAAGTAAAAGTACAAGACAGAATGTGGCACCTTCCAAGCAATATACAATGATTACAGGACGTGAAAACAGGATTATTGTATAAACAAGACGAGGAGAGCCAAGGAGCGACGATCGAGGAGCGGAAGGATTGTTTAGATACAAAAAGGAAAAGGATGATGAAAGTTGACTTGACAGTCAAAGTGGACAAGCTTGACGTGAGACAAGGCAGACAGGAGGTCGACTCTGGCGCATCGGTAGTTTCCCACTCTAAACCCTGTCAGTCGTAGATTGAATACGGGTCTCTAATCTTATCGATGCAGCACAAGTACCAATTGAGTGCGTCGGCGGCTAAAAGATACCTTCATTTCAACTCCACGAGTTTGACAATGCAACGCGTGTTGATCAACCCTTGCGCCCCCCCAAAGCTGGCAGCCACAGGGGATACTTTGGGGCGAAGGAGCAATTCCAGGCTGATCATCCCGAAAATAGAGGATCTAATTGGTGAGATGTACGCCTAGGGCTGTGACTGGGATGCGTAGCCGAAGTTAGCCCTGGGCTAAAATGTCGTCTCCAGGCGGAGAGTTCACCCATCGAACTGCGCCAAAAGTTCAGCGATTTCGGAATCAGCAATGCTTTAGATCGTATGATTATACTTTTGGCTAATTGAGTACATTTCTAGATAAGCTTGAACTGTTGCAAATTCCAAGTTTAGGGGCCAGGCATGCTGCTGCTGCATAGCACTTGGTGGGTCAATTACAGCGCCCAGTAAGCCCAGAATTGGCGTGGACACTGTACCCCCCCTCTATACAAAGTTGACTAACAACGATGAAACATTCCTCTTCATGAAGCACGAACCTGTTACTAATAAGTTACAAGTCTGAGCGTCGATTAACCGATATTCAGGAGAATTTTCTTATCGATACAAGACTTTAGTTCAGACTATCATTTAGTGCTTAGCAGACTAAATTGGCCTCATGGATATCTTTAGCTTTCGTACACGAAAACATTTTATTCTGTAGCCTTGTGATACGTAATCTTGCCTGCAGAAAGCCATCCCCCTGAATCGCAGCCATCAGCCATGTTTTCTGATCTAGAACCTGCGCCTGCAAGCGCCTGCATCACCAACCCAAGTAAGAAAAAGCCGACAGACGCAAAATAGCTGACTGGCTAGAAACGACACTAACGGTTGCCTGTCTTACAGGGGTCTGCCTGTCACACGGGCAGACAAACAGCCGCAATGCTTGATTTTCCTCCCATGTCACTCTCTTAGTGAGGAGAAGTAGCACTGAAGGCTTACGAATATTGAGTTGCGACTTTGTTTAAGCTTGACTGACTCAGTTACAGTTGTCATCGCGATCCTTTGATGCAACATGCAGTTGTGCAGATCAACAGCAGCGAAAAAGCCATGACGACAGTGTACATAGAACAGGGGTAGTCAGCCTGACAGCCAAAGTCATAGCAGCAGTGACAGACAAGTAGACAACGTAACACCCACCCCAACAGAAACACTTACAAACCGGGCATTTCCTCTTTTGATTTGTTTTTTGGTCTGGAGATCCGAAAACTAACTGTCAGCCGCTTACTGTGGGGCAAATGTCTGGGGCTGTGTCTCGTCTCATACTGGAACCGGGCGACGGATCTACAAACAAAGATGGATCTGTCTCTGTTCTTTTCCTCTTGGCGCTCTTCTGTTTATTTTGACCGCTTGTGCTTTGAGGCGGATTTCAACCGTCATTCCGATTAACCGGTCCCCGGACCTCTCGCTTACATAGATGTAAAGACATGGCACAGAAATCACAATTGAGTGAATGATACAAAGGTTGGACTCTGAGGTTTACAGTATAAAAATACACAACCTGAATATGTTGTCTAACCGACATGGAGTGACTAAATTATTTTGTCTATTTTGCTTCCAACAGTCAACTTTTCCAGCACCCAGTGATCATCCTGGCGCGGTATGCGTAAAAGACATACAAATACGTAAAACTACACATATTTATTTGTCCAATAAAAGCTGCCTGCTATCAAAGTCGCTTGCATGAATAGTATAAGTCAACCGTGTAATCGTACCCTTCAGGCAGTGTCCGATCTTAACAGCCCATACATAAAAACACGCCATCACAAGCTTCACCAATTGGGAAATACAGGCAGAAGACCTGACTGCGACCCGAGGTCAGTGAAGTACCATTTTCGAATGGATTGCGTACCCCGCGATATCAGGGAAGCACTCTGCCATTTCCCAGGCTAGCTCAGCGGCTCTGTAAAAGCGATTGCGGGCAAGGAGTCGGAGCGCGGGCACGTCGTACTTGTATGCCATGGCATAAAGCCGGAGAGGCAGTTTCATATCGTCGCGTAGTTCTGCGATTAGTCTCAATCCTTCTCTGTTTGGGATGGTGACTACGTCTTCCATCGTCATTATGTCGGGTTTTCCCTCTTGGTGGTCATTCATATCGCTGTTCTCAGAGCCATCCTCGTTGTTCTCGTCCTCCTCATCCTCCTCTTCGGGTACTTCTACTTCTTCAGCTGGTGGCTGCCACTCTTGGTCGGGTTCACTAAGTAGTGCATTCCCATGAAATGTAGGGATTCCCAGCCTACCACATGCTGGTTGCTGTAGGTTCTGCCGAACGGTCTTGGGGTCCGTCATAGCCGTGGCAGATGGTTTATCCCAGGTAGGGTTGACTGTATCAGTGTAATTCCCTGTGTAAAGGAACTCGAGAAATAGTTCCAGGACCAAGTCAACAACCAGAGCCTCAGTGTATTAGAAAAGCTGGTTGCTTGAAGAATAAGAGATCGGATCAGTTAGATAACTTATGCTATTTAAACTACACTCTTAGGTTATTTGCTTTGCACTCTACGCTTGGAGGTTATCCTTTCTGTAGCAGAGATAGTAGTACCCTTAAGCTCGCATCTCTTTATAAGAAACATAACGAACGAAATATTAGTTAACTCTCCCCAGTTTAGGATAATTTAGGCCACTAATAGGTAGATAAAAAGGTCGATTGACGGAAACAGACTACACACTCCCCAGTTTTGTACCACTGTAGACTATCCTTGAACTTCCTGTCCTTCAACACCAGCTCGAAGATCATAATGTTCCTTCGCCACATCGTGCATTCGGCGCTTCATTAAGTCATCCCCAGTCTTCGCCTGGACCAATAGAACCAGGACCTTCCACATAGGCTCGCCGTCTTGAGACGTGTAGAGACTCAGGGCAACGTCTTCGAACTCCTTTGTGTCCTCCCAGCTCGCCCCTTCCCAGGACGAGAGCCAACGGGCTTTGGCCGCTTTGAAGAAACGCTCTCGAGCAAGAAGTTGGAGAGCAGGCACTTTGTACTCATGCGCAAGATTGTACAGCTCGAGCGAAATGGTCATTGCGGGAGGGAAGGGAGTTTTGAATAGGATTTCCTCCGGGATCGAAGAGTCGGGCGAAGCCGCGGTCGCCATCGGAGTGTCGGAATCGGGTGCCTCGTCCATTGAGTCTGCAGTCGAGTGCGATTTCCTACTGGAACGTCTGACAGGGCGCTTGGAAGATGTATCGGAAGCAGCTACTTCGCTGGAAGGCATGCTGCAAGGTTGCTCTGAGTGATCCCTCAACATCGACTCTATCTCTCCGGTTCGAGATGTGGTGAGATCTCGTTGTGGTGTCTCGCCTTCGATCGTATATGTCCCAGTGTAAAGAAATTCGAGAAATCGCTGGAAAACTCCAGGGTCAACTCCTTTAACCTCTACCTTTCTGATGATACGCTTCTGTTGTTTTTAAGTTAGCGGTTGGTCTGCCAGAAGTGAAGTGTTGCCTACCTTGGCAGGAGCGGTGAAAGCCACGTCAAACCACAAAGATTGTGTGCATACGATCGCGCGGTGAGCCTTGAATTCGTGATCGCCACAAACGATAGAAATGTCGGAGTGTTCCCCTCCAAGCAGGTTGTAGAAGGATGTCAGCGTCGAAGTTGTGCATAGTTCTTCTACGAGATGATACTCGACACTGCCGGGGACTTCGAAACGATTCATGATTGCGTGATGCGAGCGTGGTGACAATCAAGGAAAGATGTATGTAGAAGTGCAAATACTCAAAGAATAGGATAGGCGCTTCCGTCGGGTGATGTGCAAGGGAAGGAAACAGGAGATTTGCTTGCACCTGCCGCGCAGCCGGCTACCTTTATTAATCTCCAATACCTGCCTACAGTTTGTAAAACAACATGTATGCGATCCGTCGTTTGCAATAAGCTTTGTGATGCATATTGCCGTCTGCCAGTGGCCGTGCACTGGGTCAAACGGCCACAATCAACCTTCATGATATATCACAAGGCTAACGTTGCTGTACTGACAGGCGGGTCGTAAAAGAATAAGAGAATGCTGTAACGCTTGTTTGAATGGAGGTGAATGAGTGTCAGAAATCACAGATCATAAAAACGTGACGGCAATTGACAGCTACTCACGCGAACCAACAGATGCATACTATCAGGGTAGAAGCGTTAGCCTCCTAAGTCTTAGGGTAGGTAGTCTAAGAAGTATCGTCCAAGTAGCATAAACGAATCTACTACTTTCGTCTTATGCTTATAGCGGCCAATTTCTAATCCTAAGGTCTGTCATATCTCAGTCTATTTAGAAGGAAGAAACATTGCCTGTCGAGCATATGTCGGAACTCCCTCCCGATCCAGATCCTCATCGTCAACAGAATCTGTCATCCAGTCTTCCGGCCAGATATTCTTCACCCAGTTAACAGCGTTATCAATCCAATTCTCCCAGGCTTTTTCCAAGATGTCGCCCCAATACCAAACTGCCGTAATCCCGCCCCCGGCAAGAACGAGTGACACAAAACAAGGGGCCAAGACTGCGGTTTCTGGCCATCGAGTGATTATAAAGTATAGCGCTATACCTGCTATACCAGCCCAGAGACCAAAAAAGACAACAAATGCGGATAGCAAATAGATTATGACTATGGAGAAACTCAAAGACAGCGTCGTGATAAGGCAGAAAAAAAATTTGGCGATCGCGCGGTTGCTGATGGAGTCGAGTCGGAGGGACATCGAGCGGGATTTGGGTGTGAAGCGGTTGAGTATTGTTATACGACCGGCTTTGACACAGTACCTGACTGTCGGCGATCGCAGGAAAATGCGTATCGCGTATGTGACGACAAATACGACACTCAGCGACAAACCCCACGTCCACATCTTGGGCGGCGCATCATTAAGCTCTGCAACTTGCATAGAGAAGACGGCCGTGATGAACGACAAGGGCACAAAAAAGAATGCTAGTTCAGTGAGTTTATTGATACCAGATGTTTGATCGATGACGAGTGCCGATTGGCTAATTCCAGTTGAGGCGACGAGGAAGTTCAGTGTTTGCTCTGAGCGTGTTTGCAGAGACTGCAGGTCCTCCTGAAGTTCAACCATTTCTTGCTCCAGATCTTCGGGTAGATTGAGTATCCTTTGTGACTTCTTCACATGATCTACCCACTCGCCCAGCTCTTGTAAAATCGACCGAATCCAGGCCATGTTTTGCCGTGTGGCGGTCCCAGCATCTTGAAGCAGGTGAAGGTGTAGATCTGCGCCGAGGTCTGAGTCGATATGGTCCTGCATAATACGAAGCTCGGCAAGAAGTTGCCAAGTATCGTCGAAAGACAAACGTGCAAGAAGAGAAGGGATTGCGGAATCGTCCTGGAGTAGCTCGGTGGGGTGGATGTTGGAGACGTATCGGGACACGAGATCCAAGGTGGAAAGGGAGTATTTTCGAGCAAAATCGCGGTCGCGAACCCAGGATTGGCGAGATCTGTAGCTCTTTTTGATGTTGTTCTGATATTCTTCGTCGTACTCGGTATCAGTGGTGTCGATAGAGTCGGTGTCGCCCTCTTTGTTCATGCTAGCGGAAGCTAACCTGTCGGTCATCTTGTCTTTTTTCTCGTCTAGGCCACTTTTTCTGGATTTCCCTTTCTCTCCTTGCTTCCTCTTTATAAATACAGGAGGGTCAAGATACGTCTCGCCTGGGTCAGCTACCCGCCATAGTTCCTCTTCTGTATATGACTCAAATTCCATAGCTCGGGGCATGAATGTTAGAGACGGCGTGGTCTCTTTTGTTTTCTCATTTTGCATACTCCGAGGTGGATCAAAGGCCAGGATGACTACGTGTAACAAGTCAGTTTGTCCGTTGTCGAGCGCTGTTAGTATAGATACTTACCTGTTTTCTTCCCCTCTTTATCAACACTTGTCCAGTATCCCATGCCTTCTGGCGCCATTACTCTCAAATCTCTGTTCTTCCAGTGCTTTGGGTTTTGGCGGAGGATTGGAAAGAAAGTACTATAGGGACGATACACGTTGGAAGTTTTGACCCTGTTTGACGTGCCTTCAATCTTTACTGTAGACTTTCGCGGCTCCGGAACAGCAAACATATCTTGGCTCTTCTGCTTTGTCTTCTTTTTCTCCTCCTTCTCCTTTCTCTCTTGAATCTTTCGCTCTGCACGCTTCTTTCTCTTGTCAGTCAAAAGGAGACCAGATCTATCGACGATGACATCGCGCTCAATGGTCCAACGCCCGTCAGAGATGCGTCCAGCAATCTCGTCTTCGTGGAATCCAGGTCGTCCGAGGTAGTGGAGTGCACCAAGCCGACCCCACCGAATATGAGCCCAGTTTCGAGACTTTGTCCGACGTGACAAGTTCCATTCCGTGCGTTGGCCGATTCCAGGTAAAGGACGATGCCGAAAGTGGGTTTCTCTCTCGTTCCAGTTCATCCAGACCGCATTTCTCAGCTTTAATCCACTATCGCTCGCACAGTATCCCGAGGTGATGAGTTGTTCGTACCAGAATTCCGGATCTATAGAGTACAGCTGACCCAATACGCCCATAACGAATCGGCTCAAATCGCTGACCATAATAACTCTCACCTGAGAGTCTTCTGGTCGGGTATTGATAGTGGCGGCGAGATCTTTCTTTGTGGTGATCAGTTTGCTTCTTTCCACTTTGTCGTTACCAAGATAGTCGATAACCGAAACAGTAACCGACTTCAAACCCTCGAACCGTTCTCGTCGAGTAACATTCAGCCATCGCGGGTCCCATCGGGCTCGATTATCGAGTTCGTTCATGTACAATTCAGATATCGTCTCTATCCAGAGCTTTGGATCGGAAAATTCTTCGTTGTCAGAATCCTCCTCGTTGCTTTGTCGAACATCTGCAAAAGTATCCATGTCGCGCCTGTTTCTCCCGAAGGAGAAAGGATGCGGCACATGGTGCGGCCTTTCTAAAGAGGTCTCTTTGTCTGCGCTAAGAGAGATGCGCGATGTCTTGCGGTCATCCAGCGAGTTGCGCGGGACAGAATAGTTGGGCTTCCAACGTTGGGAAGCAGGCGAGTCGAGATCATAGCCGCTGAGCCGCTCCTCGTCGGTGAGGTCGCGACGCTTTCTGTTAAACATGGCAACGTGAGGGCGATTAACGAAGCACCGCGGTAGTGTTCAGGACAAGTTCAGCCTTATGATGTGACATTAGGCTAGTTGAACCCCTGGACAATCCAATTCTGCTCTAACCCGGTGGGGTAGTATCCCCATGAGTGATAGAATGAACCTAGCAATAGCATTGCGACGGCGACCATCATGGGGTCTGTATGATTGAGGCATTCTTATGATGGAATCCATAATGTTGAAAGTAATTAAAAAGATTGTCAACCAAAGTAAGCTCATGGAGAATGGAGGGGACCTGACGGGAAACAGTGGGGATCCCGCTGTAATTACAGGTACCAGTGCCCAGGCAGGGAAGGGCCTCCGTCATCAGGGTCGTCAAGTTCAAGAATCAGACCATAAGGAAGTAAAGCATTCTCCAAGAAATAATTGTATTTACTAAACCAAAGAGATTCAATATCAGTGGCACTTCAAGGCTCTGTGCCTATTGAGGAACCAATGTCTCAAATGAATCCATCCCACGGTTGCTGGTCTTGAGGGAGTCCTCAACCTCAATTGCCAGCGACTCCAATGTCACAGCCAATGCTTGTCTGTCTTCTTTCTCTTGTCTCCGACGGCAAAAGCACATCGTGCAGCAGCATGCCAATATCCATACGATTATGAGCGGCACCCCAATCATCATGAAATACCCATAAGCTGACATGCTGTCCATTCTCTTTTCCAGGGATGGCGATGTGACGAGCCCTTCATATTCTCGTGAAGGCATGATCTCGTCGTTGATCAAATGGGAGACTCGTGCTGTAGATGACGGACTTGTTGATAGATTGTTGACAATTATTTTGCTTTGGACTATTGCCCGATCGTGGCGTTGTTGGAGGAGGTGCGGGAGGTGCGGGAGGTGCGTGGGTTCTGTGGTATCCAGGCTCTGGGTATCACCGTCTATTAATCGCCAGTTTGTGAGAGTCTCTTCTCAAAATTTTGTGGCGATGTCGATTGTTCCAGGTTATTGATCCCGGAACCAACACCAAGCCCAGCGAAGCGGCGTATTTTGGTGGTTAATCCCTGTAGGCCGTGACTGTTGATTCTGCCTTATCACGACCAGGGTCAAAATGGTTCGAGAACGGGTGCAGCAGCTATCACTTGGCCAAGTCCTTCTTCTTGCGACATCGAAGGCATAACCACGCGCAAGTGATAAGAAGAACTATCACTATTATGGGTATCTTGACCAGAAGAAACCACAATGTAGAAATGCCAATGGATCGCCGACTTCGGCCAGATCGTTTTATCAGATGCTCATTCCCAAGTGTGACTTTTTCAAGATCCCGCAATGGTACTATTTAGGTTAGTATTGTCTTGAGCTAAGCCAGGTAAACTTACAGTTGAGTTTCCTATCTGCTGTGGTGATGGCGACATCCTCAATCTCTTTCACAGCTGCTATGAGCGTGAGCGGTGTGGTGAGGGAAGACATGACTGATATGGCTCAATGTTTTGTCGTGTGGCCGTCGCATAAAAGATAAGCTGGGGAAGCTGTCTTTATGTATATGGCTGATACCGAAACCGAGCTTTTTATTAACGGGTCTCGGAACTTTATGCACCTTGCGGTGTAAAGGTTGCTTCACGAGCATTGACCGCATCCGTTGAGTCCGGGGGAGTCAGACAGCAAACAACTGACGTGTCTGCGGGTCAGCAGAAAACTCGGCTCGCAGATGCAGGGTGCAAGATAAAGAGGTGAAGAATTGATTTCGAATTTCATGTAGGTAGCACCGTATAAGCTGACATGATGGTTCGTCGCTTATTCCCTCGTGTCCGATGTTGATAAACTGGAATCGACTAATGCTGTCCAAATAAGCTAGTGGAGATAAGGGAGCCAAGACACAGCTAAAGTTCAGTTCGTCGTCAATCACAACACGAATGCGGTTTTGGATGGTCGCAAAATAAATCTGGATTTGTCGGGGGTTCGTCTCATCTGTGCAAGTAGAGACGCTAGGGGATGGTGGGAAACTTGAGGCCCAAACTTGAGATACTCGCAGATGAATCGCCCAAGAGCGGGTCTAAGATGCATAAAATGACTAAATTGGTTTGTCTCTTGGGCGAAAACCAGTAGTTTGCGAATTCGAGGGCACGATGAACCACATCTGCAGTCAATCTCTGCTATTTGACGCGGGACAGCATGTCAGAGTAGCATGGTGGCTTGTTTCGTGTAGCTAGGCCGTCCCGTAAGCGAGTTGCTCGCAACACCAGGTTTTAGTTTCGGGGCTTTCAGAACTCAGGTTTGAGTCATGGATAGGAATCTGAGACTGTAGATTGGATGTTTCGGGGAAGCTCAACAAAAATACCTGAGAACACGATGTCTGTCCCTAATGATCTATTGGTGTACTCTAAACTTCTGAACTGTAGGAATGATTAGTAAAGTCAAATGGTTGGTAAAAAGTCTAGACTGCTAAGTTATCTTTCCCACCGTACATATATCAAAATACATCACATCTTTACAACAAATGGTCAACTAACTCAATGAGAACTTCTGACACTACAATAATGAGAAAAGTGAAAAGTATGGTGTAATACCTCCCTAGACTACCAAATAATTGACACTACGCTATATAATTCAATTTTCTTAGTTTCTCTATAACAAAAAATACACTGGCTCAATGGTCTAGCGGTATGATTCCTGCTTTGGGATGAGTCATCATTCATGCAGGAGGTCCCGGGTTCAATCCCCGGTTGAGCCCTCTCTTTTGCTTTAGACGAGGAACATGTCGTGTTCTTTTTGCGCGATTTTTGGAGGTTCTTGATGCTCCGATTTAAGCTTAGACTGAGCCCCACTTCCCGTAAAGATGATGCGGGACTCTGTGCTAGCTTTTAATTAGCCTATCTAATCCCATTGCAACTTAGTTATGTCTTTGTACTTTATGAATTGAACGTATTCTACTGTAGAAACAAAAGATGAGAAGGGGCTCCGTCTCTTCTTTTTTATTAGTGGCTTCTTCTTTTTGTTGGGTAAAAACAGAGCGTATGTAGGCGTTGGCTACTACTTGATGTATGGCTCAACCCATATCTTTGCAACCCGTGTAATAGACAGCCTCGCACGAAATAAAAAAGCTGAGGATAGCTAAAAGTCTCTAAACTGGATGATAGGGTTTGGAAAAGTATGTGGGATAGCAACGCAATTCAAATAATACCATTGAAGTTCAAAGGCGGTGTTGTAAATTAGGTATGTCAAAGCTATAGGGTAATATTGTCGTGGTCAATCGATTGAGTCTAAACCCACAAAGACATGACAATGAAAACAAGATAACGTTGGCGGGGAACATGGGGTCCAGCCTGTAAGATAGCACGAGCCCCTAGAAAGTTTGTCGAGAGTCGCTGCGATGCCGTCAACAATGGACGTCCTACGGTAAAAGAGAAGTTGCCAAATGGAAGCAAAAAGACAACATTAACAAGTCACTTTATGCTATAACTATAGACCTCAATTCTCGGTTGTTCCTATTAGGTACCCTAAGGCTCAGATGCTCTTTTTAAAGTTGATGTCTCAAACTGAAGACGTCGAAGCTACATGGTATAAAGCAAACATTAAACTACTTTTTACCGCTCATACCCACTCATTAGATCATCAACATCAGTTGACAAACAACACCCACCAACAGCAACTAGGCAGCCGCCATCTCAATCTCCCTTCCTTTGACACTCCTCCATTCAACCAACAAAGCACCAATAATCGTCGCAGCCGCGGTTCCAGCACCAACGTAGAAACTCGTCGTCAACGCATCGTTGTACGCCAGAATCACTCCGTCCAGCCACTCTTCTCGAATAATGCTGCGAATGTTTGTCGCGCCAGTTGCAATGACAAAGTAGGGATCCAGACCAGGCACATGTTCGTGAATCTTGTTGATGAGTGTGTTTGTAAACACGGTGTTGCCGGCTGTGACGCAGAGCGCGCCGCCGAGGGTTTGTGAAAAGACAATGAGGGCGGTGGCTGTAGGAACGTCGACCATTTCACACACCACTTGGACAGCGATGAGGGACTGTTGCAGACCAACACCTACGCCGATGCCAGCAATAAGTTGAAAGCCTACCCATTCGGCTGTTGAGGTGTTCACTTCAAAGGTGGTGATAACTCCAAAACCTATGGCCATGAGTACCGAGCCGGCAATCATGAAGGGCGTGTAGTAGCCCCAGGCACTGACTGCTGCACCAGCTCCCATGGCGCAGAGAACAATGGCAAGGAGCATGGGAAGGTTCCTCACGCCAGACATGATGGGTGATTGTCCTTGCACCGCTTGGAACCAAATGGGTAGGAAGTACATGGCTGTGAGGAAACATGCGCCGGTGTTGAAGGAGAACCAGGCACCAGCCCAGACGCTGCGCATCTTAAAGATACGTGGAGGGACTGTGGCGTTCTCGTCCATTTTGTATTGCATGTAGACAAACAAGATGAGGAGAAAGGCTGCCAGCATAAAAAGCGACGTAATGACAGAGTCATCCCAATCATAGTCGACACCACCCCATTGTAGAGCCAGTAAAAGACACACAATGGCGGGCATGAAGATGGCGGTCCCGATAGGATCGAGCTGCCAGAAGCGTACTCGCCATGCCGCAGGCTCGATGTTTCGTACAGGTTCAGGAAAGAAGAAAAGAATGACAAAAACAGTAATGGCACCGATAGGAAGGTTGATGTAGAAGCACCATCGCCACGATACCTTGTCTGTAAAGAGACCGCCCAGCAAAGGACCTGCAACGGAAGAGATACCCCATATACCACTGACAAGACCAGTGTACATAGGTCTCCTGTGAAGAGGTACCGAAAAGGCAAGGATAGTGAGCGCGCCTGCAAAGATGCCAGAACCGCCGACGCCGGCAATAGCCCGTCCCACGATGAGCGTGACACTGTTGGGAGCGACACCGCAGATGAGACTACCCACCTCAAATATGGCAATGGCTGTTAGGAATGTCCACTTGATGCTGCCATAGGTATACAGCTTGCCAAAGAACAGCTGCAGTGCAGCCGTTGTAAGCATGTATGCCGACCCGTACCACCCCACGTCATTGAGACTTTGGAAAGCGTCAGTGATTCTTGGAATTGCCGTTGCAATGATGGAGTTGTCTGTACACATTAGCAGAGTTTAAAATTGGGACTGTTCACTTACCAAGAGCCATGACAAAGACAGCCAAGCAGAGAGCGAGAGTGATCAAACCAAGTTTCACTCCAGTAGGATATTCTTGTTCAGGTCCTGATTGTTCCTCCCTACTTATGGGAGGTGAATATTGGAGTTTCTCAGTGCTTTCTGTTGGTACAGCAGACCGTGGACGAATCTCATTATACCGAACCGAACCCATCACAGGATGAGGGTATTCTTTGCCGTGGTGTTCCGGCATGCTGTAATCTGCGGGAAGAGAGCGGACACTAAAGTTGCTCGGAGCAATTGACGATGGCCGACTTACACCGTTGATGTCCTTGGAGGTGCCTGAACCTGAAGCTCCAGGATGCGATGTAAGCCAGTCATCGGCATCTCTGGCAAGCTTGGCTGTTTCTGAGTCAAAGTTAAAGTATCGAGATGATTCTCTCAAAGATGAGTAGAGGGTTTCTTTTGGCAGACGTACACTCAGGTGCGAACGACTGGTCGCAGCCATAGAGTAGTCTGGGGCGGACATGATAGAAGCCATCTTGAGTGATTTGCGTAGTACGGCTGTTTAGGATGCTGGGATGTGAAAAGACAAAGATCCCAGCCGTGGACTCCCCCAGGCGGGAAGACATGCTTTTAAGCTTCATCTTTTGTTCACTTCTATAAGAGTAGCCTGCAGAGCATTGTGACACGACGGATCCTTTAGCAAGCTCATGCTTAGTCGATGATGATCGTTCGTCTTACAACGGGGCGAGAGTCGAATCCACAAGAAAATCACTTCTCATAAGATCTTCACCTGCAGTTGTGGCCTTTCTTGCCGAGCACGAGATGTGGCATCCCGCAGATAGCGTCTGGGGCATGCAATGACTTCAGCGGCATCAACCAAGAAGAAGCGTGCTACGATAAGATCGTGTAGCCCATCTTCTCCCCCAGGCCAGAAACGCGGTCGTAGCGGAGACCGGGTGCCGTCGGGGCTTGAGGATGCTTTGGATGTCTATAAGCCTCAGATGACTGCTCCTGTTTCCGTATTGTCAGCCGCTTCCGCCGAATAACCTCGTAAAGCAGTCTGGAACCTTTGAGGGAGGAAGTAGATCCTTGGTCGCAAAGGGACATTGTCTCCAAGATGATCATTGCATGGAGTGGCAGTACAAACTTGTCGTAGAGGTGGTCAGATTTTAAGCCAGTGATTTCGACCAGTTCAACCATTCGAACCAAATAGATTGCGGATCACATCTTCATTAGCAACTTATCTCGCTATTGGTAGGGCGAAACGTTGTTACACGGTATAAGTAAGAGGCTTGAAGATGGAAAGTTGTGTCACTTGACTAAGCCAAGTTAGAATGTTTAGAAGAGAACGGCAATGAGTAGAACGGTCCCTACCTGGGATGTTTCGCAGCATAACGGACATTAAAGCAAACCCGAGACCGAAGATCCCAGGATATGATTATTGCTTCGAAACGAATTCTGTGGCCAAAGCAACCCGGACGACGGGAGTTATGTCGCATTAATCCCTCCGTGAATGAGTCAAAATGACGAGACAAGGTGTCACATTGTCACACAAAATGCAAAGAATTGCTAGGCCACTCTTGTCTTGGAATTATCTTTGCAACGCAAGGCATCAATGAACAGAAGTCCGGAACTCTTGAAAGCTGATAAATCATCTATTTGACAAAGCGCCTCCAACCGACGATATGTTTGGGTCCAACCAACTAGACCCCAAGTACTAATGCGCACTTGGAATAAGAGTGACGGGCCGAATCTACCCGAAAGTAGCAATAACAAAAACCACATGGGTACATAATGATAAAGTGTCTGTTGATCTTTTGCAATCGACACTCATAAGATGTTCAGTGTTGCAGCTTCCATCAAGATATCGGAGAAAGAATATCGCAAAATTCAGGCGAGGTCCTTAGATAATTTGATCACTTCCATGGCATTTCAGTTGATATGGGTACCAATGTTCTGATGTCCATAGTCTTCAAGGGGGGTTTTCAAATTTTGGAGTGTCAGCGCGGGCCCGTTTGGCTGGTCTCTTGGGCGTGTTCGAATGGAAACGCCGCTGTGCATTGTGACTCGGGGGGCCGGAAAGAAGTCTAGCAGGATCCTCTGCAGCAGTTCCTCGGCCGAGTTTGGTTGATCCATGGATTGCAGGACTCTGTGTTTGAAGTCGAACTGGAGGTATGGGAACACTACCGTTGGATGGGGTGTACATCTGCTGCAACACTTGTTGTTGAGTTTGATGAAGCGATAAAAGCGCAGCGTCAGCGAACATGGGCGAACCTGGCCATGCTGCAATCTGTTCAAAAACCTCTTTGCGAAATCGCAGCTCGGGAGTTGACATATGTGGCGTCATGTTCTGATTGTGTGGTGGAACAGTATCGCCCCAGGATGGCATTGCAGCGTTCATCGGAGCATTTGGATAGGTGGATGGATCATCCAAGTAGAATAAAAGAGTTTCAGGGTGAATGGAATTGCACTCAGAAGCTGCTTGACCTTGGAATGCATAAGGTGGTTGCGGCGCGATTTGGTCCTTAAAGTCGGAATTGCTGCTGGCTTGTGATGATGTAGAAGATTGCTGTAGTCGCCGCCACATGAAAGGATTGGGCCATGCAATCTCCAAGTGTTCGAGAACATCTGCCAAGTTGTCAGTACAACGCTTGCTTCTGAGGTCTTGTTCTCACCTTGAGGTGCATGCTGAAAGGAAAAGACGACCAGGTTGTGGGCTCTTTGGAAGGCCATGTTGTCTTGTGAACCATAATAGTTGCCCTCACTGATGACAAGCTTGATACGGCCAAGGTTGTCGGCCGCGTTCCAGTGCCGTTGATACAGAAGCTCTTGCTGGAACATGGGGAATCCGATAACTTGCTTTCTATCTGTGCGCGACACGACGCACGGCCAGGTGATATCTAGATTGGCAAACGTGGAACTGGCAAGGTCAGTGATGGTCCTGTAGATAGATGAATAGAACGCACGTAATAAGACTCCCATCGATAAAGAGTCTAGCATTAATCGCAGAATGCTTTTTGTCGGCGACTTGATCGTTTTGTGATTTCTTCCACAAGTGAATGGATATATGGAAGGGAGTGCCAGGTTCGAGGCTTGGGACGAAGCATGTGACTGTCGGGACACCAAGAGCTTGCGGATCCAAAGACTCTACACCATTTTTAGGATCAAATTCCAACCTAAACATGGACTTACCTGTATCATGGACAACGTAACATGCCACCTTGAATTCTTGCAGAGGAGTAGGGGAGTTTTGTTCAAAAAGGAGAACGTCCCAGTCCTTGTACCGCATGTTGATGGTTGGAATAGGGGATGAAGATGAGTGAGAGAATAAGAGCAATTGGGACAGATCAAAGTCCAGTAGGTCATGGTGACTTGTCCCGTGCGAGCTCTTGCCCAAACGTATGGTATAATATTTGCGGAAGGAGGAGAGACAACAAGGCAGCGCTGTAGCGTAGGAATCCACCACAATGGGTTCTTAGGCGATTTATAACAAATAAGACAGCATTGATACAAATTCGATATTGGGACGTTAGTTTCAAAAATGGGAGATGTCTAGAAGTCAGCATGGCATAACTCTCGAGGAATTCATGTTCAAAATCCGAATGGCATGTCTAGAGCGAACAGCACCTCAATTTTATATTCCAACGTACTGATGTAGAGCATACACTGTTAGCCACATCTCGATTGCCTACATGTTAATAGTTCTTTGCTTAGCCATACCCTCCAGTATATCACAAGGCACATTCATTGACACCATTCAATCCATTGCATTCCATTTCTTTATGTACAGACGGGCATATTGGCTCAAGGGTCCTCATCTCCTTCCATACGAGCCTAGAACTGTTAGTATACGAATATCTCACTTCCTTTTGCCTACTCACCCTTGTAGCTCCTGGGCCACCAAGCTCTCGCTCTAGACCACCCTCAAACGCTCGGGGATAGGCGGGGCGGTCGGGGTAGTTGAGGTAAACAATTCCAGTGACACTCATGAAAACGGCGATAAAGGTTCCGACCATGATGGCACCGGGGCCGGCGGTGGTCCAAGTGTACTCCCAGGGAGAAAAGATTCCCAAAACATCGTTATCCTCGTGAATGGGTTCACCAAAGTTTCGTCGCTCCTGAGGATCCCACCAGTTGGCGCGAGGGTCACGGAACTGTCGCTTGATTCGGGGTGGGTTGATGTAGCCGCCGTTCTGCGATATTTCATCAGTTCCTTGGTTCCTCCTCAAATTTGTCTGTCACTGACCATTCCGGGGTCCTCCGCCTCGGTCATGCTGGGAGCCTCGGGGTACTTCTGGTCAATGACCTTCTTATCTGTGTACTGGTTGGGGAGGAATGTTCGGCGCTGGATCGTAGGAAGTAGTCGAGCAGCTGCCATGCCGCTACGCAGGGCCGAGGCCCGCGCAATTCGTTGGGGGAGCATCTGTGGGCAACAAGTTTAGCGACATCAATTGGACATGCTCAGACATCTTTAGAAACACACCTCGGCCGATGGGACAATGTCTTCGGCGTCCAATTGCTCTGTGACGTGATGAGATGGCTCAGTGTTGAAGCTTTAGCCAATCGAGGCTGTGATGATTCTCAACCGAAAAGTTCCGCCTCAGGCATCAGCAAGCGCGTGCCGGGCCATTTTCGGTTAGCTTGGTGGAAGGTCCAGGGGCGTGCATCCTCGATTTCTCCCCAGCTCAAAAGTTTTGCTGACGACATTGGATTTTGCGACTAAATTCTACGCTGTTCGCCCGCAAGGCCTTTGAACATGTGCAAAATCTGTATGAATATCCACTGAATTACTACTATTCTGTAGACATTAATTTCGACCCCGCAAATGATAGCTTCGCAGAGAAAACGCCCACAGCGTCCCTTGTCCCCACGTTGCGACTATGTCCGAGACCGCGTCGACCGCCAACGTGCTGCCCAAGTCGAATCCTGATGCTATAAAAACCGAAGAAGACGCGCTTGAGGGGCATGAAAATGGGGGAGACGCGTTGCAAGGAACAATGGATAGTCATGTTGAAACAAATGAGGATACGCCCGCCACCGAGAATCATCATGAGACCAACGGCCATATCCATGACGACGAACGACCGGCAAAGAGACGACGTACACGAGACTCGACACCCCCTCAAAGCACACCAAAAAAGATGAAGCCCGTGTCGCCACCATGGAAGAAGATATCTGCCGACGGCCCAACGTCTTATACCGAGAATGGCCGTCGCAAATCTGGCCGCATCAACACCCTCCTACCAGAACTTAGTCCACCAAGCAAAAACCGAACATCAAGAAGATCTACCGGCGCGAACTCGACTCCCAAGCCCAAGGCTGAAATCCAGTTGACTAATGGCAACTCAAGAAAAATGCCCAACGGCTCTCACAAAGCGAGCCCCGCCACTAAAGCTCCTTCGAAGCAAGCACCCGCATCGACACCAAAATCTGCATCAAAAAAGCCTGCAGAAACCCGAACATCTTCCCGCTCTACCCGTCGACGAAGTCCCTCTCCTCCGCCCCCTCCCAAAAACTCGACCAGATCCCGTCGATCGGCACGATTTAGCGATGCAGTCATCAAAGATGAACCAGAACAAGAATCACGAACCGCACCTTCGAATTTTACCCATCGATCACCTCGGATAAAACTACGAGTCGGACGATCTGGCCATATTCCTCTTGTGCATCCTGATCAGGTTCGTAAAAGGCCAAAGATTGGTACAAACTTTGAGGACTTTTGGACTCGGGCTGGCGATATTCCTGTCGAGGAGGGTGGACTCCAAGCATCTGAAGATGGTCCCCAGTATACTGATGAATTGGCTGAGCGGGATGCTCGTGTGATTCTTCGAGTTGAAAAGGAAGTTGAAGATGGCGGAATGCTCTCCCAGGGTCGATGTTCCATCTTTCTCCCGGAACCACAAGAAGAGCCGCCCAGACAATGGGCTCGTCAGGATCACATGGTGAGAGCTATGGCCAACTTTCGAAAGCTCATGCTAGCGGAACAACAACGTCACCGATTTGCAGCAAAGAAAATAGCTGAAGCCTGTCGTGACGAGTGGCTACGACGTCAACCAAAGTCGGAGGAAGAGATTGAAGCCGAGCAGAGGGCAATTTGGATATCCCGATACCGTGTTGTTGTCAAGACATTGTTCGGCACATGGGAGAATGTTCGTAACGAAGTCAATCGTCGAAGATTGGCCGAGTGGGAGCAAGAGGAGCAGAAGAGAGTCAAGGCAGCATTGAACGAAGCCGTCAACCTCTCGGAGCAAAAACTACAAGCTCGTCAGGCAGGACTAGATTCTGAACAGCTTTCAGAAGAGGAAGATGGATTCGATAATCTCAGCGACGACATGAGTATGATCGACGACGACGACGAACTTGGACTCGCATCGGGCGAGGATGAAGATAACGAGGACGATGCCAATAGTGATATAATGTCATCAGATGAGGAGGAAGGTGACGATGAGGATGACCAGAAGGATATTGGTGACGAAAACTTGACGCAAGAACAGCTACGAGCGAAATACGCCCATATACCAGAGCTTGAGAAGTCAACCGAAGAGACCCCAGCCACCGAACCCACCCCCGAAGATACTGATGCTGTCGATACGGCTCAGGCAACTGCCACCGAGAATGCCGAGACGAGCGACGAATCTGTAGATATGGATGACGATATGGGGTCCACCGATATGGACAGTGGTGAGGAGGAGGAAGAGTCAGAAGAGGAGTCCGACGAAGATGCCGGTGGTCTGTTGGGACTTCTTTTCGGAAAGTCTGAATTGAAAAAGATGAACAGTGAGGCTGTTGCGGACACTACTACAGTCGACACAAAGGAAGATTCCGAGATGGCCGATGTGGAAGCAGTATCAGATGTCGATGGTGAAGGTGCCGAGGAAGACGAAATGTCTTTGATCCAGATGCCCGAACCAGAGCCTAATCATGAAACGGGAGCAGGATTAGAAAAGTCGACGAAAGAGGCAAACGACGAGGAAAATGAACAGATACCAGAAACCACCCAGGATTCCGCACCTGATCTGGCGGGACAGCATGGCTCATCAAACACGGACAAAAATCCCCAAGAGCCTGCCGCCCACGATAACGAAGTTGTCATGACTGGCACTGACCCCGAGGAACCATCTCTGGCACTGACAGAAAAACCTCATAGCCCAGCGACTGAACCAGCCACCAATCCACCTAGTCGCACACATAGCACATCACCACCCGCCACATCAGAAACCAAGCCTTCTGAGCTTGACACTGCATCTTCTGGGGAGATGGCTATCGACAAGCATGACGCAAGTCGATCTCCTTCACCCCAACCGTCCAACCACAAAATCGAGGTACCTTTCCTTCTTAGAGGAACCTTGCGAGAGTACCAACGCGACGGTCTTGACTGGTTGGCAGGTCTCTACGCCAATAGCACCAACGGTATCCTTGCTGATGAAATGGGTCTGGGCAAGACGATCCAAACCATTGCTCTTCTAGCCCATCTGGCATGCAGTCATGAAGTTTGGGGACCGCATCTCGTGGTCGTCCCCACCAGTGTCATGCTGAATTGGGAAATGGAGTTCAAGAAATGGTGTCCTGGCTTCAAGATCTTAGCATACTACGGCTCCCAAGAGGAACGAAAACGAAAACGACAAGGCTGGAACAATGATGACATATGGAATGTCTGCATTACTTCGTATCAGCTTGTTCTCCAGGACCAACAAGTGTTCAAACGTCGACGCTGGCATTACATGATTCTGGATGAAGCTCACAACATTAAGAATTTTAAATCCCAAAGATGGCAGACTCTTTTGGGTTTCAACACGCAAGCCAGGCTTCTACTGACTGGTACACCTCTTCAGAATAATCTCACAGAGCTTTGGTCACTACTCTTCTTTCTCATGCCTGCTGAGAATGGTGTTGGAGGGTTTGCCGATTTGCAAGAGTTCCACGATTGGTTTGCCAAACCAGAATCGCAGATTTTGGAGAGTGGAAGAGAACAGATGGACGATGAAGCGAGAGCCATCATCTCAAAACTCCACAAGGTCCTGCGACCTTATTTGTTGCGACGTCTAAAGGCAGATGTCGAGAAACAGATGCCCGCCAAATATGAGCATGTCGAATTTTGTCGTCTGTCGAAGCGACAACGCGAGCTCTACGATGGATTCCTATCTCGATCAGACACCAAGGAAACGTTGAACTCTGGGAATTACCTGTCCATCATCAATTGCCTGATGCAACTCCGAAAGGTCTGCAATCATCCTGATCTCTTCGTTGATCGACCCATCATGACTTCCTTCCGTATGCAAAAGTCTGTCGTCTCAGATTTTGAAGTGACGGAGCACAGGGTACAAAGGCTGCTTCATGACCCCAGTCCAATGAAAGGTGTTAGCTTGGGATTCCTCAATCTGATGCCTACGCAATGCGAAAGCCTTTCCACTACGCAAGCTGAACGCATCTCTCAATTGAGCTCACATAGGATATTGATGGATCTGAAGGAGGCTCAAAAGGTTCGGGCCCAGAGTGCACATGCCAATTTGGATCCTTCTACAGTCGCATCAAATATTGGATACTTGGAAAGTGGTGCCAGATGGGGACGATACGAAGAGCTTCAACATTGCGTCTACCTCAATGCTTTGCGCCGTCAGAAGAAGCCAATTTATGGCAAGAACTTGATTGAGTTATTGACTATTGGTACTGACAAGCGACCCTACAAGCCGCGGCCAAAAATCCCTCGTCAAGTCATGGCTTGGTTTGAAGAGGAATCGACGCTCATCCAATCCATGATACCTACGGTGAACCAACGCGCCGACAGCTTCAAAACCACCATTGAGAAGTTCTCATGTGTTACCCCAGCAGTTGTGACCAGAGACATGGAGCAATTCGTACTCGGCCGCAAGGGTATAGAAGCTTTCACAGACGAAGACCTCAAACTATCGGCGCCTGTCCGCTGGGCACCATTTTTACCAAAAGAAGCACCCCCAGACCCTTGGCATGAGGGCCGCATGCGACTCAGTATTCAATTCCCCGACAAACGACTGTTGCAATACGACTGTGGAAAGCTTCAGATCTTGGACAAATTGTTGCGAAAGCTCCAAGCTGGTGGTCATCGTGCTCTCATTTTCACACAAATGACCAAGGTTCTAGACATTTTGGAGCAGTTTTTGAACATCCACGGCCACAAGTACCTCCGTTTAGATGGTGCCACCAAGGTAGAGCAACGTCAAATCCTCACCGACCGATTCAACAACGACCCGCGAATTCTTTGTTTCATTCTGTCGACGCGATCGGGTGGTCTTGGTATCAATCTCACAGGTGCCGATACCGTCATCTTTTACGATCAAGACTGGAACCCTGCAATGGATAAGCAATGTCAGGATCGATGTCATCGTATTGGACAAACGCGCGATGTACACATTTATCGATTGGTCAGCGAACACACAATCGAGGCCAACATTCTTCGCAAAGCGTCGCAAAAGCAAATGCTCGATGACGTGGTCATTCAAGAGGGAGAGTTTACAACGGATTACTTCAACAAGATTTCTGTTCGAGATGTCCTCAGCGAGAAACTAGACTCAAAGAGTGAAGGATTGGATGCCGCAGACGCTGCCTTGGACAGAGTGCTAGGCGGGCCCGATACCAGTAATGATCAGCGAAGAGTTGGCCGGGCCCTCGAGCAAGCAGAAGACAGAGAGGATGTGGCAGCTGCACGTGTCGCAGAGAAAGAGATCCAGGCTGACGATGCCGATTTTACTGAGAAACCTAGCAACCATGCTTCTGGTACCTCGACAGCGCGACAAGGAACACCGGCTGGCAAGTCAGTTTTGGATGGCGGGCTCGACGATATTGACACACCCCAAGTGGAAGAAGTTTTGGATTACAACGCTTGGGGCGACAAGATGCATACTATTGACGACTATATGCTCGGTACTATGGCTGAGCAACTTAAGGATACGAAGCTCGAGCTACCGAAGGACAAGAAGAAGGGAAAGAAGAAGGGCAAAGACACACGCAAACGATAAGCACATAATAGCCACCCTCATGGCGAAACACAATATTCTGTATACTAGTAACATTCGCATTATTGAGGCGAAACAAAAAGGCGCGCGGTCATGACAAATACGGCGGGTGTAGATTGGGAGTGTACAGGATTAAAACACAAAAGGCTGGTGTATGGCAAACAGTAAAACGGTGGTAGATGAGGTTTTTAAACGCATGCATGGAGTTTTGGAGGGAAGATTGTGTTTTTGAGGGTTATACTAGACTTGTAAGAAGAATTGATGAGATGGAGTATTACTGTCTATTAATGTTCATTTTGAGCCTCTATGGTGATATTGGTGTTGGTGGAGGAAATTTGGCTTCGCCCCGCACAGCCCCATTGATGCTGTCGATCAGGCAAAGAGGTGTCAGCCAAGACAAAAGATAAATACGTATTGTCCGCAAATATTAACAATTTCTACCAAACATCTTTCTACTAACCAAGTCCAAAATGTCCAACTCCAAAGCACCAGAATTATCCCCGCCCTCTTCTGATCTACCACCGTCATTTGAAGAGTCCATATCCGCTGACCCCCCGATATTCAAGACGCAGTTTGCCTGCATCACAATCAATAAGCACGACCGTATTCGTCTTATGAATTTTACCCAAGTAGAGGTTCAAGCGGTCAAACAAGTAGTCAAGACTCGCTGGAAGCCGGGCCTAGCTCAAACGCGTCCGTACGGTGAATCTACCGAGATTTGGGTGCGTGGTAGACCGTGGGCATATGATTCCAATGGGAACGATGATGCAAGACGACTCATATTGTGGATACTCGAGACCTTGTTTGACCTTGGGTGGGTTGTACAGTGTTCATTGGATATCACCAGGAAGTCTGAAAGTAAAGGTGAGTGAGGACGGATATTGATATCAAGGGCTCTGACTTACTTGACCAGATTCCCTCATATTTCGAAAGCAAGATCCCGTTCCACCACCATGTGACTGGATTTGCGTCTCCTTCGACAACAGCGACAAGTTAAAGATCGTCGATTCACCACCGAAAGATCTGACAGACGCCATCCTGAAAACCTTTGGTCGCGACGTGCGAAGACGTGAGATCACACCAGAGAGGTTCAAGATTCATATAGGTATTCAACCGTGGGAGCCATCAGGGACGGACACTGTTACTACGAGACTACTGTTACTCAAGCTGGTTGAAACACTTGAGAGATGCGGGTTTACGGTTTATGCCACGATTGGAAGTAAAGGAGAGAATGAGGAGGGTGCAGCAGATTTGTTGGTTTGTCAGAGGGCGAAAGATTGGGTTCCTGGGGCGCCTATCTGGCATAGATAGTCGTTGTTTAATGATTTGAGGACATACATGTTATTGTGCAGCGGTCTTAGGAGAGATGTGATGTTCTCGGCAATACCCCAGTACAACAGTAAGTAAAGATAATAATAATCAAGGTTTTACAGCAACAGGGCCCAACTTGGACATGTTTGATTGTGAGAGGTGTCAATTTCAGGGGTGCTTGCAAGTCTAGACTATCGTCTGTATACATGCTTCTGCTCTCTGTCCCAAGTCCCCGATCCTTCAGGGATCCGTGATATCAACGACTGTATAGGTTAAAACCAAGGGGTCTTCCCAAGGTCTATTTTCAAGGTATGTGATGCCCTTGATTAGACGCTCAGTTGAAAAGAAACGCCCGTCTTAAGTTCATTCCACTTGACAAGGAAGAGACCCTTTACGTTTCCGTTCCGAAGAAGTCCACAGTCATGCCTGTGCTCATACATATTCCAACGCCGAGCTTGACAGTCCTATAGATGTCAGATATATAGAGACCATAAAATCTGGGTTTCTTACCTGGTTGCAGTACCAGAAGAACCCGCATCTGGAGCACTTCTTCAGAAAGGCCAACTCCTTCTCACATCCGTGACATTTTCTAGTCTGATTGTGGACGACCGAGTATTCCTGCACTTTGTCATTCAAGTGCAACAAGTCCTTGAAATATGTTGGCAGAATCTGTTCAATCAAGTTAGTATATTACGGCTTATTGGAGATACCACTTACTCGTAGCTGTCCTGGATCCCCATGAATAACTCCCATAGCTCTGTCCATGGGGATATGTTGTGCAGCGTAGAGCATTACAACTGTACGGCCTACTCCAGGCTTGGAATCATCAATCTCTCGTCCTCTGATTCTAGTGTTGTAAGCAACGGGACGCATGGAAGCACCAATGTCTTGACCTCTGTTTTCAGCGGATGACAAATAGCAAAGACGACAGTAACAGTCAAAGTTGAAAGCGTCCTTGAGCTTCTTTTGACGCTGTTCGTAGGCCAACAAAGGTTCACCCAAGTAGGTGATAATAATTTCTTATCCCTGTTCAATTATCAGTAGCATAGACGTCGATCGTCTTTAGATTCTCATTCCACTGAGTCTGTGCATTGGCTTGCAAGAGTGGTTGAGACGCGAGGTGGTTCGGAATACAGCACCATTTTTGGCGTCAGGACCGGGACAAAGGCCATTGGTTTCGGTGATGCCTACTTCTGGCCCAAGGTCAGGGTGCGAGTTGAGGAGAGAGTAGAACGACTTTCTCTAAGCTTCGGAGAGTTTGGCGAGCTAACCGATGATGATTTGATGCAAGGCTTCGTGGGAAGGACCATCACGAGGGACTTCGGTCAGAGGGGATTCAGTCAGGATGAAAACTTCTTTAGGAATTCTGGTGGCAGCGACGAGCCCTTTGCCCTTTAGGGGGACGTCCTGGACGGTGAAGATTTCTTCGTCTAGCATGATGAGACTGATAATCTCAGATGAGACTCAAAATCTCGAATGATACTATAAGAGAGTTGAATCACGGATGTGAGAAGAAGAAGGAAATTCTCATGAAAGGAGAGGGGCTGTTGCTCGAAGGCTAGCGCAGGCAAACAGAGGGCACCTGCATCACACTGTCACACAGCTGTTTGCCGAGACGAGTAGAAATAAAGAGAATAGCCATATTGCTAAGTAGACAAGATTCGTTTGTAGACTATGCTAAATTAGCTTACGGATTTCGTCCTGACCTTTAGTGTCCGCTCTGATACTAATCCCTAGGAGTGGTGTTGTTTGCCAGAATGTCACGACAGGCGGATGATACGAGAAGGACAAGCAATCTGCCTTGAATAAAAACACTATGTTTGTAGACTGGCATCGGCTAACCTATTGCTTACATCTTTTGTTCCAAGTGTCCACGTTGTCGAAACTCGCTCAGCAGATAACCTATACGGATGAGAAAACAGTCGCCACTTCATTCTTGGAGTAATGGAGACGAGGCAAAAAGAGTGTTTTAGTTTTCGTATTACAGGGTATATGTGTTCTAATAAAATCTATCATGATTGGAGGACATCTAAGAACATAGTAGCAGAACACTTTGCTAGTTGAGTAGGAGAAACCACGAACGGTCCAAGAAATCGTTTACTAAGGAAATAATATCTACTTCTGTAACGGGATACGACATTGTTTTCAACATTCGTTTGTTATTAGAGTTATTCAAAGTGAGTACTCCTTGCAAGCCTGCTTTGCTAACCTTGAATCCCCTCAACCGAATGTAGCCTATTTCCCCGTGTCGATCATGTTGCATTTGCCTCCTCGTAGCGAAGTTTCACCGCAAACCTTACTGATGATTTCACAACAAGAGTGTGACAAGCCATGTTTGATTATTTTCTCCTAGATTAAACACTCGAGACCTCTCTCCGCGCGAAGGGAAATCTTGGAGAACAAGTATAGGGGAGATATTCATTCTTTGAAAAATATAGTGTCGATTGTAATCTCCGAGGTTGTTTGCTTTGTCTAAAACAGCATTGATATATCTAACATCAGCCCTTTTGTGTTGCACGTGAACCTGGTTACGCTATGAACCTCGCTTCGCATTCTGTAAATCCTATACTAAGAGAATTATAAAAGTTGTGGATTCTCGCACAAAAGGGAGATTGTGGTAGCGAAAAAAGCAATACAGCCGATTGGTCTACCAAGAGTCATGGTAGTCTTCCCGTCGTCCCGTTTCATGGGCCTTGTCAGTGTTGCAGTTACATCGGTATATCCCCGTCCGAGTCAGAGACAAGGGACGGCAGTTACGATTTGCTACCCAAGTGTGCATTGAGTCAAGAAACAAAAGGAGATGTTGACGCAGGGGATAAGGCTATTATATGGGAAATACTACATCGATACTCTATAAATGATAGGCATAATGATGAGGAGGATCATCCCGGTAGGATCAACAATAGTTTCGGATGTTTTTCTTTAACGGGAGTTAACCAGGTTTGAACTAGAACGTTCATAGTTGACTAGAATATTCCGAATCCAAAGAATTCCTTTTTCTTGGTTTAGTAGACTCATTCTGTATTGTTGTCTTACCTACCATCGGACCGAGAACTAACATTAGATCTTGAATAAAAGAAAAGAAGTTGGAGAATAACAATATAGAGTATTGAAGCCCCAATAAACGAACCACAAATAGGGCATTGAGTTCGTAGCAACCCAAGCGCCTTCTCCGACGTCTCGCGTACATCATAAATCCCAAACACGATAGTGGATATGATGGAGCAATATTCCCTGGGATCTTTTCTCGTTACTGTTAGGCCCTGTCAGATGCCGTCTCCCCGACAGAGTATAATCTCAATCAGGTTCCACCGACTAATCTCTCGTCTCCAGTTCTTTCAAACTCTATTCTCCTAGACTACATATACACGACAGACAACAACCGTAAAATCCCTTGGATCCCAGTTTATAGCCTACATGCTAAACTACAACTAGCAGTTCTAGAACAGTGATCGACTGTTGAAGTAAAAATCTGGTTGGTTCGCAGAGATCTACAAGGGATCCTTGGAAAATGACTCGTAGCGGCTGGAAGCGGGTTTCATCAGTTCTTTTTTAGGTGCCGACCAACGCGCAGATTAAATCATCGAATCCCTGTCTCGGTATAGCCGGCTTGGTTTTGACAGGGGAAGGGGAAAAGCTTGGTTTGGTCTAGGCAATGAACTGCCGAGACAGCTGAGTTGGCGTTATATTCACACAGGCAATGCACTATACTAGGACGGCAATCAAGTTTGGCTGTACATAGTCAATATGATATAACCCAACCCAATTCACGAACCAACATAGTCCATTCCATTCATCCCCTGGTACCGGATCCTTCCCATCCGTAGTTCCTGCAGGCTTCATATCCTTGATACTCTTGGGTAAAAAGTTACAGTGTTGTTCGTCAAACCCCCAGCTAGCGCAAGGGGTACTTTGATCAGCCAACGAGCCAGTCGGGGAACTTTTACTGGTTAGTAGTCCACAAAGGGATCGGCATTGAAGAAGTCTACTGTAACCCAAGCCAAGATCCATGGATGCACAGCTCAAACGAATCAAGAGCCCAAGGTAAGGCTGTCGTGTGTAGTCTGTACTGTACGTAATTACAATATTGTGTAGGATCACTGCAACGAGATGACTCGCATTCTAGGGAGTTCGGTGACATCCCATCCCAGCATCCCAAGACTGTACATAGAGCAGTAGCCCGACAGCCAGTGTTAGATCTGTCTACTACCGACATGACAACCCAACCTTTTATCCATCATTTGAGCAGCCACATTTTTAACTTTGTAATCCCTACTATTATCACCCGTTGTGGAGGCATTCGCTTGTGACCCAGCTTACAACTCTGACCAGCCTTGGTTTGATGCCGATCTCTTTTGTGTTGTCGTATATCACTCAGAGGATACCCAAGGAACGACAATTTTCGCTAATCTATTTGACGCGCGCCTCTTTTCATTTATTTTCTTTTTGTTTAATCTCGTGTCTTGACATCTTTACCGTCCAACATTGATTCACATCTGTAGACTGTCAGGTCTCTTCAACATGGAAACGACTCCAAAAGAGTCGAGACAACTCGATTTGTGGACGTCGGAATTCATTACTTTCGGCGCCGCCACCATCTTTATTGGACTGCGCCTATTGAGTCGACGGCTGACGAGGATTGAATTCTGGTGGGATGATTGGTTTGCATTGTGCTGCTATGTACGACAATCTTTTTAACTCTTTTTGTTCTTTTTACTGACTTTTACAGGCTGTAGCTATTGCTTGGGTAGTCATCATCCCTATTTGTATGTCCTACTCACCCCTAAGAACGGCGACTTGCATCTGACATCTTCAATAGGGATCCAAGAAGGCCTCGGTCTTCATATCAACGACGTCGATAATGGCAGGACGAAACCCGAAATCTTGATGAAAAATGCTCTCATCCTCTACATCGCCGAACTGTTTTATGCGACCGCCCTGTTCTGCGCCAAAGCATCGATCCTGAGTTTCTACTGGCGCATGTTCCGAGTTACCAATATCAAGCTACCGATTCAAATCCTGGCATGTTCTGCTCTGATCTGGATCATCATTAGAGTGAGTATACGTCGAGACAATACAAGGCAAAGACTAATAGGGGCAGACCTTTATGGGAATTTGGCATTGCGTACCTATCGATCGATTCTGGAACCCGACTGCTGGAGGTGATCAAGGATACTGCGCTATTGAAGATAAGAAGTTCTTTTTTGGAACTATTCTCGTTCACGTTATTCTTGATGTTTGCATTATTGCACTTCCCATCTTACAAGTTCGAAAGTTGCAGCTGCCTATTGCGCAAAAGATTGGTATCTCGCTGATGTTTGTCTTTGGTATTGTGTAAGTTTTCAGTTCCTATGGCTTGCAGCGCATCTAACAGTAGCAGTATCTGCATATCAGCCATGGTCATTATCGTCGCTTCAACCCAATTCGATGCCCAATCCGAGAACCTCACCTGGAACTTGACCACCATCGTCGTCTGGGCCTCGGTCGAAGTAAATCTTGTCACTGTATCTAGTAAGTATCCAAGGCGCTTACTGATCGTAACCATGCTAACCATCACAGCCTGTCTTCCTACCGTCCGACCAGCCTGTGTCTACATCTTCACATGCACCAACCCCAGGTCCACCATCAACTCTAGCGCCAACAGTTACGGACACTCGTACGGTCGAAGCCACGGTCGCAGCCAAACCAAGAACACGATTCGCCTTTCAACGATGCCAAACAACAAGGATAACGACGAGTCGAGCTCGACACATCAACTCGCCGATTCCGACCGGGAGCGCCAGTCATCAGACTTTGAGAGTCATGCTATGGATCGATACCGAGGAAACGTGGCTACTGTTACCGGACCTGCACATGGACGAAACCAATCCGAGGAGTTCGAGGCTGGAACACCTTTCGGGGGAATTATGGTCAAGAATGAGACCACTGTGATGGTTTCGAATGCCCGGTCGAGATAATTATGTTGGTTATGATGACAGTTTTAGGATATATAGTGTAATATGAGGCAACAAGGCTTTATTTTCTTTCGTTATAATCTTTTCTATTTGTGATACATGCTTAGGTTGTTACACTCTAGTCATTATCACTCCTCAGAACTCCGTATGTCGATACAGATTGTCTTTTTAGTTTTGAAGTCGTGTAAAGAAATACCCCTTCGAGGTTAGCTTACCTAAGATGCCTACCTGACTCTTCTTTGTTTTGAATAATGTGATCAGTCACGGCCAGACTTCAGCCTATTAACCTGTCACTTTGTGACGCCACATCTTCTTTTGTTACAAATCTGCCGTAGAAGAAGGTACCCATGCAAGTTCTTACGGTGCATATTTACAAGGATCGGAGAAAAACGAAAAGTTAGATATAGTGAGTGTAAGACCTTAATAGGGGCATCCTAGTACTTGAGCAAAACATACTATCTTTGGATCTGTACAACACGGGGGAACGAAGTATCGCCGCGACGGAAAAGTATGGTTCTGATTTGAAAATTAAATCCGCAAAATGGAGATGTCCTGGGGTACTTATCTACTGATAACAACGTTTTGGGGTCGGGATACTTTTATATATCAATCCAACTCTGTATACCATTAACAAGGAGTGGTCGAGTGGTATCCGTCCTAAAACCTATAAACCTACAAACCTTCTCTAAAACCCGAACCTAAAAACCCTTTCACCCACTCGGCCCTCCTTGTTTTTTGTAATTTATGGGTTCGAAACCTGATATTTTTGCTCGTTTCGCCGAACCTTTGAGGGTCGTCTCACTTCTGCAGTGGACGACCAGCCAAACACGCTTTTGTTTATGGAAGACTTTCACCCACCAAATATTCTTATCGAGAAAAATCTGAGCATTGGCTTGATATATCGGGAGTGCACTTATGTTACATCTTCTCAGGCAGAGAGAGAAAGAGGCCATGGAAGACCTGGTCACGGTCAAAATGGAAGAGGGAGAGCACAAGTTCGGGAAGTGGGATGCACATGAAGCGAGACACATTTAGCGTGCTTCTGGAGTTAAAGTAATGGCTTCGTTATAATCCTATACTCTAGAGTCCTCTTATCTTATCGACCATATAGTACTTCCGATAGTTGTCGGGAGCTATCAAGAGGTTGCTCGATTTAGGGCTGATGTCGAGTAGGCAATAAAATCAAAAATTGTTGTATTAAGGGCTAGATTAACCGATTGATTACCCCTCTTTCTTTGGATGTTATTCAGAGGCGGTTGAGTTGTCAGAAATGGTATGCGGCTGTCTATCTATCAATACCCGGCGTCGTCACATGAAGCTCAAGTTGGTATAGGAATGGTTACATCATTTTAAGAAAACAAAAACACGACTACCTGGACCCTGTCGATCTAGGCTTGCAAACGAATCTTGTTGGAATGTCTTTAGCTATGGATCTCTCGCTTCCACCCCAATCCGGTCTAACATTCCAGACCACTCACCCGGTTTCGGCAACTCAACAAGCAATTAGCTGGAAGTAATCAGGTTCAATGACCTTCTTTTAATTTCGTGCGATCCTAGCATCATTTGGTTAATTGAGGCGCTCTCTTCTTGCGCCAACGTCAGTGGGAGCGGGAGTATAGATAAGCTGACCCTCCAAGCTGTCTTGACACCGTATTTACGTCCATTTAGTTGATCTACATGTAGAATTGCTGAGGAATTCTTCTCCCAACATACATCTATTACAGCCATCATGAAAGTCGTCATCGCAGGTTCAACAGGATTCGTCGGCCAAGAAGTCGTTCGACAAGCTCTTTACCATCCTCTAATCACAAAAGTCGTCACTCTCTCAAGGCGCGACCACGAGCTCTCAGAAGATCTACGAAGACCAGAATTTGAAGAGAAATTTACGTCTGTCAGCTGTTCCGACTTTAAGAGCTATCCCCAATACGTCAAGGATGAGATCTCTGGCGCAGACGCTTGCATATGGTATGTACCACTGCGTCCGTCACACTACGTGATGGCTGACCGAGAGCAGGCTTATTGGAGTAACACCGGCCAAATTGAAGCAGTATACTTGGGAACAAGTTCGAATGATCTGCTACGAATACGCACTCTATGCAGCCGATACTTTTGCTAAGCTCCCTCGCGAGGGAAAACCAGAACCTTTGAGGTTTATCTACGTGAGCGGCTCCAACGCTGAGCGAGACCCAGCAAAGAAACCGTGGATTCTTGGAGATTATTGTCTACTACGGGTATGTCTCTCAACTTCCAAAAATTGACTACAACTAACATATTCCAGGGCCAAGTAGAAAAGCAAATTCTCGAGCGCGCGCATCTATCAGATGGAAGAATGCAGGTCCTCGTCACAAAATCTGGAATGATTACAGACCCAGACATGGGATTTGTGAAGCAGGCTTTTCGCTTCTTCTCGCATGCCATCGTCAGTGTTCCTAGTATTGGAAGGGCTGAGATGACGGCTGCATTGTTGAATCAAGCTGTCAATGGCCTCACCAAGGAGACTTTGTTGAACGCAGACATGGCTGAGATTGGAAAGAAGGAATTGATTAAGATGGAGAAGAACCATAATTGATGTTATTATTTTAGATACCAGAATTGTTTGTCAATAGATAGAGTCAACACAGTAATTGAAGCTATCGCCACTTTGACATGTCTCTTTAATTCATAAATCAATATGATCAAATTCACTAAACTCACTTTGTTGAAAGTGTTTGTCCTGGGCGGAGTGAAAGCTCCTCATGGCGTTATCAAGTCACAAGGTTGAATCAATATGACGATGAGATGTGGTAAAGGACAGGACAACCCCCAACTGACATCATCCACTAAGCCTTGGCTATCCAACGCCAAGTTCCCAACCGAATTTCTGTTCCATCACAATTATCCTCTATTGAATAATTCAACATTCAAATTATGGAGGACATTGTGGACGAAAAGAGACAGATAGCTGTCAACCTGGGCAAAAACGAGGATGGAAAATCAACAATTTATACCCGTGTGCACAACGACGCAGTCTCATCAAACAAAGAAACACACGATGTACAGACCATGGCCGTTGGATCTTTGGAGGTCACAGATGCTGGTTGGCATACTGATCAAATTCATCCAAAGGACTATGCCATTAATGGTGTAAAGAATGAGGATGCTTGGCTTCTCATACGAAGATTTAACAAAGTAAGGAAAACATCATACCTGGGATCATTGGCTAATAATATTGCAGCGAGTGTTCCATCTCAAGCACACTCCCAACCATCCAGAGGGCGAGATGGATTTTGAAGTTGCAGAACAAGAGCAGTTCTCACCAAATAAGCTTCGAGCCCAACTCGAAAGACTCTACATGGGAGCGGTAAGTCGCCCTAGTCCTGCTTGTACTCTATATCTGATGATTATAGATCCTCAGTTTCATCATATCTAGACAGCATCTCTCACGACTTCAATCCTGGCGTGAGCCAAGACGAACAGCGGCCTTTTGCGTTGTAAGTAATTTAGCCTGTAATGCGAACTTTGCTAAGAATAAAGACATACTTTACTGCATGGTATCTCAACCTCCTCATGCCGATATTCCTAGCAACACTACTGGCAACTCTCCTCTCCCCAAAAGTTCGAAATACCTTGTTTCCACCCTGTCCGCCATCTTTGGTCCACTATCAAGGCGGCCATTTGATAAAACCACCCGCAGGAATGCTAGGTACCATTGACACCGCCACGGGAGCTCCGGAGAATTTAAAAGGAGAAACACTCGAACGAGAAGCCAGCAACTTTGCAACTGGACTTGTGGCACTGTCTGTCAACATCTTTGTCGATAAAGATCCACAGCATGATGAATCTCAAAGAGGAGGTGGAATGACCGAAAACCTAAAGGATCCTCGATCAATGGCTACCAGGATAACTACAGCGAAAGACAAAGCTGCTGGAGTCGTAAATCCTTCATGGGATAAGACTAGATCACCTATGCAAGAGCTGATGTGGAGTCAAATGAGGCCACTCATGCATTGGATTTGTCGGTTTTGTGATATTTGGGAACGCAGTGCCAAGTGAGTTTCATCCCTTGGCCTTAAAGAAAGACGCGGCTAATTTGGGCTTACAGTTTAATCGATCCCACTGCCCCTTTTCCTCGAAATGTTGCTCGACGACGAATCATCCGGACGATTCTTCCCATTTTTATATTATCCATATTTGTGTCTCCATACATGTTCTACAGAATTGCGACTCTGGGCTTTGGTATTGCATTCTTTGGTAGTATCTCTCTGAGAACCTCGTACAACGGCTTCAAATCTGCGATGAACCAGTAAGACTCTTCGACACCCCGAACTAAATATTGCTTACACTTTTAGAATCGCTTTCAAAGGGATACCAACAGACTCCCAACTAACAATAAACCTTCTTCGACAAGGAGAACACAACAAAACACCACTCTTACCGCCACCCGTGCCCAAAGGCCCACCGCCAGGTGAACCGCACTCAATAGATGACAACGTCATAGGCGCAACAGGGGACGACAGCCCACTGGGTGTGAACCGACAAGAAATTCACGCTGCGACAGAACAAGACTTCGGAACTATCAAAGATACTGGCGGTGATGATCATGAGTCTTGCAAGTCTGGAAGTGGCGGCAAGAAACGCAGCAAACTTCTCGGTATCGTCAAACCGATTGCTCAAGCAGCTACAAAGACACTTATAGGCGTCGACAAAGTGCGTGCCAAAACGGGGTCCGAGACAGCCAAGAACCGTCTTGGAGCTACATCACCAAGAGAAGAGCCTCCCATTGCAGGGCCAGTGGAATTTACATGTCGATGGCGCGGCGAGAGAGGATTCGCATATCTCACCACCGACACTGCAGCACCAGCTTTGTGCTTTTCCAAGAAGTCTTCTGTGGGCTATTTGGATAGCCCACAGTATCAAGAGGTGCAGCCAGAGTGGATTATACCAGTTGCAGATATTGTGACATTGAATAAATATTCTGGCTACGGAGCAAAGGCGAAACTCCTTGCTGGATGGGCCTTGGAGGATGATATTGTTGATGGAGTCGAGATTGTCGATGACAAGGGAAATGCTGTTCTTGTCACTGCTATGGTTAGGAGGGACGAGTTGTTTAATAGGCTTTGTGCTATCGGGGACCAGAAGTGGGAGATATGGTAGGGAATCTGATGTCAGTATTATTGAATTCTATGGATTACATCTGAACTGCACGGATCTTCGTTTCGAACAGCCATTTGGACACCACTGTAGTGCCTCTCTGCCTCATTGTCCATGATGCTCAATGACGTCGCTCTCTCACCCGACCCTATCCTCGCAACTGGTGATCTACATCTTCACCAATACCGAACTCCCTGTCAACAATCACCAATTCCGATTTCCGGTATGGTGTAGTGGCTAACATTTCGCGCTCTCATAATCTGAGAGATCAGTACCGCGGAGCCCAGGGTTCGATTCCCTGTACCGGAGTTTCTTTTTGCGCATTGTCTCTTGACCTGGATCGTTCGTGTCTTGCATTTTTTGTTTGTAAATGGTTGGTTGTGTGAGCCTCAACCAACGCCAATTGTACTGGATAACTGCCTGCTCTTCAATGTGGCTGGCTGGGAATAAAGCCAACACCAATTCTTGACAACCAACCACGTATTGTCATGACGCCAAGGCGCTATCAGATCAAGATTTGCCTTTGATGGCTTGACCAATCTTCTGTTCCTGTCATTAATGCGAGTTTAATTCAGCCTGGCTTCCGGGTTTAAATGGAAAAGGATCATATGCAAGCGGTCGGAATAACCTTTTGATTGATGGCCATTCATTGTCTTGTCAACCACCATTTGTTTAATTGTGGCGTACAGGTTTTGAACCGTTTCGGACGCTTCCGTTTAGTAGCGGGGAGTATTTTTTAGATGTAAACGGAGATGACTGAGTGAGTAAGCCTTGCGGATATTTGCCAAGTCTCGGCGAGAGCGATAGAATGTTGAAGCAGAGGGACGAACAAAAACAATGGCAGGTCAAGACTCGAGAGCGCGCTGTCTTGGAGTAACGTGTGATTGACTCTGGTGTGAGGAGTCCGGGTATGCGGAAGACTCAAGACAGACAGACCCTTGTTATTTTTTTACGTTAGATCGTGAGGCTGAGGATTAGCCTGGAAGTATCCATAAGTGATAATGCATTTCCCCTCTCGAGTTTTCGGTTCAATGTCTCGTCGTTTAGAATGGTGAATAGGTATTTGCTCGGATAACAGAGACGAGGGTCGCATGCATGGATAGGTAGGATAGACGATGGATTATACAGCATGTCGTGATATCTCGAAAAGGAAGGTATTCTGAATAAGGGATTGAGCAGCTTAGATCAGCATCCATCAAGCGGGGAAGAGTTGATAGCGGTCAGTGAGACAAACGACGTTGGATCTGTGGGTAATAGATACGGTGCATGTTGAGCGGGGTATAGACAGACCAGACAAGACCTCATGACTGATCAGCTGAACCAACATCTTGGCAAGGGAGACAAATGAGTTGATCGATCAAGAGACAATTAGAGTGATTGTCTATTCAATGACATCAATACAAGGAAGAAATAATGATCATCAAGATCATCAATTCACTGAAACAATTGATGTGCAGATTATATGGAGAGTGAGATTTCGATTGTCAAGAAGCTCCACTGCATCGTTATCCAGATCTGTCAGACAGAAATGCAGTGTTTGAGAGTGTCTGTACGATAATCGGCTAAAGCGGAGAGAAAAACAGAATCTTTCTTCCCAATGAATACAGCCTCTTGCTTTTCTCGTATGTTGGGTTCGTATGGCTGACCGTTTTAGCGCAGGTGATTTCCATTCCGGTCAAGCCGATTTACCTACCACTTCCACTACACGAAAAGATTTGCAGGGGAGGATAACCGATAATCCCCCCTGTAATTTATCTCGTGATAATCCTGACGTCAGCATCAGGAAACTCTTCTCCGTTGATACCCTTTCTTTTTGTTGTCTGTCTGCAAACTCTCTCTGCAGTGTTGGCTGTCTAGAGTGCATACAGTAAGGCAGAAAAGTCCCTTTGCGCATACAACCCCACCACAGATCTAGTCTAGACCCTTGTATAATGGTCGGTCGGGATTTTGTCTTGTTGGTTACTAAGACTCCAATAGTTTCCAACCACACTACCTTTAGTAGACACTAACAACCGAGTTTAAGTTTGGATATCTATGCCGTGCCGAACCCGTCCACTCACATACACCAAAAACAATGATTCACCTCTTCACCTGTCTAAAAACCCTTGGGACCGTGGGTACCTAGCGAAGATCTAAGCCCGTGACGGGGAATATGGGGTGGTTAGTTGATGGATCAAGCTAAGCCCTTACTGGTTAAAGTGGCTTGCAGACGGGACAACCAGGACAGGGGTGTTGCTTAGTCGACCCAGAATACGAGACCAGACTCTCCCTCTAACCATCAGACCATCGACCATAGACCGAGGCTGTGACAGGGGGAAGGCTGGAAATGGTAATAGCCCCAACTAGACTTGAACCAGCCTCCTCCACTTGCTCAATCTCTTGGGTACAAGTCTCACTATTAAACGTGCATGAGGAACCCTTCTTTTTTCTTTTTGACTCTCTCTATCAATTGAGTATTTAATCATTATATATCCTCACCTCACCCTTCTCCCTCTCTGTTGTCCTCTGTTACACAACATCTCACCCATCTTACATCAACCATGTTCGCCAAAGCCATCACTGCCTTTGCCCTTGTGGCACCTCTTGTCTCAGCACAGACTTTCACAAGCTGCAACCCTCTCACAACTTGTAAGTTTCATAATCTAAACACTCTTGTGCAACCACTTACACCCTCTAGCATGTCCTCCTGACCCTGCTTTTGGCAAGGACACCGTCCACTGTGACTTCACAAAGGGAGCTTGTCCAGCTTTTGAGGAAGACGCCGGTACATCAATCAGTCACAACGCCAACGGTGCCGTCTTTACAATTTCTGGACCCAACCAAGCCCCTACAGTTGCCACGGGCAAGTACATCTTGTTTGGCCGTGTCGATATTGAAGTCCAAGCTTCTTCCGGTGTTGGTATTGTTACCAGCGCTGTTTTGCAATCTGACTGTCTTGATGAGGTATGTCTACCATTAGATTAGAATGAATGTCTACTAACAATACACAGATTGATTGGGAATGGCTAGGAGGTGACAATGTTCAAGTCCAGTCCAACTACTTCAGCAAGGGTGACGTGAGCACCTACGACCGAGGAGCTTTCCACCCTGTCGAAAACCCCATCGGACAGTTCCACGTCTACTCCATTGAGTGGACACCCGCAGCCGTTAACTGGATCATCGACGATGTTGTCGTCCGCACACTCACATACGAGGATGCCAAGGGTGGATCTGCTTACCCCCAAACTCCCATGCAGATCAAGCTCGGCACATGGTGTGCTGGATCTCCCGATGCTGCTGAGGGCAGTAAGTTTTTTCCAACCTGATTCCGTAGAACCAAGGCTAACAATCTTTTCAGCTGTTCTTTGGGCTGGTGGCATGACTGACTTCAGCCAAGCTCCTTTCAAGGCTTACTACAAGAGCATTTCCATCGTTGATTACGCTGGTGGTGATGCTCCCACAACAAAGTCTGTCCGAGAGTACATCTATGGTGACCACTCTGGTAATCATGGTAGCATCAAGACTGCTTAAGATGATAATTTAATGATTTAAGGATAACTAATGATATGTATTAATGAAGAGGAGGAATACCAACAATAATGAGCGTTAGATAGTATATAGACGATAGATAATAATCAAGTCATATCAACACAAACACTGCTGTCCCGAACCAAGCTTTATCTTATCTTTCTCTTCCGCCCACCAACATGATCAGCAACTATATGAACAGCAACAACTCAGCAACCTAGTAGGTAGCAGAAAGAATGGTTTCGTAAGTCTTGGGATATAAAAATTAATAGTCTAAGAACTATACTTTGAGGAGCATAAAGCGATCTACTGATTCTGTCTTTTATGCTTCCATCGGTCGGTATTTCTGATGCCCAGCATCCAAATTCGAAATGATCAGCATTATCAAACCAGACAAAAAGTGTGGTTCTGCCCAGAATTAAACCGGGGACCTCTAGATCACGGAACCGAGCTTCTGATTAGATGAAATTTGACGTCCGTATTTCGTCTCTGATCGTTTTGCCTCGGATAGCTGCGTTTCTTGTACCAGATAGATTTCTATCTGTGAGGACAGCAATCAGTTTGTCCATTTTCCGAAATCTTTAGATACGTATGGCATCTTTTGACAATCTATCCGGTAAGAATCTATGATGTTTTATAGCTGCGTATGTTTTACCAGCCAGTCGCATAAAATAGGGAATAAAGGGAGTTAATCCACAGCCAAGTGGCAGGCACTGGCAAAGACTGGTAGAATGGTAGGCTGCTATTCCGTCGTTAGCACCCAGTAAATTTCTGTTTCCAGCCGTTGTTCATCTCCTCCTTTTTTACCAGTCTTGTTTGTATTCACATTGCCTTATTTTCATTATACAGCTATCTTTGATTCAAAGAACCACGGCATTCGACTGGTGTTTGCGTGTGCCTTAACAAACGCCATAAAATAAGACAATATTTCAATCAAGATCCAGGACCACCAGGACTGAGATCATCCAAGATCTTGTAAAAAAAAAGTCATCATTATATGTCAGTGTCATACCGGATGCTGTGTTATACGTGTCGCTAATTTCAACAACAGTAGCACCGCGAGGAATAGCATACTTCGACATGTCTTCGCCATCTCGAATCAATGATTCCGATTCTGAATCCGTTTCTTCTATTGACAGCTTCGATCCGCCCCCTACTGTCGAGACAAAGACTATCACAAGGGGAGAGGCACTCAGACAAGCCGGAAACCTTTTTTATCGAAATCGGCAACCTGGGCTTGGACCGCGAACCTCTTCGAACCAAAGTCACTGAAGTCTTGACCGAGCCCATTCTTCGTGTCCTGCCCTATGAAACGAAATCTCTCGTTCTAGAATGGAATTTGCACTATGACCTTCAGATGTTGAATCAAATCACCAAATTCATGGACGACGATCTCGAAGAATGGGAATACACTGTCGAAACACCCAATCGACGAAAGGACATGCCATGGTGCGGTATCGGGGCCGACATCCTTCGTTTCTATGTAGCCGATCTCAAGCCCCTTCGGAAGGGACTTCCAGAAGACAAACGTCGAACCATCGTCAACAATGTGCGACACGGTCTTTCTCTCTTTGCAGATTTCCATGATGAAAGGGTCAACGCGGTTGAAAGAGAGGCGCAGGCGGCCATTGCTGGATTTGTTCTCCGGGAAGAGGCGGTCTCTGGCTAGAAGAAAGACATCATGACTTCTCTCCAGGAGATTCAGACCAAGGTGGATGAGGGACCCAAGATGTTTCTTTACATCGAGAGAGAGTGGCATCGAAGTCTGAGCCAGACGGGGATGATTCCGGAAGGTCTTACCCGATGTACTGAACTTCAGTGTACCCCAGACGAGATTTATCGGCTTGCTCAGTTAGAGGAGGCTTTTCGATCCTGACATACTGGCGAGTAGGGGAGTATTTGAGGACTTAAGAACACCCTCGAGATTGTTGTTCAATGAATAATCTAACTTTTCTGTTGTTTTCAAGCAAAGGGGGCTGTTGATCGCCGTGCTCTGATTATTGATTCACTGTAGACTTTCTAGTCTGAAGTGAACCATATTATTTCAGGCCACAAAATCAACATTTCGTTGGACATGAACCGATTAATGGAAAAGGGATATTAAATACACTTGCCTGGATCATAATAAAAATTAAAATAGTGATTCTTCATTCTCAATAATCTAATACACTTGTAGCCATCATGGCCGACACCTCCAGCATGATGTACGATATATCAGACCTTGATTCTCATTATTGACCTTTGAGAATAATTACAAAATTTAGACCCAGGTTGTTTCCTAGGCTACAAGGCTGCCTTGATATTTCGTTTCTTTGTTCACTTGCCGAGCCTAGCTGTCAGTGACAGCAACTGGCAACTTCAGGTGCTGCCCCCACTCATAAACGTAACTTCAGCACCACGCAAGACGAGAAAATCTGCTTCTTCTACTCTTCAAAGTATTATCAACAGCTTCTTCTCTTGTCACACCCACACTCTACATCAAGATGGCCGAGCCCGACCAACAAGCGAAAAACGGGGAAGAGATCGTGCGAAAGATCAACGTTGGGTTAAGCCCTCGAGATTGATCTTAGCGTCTACAGGTGTAGTGCTATCCCCGTCAACAAACTGCCTCCTGGGAAGTCTTATGCGCTCAGCGAGAGCATTGTCACGGAAATCTTTCGTGAAACAGGAATACCAGATGATCTAAATACCGAGTGCAAAGACGCGATGGCAGAGAAGATCATGATGAGGGACCTGCTTCAAATAATGAGGCTCCAAGCCCATCCTAACTGGAAGTCCATCTTCAGTAAGCTCGGCCAAATGAGAGCTCTCCGCGAGTTTACCAGTATGCCCGTCTCTCTATCAGCGCCTGACCTCGCACTTGTCATTGCCGCCGTTGTGTTCCGCAAGATTGAACCCAAGCAAATATGGCCCCTCAAGCACATGAAAGATTTTTTGAATTTTTCGGCGATTTTAATGGTATGCAGTGGCTGCCTATCGCTATCCAAGTCAACAGCCAAACAAAAGGCCACCCCTTCGCCATTGAACTAGACCAGCGAGCGACTGAGCCTCAAGTTCGTCGTGATGTTTTGATAAAAGGTGAGGAATCCATTTTGTGATGTTTCTGTTAACAGTCCTACGACATTGAGAGTAGCTAATGTCCGTTTAGGCAGGATGATTTCAATTGTCGGGGCGAAGAAGCCCCAAACAAATATCTACGAGGCTGCGATGCAAGCAGTCACTCGCCAGACCATGAAGAACGACGCCAGCGCCATCTATTGCCACAACCTCGACATCAAAGACAAACCCCAAAAGTCGATTGAAAATGCTGAGTCTGGTCTTTCAACCTCTTAACAACTTCTCGGGGGGTTTCGAAAGGCTGAATTTGGTTCTGCTCACTTAGAGTCTGTGCCGCCCAACATGAACGAGCAGAGTCTCGACCCCAAATCTTAACACGAAGAGGATCTCGAAACCCAGCCTGATAGTCAACTCAACTCGGATACACTCCGAGACCACGCTCTTCAGATGAAAGAATTCGGGAAGCGCCTGTCCAGCCCCGATCAGAAATTCGTCAGGCGGGTGCAACGAGACATTCGGCGATTCGCCAACCTCGCTGACAAGAAAAAGAATGAGATGGCGCTCGAGCACTCATCAGCGACATCTAGACCTTCATCCTCAAGTGGATTTGGTCCCGATATAGGTAGCAGCAGCATTGACCTTTTCGGCCGCTACAAGATGCTTTGGAAGGGCAGCCTCCGAGAGAATGGCTCTATCCCAGAAAGCCTTCGCGAACTGGTCCGCCACGACTGCGACCCCAGTCAGATCTTCTACCTCGAGGAGGCAGAGTCAGATTTTCTGGCTGCAAATACCTTGAGAAACGATGAAAACGGTCATGCGCGTCAATAGGTATATCCATCGGGGCGAACAATTATGACGGCCTCATGTTACAAGAAAGATTGATCGCCCAAGGCATAAGGGACGAAAAGATTGGGTCACTTCATGAAATCGAGGCCATAATTCTAGGCCATGTAGTTTTGAACCCCAAAAGGGAATGTTCGTTGTCATGAAAATACAAGTGATAACAGGATTCCGAACAACCAATTGCCTTTTAACCACCCCTGAGTAATATTTGCAAATAGCAAGCAACCCAACTCTGTTCTTGGCCCACTAAACTCCAGGTTAACTCCTTTACAGAAAACATGTACCATCCAATTCCATCCTCCGATGTGTCAGATAAAGCCGGTCGGTCAGTGACTACACCGCTTCTGCTGCAGCTCTTCTCTCGGCCATACCCCTGTGAGACCAGGGCTGATTGAAAGGAATCGTCGAAGGATCAATGTTATCATCGTTGTTTCCTTCAAACGCCGCTCGCGCCTCTGCTTCCAATGCTGCACGTCGCTTCTTGTAACCACCTTTCTTCCTGACCTGATAGATGAGAAGCAGAATTACTATTAGGGATATACCAAGAATTAGCCATTTCAACCAGCCATAGCCTGTGACTAGTTTGACACCCTTCTTCAGAGCTCCAGTGGTCTTTGAGTGTTTGCCCTTGGCTTTGTGATGAGCGTATTTGGAAATTGCCTTTCCTCCGTACTTTGTGACTTTTTCCAAGAGATCGCGCGCTTCCCTTGTGGGAGGGGGGTGGATTGGCTCTTTGGTGGGTGGGAGTCGCTTAGCGAATTCTGGGAGGCCACCGGGGATGGGAAGAATCATGTTGGCGGTTGTTGAAGTATTTTGAAGTTCTAGTTGAATGATGATAGCGATTTGACCACTCAGTAGCCTTGAGTGATGAAGGGGGGAAAGAGAAGTTTCAATGGAAAAGGAGAATGCGTTTATGTTTTGTTCCAATTTATAACAAACTTTAACCTTAATACTTGTCACGGCTTCATGTCAATTTAACTTCAGCAATATCATTCTTTCCCAGGTGACCTAGGTTTCTCGGCCAGACTGAACATTGAGTATAATGCATCGTGACAGGTTGATAGAGTTAATCAATAATGTGAAAGGTTATGTAGCCTTGGACTTTGGTTGGCTCAATGACGGGGACAAAGGAACAGATCGATTTGTTGTGTAGCTTTGATACGTATCCAAAGATATATCACCTACAAGGTTCAGCTTGATACACAGATAAGGGCACATGTAGCGTGTGCTCAACAATTTCCATCTCTTATGCGGCCAATAATCAAGACGGTAACCAAAGACGCGTTCTTAGTATTTCATCCGGGTTACCAGACTCCGAAGCTGATTCGTTTACAGCTTTGCTCCCTGTCCTCTTCTCTTCTCTCGCTCCTTATCCCTCAGAAGTCGACGAAGAATCTTGCCACTGGGGCTTTTAGGTATCACATCCAGGAACTCCACACCTCCTTTGAGTTGCTTGTAGGCTGCCTTGTGATCCGCAACATGTTTTTCAACATCACGTTTCACCTCTTCATCCGGCAATGACTCAGCTGATGAACTCTTTACGACAAAGGCTTTGGGGACTTCTCCCGAGCGGTCGTCAGGGATTTGAATAACAGCACAGTCAAAGACGTGGGGGTGTGTCAAAATGTGAGCTTCCAGCTCAGCTGGTGCGACTTGATGACCCTGTGGGTGTTAGTCAAGCCAAATGTGGATTAGAAAATGTTAACTTGCCTTGACCTTGATAAGCTCTTTGATCCTATCCACAATAACGACATGTTCATGGCCAGAGGGAGCCAATGTAACTATCGCCTCATCTCCTGTTCGAATCCATCTACCATCTCGGTGATACACAAAGGTCTCTGATGTTGCTTTCTCATTATTCAAGTAACCCAACACAACCGAAGGTGCTTGAACCAACAGCTCTCCAGGCTGGTTGTGTTCAGTGATCTCTTTGCCTTCTTGATCGATGATTTTGGCTTTTGTTCCAGGTAGAAGGGATCCGGAGCCTTTTGTGTAGACGTCATCTTCACTAGAAGACGTGACAACTGTCGCGGTTTCGGTCATACCTACCAACGTCAGTCTTGATAAATTGGCAACGATGATTAGTCTTACCATAGGCCTGAGCAATGGTCCAATCAGGGTATAAGCTGCTCATATCTCGGATAGTCTCTTCACCTAATGGAGCAGCACCGCAGTAGACAAACTTGACACTGCTTAAATCATATTTGGCGCATATGTCCTTGAAACGAAGAATTTGTATAATAATAGGAGGCACCTGAACGCGTTAGCTGTGATACAAGGGACCACTTCGTCTATACTGACCACTAATAGTTGCCGGATCTCGAAATCCTGAACCGACTGGAGAAAATCTTTGAATTCGAACCGAGGGAGGATAATAACTTGATCGCCTCGCCAAGTGCACGTGTGCGCGGCGATAACGAGACCGTATATGTGAGATAGTGGCAGAAATCCCGTCACAGCTTGCGTCGTGATACCACGCTTTGCTCTAGCAACAGAGTCGTGTGTGACATGTTGCAAAACATTCGAGATTACATTATAATGAGATATCATGACCGCTTTCTGTGAAATCGTTAGCCAGATCACACATAATTAGAAGCAACTTACCGGCAAACCAGAAGTTCCACTAGAGAAGCACAAAAATGCCGTCTGACGAGCACCCTGACCTGGGACCCATTGTAGTTCGTCGACTCGATTAAGCTCAGAACCCTCTCTGACCAAGTCCTCTAGAGAAGCATGTTTAAACTTGGAGACGGCTTCGGCACGGGGAATTTCAAAGAGAAATATGTTTTCTTCTGGTATCCCGGCGTTTTTCGACGCTTCGAGAGCTACCTCGAGCAGCGGTGTACAAGTAAGCAGAGCTTTTGCACCTGAGGCTTTAAGCTGATGCGTCAGCTCGTCGACAGAGTAAGCAGCATTGGCGGGAGTAACGATGCCTGAAAGGCGATGGACACCATAGATAGCGGTGATGTAATCGATCTGAATACGGGTTATCAGTTGGTACTTCTCTGGTGGACTTCGAAATGCTTACTGTATTCAGAGAGAAGATGGCGAGAACTTTATCCCAAGGCGTCCCCTCATTTGGTTGCCATTGTAATCGTTTGGCTAACGCTCTAGCTACAAATTCGGATCGCTCAAAGAGCTGAGGCGCAGAGTATGACCGTCTTGTTATGCCACAAGTAAATGGATGTCTGCTTTTTGCGATAGGTAGACGGCCGTATTTCTCGTTCTTCATGAACTGAGCTATGGGGATGGAGTCGGGAGGATCTTTCTGTGTCAGCAAGTAGGCGCCGCTTAAGAGGGGATTCTTACCTATTGGGAGCTTGGGAACCCAGCTTGGAGATGTGAAGACCATCTTGATAAGTATAATAGTATGTTAACAGCGTGAATCGTTCGGAAACTTATGATATGGAAGTTGGAGGAAAGAGATGTTTGTGACTTGTACGTCACTTGATGTGGTGATGTTTGGTTAGGAGGTTAGGGGAAACCAGACTAGTACTAACAGAGCAACTCCGAGTTCTCCCCGCATTCTTCAAGGGACTACAGCGGCTCAATCAGAATGAAGGAATCACAGAGTTGAAATCAACATGGTATAATAGTATTGTCCAGAGAATGTGCGCTTAGTCGTCTAGATAGTGCATCAAGGAGATCGAATATCCCCTAGTGATAGTTCGATATGTAACCTATCACAAGTATCTTTTGTATGGAGATTTGGCAAAATGGTACTTTGCTGACGCCAGCCAGATTGATCTGACGCCAGCCAATCACCTATTCCAGGAACACCACTGCAGATCATCAATCCTACTTACACAAAAGTTGGCAACTGAAGGAAGAGGCGACATGTATAAAAAGGTCCGCCTATCCTTTCATAGCCTTCAGTTAATCTCTATATTCAATCATTACTCAACGATCTGGTTCAATTTCAAACGTTACAATGGTCAAGCACGCCTCCAAATCTACGGTTCATCAGCTCGCTAAAGAGTACACCTCAATCATAAAAGGAAAGACTATTCTCACGACAGGCGTCAGTCCTGGTGGTCTCGGTGCATTATTCGTCGATGCCATCGCAGTTGCTGAGCCTGAGCTGGCTATCCTTGCCGGCCGTAACATCAACAAACTTCAGCAAACAGCAGACGACCTCGTATCAAAACACCCTAATCTCAAGACAAAACTACTGGCTATTGATCTCAGTTCTCTTGCTTCTGTCCGTTCTGCGACAGAACAAGTTAACGGATGGTCTGATGTCCCTAAGATCGATGTGCTGATCAACAATGCGGGCATCATGGCGACAGACTTTGGACTTACTAAGGATGGATTTGAAAGCCAGTTTGCTTCTAATCACTTGGGTCATTTTCTGTTTACAAATCTCATCATAAACAAACTCCTCGCTTCAGAAGCTCCTCGTGTTGTCAGTGTTTCTAGCAATGGTCATCGACTGGGTCCTATCCGATGGGGTGACCCAAACTTCAGTGTAAGTTCTTCTCGCATGTACACCAACTTGGCTCATTACTGACCATGACCAGAATGGAGATTTGTACAACAGGTGGAGTGCATATGGACAGTCTAAGACTGCTAATATGTTATTCACAATCTCTCTGGCTGAGAAGCTAGGTGGCCGTGGATTGCAGGCATACAGTCTCCATCCCGGTGCTATTCTTGAAACCTCCTTGGCCAATCATCTTGGTAACTTGGACAGTCTAAGTGAGTCACTTTGAATCGTGTATCTTATACTTTCTGACCAATTTAGTCGAGGCTGATCGTGCAATGGGCGATCCATGGGGCTGGGTCGATTGGTCAACTGTCCCTGTCACTCCCGAAGTTGGCGCCGCAACACACGTCTTTGCTGCCTTTGATCCTGATTTGAAAGGTTAGTGTACCACTCATCATATTTGCTACAAATACTGACTTGGTTTGTTAGATCAAAATGGTACTTATCTGTTGGATTGCCGTTTGGTGGAACCATTTACAGACACTGTTAGGCCTTGGGCTACAAGTTCAACAGAGGCAGAGCTGCTATGGAGGTTAAGTGAGAAGATGGTTGGGCAGAAGTTTTCATTCCAGCTTTAATTAAGCAATGGATGAGGTCTTATATATTTTTAGAGACGAAACCATGTATGATAAGAGCGATTATCATTTGGGCAAGATGGGGAGTATTGAGCTTTGTATATGAGCACCAAGGACAATCTGGGAAGCAATGGCGCGTGATGGGGAATGACTTTAAGTTAAACATCAGCAGGACGATATCTCTCACGATTTGGAACATACGCGCTTCTCTCTTGTGCTCAATTTACTCCCGTCCGCGTGAGTGACCAAGATACCAAGTGGAGGATCTCATAAAACAGGAAATGGCCCATTGATTAAGGTGTGCCAGGGAGTAACCCGATGGAGGACCACCGAATAGAACCAAGTCTCTATAGATCATTGGCAGGGAGAAATCTCGCCACCTTCAATTGACCAATAGACAAATGACAGCGGACCTCTTGTCGCCAGCAACGTGATGAAGGACTCTGCCGAATAGCTTGTTGGACAGAGTGTTGATTGTAATAGCCATGGGGAGAGTATATGTAGGCCAGTGGATAGCACCTCTTCAGTTTTAGGATATAAGAACAAATGACCTAAAATTATGGCCTAAATTACTTGAAGCGATCTAATAATTTGGTCCTCATGCCTCAAGCGACCAACTTTTCTGATACCCTAAGGGTAGGTATAGATAAAATGATGAGTGAGAAGTTAGTTTAACCAAGCCCGAGTAAACATCTGAGACAGAAAGAAATATGCCACCTAGGCGCTGCGGAGAACAGGGATAAAAGCTGTCCATCGCAACCAACAGCTGGTGCAATATGAACAGTATGGGGCGGATACCTGTGCCGCAATATTCGTATCATTGAGAATGCGAGTTTAAATTAAGTCGAGCAGCGTTAAGATGATGATTAGATTATGTTCTGAAGTATATACAAGACGCATAGTAGAATAAGATCGGCGTCAAGAATTGCAAAATAAATGAGGCATCAAGGTCATGTCACATGTCGTTAGGAATCAGCTTCCGTCCCCTCATCTTCTCGTCCCCGTTTTCGTCGTCTTCTTCGGCTTGGTTGATGTGGTTATAGTCGGTTTCTTATTCTTTGCTTTCGTTACCACATTACTCTTCATTGTAGTGGTGGCTTTGGCGGGGGGTCCCTGTACCTTAGCCTTGTCTACCTTTGGTGATGTCTTGGGTTTTGCTGTGGATGTGGTTTTCGTCTTTGATGTTGGCTTGGACTTCTTTGTCGAGGTTGCCTTCAAAAGGGTTGTTGACTTGGAGGCAGGCTTTTGACCTTGAACCTGGGCCACAACTTTCGACGTCGATTTGGCTGTTGAGCTGGTCTTGGATACCCTCGCAAGCTTGTAGACGTTGAGCCGTTTGGTCGCACCGCACTTCTGTGTCTTGTCGCCTTTGCATGCCATACCGCATTGAGATGCCGGTGCTTCAACACTGCCATTGGAAGGCCCCTTCTTGCTGCAGTAGCAATCCTGTCCCTTCTGAACTCCCAGATAAGGATAGCCTTTACTTGAGCAAAATGCTGCGCAAGTCTCGACAGTCATTTTAGTCTTGTCTGTTGTTTTTGCATCACCAAGAGCTCGAGCCTCGATGCCTTCTGTATAGCAGCCGAGATACTTAGGGGGGCTGTTCAGTCCCTCAGTGCTGACAGTTGGGGTGTACATAGTGTTGTTCCAAATGGATATTCGGTTACCGGCACCACATTTCTGGGTAGAATCGCCAGCACAAGGCATCTTGCAATCGCCATCGGGCGCAACAGTTGCCTGTGTCTTTGGCGCATATCCACAATAGCATTCTCGCCCGTACTCCATGCCAAACAGTGGATAGTTGAGCTTGTTGCAGAAAGCGAAGCATGTATCAAGCGAAACGGACGATCCTGTGAAGGTTGCACTCGGCAGTGTACGTCCACCTGCTCCTCCATCTGTATAACAGCCTGTCCAGAGAGCAGCGCCATTGAGTGCCGTGATCGGTCCGTTGGGCTTTTCGGCTGGCTTGATCTTCCAGACGCTCAGTCTGTTGCCCGCACCACAGTAACTAAATATGTTACCTTTGCACTGCATTGAGCATTGGGAGATGTCGTTCGTGTCGTATCCGCCGTTGCCAATGTCATTGCCACAGTAGCATTCTTGCGAATACTCAGTGCCAGCATAGGTCCAGCCACCTGCCTGACAGAACGCGACGCATTTCTCGTTGGTCATTCCTACAGAATCTGCAGTACGGTCTGATGAGAGCGCCCGTCCAGAACTACCCTCAGCCCAGCAGCCTTGATAAGTGGCCATGCCCTTGGCGATTTCGGTCTGGCCGACAACAAGCTCGGCTGGCGGCGTATAAGAATTGTCGTTCCAAATGGTGAGTAAGCTAGGTCCTCCGCAATATTGTGTCATATTGCCCGCGCATATCATCTTCCTAGTAGATGCGCAGGCTGAGGCTTTAATGTATGATGCACCGGCACTAAGTTCTCCGGCGCAATAACACTCTTTACCCCACTCCATGCCAGCGAGAGGGTAGCCTTGAGCTTTGCAAGACGCTGTGCAATACTCAATAGACATTTTACCAGAGTTGGTAGAATATTTGTTCAGTGTTCGGCGAGTGCCCTCCGCAGCACAACCAACATAAGACCATGAACCAACCATGTCACCTGGAGAGGGATCAAACATCGATCCAAGGCCCGCGTCTCCAAGATCATTTATAGCAGGTTTTGAGTCGCACACTGCTGGTGACGCTCTACCCGGGCCGCTAAAGGGTTTGATACAACCTGGAAGGGCGTCAAGCATGCCTCGAACGTTCTCATCGACAAGAGGTGCCATCTCGGGACAGTTGTCGCTAAAGTATGGCGTCTGCGAAGCAGCGAGTATGGGACATTTGGATATTTGGCCGTTAATACTGTCGTTGTTGAGGCACTTTTTGACAGCAGCCGCAAGCACAGCCTCGTCCCAGCCATTGAGAAAGTCGCCGTGAAACGCGTATCCAGTTGTGTCGCCATTTGCAAAAACGAATCTCCCACCTTTGCTCTTGTCGATCTGATTGACGCCATAAATAACCTCAAAGAAAAGATGAGGGAGCTGGCGCGGATGGCTCGGAGGGCAAATTCCGTTGTCTATCTGTGACAAGTAGGCAACATGACTCTGGTTACGCTGGTATTCCTGGCCATTCCAACATGACTGGAAATGAATCTGCGCTCTCATGCCATTGTCGCAGTCCGTTTTCCACATGTAGTTGCGCTCTTTTGAAGGTCCAGAGCTATCGAGGCACGCAAAGCTGACTCTGTCTGCGATTGAACGACCCTTGAACCGGGAGTTGCTGTATGTTTTGTTCTTGGAATCGTAAGATCGTACAAAGTTGTCTCCAGACAGCATCTTGAAGCCTGGTGGGAATGGCTCGATGTTTGATCTGTTCTCGCCGCGGCCGAGATAGTAAATGACAGTGCCATCGTTTGGCACCATCTGGAAGCTGCCATTTGCATGCTGGTAGAACAGCTGGGGTGTCCAGTAAGCCGATTTGTCGTCTTGCACTTCACACGAAGTACATCTCGAGGCTTGTAGGCTTTCGAACGTTGAGTCAATGCCAATGTTACTGGCACCAGAAAGTTTGTGAACATGTGCTGAGAATGTTCCAGGGGCGATTATAGGATCAACTCTGCCAGTTTGGATAATACTGCAAGACATTCTCCAAAATGCCTCAGCCCAGGCGACAAGGACCATAAGGCCAAGGAGTCTTTTTGTGTTGGCCATCTCGAAATGTATAAGTGGCAAGGAAACAAGGAGTAACGATTGACAAGTCCTTGTCCATCAGCCGTTATAAAGCTCAAACGGTATGAAAGGATAAGTCTCAACCGGCTGGGACATCAACATCTCAAATAGAGTCTGATAACCGATGGCCCCGTGCTGGTTTGATGAGCAAAAAGCAATCAGGTCAACCATTGTGGATGTCAACAAGCCTCGATCCAGATAAACATCAGAACCATACGGTACTCTATACCGCGTATGGTGTAGTTATGTCATGGGCGTAGCTTCGGGGCCTCTTTTCTCTGCAAAAATCACATTCCAGAGGAGAGCCGTAAGAGGGACTAGGCTAGGCTCAATCCAAGCTGTCACTGTCTTGATAGCTTCAAAGAAACTTTAATCGAGACATTTCGGCGCTACTAGCGCAGGCACCCGTGCTTGCAGGCCCAAAAGGAAACTCTATCCGGACAGTCGGTTTGTTGTTATTGGTGGTTGGACATGACAAGTTTATCATAAACGAGTTTTAACCAGTTTGTACATACCAATCCGATTTTGAGTTCTTGAGTTCCTGGATCCATTAAATAACGAGTCGGGCCATCCTACCACCTCATCAGAACCGAGATATCGGCGTTATTCCAGCATTACAAATGTGACGAGATCCTTCAGCGATAGTTGAGATGATCATGTCTTCTCGCATCATCTCGAGGTGAGTATGTGACGTCGCTGAGATGTTTGTGAGAGTTGCTGCTTTGGTTGGAATGACTGAGAATAGAGACATCCAACAGACTGCGTTATTGATCATTCATGATGGTCTGGTCCATGACAGTCGAGTCAGAAGACTCTGTATATCCGAACAGCCAAGGCAAGGGTAGAGGACCTAGTTAAGGTGATGATGCCATGCTGCTTATAGATTAGTCTCCCGGGTCAACCAACTTCATCAGGTTAATTCAAGAGATCTCTGGGTCTTAATCGTGCCATGTTTTTGATGGGTGCTAACCGAGCCAGACAAAAGAACTAAGTTCGCCGGGCCGCATGCGAGACGCCACAGCCAATACACAAGAAGCAACTTTACGTATAAACTCCGATGATGACAAAGAAATATGTCTCCGATGGGAAGAGCTTGTGGAAAATGAACGGCCTGAAGGGATCGGAAATGTTGGTCGTTGAAAAAAAGATATAAAATTGGCACGATCTTGCCTAACAAGTGAGATCTAAGGGTACACCTTGAGGCAGTCCAGTCACATCAAATATCAGGGCCACAATACTATAGTACCTCAAACAGCTCATGGACAAAATAAACACCTCGGGGTTGTGAATATACCCTAGACTTGAATTTGAGGTTCCCCTGCTTATTTTAATTAAAGGGCCTCAAATCCCATCATCAGACGAATGACCATCCCCTGCTGGGCTTATCCCCTTGTCCAAGACACGTTCGTGCTATTATACCAGTGCTCACCGTTAACAGAAGAGATGATACCAATACTATAGATATTTATGTAGCTTACCTAAGAACTAAAAAGCCAGAATCCTAGAATTTGATCACTGTCCATGCGTATTGTTCTCTTTCGAGTGACGGAATCGAGGACAGAAACAACGGCCGACTACGACATTAGCCACCTCGCTTACCAGCAAAGCGCTGCAGACGTCACATGTACCCCTGTACTGTACGGCTGTACCAACCACTACAGCCAACACTGGATGGATCTAATCTCCAGCTCCAATAATTACCCCAAACCTTGACACTTCCTTTGTACAACAATCAGTTGTCGCCTTGCCTTGCCTTGCCTTCCCTCACCTTATTCACCTTCAAGAATACCCTCTTCCGTTTTTTCTGCGACTTATTCTTATCTTCGTGTCATTCTCTTAGCTGCGTCCTCGAAATTCTTCAACCATCGCCGCTCATCGCCTGACGACTCGCAAACTGCTGCCAAATTGTCTACCGACCGCGATCGAGTCTGACCGCAACCAAATGATCCAGCAGCGGACGAAACGAAACGAAACATTCATCACGACCACATTGAACTCAGCAAGCTCAATAATATTCCTTACTCGATGAAGAGCTGCTAAACTTCGACCCTAATACCTCGTTGCGAGTCTGTCTTTACCATATTTAATACGCATTTTGGTCAATTCTGCATGTGCTTCCGCACTTTTAAAATTAATACGCCACGTTCAACCAACACATTCCCGTTGACTCCTCGCCATTATTCGACGAAAATCGATCCCTTGCTCGTCACCGAGTCTATCCGACCCAATAGTCCGTCTCCCTCCTCGCGGCGCGGCTTGGCGGGATCCGGCGCGGAGGGATGCAGGCCTTAAAAGGACAAGCTGAGCTTGTGCGCAAGACAAAGGTACGTTTGCTGTCTTTATGACATTTGACGCAGTTCTGAACTGCATGAGGACATGATTCTAACATTTGACAGCTTGCCCGCTCGTATCAGGAGCTTCTCGAGTACGACCCGTTCCCCTTGTCAACCAACTCTGCTAACACTAATACCCAGCGAATTCGCGAGCCACGATCTGAAATCTGTCGGTAACTACGCTCTTGGACGGTTGATTGGGAAAGGATCCTTTGGCAAAGTCTACCTCGCATCGCATAAGCTCACCAATGGCTCCAAGGTCCGCATTACATCAGCACAATCGCAATATTTAGGCCATACTGACCTTTAGTAGGTAGTCCTCAAGTCCGCCAACAAGGGGGACTCTAACCTCGCGCGCGAGATCCACCACCATCGGCAATTCATACATCCGCATATCGCGAGGTTATATGAGGTCATTGTGACGGAGAACATGGTCTGGATGGTCCTCGAGTATTGTTCTGGTAGCTATCCTCAGATTCAGTCTATCGATTCTCAAACTAACACTCCCAGGCGATGAACTCTACAACCATCTTCTCGAACACGGTCCTCTCCCTGTCGACAAAGTGCAAAAGATATTCACACAGCTTGTTGGCGCGGTAAGCTACGTTCACAACCAATCATGTGTCCACCGCGATCTCAAGTTGGAGAATATCCTCTTCGACAAGCACGAAAATGTCAAGTTGGTCGATTTTGGGTTCACAAGAGAATACGAGGGCAGAACCAACCATCTGCAGACTTTCTGCGGGACTATTTGCTACTCAGCACCAGAGATGCTGAAAGGGGAGAAATACGCAGGTGAAAAGGTTGATGTTTGGAGTCTCGGCATCATTCTCTACGCACTTTTGTGTGGCGAGCTTCCTTTTGACGACGACGACGACAATGTGACCCGGACCAAGATCTTGAGCGAGGAGCCCAAATTCCCTGAACATATGCCCCCTGATGCGGTTCCCTTGATCAAGGCATTGTTATCGAAACGGCCGCTTTTGCGCCCAGGTCTACCGGAGATTCTCTCTAATCCATTCCTGGCCGAGCATGCCCCCACGCAAAGAGCCATTCTGAATGTTCAGCAAGCGCCACCTTTTTCCACGCCTTTGGAAAAAGATTGCTTGCAGCGAATGCGCAGTGCGGGAGTCAACATTGATGGGGTCATAGAAAGCGTGCTTGCACAAAAGTGTGATGCTCTGGCTGGCTGGTGGGCACTGTTGCTAGAAAAGGAAAAACGAAAAATGCAGCGTAGAGAGAAGAAGCGCAGGGAGAGGGAGACTGACAGTCGCAGCATACGACGATTATCCGCCGCCTCGAGCCGCCTGGAAAGAATGGCCCCGACGTTTCATGAATGGGACGATGCACACGCTGTTGGACGGCAACTAAGGCTGGAAAAGTCTAATTCTCGAAACAGAGGCAGAAGCGAGCGAAGAAGTGCGCACTACGTTGACTATATCTTGTCTGATCTTCCACAGCTTCCGGAAATTAGGGATTCGGGAGGACTGAATGTGGACAGCGACCAACCTCCGCCACCCATCGACAAGGACTCAATACGATCCGTCTCGACGTCTCGCCAGCGCAGGCCTATACCGCCCCCTAAGGAGGGCTTGATACGCAGCGCTCGGTCTCGGGGCTCTACCCTTCATCTAGTCACTACCTCGGACGCCCTTGCTTCGAATGCCAGCGACGAGCAACAACAGCAGAACGGCAGCGAGAGACCTCGAAGGAGACCAAGTCAGCCACTGATAACCCATTGGAAGAACATGACGCATTGGCTCGTCGAGAGCGCAACGCGGAGACGACGTGGCCATGCCAGGCGAACCAGTCAGAGCACCCCCGACCTCCATAAGAAGGAGGGAAGTACGGTTAGCAGTAAAGATGGAAGCTCACGACCACAGACTAGCAAATACCCTGCCGCAACCTCGCCTGGAACGCAACCGACAGCCTCGCTACCGAAGGGCGTTGTGGCTAACGGCCAAAAGGCGGTTGTTAATGCCCAGAGAACAGCTTCAGGAAGTCTGCCGTCTCCAACAATGCAGCCTCCCCGTCTCGCTACATCGTACAAACGGCAGTCATTGTCTCCTTCCCCTCTCACGCCGAGATCGACTGTTCGGCGGTCGTCAGCTGGACTGCGAGGCCGAAAGTCAACGTCCTCGTCTGTGTCGTCGGTACGATCGATTCACCACCATCACCACACCCATTCCAAAGCGTCTTCAACAAGCTCAGCTGCCTCCTTTTCTACATCAATGTCGAAAACGCCTCTCCAGCGAGGTCACTCGCCTCATCATTCAGTCAAGGTCCTCCCAGCCACACCCACTTCAGTCTCATTCCCATCCAACATCCGCCTTGTTCGAGCTACGCCACCAACCTTGAGTATGTTCAATGAAGGCATGCCATCCGAGGGTCCACCGCAAGCTCCAGGATCGCCCAATCCTTTTGCATCGGGTATCATGTTTGCCAAGCGGAAGCGAAACTTGTTCAAAGGTCCAACTCTCAACAACTTTGGTGGACCTCCACAAGGCCAACGCAACGGTGGATCTGGGTCGCATTCCCGCAGCGCTAGCGCCTCTGGTCTGGGACGTCGGTCTGGAGAAATCACCATCCAAGAGGAGGATGAAGGTTCAGAGATGGACGATGACGTGGAAGAAGTCGATGTCTTCAGCCCGGTCATAGGCGGTCCAGGCGAAAAGATTGAGGAGCAAATCTTTGAAGAGAATGAACCTCAGCCTAAGTTAGAGCCTGCACCCACCATCATTGCCAAGTCGGGCAGCCAACCCTTGACGATGGCTGCCGAGAAGGCTCCTGCAAACTCATAGATTGTGCATTACCGTACCGTTCAAAAGTGCTTCAACGACTTGACGAAAGATACTAGTATAATTGTCTAAACGATGGGAGCGGATTTTCTTTACCACGGGGTTATAAAAGCTTGCCGGCGCCCGCGCTGTTTGTGTTCTGTCCTTTGTACGATTCTCAAGCTTGGCGACCCATCGAGAGATGGAGTCCAGCCCTTTATGGATACCTCTTTTTGTTATATACGATTATGGAACTATAGAGCTAAACAGACTTATTTATTTGGGATTGTCTCGAACAGATATGACAGCCTCAGTCAATTGAGAGTGTCAAATTGAAGCAGGCATTAAACAATTTTGACTATTAACCTAGGTCGTAAAGAGTCATTGAAGTTTACTGCTTGAGGCAAACTGTCGTCTATCCAAACAATCCTCACTTCTAACCTGTAACCAATATTATTTACATGGAATGCGAGTGACTTCTCTTTCGGGACTTCTTGCTCAAGATGGCGTCTCGCTCCTCGCGCAGAGTGACCCAAATCCAGAACCATGTCATCGTCTCGATAAAGATAAAGGTGAAGAACAGGCGGTTCTTGAGCATATCTCCGCCCCAGCCAGCAGGGCGATACGAGGGGTTGTGCGCGCTCGGGTGGGTGAGAGGTCCACGTGAGGACTTGTCGTATAGGGGTGACGATGGGCCAAAGAGGAAGATGTAGGCGACGAAAGTAAGGGAGAGGAATGATCGAATCGGAGCTGTTGGGCATCTCTGTTAGCTACATGGACTCGTCGAAGCGCTTGAATTGGCGATGTACCTTGTGTACCCCAGTGAAATACTAGGCAGACCTCATCAGGCATGGACAAAGAAACCAGATCGCTGAAACCGATAAAGATGAGGATCACAGCGAGGAACGCGAGAGGAGAGCTTTGCAACTCGAAACCTCTGGCCAAGGGCTGTCATATATGTGTTAGCCTACACGAACTTGCCATACAAAGTCGATCATCGACCAGCCAACATAGACTTACCATTCCCATGCTCTCGCCCATGATGTATACAAGTGCCTGCTCATTGATGGAGCTTGGGCTGGTGAGGAAGAAGTAGCCGAGGGTAAGGTGAAAGAGGGACACGGAAGTAATAATAGTCTTGGCAGATATAAGAGCCATGATTGCGGTTTGGTATCAATTCAAGTAGAAGTTGGGTATCGTTGTCGTCTATGTCGAGTTGAAGCCGTAGCCAGCCGGGGCGTGAAGGAGAGAAGCAAGCCAAAAGCCAAGCTCTTTGAAACACGGGAGTCGTCAAGGAAAGGAGAGGAAAAGAAAGGTTTGAGCACTTGATCAAGTTGTGGTCACGCTGAACCCTCTTGATGTATAACGAAACAAAAAGCTGCCAGGGGCTCGAATTAGTTACACGTTGCGTCACATGCCGTGCTGTAGTGGGGTTCTTCCCATCTAAGGCTATTTGGCACGGCTGGCGAATCAGATTGGTAGGGTACCTTATGGCGTTGCGGGACAATGTGGCTGTGCTTCAGTATGTGGCTGCTCAGCTCTTTTGGTTCTTGGATTAGGATCTTACCCCAGTCGAGGCATTCGATCTGAGTAATTGCCGTCAATTATTTCCCCAATCTTACACAATTTCGATATCTCGACTATATCTGTTTATCATGTCGGATTCAGGTAACCCGTCGCTGGATAAGCAACAGCACATCAAATATTGGCAGCGCTGCCACAAGACGTATCTACCATCACCTTACACGGCATACGACTCTACTCGACTCACCTTTGCATGTTTCATCATCTCATCATTGGATCTTCTCTCTGTTTCCTTGAGCTCATCTGAGCGCGATGCAATCCGGCGCTGGGTCCTCAGCCTGCAGCACCCAGAGGGAGGTTTCTGCGGAAGCTCAACGCACGCCTTGCCAGGACAAGAAGCTTACAAGGGCACCGCAAATATCGCAGCTACTTTCTTTGCGCTCGTTTTGCTGGGTCTCGCGGCTGAAAATGAAGAAGAGGCAAAGTCAGCTTTCAAGGGGGTGGATAGAGTACGGTTGTTGAAGTGGTTGAGCGGGCTTCAAAGGGAAGATGGAAGTTTTGGGCAGAATTTATGGGATGGTGAAATTGTGGGTGGAAGGGACATGCGACACAGCTATCTTGCAAGCTGCATTCGATGGATGTTGAGGGGAGATGTGAAAGAAGGGGATGAAGCGTGGGTGGAGGATTTGGATGTTGATAAAATGATTGCTCACATCAAAAGAGGCCAGGTAAGTCAATTACATCTCAACTTTCTCTCACTGACACAATCAGACTTATGATGGCGGCGTGGCCGAGTCATCACAACACGAGTCTCATGGTACGAAAATCCGATTTATCTCTCATGAAATTAGCTAACCTCAACAGCTGGATATGCATACTGCGCAATTGGTGCACTTTCTCTATTAGACAGGCCATTAGACTCTACATCAGTCCATTCTCCCGAAAAGGCCAAGGAAGAAGGGATTCCCAACCGCCAAGGTCTCATTCAGTTTCTCGCGTCTCGTCCGTTTTTATATCTCCCTCAAGAAGAAGAAGACGATGAGGTGGAGGAAAACTTTATAGAGTCAAAGGTTGGCACGGTTGACTATGGTCACATCGGCTTCAATGGACGATGGAACAAAAAGGCTGATACGTGCTACTGCTGGTGGGTTGGGGGTACACTTGCGGTAAGTTTTCAGTGATTTAACAGATACAAGTCTCTAACAGGTGGTATAGATGCTCGGAAACCCCTCAATCATCAATGTACTGCCATCGCGGCGGTACCTCTTGGAAATTACGCAGCATCATATTGGCGGGTTCTCCAAAGCTGTTGGAGGGCCACCGGATATGTATCACTCATACCTTGGTCTAGCTGCGCTTGCTACTATGGGCGATGAAGACTTAAAAGAGTTTGACGTCGCTTTGTGCTGTAGTCAGGAGACGACGAGAAAGATACAAAGAGCGAGGGATGGGCTGCTGGAGAGTACAAGAGGTGAGAGAAAAGCTTGGAGTAACGATGGTTTCTGGTAGTTAGCTATCCAATGTAAACTGTTGTAAACTTGCGAAGAAAACACTGCAATGCAATCGGTGTAAGATCAACTATCCAGGTAATGTTACTTATTGCCTATGTAAATTGGTGTAATTCCAGAACTGCGTTAGTACATAACGGAACCTATATTTTGAGTGCAATTGAGATCATAGCGATAACAATAGTATTACTTATTTGTATTTGTTTACCACTCATAAATAACTTTCCCTTTTGTCGAACTGAAGCATCATGTCACTCTAGGGTGAGTATTCTTGGTGTTCCCCCACCTTCGGAGCCGTTCGGCCCCGCCCCAACTCTTTCCGATCATCCCCCAAATCAATCTCGCCTCCACCAGCGGATTTGCAAGACTTCATCGCTTTCCCAGACACCATCTACAATGTCTTCCTCTACACCAAAAGATACCGTTGATACGGCTGAGCCTCCCAAGCCGAAAGAGACTGAGTCTAAGGCCTGGAACGACGATAAGCGCCGAAAGTTTGAAACGTGAGACAAGTCCGATATGTATTGTAATGAGCTCAGTGCTGATGACGCATGATCTTATACAGGAAATCCAAGAGCGAGTTCTATGACCCTTGCCAGGAGGCTGCGCAAGCAAGTTACAGATGTCTGTTCAGAAATGGAGGTGACAAGAACATGTGTGGAGAGTATTTCCAGTACGTTATTCTGGACACTGTAGTTGAGACGGATCATTGACATTTCGACAGGGCTTATCGCGACTGCAAGCAAGAATGGGTACGTGACAAACAATGGATGTCACTACGATTCCAAAACTAACTATGTTTACAGACTGAGAAGCGAAGAAGAGAGGGACGCGGCTGGTTCTGAACGAGGGTATCACAGTCTAGCGGAGCGCCTGAACATGGTCCAGCAATGGGAACTATCAACCGCCAAGGTATTGTAACATAAGAAGGGAGTTTAAGCTTGTACTATGGAGGCACGGTGTTTGAGAGAGTTTGGGTTCTTCAGCATCAAATAGCCTGGTCTACAGCCAGCGCATGTATTCTAACAATAAAACAGTCCATCTCAACCGACTTGACCGATCTGTCTCTATGATTATGCCAAGGCTACATGAATGAAGCCATAACCCCCTAAAACACTCAATATATTCAACTAAAAGGTTGTTTCCACAAAGATCAGGGACTCTATGTCCCAAGAACAAAGTTCCTCTCATGATGGCTGAGTCTCTCAACACGTACACTGTGGCTGACAGAGAAGCTGCCTAGCTGTCAACATAGCAACGACTGAACTCTATCTATCTCTACATGATCATACAAAGAGTATTTAACTTGAGTTTTCAGATACCTTCCTACAGCAATAGACGCCTGAGTTGGTATAGTGGTTAGCATTTCTGATCTGACATGTGGATGATGTCAAGCACTGAACCACATGCCCTTCATCCCGGACTTGGGAGATATCTTTATGATGCCATTAAAAAACAGTCACGGGAATTAAGAGATCATCCTGACAATCTGACAGTCTTCAATATGAGTCTTCACCGCCTTGAAGATTCGTGGAGCATAATTACTGCAGCGTTTCCCAATTATACACCATTAAATTCATACCTCAAATTCACCCTTACACTTCCACGACGTTAACTTATAGCCTGTACCACCGACAAAGTGGGCAGCATCCTCGATGACCAAGGGTTTCATGGGACAGCTTCTGCAACTATCAAAAAAATTCGAAACGCTGTAAGACAAACACAGTTGAGAGAATACTCACCCTCGCTCGCATTTACCAAGCATCTGCAGCAACCCGAAAGCACAAACAATACCACAACCGTGCATCACTCATGTGGCCGCGAGATCTGTCGAAGACGGATACCTATAGAGTAAAGACCGGTGTTACTGTCCAACCACGAGTCTGTTTCATACTGGAAGCTCGCCCCGTCAGCACACTTGTTGAGTCTAGAGCCGTACCAGGTCGAACACTCCTCAAGAGCCTGCTTGTCTAATGCCACTCTGACGTCAGCTATCAACCGGACCGAGTCTAGCATCCGACCAATCCGTAAAGAGTGTAATTTTCGAGAGTCGATCAAGAGCCCGACTGTTATTGCACATGCGACTCCCAGTGCTATGAGAACAATAAGAAGGATCCATGGGATCAAGGTCATGGCATATTTGTCGGCGTCACACTGAATTTTATACCACCCTGTCTTTTTGAATGAAATGCTGTCTAGAAGCGCGTGTCGGCTTGCTATTTCATACCATAGAAAAGCCTCGAAGAGACTCTGAAGCTTCCAGGATGGTTGGTCTCCCTCGCTCGTTGTGTTGAGTGCTGCACGCAGCAAGTGCCCGCCTAGTCCTGGAGCTCTCCTAACATGACTATCATCAACGATCTCCAGTGTAGACGTTAGACTTGACGCGGGTTCACTCGGTCGGAGATCATGATGTTCGTTGAAAAGTGTGTCTTTGATGGTCGTCCATTGGCTCTCATTCACCTTGATGTCTGCATGCCCATTCGACTTTTCCAGATGACAGTTCATACCAGATAACACCAGGCGATAGCTTCCATCAATGGGACTAATGCCTGAACTTTGATTGACATTAATACTACCAATCCAGATGGCAGTTTGATTGAAAGCAATCAACGGATATCTAATATCCGGATATCTGGTATTGGCGTCGTCCAGGGACTTTTTAGAGAGGATAGACTCTTCCCTGCCGAGGGTTGCCTGGTACTTGATCACCTCTGATTCAAGTATGGATAGTGTATCTTCAAAGGTGATTCTGATGTGCGGATCCTGATCGTCTGGTCACTCGATCGTCACCGGGCGAGGAGTGGAACTTGTGCAGAACAAGTTGAGTCGATAGACTAGCGCGTCAAAAAGCTTCTTGACATCTTGAGGTAGTTGCTCTTGTGACCAAGATGACACATTGGCTCTGAGAAGTCCACCAGCTGCTGATTCGAGCATCGAGGGCCGTAGACCACTGAGCTTCTCTTGGAGGTCCTCTGACACTCCTGACATTAGTGAAGCCGCATCCGCGTCCGGAGGGAGTAACGAGTACGTGTCCTACAGGTACTCGAGAATCATTCCGGCTTGATATGGGACGGCGTTGCTCAGTAAAGCAAAACTCAGAGCTGAAGCACAGCGATGACCCCAAGGCAGATAACACGAGGTCTTCTTGAACGAGCAAAGGTCCAGAACTTGAGTCGGCTGAACGAACCCCAATCGGTATTGGCAACCTCGACAAGAACCTTCATGCTGACTGCAGAGCTTCTTCCGCGATGCTCGTTAACAGCAGAAAGTCGAGCGAGTTTGAACATGTGCCAGTTGGCGACTGCGACTATGGCTGGTGCTACCAACATGGAGAAGGCGGCATCAATAAATTTGGCTGCTGTTGAAGAGAATCTTCCTCCGACTATCTCGACTGTGATGTATGGATGTTCATTCTTGGAACTTGTGTGGATGTAGGCGATCAACCAGCAAACGGATACCAGGGAGGCAATACCGATGGCAATGACTGTAATTATGGAGTACAGGACATGCTTCTTGAAGGGGTATTCGGTATGCGTTGGTACTTGCGGCCGTATCGTGTTCTTGGTTTCGCCATTCGATGGCAAGGGCTCATCTCTGACTGATCGAGTGTCCACTTGAGCAGTCTCATGCTTCGGTGTGCCTGTAGAAGCAGTATCCGAGGATTCGGAACTGTCTGCTTCCTCTGGCGCAGCAGTGGTTGATACTGGTCGGCCAGTCATTTCAAGCGACTCGTTGACTGCCTGAGATGTCATGTTGATCAATGTACTTGAATGAATCTAAAAGGGAGGTAGAGGTCGCGTTTTGCGGCTTGATACTTGTTGATGGAGAAGAGAGAATGAGTCGAGCATCGACTTATACACCGCTCGTCAGGCAATAAACCAATGCAGAGCCGCATGATAGGATTCGGCCTTGTCACCGCGTACAATCCGAGGCTCACACGACTTGTGTTGTTCAAGGCTGACCATGTATAGCCCTGTTTGTACTTTGTTCCGCAAGTGGATTGGGATAAATCCACATGATCACATCCGACTGTTTTGAAAGGAGCATATCGCATGTCTGAGTGACACTGGTAATACTTGATGATGATAAGGACTTGAATTGCGAAAATACTCGGCGAGGCCGTCTCGGATCTGCTCTGTGTGAAACTTGTACGTCCTGTCTCTTCATCCTCAACACGTTATTACATGACTTGCTCATGAACTGGTCATTCAGGCTCGGAAGTTGCATTATGACCGGAACATGACGTATGGAAAAGAATCAAAACGCGTCGAATGTGATTTATGATTCTATTTTCATGCATTTTTGTCTGGCTTTTCTAGAATTGAGCAAGATAGCCGTTGTTGGAACACATGTGTGCTATAACTGTTAATACAGTGGATAGACAGTATTAACGCCCCTCGGGATATCGGAGATGTTAGGTCCCAGAAGTATGAGAGGCGAGCTTAGACTATTATTTAACGGAATGAAGACAAGGCTCGAATTGCTGGGCTTGTAGAGTTATGTTTCTGTTACCTGGGCGAGTGGTGGTTTGCATTAATGCCTTCCAAACAGAGCACTCCTGCTTGACACATGATTGGCTGAATTAGAGATAGTCATAGCGGGGTGGGAAGTCCCGATTGGGCATAAGTAAACCGTCCACCCCACATGACCCGTGTCCTCAACGCGGAGATATATACCGTAACTAAACATTCCATCACAACAATAATACGAGTTTCAACTCAACACAGCGACCGTGGTGTAGTGGTTAGCATTAACGCCTTCCAAGCGTTAGAGAGGGGTTCGATTCCCCTCGGTCGCATTTCTTTTTTCGTCTCTCTGGCTTCTCTTTTGCTCTAGCCTTGATCTTGTACTATATATAGCACTTTACCTTTTGTCGACACATTTGATGACCTATAGAGTAAAATAACTAGGCAGAGGTAGGCCAGTTCTTCACTGGGATCCTGTTGCTTGACTGTTGCACACCAATTCAGGAATTTCACCCCATGCATCGTCGTCCATTGACATCAGATACCAACTGTTCAGAAAGGTGTCATTTTGTTTCAATACATTTACTGTTCATGTTTGCCCAGTGACTTGGCCGACATACAATGCCATGCAGCTATCTCCTTTGACTACTCCAACACACACCGAAGGAAACGGAGGATACCACGTCACCACAACTAACAGCTCAGAGTCACACCATATAATGCATTTCTTTTTTTAAACGACCTTTTCGAACCTATCTTGTACATTTGTTTATCTCATCTCGACACACTTCTATAGTAACAAATCGATGACCGGATGTCTAACTCCACTTAACCTGAAGCCAGCCCTTAACGTTTGCCTCCCAGCTCTTAACAAGCTTTTTAGTCGCTCCCTCTCCTACAATCCCCAAAACATTTTCAGCTCCATCAAAAATCCACTTCCTTACTGCGGGCTCAAAGTCTCTTCCATAGACCTGTTCCTTCAACGTTGCTACAGTGTCCTTACCCTCCTTGAGCGCCGCTTCAGATACAGTGACCAATTCCTTGATCTGGGCCATGACCTCTTTGGGCAAGTTGCTCTTGCCAGAGCGGTCGCGTTCCTTTTCGCGATCGTTAAAGGCGATTATCCATTGCGCAGCATCCTTAATCGCCGAGGCGGTGTCGCGGAGGATGGCAAGGGAATGGAAAGTGCTAAGAGTTGTGATTTGTTCTGAGGCAGTTGCAAGTCCCACAAGCTCAAGCTTAAGAGTATCCAAGGCGATCTTTAATGTATCGGTGATCTGAGCAAACTCTTCAGGAATAGGGTTGGCTCTGCTGATGCCAGTCGTGAATGGGACGAGAGTGCTCAGCAAGCTCATTGCTTCGAAATATGTTGCTTCTTGAGGGGTGAAATCCACACTGGAACCCTTTGAGAATTTGATAAATGAGTTGCTCAGCTGACCGAGTGTTTCAAGGACGAAAATCTGGTCGGGGACAGCAGCGGCAGCGGAAGCCTTGTAGATAGGAGGAGGCTTGTAGCTCAAAAGTTCATGGAAAGCCTCGGATAGCAACGACATGTGAGCGCGGCGGTTCTAAAAATGTCAGTTCCATTTCGAAGTAATAATCAAGGACAACCCACTGTTGGCGCAGGCCCAATTCGTAGGCGGGAATAAATGGGCGATTGAGAGCTGTAATCCCATGAAGGGAACGAGCCATAGTCGATGGTCTCGACCAGATTCTTGTCATCAGTCACTTCAGCTATTGAATGTCAGCAACTGCAAGGTCATCTAACCGCTACCACTTACTAAATCGAGGGTCAGTCAAGACCTCTGAAAACTGTTCTCCCATGATTCGGTCAGTCCTCGTCTCCTCAACCAGACTCAATACACGCGTGCATCCCCAGCGTAGGTTCTCCATGTATTCAGGAATATCGACCACACTGCTATAGCTTCCTGACTCAAAGGCGTCGATCAATCTCCGGGGCATTCTTAGTTTCAGGGACGCATTGAAGTGAGAACTGAGTAGCTCCAAGAGCTCCCAGCCTGTTTCATCTGATGGCGAGATGAGAGCGGGCGAAATGGTAGAGAGTCGGTCGTAGAAGATTGGTGCGAGTGAGTCCATAATAGTTCGCTTGACTCCCAGCGTATCCCAGATCTCGCGAGCTCGAGCCGACGAACCAACGCGAAGGTGTAGTTGCACAAGCAGAAGGGAGATGATGCTGTGTTTCGGGGTCATGGAGAGTTGATGTTCGAGCAGCAGCAATGCTTGAAGGAGAGGAGCATAAGAGGTAGGCAAGTTGGAAATCTCGGTTGAGGGGGGATATGCAGCCTGGATATAACAAAGGGCAGCAACAACAGCCAATTCAGGTCTTATCTCTGCCTCTACAGACGGGCTTTTTGAAGTCAGATCAGCCAACGACTTGTGTACCTCGAGCGCTGCTGCAGCGACATTGGAGAAAGCTGGTCCAGGTGAGCTGGCCCCGACCTCATCACCAGAGACAATGCATTTACGCATCGGCTTTTCACCAGGTACTGTGTTATACATAGAGGGACATGTGGCCGCAAAGTATTGCAGCTTTAACGAAAGATTTCGTATCCTTGCTGACTTGATCTCATCCTCCATTTCTTCAGCCAATTTGGTGGTAAAGTCATAGGCAAGGTACTTTAGTGCAGAAGGGGCGAGGTTTTCGGCAAAAGGTTTGATGTCGTTGAAGCAAGCAGTGTTGACGCCTTGATCGTTTATGTAGTTGATCAACTCTTTAAGCCGGAAAGACGCAGGCTCGTTGTCGGTAATGTCATCTTCATCATTTGAGGCAAGGTTGAAGGCTGCCGAGAGTCGTGCCAGGAGGATGATGCGCTTGTAGATGGGTCGTAGATCTGGTGATTTGATGAACTTGAGAAGTAGCTTTTGGACAGTTTCCTCGACGCTATTTTTATCAGTTCAGAATTTGAGTCGGTTACAGGGATACAATACGTACTCAGGCTTTACTGTCTTGATTTGAGCAGCAGCGTCAATAAAGTGTCGCCAAACTTTCCAATCGGCCGCCAACAGACTTGGTTGGCCATTCTCATCCTCGGTTGACAAGCAATCATTACAAAGCTGAAAGATAGCTTCAAAGTCTTGCTGTTGCTGGTATTGGGCAATCGTCCTCAATAATATCTCCTTTCTGCCCTTTCGGAACTGTGCAAGAGGATTGAATACAGGACTGGAGATGACCTTGGCAAAGTCATCTTTCGAGCCATGCTTCTCAGTAACATCATAGAACAGTAGGATTTCTTCTTCTGTTTGGATGCTTCGGGGTTGTGGTTTGGCATCGCCTTCTGCAGCAGCGTCCTAGTTCAATGAGCAACATGGTTATGGGAGAAGAGAGTAAAACTACCTGTTCGGCCAATTGTGCAGCACGTTGAATCTGTTTCAGAGCGAGTATTCCGTATAGCTTCTTCTTTTCAGATGGTGCTTGAGGGCTGGTCTGTCAGAAGTTAGTTGTGTTGGAACAAAAGAACATTATACGGACCGCTAATAAGTGTGTGATGACAATGTTCCAAAACATAAATGTCCTATCCTGAGGAAAGGATCTGTCCATTATTGCGGCAATCTAAAGTATGTTAGTTATTGTCACACTTCATGACGAAGCGTCTCATACCTGCTGCGCACTAACAAGGTCCCAATGCAACAGACATGACTCCAAACAGCGACTGGCGCCGATCTTGTCCTTTGGTGCAGCTTTAACAAGGCGTGCTCTCAATATTCCAAAGGTCTGAGGAAATTCCTCCTCCTCATTGAGTCCTTGTGCAGCCCATTCGAGAAGATCTAGAGCATCCACATCCTTAACAATGGTTTCCTCTCTGACAAACTTGTCAATGGCAGTTATGGCAGCAAACTTGGAACTGGGATCATCGAGTTGACTTTCGGCACAGATTTTGACAATCTATTAAACTAAAATCAGTCTACATGTGACTTGACACAGATACAACAATTCAGAAGCGCGCACCTCATAGTATTGATCATTGAACGTCCTAGCCCGCTTCTCTGCCAGGCGAATCACCACAGCCCAGTTGCCATCGTTGAAGGCAGACTGGAGCTGAAGGTCAACGCCGTTTTTGAGGTTAGGTCTCTGTTGACGATTCATTGAGTTCCAGGCTTCGCGCCGCTTGTCCTGTCCAACTAACTGAAATGGGTTGAATGAGCGTGAGTGAGATCAAGTTCCAGGTCTTTTGGAGGGGTTCAAAATGAAGTGTGATGGATGAATGTGGAGGGGCGGTGGAAGTGTGGCTGGTGTTACTCACGCCACATCTCCAATTTTGGGGAATTTATTGACAAGAAAAAGCAATAGCCCCTATCGTATTGCTGCCCAAGACTTAAGAGACACTATATTTTAAGCTTATATTTCTCCGGAATGACTTATTATTTCACGACATAAACTGTTCTTGACACGAATACTCGTCTGCATATTTGGTTTACATTAAGCCGTCCAAGCGAGTCAGCACCTTACTCATGACCGCCGAAGCGATTCGCTATGGGGCCCCACTCATAAACTTACAGTGGATATGAACCCCTAACTTGATCTCGATCTCCAAGATTTCTGCATCCTTTGATCTGCACTATCACTATCTCAATCTTTCCATCTGCTTTGCTTGTCATTCTTTTGCATCCTTTTACGGCTCTGCGAGTATATAGCAATTTTTGTTCATGTTTATTACTGCTTCTGGCATCAAGCATTACACTTGTATATTTTCAACACACATATAAACGCATTCCGATTCAGGTTGTTGTGATCTTGCATTTTCTTGCCCAGCGCCAAGCCTTGTCCATACTCCTTAGCTGCATTTGACTGCGACAGTCGGGGCCGCCTGTGTCTTCCTTGTTCTTGGACTTTCTGGAACTGTGCCGCTTACAATCCAGCATCGACACGAGTCTATCTGACTTGAACCATCGAACGAGACGCTTTGCGACGAGTCCAACTATACGAAAAGTTGAGGCATCAACGGGGGCGACGTCATACTGCTTTAGTCTAGCGACATAAACTATCCTTATCTGCGACATTAGAAATGGTTTCTCGGAATCGTTCTGGCAGACGAAGAACCGCCGCTCTAGCCTTCTTCGTTGCCACCGTTATCCTCCTCAACTACAAGGGGTTCCTGACATTACCGAGCTTCGAAGTTGCCAAACCCGACCGACCAGAACTCAACCTTGCACCGGCATGTGCACCCACCATTGACCATCTCCGACGCTCGGCGTACGGCCTTACGAGGGACGTCGTCTACCAGAAGCGATGCATTCGACCTGTGGTGGACAAGAAGATCGATAGCCAAATCGTGTCACAGAACCCCGATACGTTGATAAAGAACGGTCAAATTGTTCAACTCGACCAGGCCTGTGAAGGATGGACCGAACCGGCTTGCGAACCTGTTACCCTCAAGGTACCTCCGCCGTACCCGCAAGAGGACTACTCGGCCTTTTTGTTTGGCGTCGCGACGAGTCTTGATCGTTTGAACGAGTCGCTTTCGCAGTTTGAGAGCTGGCTCGGCAACACACATGCACAGCTATTGGCAGTTATCACAGACCCTGGCGATGAGCACAAGTACAAGGATGTCACCAAAGAATTCCATCGTCGCGGTGTTGAACTGACAATTAAGGATCCATGGAACAAGGCCATCACCTCGAACGAGCAGCATTTTGCCATTGTCCGCGATCTTCTTCAACACACTACTCCCAAAACCCGTTGGGTTGCCATTGTCGACGACGATACCTTCTTTCCTTCGCTCTACCCCATGAGCCAGATTCTTGCCAAAACCGATCACAAGGTTCCGGCGTACATCGGTGGGCTATCGGAGAATTACGATGCTGTCAAGCACCATGGCTATATGGCTTTTGGAGGAGCCGGGGTTTTCCTGACCCCTGCTCTGCTGCGTGAGCTGGACCCTCATCTTGAGGAGTGTCTCAAAAATGACCATGTCCCTCAAGGTGATGGTCTTCTTAAGCAGTGCATCTACAGCAAGACCAAGACCAAGCTTACAGTTGTTAAAGGACTCCATCAATTGGATATGGGCGGAGATATGAGTGGGTTTTACGAGTCTGGTCGCCTTCCAATGAGTCTCCACCACTGGAAGTCGTGGCATCACGCTCCCGTTGATAAGATGGTTAAGATCTCCGAGTTTTGTGGTAGCTGTTTTCTGCAGCGTTTCGCCTTTGGTTCCGATACTGTTTTGACCAATGGCTACAGTATTGTTCAATACTCAGCCGGATTGGAGAGTGTAGACTTGAATAAGATGGAAGGAAGCTGGGAGGGCGCCAAGGGTTTTGACTGGAGTTTGAGTCCTATGAGAGCCAAGATGGATCGTCGGCTGAAGAAGAGTTATCATCTGGTTGATACGGAAGTGATTGGGAAGAATATCCGACAGATCTACATCCACCGAGTCGAGGAGGACATTCCCGGCCCGGATGAGAAATCGGGTGACCCAAAGAACCCACCACCAAAGATCGAAGAGATGAAGGACGAAGTGATAGAATTGTTATGGGAGTTGTAGAAGCCTATCGCAGATGGATGACATTGGTTTTTCTCTTTCCCGGTCGGGCCGGAACTGCATATACGACGCATGATACCAGATGATACATTGGACGGATAGATAGACTGGTTTTGTAGATAATGTTAATGAGCCTTTCCTTATCGCGGCAATAATATGAGAGCAGAGAGGGGTCTCATGATAGTGCCTTTCCAAAGGGCGCCACACACCCATTCCAGATCAGGTACTCTAGACTAAGGTCCATCAGTGGCACTCTACGCGATATCGGCGTGCGGAGAACAATAACAGTGCAAATCAGCGATCGACATGACTTGTTTTGGAGGCGCCAGACAATATAAAACATTGCCAGTCGCCCTGTAATTGTTCGATATTGAAGTTCTGTAGCAATCTACTCAAGATGACCTTCACTCAAAGATTCGATGGTTATATTCAACCTTGTACAAACTTGATCTTCCTCCCAGTCGCTGTCGTGCTATCTGCATGGGTTATCACCAACTGTGTAAGTCATTTGGTGACGAGATCATGATCTTTTGACATTAATCCAAACGCTAGGCAAAACAATGGATGCGCAGTCGTAAACAACGCTCTCAGCCGGTCAAGGTTGAAGCAGTAGTTCCTGAAAAGACACCAATAATTGAGCCTTTGCATGATTTTGACTGGAAGACGGCACCGAAACGTCAATTACGACCATTCAAACCGACATATCACATCACCATGGGTATGATCCTCTTATGAACTCAGTGTGATGACTACTAACCGTTCATATAGCTATTCAGTCTAACACGCCTTCAGAGTTGATCACTATCGATGAAGACTATCTTGATCGCATCACCCAACGACGTAGCATCATCGCTACCCATGGCCCAACTGTTCATGGCTGCATCCCGGAAGGCGACGCAGCAGTATGTGAACTCTACACTTATCTCTTATCTGAACAGCTTCCCACACGTTTCCCGACTATCTTCCAGCTGTCCCAAGATAAATCGATTTGCAAAAACCTGGCAACAGGAATGTCTTTCCCGACGCTTCCCCAAGGCAGTGCGGATGCGGCGCTGCGTGTTCTTGGTGAGACGATTGAAGAAGATCTCTTTCTGCTGCGACAGACATCTGAGGGTCATCAGTCTATTGCATTCATGTGCTGTTTCCCTTCTGGTTTTGACCCGTCAACTAAACTGGGCAAAACACTTGTCGAAATCCACGCTCCTGTGCCGTCGTATGAAAAGATTGGCTCTAGTATGGAGAGGTTCTTTGCAAAGCTGGAGGTGGGCAAGAGTGTAAAGCGAACAAATGTGAGCCTCCACGTCGCCAAGATCTCAAAACTGGACTAACAGATCGCAGTGGTCCGTTCAAACACATACAGAGCTGTTTAATTGTCAAGGCAATCACATTACTGGCGACGATGCTTATCAGCATGACGAAGATGTAGCTATCGAAAAGGTAATTCTCTGCCTACTTGACAGTATCATGTAACTAACGCACCCAGACTTTCCTCCGAATTGAGCTCCAAACTCTCACCCGTCTACCAAAGACCGGTGCTATCCTTTTCTCTTTCAAAACCTATCTTTATCCAGTCCGTCGGATCAAAGAAGAGGGTCTTGGATCTGCTTTTGCCGATGCTATCGAGGGTCTGTCAAAGGGTAATGCGCCAGGAATGTGGACATATAAAAGTGCAGTACGCTGGGGAAGCAGTGTGATAGAATATCTTAGATCTTAAAAGTAGCTATTATCATGACAGGTTTCTCGCTTTCCGCTCTTTTGGTTCTCAGTTCCATAAAATGCTCTTTCACATACCATATCATCTAGGCTCATGTAAACTGCCCCCCAACCCCAAACAGATGTTGTCGTATGTATCTCGTCAGATTTACTTCTTCTAATGATTCCCATGAAGAAACTTGATCATGAATCTTCCGTTGTGAGACATGGTTGTTGCTGTGTAGCTCTTGCCGATTGACACCTTTGAAGTGCGCAGCGCTCGCTTTGTGAACTTGCGCGTGGCTTCATCATAACCGTTCTTGTCAGTTGGCTTTAGAGCCTTCCCTCCACTGTCCTTAGTCTCTTGACATTTCATAGGCGCTTTAGGTATGATATCTTGCGAGAAACCTATGACAGGCGTGTTCGCATCTTCGGAATTGAGAAGGACTGGGCCATCGTTTCCTGGTCTGTGTCAACACTGCACGTTTAAATGCCACACTGAATTACCTTCAATGACAGATACTCCACCATAAGCCAGCGGATAATTCCCCCAACTCAACTCCGTCCATGTGCCAAGATTTTGAACTTCCCCATTGAAATTGATGTCAGCGCCACGGACAACTCTTCCGGCGAATGTTTGGCACGAGCTTGTCAAGTCAATGAAGACAGTTGTATTGGATGGGATCTGTTTCGGAAATTAGCTGGAGAGACCTTGGGACAAATGCGACACTTCACCTTCATGGCCCGGTATGGTTTAAAGTCGATCGCGTTTTGGTACACCATGAACCAGCGTAGACTACCTTCTTCATAGTCGGTTGTGAAAGTGATTCCAGGCTGTCCGTGATCAACGTCTCCGAAAAATGGATCTAGTTCTGTCAGTTTTTCGTCCAGCAGTCAAGATTCACTATTCTAGTCATACTTTGGATGATAGTGTAGTCATCCTTGTCAGGTGATCCGCAGGTTACCAATCGATCCTGAAGTGCTGGAAAGGAGTCGGCACACGCGAAGAGAATGAAAAAGATTAGGATGAGGCGAATCATCGTTGTAGTCTCTGATCCGCGGTGAAGTCGCTAGGTGGCCGATATTCCAGAGTGAGTGCTATGAGTGAAAAGAACAGAAGTGCAGGAGTAGAAGAATTTCTCTACAATGGTGTCTTCGTACTCGATAGTTTTCCCAGCTCCTTCTCTCTTTTCCAACAGTTTTCTCCGAGTTCAGAGCAGGTGCGTCTGTATTGCGAAGGAAGGTGGTGCTGCCCGACCGGGTAACAACCGCCTACTAACTCAGGCAGGCACGGGTAGTCGCAGCCTCTCGTTTGTGAATTCCTAATGCAGATATTTTCCATCATCAAACAAGAAAATATCTTGACCTGCTTCATCCATATTGACGACATAACTTGGCTATTTCTTCTTCCAAGGAACATTCTTCGAGAAGCTTGCCAAAAGGAGTTTTCGGAGTTCCCTCCGACTTCCTCATTTGGCTACAAGGAGATGCACGGAGCCCTCTCATTGGCCGTATCTCATTGTCGTTCTATGAGATTGAACTGCTTTTGCACCTTGCGGTTGGGCCCTCAGATAAGTTTGGTCTTCTGGAGATTCAAACTTCTTACAAGTACAAGCACCGCTCCAGGATAAACCAATGTTGATCCTATGCCATCTATGTACAGTATATTGATAGGCGAAGTGATGATTGTTAGGAGCCGCATGTACATGCTGATCTGGCGTGCAATGAGGCTGCCACTCTCAGGTATTCTGTCTGTTGGAAATACATGATTTGCAACAACTAATTCACATTATACATCAAATGATTAGATTCCGTCTGCTAAAATCTTATACTAATGATGTTTGTACGACTCTGTCGTGATGACAAATTAACATGACCTCCACTAACAAACATCCCTGACTCATCCCATCTCACCCATGTTGAATCAAACAAGCCTCAAAACAAAGCACGACAAAAGCTACACTCTAACTTCACCCCTTCTCTGACTATACAGAAACCCCAATGTTCACAACTTTCGACATCTCAACTTCAAGTTCGCTGTCTAACGGGAAGACTCTGTCCCCGCCGACGTCACAACCCCGCCCCAAGAGAGCTCAAGTCTCACGCGCCTGTGATTGGTGTCGATTGACTCGTGTAAAGTGCGATTCTACTCGACCCTGTCGCAACTGCAAGCAAGCCAAAAGGGAATGTGTAAACTCGGGTCGCGATGACTTCAAGAGTGTTGCTGCGGCCACAAAGTAGGTCATAAACAAACGTGTATGAGTACGCTGCTGACAGGCGTGTAGGGAGGTTCAACGATTGAGAACCCAGGTCCAGGAATTGGAGAACAAGTTGCTGAGCCCCTCTATTTCATCTGGGAGAGGTAACACTGATTATAGACGATCAAAAAGATGGAAGGGTGTGCGGATCAATGGTGTCCAGTATGGATCATCTTCACTCGCGTATTTCTCTCATCGACTGTCAGCATTCATCGAGACGGATTTAGAGCCAAAGGCTTCATCAAAGTCACACCCATCGCCTCCATCAACACCATCCAATTGCGACCGCCTTCAGCGTGAGCAACAAGATGCATTGCTCGACCTTTACTGGCAGGGTTACCACGCCATTTATCCTGTGCTCGAAGAGGCTGCGTTTCGGCAACATTATGATTCTCTATGGCACGGAAATATGAGGCAGGCATGTCCATTGGTCGACATTGTGATTGCGCTATGCATCCAATTCGGCTCCTCCTACACAGCTAACGATACGCTTGTCATGCCTGATCAGCCTGGATACGACTTTTACCTTCAAGCACAGCGGTCCTTGAATTCTAGCTTGGAGGCGCCGACATTCATATCGGTTCAGTGTTATTTTCTTAGTACCATATACCTCTTGGCTTTCAAACAGACCAATTCGGCTTACATGATGATGCGGTCAGCAGTAGCAGCAGCCGAATCTCTTGGCCTACAATTCGATTACAATGATGATGACACTCGGGTCAACACTGATATCCCGTCGACAAGCGTGGGCCCTAGACTATGGCGATGTTTAGTCACATTAGACACACAAATCTCACTGGACTTGGGCCATCCTTTTGCAGTAGCAAACATTCAACCACAAGATCAAGCAGAAACAGAATCTGACGAGGTTGCCCAACTTGCTGGTCCAAACTTTGACTTTGGCAAATCCGACATCAACTGGCTTCGTTTTGTGCACGAGAGACAAGTTCTCTTCCAGATCGCTCGCGAAATTAATAATGAATTAGAGGCAGTGGTAGAGGGTACCCTTGAGGAAATTCAACAGACCGACTTTTATCAACATCCTGCATCGCGCGAGACATGCGCAAAATATCTGTCCGAACAGCTCAAACGTCTCAAGGCATGGGTCGAAGAATTGCCAGAAAGTCTCAAGACGCCAAGGGTACAAGGTGTACCGTTCTCAGTCGACCGCTCCAAACTCAACCTTAGCCAGACAGATCCCCTATGGCTACAAAGGCAGCGCCTGGTGCTGGAACTGGATTATCACTCTCTGGCCATCATGCTCACTCGAACTTTCAACTCTTTTCTGCCGACACCAGCCCTCGGGACCTTTAACAGCGACAACCACTGCATCACTTCTGTCAACTCTGGCATCATGATGACACTAATGCTACAACAGATTCTCGGTGGTTCGGAAATCCTTGCCGGCTTCTTTCAAGTTGTTGGCTGGCAACGTACCGCAACATTTGCTCTAGCTGGCTTCGCTTGCGGCTATCCCATCTGTCCGTTGTCTCCTATAGCACGAAAGATATTACCACGAGCCGCGCGAGTCTTTGAGATTGCCGGCAGTCGAGAAGATGCACAGTTAGCCGACACCCTCAAGACAAAGTGCTTCGAGATAGTACAGGTTTTCTGCACTAGAATCGGTATAGCTACGCCTGCGACGACACCAGCCGATACCGACAAGGACGTAGAGAGTGTAGATGAACCTATGGAGCCGAGTAGCTACCAGGTCATGGGTATTGGGGAGGAAGCTTTGGTTAATGCCGGTTTCGACAATATAATGGACAATGAGCTCTGGACAACAGATTCGCCAGGCGGGCTTTTATGGGGCGACTTGATGAAAGACTTGGACTCGGGTTTGGCGTCATCACTTGGTCATTTTGGAGTGCGGGATCAAGACAATGTTTAAGTTGAGGTCACACCAAGACAAATCCATGCGATGGTGTTGATTCATGTAAAGAGACTTGAATACTCGACTTGACGAACATCAGCAACAATTGGTCATTACTATCATTAAAGATTAGTTAAAGTAAGGTTTGATCTGCTCTTCAGACCAGTTCCAAAAGAACTCTGCCATGCCCGTTCCACCTTCAGACTCGGGCAGAGCTCCCTTTTGCACGTCGGGACGAATGGGCATGAATCTACCCCACGGAACCACTTGAAGCCGTTAGCTGATGTCGTGTCTCCAAGTGATACAGTACTCACCCCATATACCAGAGTTCTCGATGGTTATTTCCTCGGAAAAGGCCGCAAACAGTTCCGTGTAAGCGCCGTTGATGGAAGGATATGTGGTGAACATTCTAGGATAATACATGTACCAGGGTGAAGTACGATCAAGTTCACTTGCCAGGTTGCCAGGGTTAAGAGACTAGTCTGTCAGTATGCAACTCTCTTTGGATATCTGGTTGACATACCACACTGACGATACCATCATCCTTGTATTTCCTTGCAAACTCGGTGTTGTGGTAGTAATTGCCAGCCTTGCTTGTAGCATACTTGTGCATCAGGTTGCGCGGCTGATGGTAATCAAGATTATCACGTTCGAAACCGTCCTTAGGCGCCAACACATCTGCAGCTGAACTTGATACCCAAATCACACGAACAGAGTTCTTGGGTGCTGACTTGGATGTTGATTGAAGAAGAGGCGTGAGGTGCTTGGTGAATAAGAAGTGGCCCAAGCAATTGACTCCTAGTTGGAGTTCATATCCTTGCTCCGTCTTTGAGCCCTCTGGTGGCGTCATGACACCAGCATTGTTGAACAGGACATCGAGTCTTGTCTCTTGGGCAAGAAACTCTTTGGCCGATTGACCGATAGTTGTCAGGTCTGCGAGATCAAGCTTGAGAAACTTGATGGAACCCTTGGATGCAGGGTGATGCTTCTTGATGCCCTCGATAGCATCGCGACTCTTCTTTTCATTGCGAGCAGCTACCCAGACAGTAGCATTTTTGCTGTAGAGGACCTGTGCGATCTCACGACCAACACCTGTGTTTGCTCCAGTGACAATACTGACCTTTCCTGTGAGATCGGGTACGTTAGACTCGGTGAAATGAGGCTTGGGAGGGAATGCCTGGCTAAGGGCGTCGAGAGGTTTTGCTGGTAGTGGCATGATGGAGAGTCTTAGTGTTGATTGAAAAGTCCAAGATGTCCTTTGTTGATAAAGAAGCGTCCATTACCTCATAACTTTGTAGGTAGACACGGGGTAATAAACTCTCCGTAGCGCGGGGCAATTAATTCATGGGCCGACAACCGAGTTCGGCCTAGAACATTTGTTCCTGATGATAAGTTCCATGGCTTGATATTTTCAGAGACTAACAAAAGAACTATAAAAAAATGAAGGTATCACTGCTAATGCATCTTACAAGATGCACGTCTTGGCTGAGCGCCACATTTATCTTAAGTGCTTACATTGTCGGGCGTGACTATTGGATATTACTTGCATAAGTGGCTACATAAAGCCCCGGAGATGGAATACTACAGCATTTAAACAGAAACAATTTATTCATATCATTATTCAAGAACATTAACATGGTCTGAACTCTTTTCACGTATATTAAGGGCTGTTATCATTCATAATTTATTCTTTTAAGCATAAGCAATGCGTTATGACGAGGATCTCTCTAAGGTCAGTTAGCTGCTGCGCTCAAAGTATAAAGTAAGTGGGGAAACTCGACAATGGTATAATTAAATATGATCACTCTTTGCCTGTCTGCTTATCGGTAATATGAAAGTAAAGGGGTTGGGTACACATCACGTTGATACAATGATTGGAAAGCTTCTTGAAGTGTTGGACTGTGTTGGTGACATGCCTCAATCAACATGTTACAAGCCCCTGTCATACTCATTAAGCATGTCACTGACAAACTAAACAGCAAAGAACACGGCCTTCATCCCATCACACGTAGAACTCTCCGCGTGACTAGATCAAGAAACAATAGACGTGACGAAACAATAGCACGGGTAGTGGATGAACGCTTCCTCCCGTCTCAGCCCTCACCTTACCCCATTAAGTCGCTAACTAATTTGTCCTTGAAACTCATTGGACACAACCCTAGTCACCAGCCACGGAAACAAGAGCCTCAGCAGCCTCATCGGATAGAGATCGGTGGCTTGCTTGTCTTTAGTTGACTTCCAAGGTTCCGTCTGAACTTCAACTTGATCCATGCACAACGGCCCGACGTAAGCTCTCGATACCTTCACTTGTTTAGACTGAACCTTTTATCTTAACCGCGATTCCGTCCTTAATCCTGCATCACTATTAAAACACTTTCATCTCCATATCATCCGTCAATCTTTCTTCGTTCATGCCGCGGTTCGTCAACTGCAATCGACCGATCGCGGGACCTGCGCGACCAAACATCTTTATCCATATTCAATCGCGTTGATCTGCGATCCGATTAATTATATCATCCCAAGCACGGACGCGAAATCTTTCGGGATATGCTTTGATATTGGCGACAAACGGCGCACTCTTCCTCTCCGCCGCGATCGCATTCCATTGTTTCTTTACAAACGACTTCAAGCACTACCGTTTGTTTGCGCATTTACCCCCCGCCGTTTGAGGCGCCTGTCGTGTTGTAACTGCTCTCGAGCCACTCACTCTCCGAACCTTTTTCTGTACAACTCTGCAGCTCCCTCCAACAACCGAGGCAGCAGAATCGCCGTCATCATGAGTACTCCTTGTAAGCTACCCCCAGCATCCCTTTCCTCAAATTCCCTTCCCAATTTCAACACTCTAATCATATCGCGTAACAGTGACTTCTGAAGAGCTCGAGCGCTATACCGCCATCATCGACGATATCCTCGAAACATCCGACCTTGAAACAATCTCGCGAAAGAAGATTAGACAGGGTTTGGAGAATGCTCTTGGCGGCCAAGATCTGAGCGAACAGAAGGTATGCAAGACAAATACGCCTGGCGTCGCTCCACTATACTAGATACCATGGCATGATCTTGCGCTTGCGGCCATTCATTCTTACTGACACACAATAGAACGCCATCAAGCGGCTGATCGAGGCTCGCTTTGATGCCGCTTCTGGGGCTGATACTGGCATCACTCCTCCAACAACTTCCGACTCGCTCGTCGCCAACGGAGTCTCCGATGTAGGCGAAACCGAACAATCTGCGACTCCCGAACCTTCGCGAAAGAAGGTCAAGCGATCATCCTCGGCCGAAGATGCGGACGCTCGGCTCGCTGCTCAACTCCAGGCGCAGGAAAACAGCCTAGCTAGAGGGCGCAAGACTCGAGGAGGTGACAAGCCGACCAAGAAAAAGGCAGCACCACGCAAGAAGAGCGCAAAGAAGGTTAAGGCCGATGACGACAGTGACATGGAACCAGCCGACGGCGAGACTGGCAAGAAGAGGAAGGCTGGAGGTGGTTTCCAAAAGCCTTTCAACTTGAGCGAGACCCTCTCCGAGCTGGTGGGCGAGACACAAGTACGTGATTGTCATTCCCGAGTGTTGTCAATGCTAATACATCAACAGCTATCCCGACCTCAAGTGGTCAAAAAACTTTGGGAACACATCAAAGCCAACGATCTCCAAGACCCGAAGGACAAGCGGCAGATCATATGCGACGACAAGATGCATGCAGTCTTCAAGCAAGCCAAGGTGGACATGTTCAAGATGAACAAGGATATTGGCAGCCACCTTTACCCCGTCGAAGAGTAAAGAGCAAACAACCACTTCTACAACAATAACGGACACTCTACAGAGATTTCGATGACAGCGTTTTGGGCGCGTGGCGGCGTAACCGGTATTCATGATTTGCTCATGTTTCATTTATTCTCTTTGGCGGCAATTCACAGCATAGGAAAAAAGGGGGGCATACCGGGTAGACTTTGGTAGGAATATGGAAGCTCAGAACGAGAGTGGTTCCTTTCGATAGCACGCTGCGGCAGGATGCGCGTACAGGTTGTTTACTTGGCAACGGGTAACTTTGGGCTCGAGAGCTCTTGATGAGTAGCTGAACGCATCTAACTGGTGTCAATCGAGCTAGATACTATATAGTTTTGATAAAGAGAAATTTACTTAGGGCTAACACTTGACTGTGTTTGATTGCCAGTTGGTGATATTCCATGGAGACGTCAAGCCATACACTTCTTTGACACATGCTAAAGTTAAAAGTTAAACGAAATAAGCTCAGTATGCCGGAGTTCATGGCATTAACTACTCGATCATGGGTAGGCAGAATTTCCAGTAATGAGCCTCAGTGACTCAGTTAATCCCATGTCAATTTAATCAGCCTACCGAGTTATTCTGGCCGGTGACTCTAAACTTGAAATGACAACTGAAAAAGAGCCAATTAAAGTTGCCAATTCATGCATCCCTTGTTCGGTGAGTCTTTGCAAAGATTACTCAGCCACAGACACTGGTAGAAGTGGCTCAACGCCACGTCCCCCACGGAGGGCACTTTCACTTTCCGTCACTTTGAATGAAGTTCTGCCCCACCATAAGAGACGACACTCTCGATTTAAAATCTAGTCGACATCATCACTTCTTTCTTCACATATCACCTTTAACCTCGGAAATTTACCATCAATCCCGATCAGGTTGTCTTCAAAATCTCACTGCGAGTTCTATCATAGCTTTGATTTGTCTGTAACTCATAGTCTTCATTCCGTATCAAGCTACCACATCTCAACAATTTGACACTCCTTGTGCGGCCGAGTGACATAAGCAGGCTCTATCTTCGATTTTCACCCTACCCACGACCAAATTTTACCTTCTGGGAGCTCAAAGCTTCTAGCCATGGCTCCAACAGAGGGAGACAACAACACTGGAGTTTCAGCCTCCGAATCCCAACCCCAAGGTGACGGCCAGCGCAACAGAGGACGAGGCCGAGGCAAAGGAAACCAAAATCGACGAGGCGGCCAACGGCGCGGTCGTGGTGGTAATAACGCCAACGTCCCAAATGTCCCTGCCAACCCAGCTGCACAAGACGTTGCCGCTGCAGCTTCACGCGCCCATGCCCTAGCTGCTAGCAAAGCTGCCGAAGCTGCCGGGGACGATGATGATGGCGATGTGTGTTTTATTTGCGCCAATCCGGTTGCCCACCACTCTATTGCACCTTGCAACCACACGACATGCCATATTTGCGGTCTGCGCATGAGGGCTCTTTATAAGACAAAGGACTGTGCTCACTGTCGTGTATGTCCCCTTTCACATGCTCTCCACCAGAGTGTATCACTGACAACTTGATAGACCCCGGCTCCCTATGTCATATTCACCGACGACCCCGAGAAGCGTTTCGAGGAGTACTCAGAAAAAGATATCACTACTACCGACAGCAACATCGGTATCAAGTACACGAATGAGGATATTGTCGGCGACACCGTGCTTCTCCTACGATACAACTGCCCCGAACCTTCATGCGACTTTGCTGGTCTTGGCTGGCCCGACTTGCACCGCCATGTCAAATCTGCTCACAAAAAGCGCATGTGCGACCTGTGCACTCGTAACAAGAGGGTTTTCACACATGAGCATGAGTTATTTGCAGATAAGGAGCTAGAAAAACACATGCGTCATGGAGACGACAAACCTGGCGCGGCCGATCAAACGGGCTTCAAAGGGCATCCACTTTGTGGATTCTGTGGAGAGCGTTTCTACGATGACGATAAGCTGTACGAGCACTGTAGAATGAAGCACGAACGTTGCTTTATTTGTGACAGACGAGATTCGAGACACCCCCACTACTACCTCGACTACAACGCTTTGGAAGAGCATTTCAAGAAGGACCACTACCTCTGCGGCGACCGAGAATGTATGGAAAAGAAGTTTGTTGTCTTCGAGTCCGAGCTGGACTTGCAGGCTCATCAGTTGAGTGAGCACGGCGGTAAAGCGACAGGCAGAGACGCGAGAGTTGTCAACATTTCAGGATTCGACATCCGAACACCATACCAACAGGAGAGAGGAAGCGGTGGTGCCGGTGGAAGAGAGGAAGGAAGACGTGGCGGCAGAGATGGGCGAAGAGGAGGAAATAGAGGCCGGGACCCTAATGCGGAACCGGTTCCTGTCAGCTCAGCCCAGCCTCTACGACGTGACGAGATTGCTTTCCAGCGACAAATGGCCATCCATTCTGCACAGTCAGTCTCGAATCGTACCTTTGGTGGAGCTTTGTCTGCCCCTACACCAGCGCAAGCCTCATCACAATCTCGCGGTGCCAGCTCATCAAACACGCCTCGCGCCAGTCAGACCAACCTTGCTAATCCCATAGAGTCTGCTACTGTCGACCAGACTAATCTCAACCCTGAAGAGCGCGCTCGTCTTGTACGGCACGGTGCTGTTGTCGAGCGAGCGTCAAACCTCCTCGGCAACGACACCCAACGAATGGCCACATTCCGAAGCCACATCTCTTCGTACAGACAGGGTAGCCTTACTGCTCCACAGTTAATTGATGCCTTCTTCACTCTCTTTGCCGACACCTCCTCAAACGCTCTTGGTACCATGGTACGAGAGGTTGCGGATCTTTACGAAGACAAGGGCAAGGCCGAGGCTCTTCGCAAAGCCTGGCAAGATTGGCGAGCTATCAACGAGGATTACCCCAGCTTGCCTGGCCTGAGTGGTATGCATGGCGCAACCTCGAGTTCAAGTGGTTGGGCTGGCGCAGCATCGGCCAACCCAGCTGTTCCCAATGCCAAGGTCACCCAAAAGTACTCGAACCGTGTTCTCAAGCTCAAGAACAGCACAAGACTTGGCGGCCCAGCTCCTGTATCCTCAAGTGGTGCATCATCATGGACTGGTCGCCCTGCCGTCAGCGCTCCACCGCCATCCTCCAACGCGTTCCCATCTCTCCCTTCTTCCAACAACTCCTCCTCTGCATCTCGCTCCAACTGGACAACTCCCACTCCCTCATCATCGCAATCCACGACTCTCAATCGCCCTCGACCTGCTCCCAGACCCACAGGTGAAGACGCTTTCCCGGCTCTTCCAGCGGCACCAAAGCCTACCACCACAATTTTTGGTTACGGCAACGGCCGCGCTGTACGACGTGACTACGGAAACCGCGAGACAAATTTCCAATGGGGTAGTGGACCGAGCACACCAGCTGACGAGGAGCCCGCTGATGACGAAGCGGGTGGTAAGAAGAAGGGTAACAAGAAGGGCAAGAAAGTTCTTGTTCAGTGGGGTTAAATGTCTCGTATATAAATCGGATGGCTAAATAGTGTCGGATCAGTATGTATGCTCCTCAATGGGCAGAATAGCGTCGGGTTTTGGAACTGGATAAATAAAGTGACGAAGCGAGGCGATTTGGCGTTGAAGCATTCCGGTGGAAGGTTGAGTGACGATATGTAGGGCGGGTTATAACAAGACTGGAACTCTTGAGCGCCTCTGTTCAGGTTCATCAGCGATGTTTTTGGCATGTACTAGATATAGTAACAATACGACTGTCCATATATCACATTTGCATTCATGAATCACGTATGTATTCGAGTACGGAAGTCGGAGACTTCATTGTCTGATAACATTTCTTCCTGCTTGCAGGCCGTTACGAGCATACGAGACGAAATTAGTATGACAATTTATGCTATTTAGACTAGACTTTTCAAGCTGTTTATTTCGTACCCAAAGACTTAGGAGGCCAACTTTCTTGTTACCCGCCAGCATCTAGAGAGCCGCGGGTTCGTAGTATTCACGGAAGCGATCGGTCTTATCCCAGCGTATGCTCCAGACAACATTCCAGCATACCAACAACAACGGAGGGAATCGTACTGTCCAAAAGGCGAGATAACCATCAGGAAGAGGTCCCACGTTTCGTTTGAGTGCCTCGGGCATATCTTCGTAGTGATTTCTCTTGTTGCGCAGAGCACGAAGCAGGTCTAGGAGACGGGATCCATTGTACTTGCGCTGCTTGCCAAGGGAGTCCACAAAGTCGCGTGGTAGTGCTTTGAGAAAGTCACCCGTCACGGAAGAGGCGTGGCTCTCAAGCTCAGCCAGTGCCGCTGACGGTGGATCTCTCGGCTCCTTCTCAAAGTGATCTGAGACATCGCACAAGAATGCGAGCCTCTTTCTTGCTGACCAGAAGAAGGGGTGGGCCATGACTTCTTTAGCTGTTGGGCGACATTTAGGGTCCGCTTCAAGCATGGATGCGATGAGGTCCGAGGCCTCATGGGAAAAATCACCAAGAGAGTCGAGAAGATCCAAATTATACTGGCCCTTTCGAATGTTGACTTCTCTCATGTAGCGATCCCCGCAGTCAAAAGGATGCGAACCATTGGTCAAAACATAGAAGAAAACCAGACCAAGCGAGAAAATGTCGATGGCTCGGGTAGCACGTCGGGGCATGGCATTGTCGTCTGCCAAAACAGATCCGGAGCCGCTTTGTGTGCTTAGTTCCATCATAGCACCCTCTCGTGCGTCGTCATCGAGCAGAAGCTCCGGAGCACGCCAACCAGAAGTTCCTGCTGCACGACCCGTAGTCGCACCAAAGGATGATTGTCCGCCCTCCAGTTTCTTACACAGTCCAAAATCAGATACCAGCAATCTTGGTTTACCATCCTTGCCTTTGTTGACAAGAATGTTTTGCGGTTTAAGATCACGATGGACGATACGAAGCTCGTGTAGATGGCTGATTCCGTTGGTTATCTGATAGAGAACGTTGGGCAAATCATGTCGTCCAGCGTTTGCAAGGTCACGGAAGTAGTGTGGCCTCTCGATAACATCAGCCAACGAAGCAGCACACCGCTCCAGTGCGATGTAAAGGAATCCATCGCGGATTTGCTGCGAGTAATATCGGATAACTAAAGCGGTCAGAGTTGGGTGCTTACGAATGTGAAGAGAAACTTACCATTGGGATGATCGTCACTCTCTCTCAAAAGTCTGGTCTCTTGAGAAGCGATATCATAGAACTGGATCAACATGCGCTTGACAGCGACAGCTCTACCATCGAATTTGCCGGCAAACACCAATGTACCGTTGCTTCCTGTACCCAGCTGCTCATCTGTGTTCACCTCAATATTTCCCATACGAATAGTAGAGCCCGTCACAGATTGCATATCATCATGTACCGTCATTACATCAGGCTCAAGACTAGGCCTTTCGCCCAATTTCTTGGCATTGTTCACGGCATCCTCAACAGTAGCTGTGGCAGGGTCATCGCCACGAGACTGGGAGCCTTCTTGAGCCCGGCCCTTTCGATGTTTGACACCACCGCGTCTCCCTCTGTGTGCCTTTTTCTTCTTCTCGGGTTGTGCACCATTCTGGTTGGCATTGGCTGGCGTGTTCTGGTTCTGATTCTGAAGAGTGTTTTGCAGATCATTCGCTATCTTGACGGGTGCTTCCACATTGGCTTCAACCACCGGCTTTTTAGGTTTGGGGGTCGCTTCCCGATCGCTGAGCTCCACTTCCTTTACAGGAGTGTGTGGGAATGCATCAGGTTCCAATTTGGATGATTCGGGAGCTGGTACAGGGGGCTCTTTTGTGCTCTCCTCAAGCTGTTCACCGAGTGTTTCGGACTTCACTTCTTCTGAAGTGGGCTCGGGTGTGCTGTCTCGGTTTACTTCCGTATCAGTGCTTTGTGCATCATCGACGACATTCTCGGTGACGTTCTCAGTTTCTGTAATCGCCAGGATATCTTGAAGTTCCTTCCAGAAACCTCTACGTTTTCCACGCTTGAGGTGTCGGCGGATGTTTTTCTGGTTGTAATACAACACCGAGACAAAGATGATGATGACAACGGGGTTAGTGATGAAGTCTTTGATGCTCTTGGCGGCACTGTCAGGTATCGATTTGATCTTATCAAAAATGGTGGGTTCGTCCGCAAACCCAACTTCAGTATGAGGTTGGGGATCAACCTCCAACTCGTTGGGGTCATCATATACATCATGTACGTCGGGCACCTCGATTGAACCAGCAGGCAGACTGGGAGCATGAAAGCTACCTCTCTTATCAGTGTTGCCAAGATAATGCGTGCCTACCAAGACTTTTGACAGCTTTGTTTGGTTGAGCGTATCCCAAGGAGGAGCAATATCCCACCAGTCAGAGCGGGACATTTGGGCCACAGGCGCATGGGCAATGAGAGGGTACAGTTGACCAGACATGACATACCAGTCTCCAGCTCGAGTTTGGTTTAGGAAAATGCTGTTACTGCGCATCCGGTCTTGTGTCTCATCCTCTGCTGGCATTGGTGGCTGGGGAAGTACAACAAGATCGGGGTTGCTTTCGGATGTAGCGTCACCTGGTCGGCATACATCAAAGACTCGGGCGACAGGTGCTGCAAAGTGCTCGCTAAAAACAGGCACCTTCTCAGATCGTGTATAGTCAAACGCATACACCTTGCCATCATGTTGACTTGTGATGTACTTCTTATCTAGGGAAGAATGATGTTGCTGGAAAAGGTCGCTGTCGTAGTTGTTGGGGCTCCACTCGGAATATTTGAGGGTAGCAATGGGAAGACCGTCATCGCGTCGCTGAATTCCAACAGTGTATTCGGTTCTTCCCAACGTGATAGTGCCGGTCGAGCTGCACTCCAAGTTGCCTGCGTCATATAGGGTGTCAGGTCGTGAGCAGCTCTCGGCTTCGTTTACATGAGACCCTCCAGAGCCGAACCATTTGAGAACTCTTCCACTTGCAGCATCTAGGGTGATCATTGTCGTCTTTTTGTCGCCAGTGTAAACAACGGGAGAACTATCGTCGGCGTATGGCGCCAGCTCTTCGACGAGCTTCTTCATGGTGAAGCCTGTCTTGATGAAACCTTGATTTGAGTCTGGTGCCCACATATAAATTCCGCCGTCTCGATTGGGTTCAACAGCCCAAACGTAATGGTCGACTGCACGGTAATTTTCATCAAGGGTGGATTCTTCGGAGCGGTAATGTTTAGTCTCTACCATAGGCTGGTCGACTTCGAGATGCCAGAGCTTCTTTCCAGTTCGTCTGTCGTTGGCGTATAGGTCTCCGTCGACGGTCGCCAGAAGTACAAAGTCTTCTACTTCCCAATCCTTCAGATTCCGCGCAATCTGCGGCGAGGCCAGTCCAGATGCAAAAGCGCTGCTGGACCGAAGATATGAAGGGTTTGGTGCTCCTACGGACCTCGAGTCCGGAGCCAAAGTTGCGAGGGCGCTCGCATCGTCAGGAATTCGTTGATCTCTCTTTCGGTTCTTTCGGTTGTATTCTTCCTTTTGCCGAGGCTGTGTGGAAGGTCGTTTTACTTGATGTTGATTGACAGTTTCACGCGCCTTGGCCGCGTCAATGGACGTGACGGCCCATTGAACGGCATCGGCAACTGACTGCTGCTGACTGCCACCGGGGCGTTGCAGTTCGCTGACTGGTCGGTGCTGCTGCTGAGCATCGACAAGTTGCAACCAGGGCAGGAGTATAACAGCAACCAAGGCGAAGAGCTTTTGCTGGGGACGTCCCTCGCCAGGAGGTCGTCGCAGCATTTTGGGCCAAGGTTAACGCTGCGGGCGGTCACATAGGACCGCGGCAGCGGAATGTACTTGTCGATTCGAATGTGTTGAAGTCAGGCTGGGTCTTGATGGCTCGTTGTTTTATAGTCTATTGAGATGGAGGGGATGGTGGTTGCAATGCAAAATGAAGTCACAAATCGACTGCTGGAGCCGTTGGAAATGCGGAGTCGGACTCGAAAACGGCGGGTAGCGTTGAGGGACGTTGAGTATTGATCGAATATTCGGTTTTGGGTTATATCCAAGAGACGATATTACTATATAGTGGAATATCCAAGATGAAAGAAATAAATGAATGAGAGGTTGGAATGGAATACGGGGGAAAGGTTGGGCAGGGAGTCCCAGCACAAAACGCTTGTTCTTTTTGCCCTGCCCTGGCCTGGGCTTGGCTGGACTGTCCTTCCGTCTGACACCACTCAAGGGACGAGGGGGGGCAGGCACGTTTCTGAGAGTGGGCAATAGAATCGACCGGCGTGGCACGGACAAGAAGGTCAGGGACTGACGAGGAAGGAGGGAGGGGAGCTTCACTGTGGCTTCAGAGGGACGAAAAGATTGACCACTAACAGGACAAGGGATGAAATCATTTCATCCGTTTATTGTGTTGAAGCCATGCTATTTGCCGAGTTATTTTCTACCTCTTCCACTCAGATATCAATTATTCTGCTCCCCTCCAAGTCAAGGTATGAAGGCCGTATTCTACACAATACGCACTGTAGGCGATCCAGGCCTTTGTTTTTTTACACTGATGGAGGTCTTGGTTTTTCTCTAGGACTGGGCGTACAGTAAGACATCGGAAAGACACGCCGATATCTAGAGATTACTCGAGTATCCAAGACAAGACCGAATTCCAGTTAGTAGACAATTAAAGGTATTCTCCTTGCATTATTATATCAGGCACGGCAAATATGAAATCAGGCAGTGCAATTTATACGTACGGGCTGATGAGAAAGGAGAGCAAAACATGTTTGTAGCAATAACCATTCAGGAACTGTATTACAAGCCCTTTTTGAACTGGTTCGCGGGGAATCGGATTGCTACACTTTATCGCCCAATCATAATTAAGAATCTTGCATTAGTAACAGTTTCAAAAGGTTGATATTGGTGATGATAATCGGTAACCTTGCTGATTGACTTGATCTTGATACATGAGATGCTTTGGTAAATACGTTTTGTTTGTTTGATGGAATGACCATATAGTCTCTATAGCTGATTTGCCATTGATATCACAAGGTTGGGTCTCAAGCTTCTGTATTGCCTCAAACCGTGTAACAACATATCAAACCCAAGTCCTTCGTTGGACTGTGTCTATTCTATTCACTCTTCTTTTTTGTGGGCTTGGATTCGCTTATTGCTACCCCCGGATCGGATGGTCTGTGCCTGCGGGGACCTATTTACTTAGGTAGGTTCCGCCCCACTCTCCCTTGAATGGTCAGGTAGATGGTGCAATTTGCAATGGACATTTCAAACTCTAGGGTAAATTCTCTTCAACATCACCACCAATTAGGTACTATCATGAACTACAAATTGGCTTCTTCTATTTTGGTACTCTTGATTGGGATATTGAACAAATCAAACTCACTCAAAAACTCAATTATATGAGCGAATTTACAAAGATCCCGAATGCATGTATCTACATTCACAGGGACATGTGGATCTTAGATCTGCAGACTACGAACAAGTCATCAATGCTTCTATCAAATCTACTCAACAAACAGTTGACCGCCATCTTGCCGACATGACGGAACTGCAAGATTCCACTTAGCAGCTATACAGCTTCTCATATACACAAAATCCAATCCTATCATGTATTCAAATTCTCATTAAAATCTGTGTGTCTCCAGCTAGGGCATACATCCCTTGAACTCACATACAACCCATGCTCTATCCGTGTCAACCCTGCTTATCTCAAGCAGCCACCATCGTACGTCCGAACCCTTGTAGGAAAGGATGCGCAAGCTGTGAAATCAGAGGTGACGATAGCTCGGAACCCCTACATCAAGTCATGACCTCAGCTCAAGGGCACATGAATGCAATGGAATGTGCGTGCTCTTAGCTCTGCCGAGCATCCTCGATCCTCATCTTGGCATTGCTAAATGCCACATCCAGTTGGTCTATCCTTCTCAGCATTTCAGCTTCACACGTAGGTGTATATATTATGAGCTGCTTAATGAAGAGACTCAACACTGGTCGAAGCAGGTCGAAGCATTCTTGAAAGCGGTCGCCAAAGCCGTCCCTTACTATGCTCTGGGGTTCCATGGACAGCACAGTAACGAGCTTGGTTTGGTTGATGCCGAACTTTCCGGAATGTTAGCTTGTAATCTTTTAGGGGACCTTTTTAACTCGTGTCTCACACGAATACCGCAAGGGTCGTGACGTACCGTGTCAAAGGCCGAACAAATTGCCCCCTGATCTTCCCAGCCGAAAAGTATCGTGGGAGGACGACTGATCTTGCTGGATATTTCTTGAATCCTATCAACCATGTCTTGGCAGTGCAAGAATGTGTTCTATGTGTAAATGTTAGCCCAGACCAAGTAATACTGCAGTAAAATGTGAGGACGCACTCCAATAACCTGGACCTTCACACCGTCGCCTCCGATGTTGGACGCTTGCAGTATTAAGTCGGACGCTAGACTCTGTATCCCTTGCATGGCATTCTTGAGGTCCTCTGGGATCACCCCAGTAGAGATGCGGGAGGGAGTTTCTGGGACGGGAATCTGGTCGACAATCGGGTCGATAGGTTCAACAATTGTTTCGAAGACAGGTTCAACAGCCAGTTCGGCAACTGGTTCAATAATTGGCTCGATAACTGGCTCGACAATAGAGTCAATAATAGGGTCGCCGATAGGGTCGGAAACTAGTTCAATAACCGGTTCAATGACTGGTTCAACAGCCGGCTCAATACCTGGCTGAATAATTGGATCGACAATTGGCTCGACGGCTGGTTCAATAATCGGCTCAACAATTGGTTCGACAACTGGTTGGATAATTGGTTCGACGGCTGGTTCGACGACTTGTTCAATAACTGTTTCGACAGCTGGTTCAATAGCTAGTTCGACAACCGGATCGATAATTGGCTCGATGATTGATTCAATGATAGGGTCGACTGCTGCGTTGACAACTGGCTCAACATCTTGTTCAATAGCTGGTTCGACGATTGACTCGACGACTGGCTCAGCAACCGGCTCGACGGCTGGTTCAATAATTGATTCGACAATTGGGTCGACGATTGGGTTGATAATTGGAGGTACTTCCTCAGAAACTGGTATCGGGAGTGCTGTTGAAGCGGCGATCTTGGTTATAGCAGAGATGCTAGAGAGGATAAATAGTGTGACTCGCATAATGGACCGTGATTCCCTTTACTTATCAGATCAGGGAGTCCAAGTAATATTCTACCACTAGAGCAGACGCCACCGTAAAATAATTCGAGAAGAATGTAATCCTCTTCCGAATGGAGAGTTGAGAGTTGGATGTAAATGAAGCCAAGGTCATCAAGAGATCACAGGAGTTGCCAGTTAAGCCAGCCGTGCAGAATGCTTTCTTTTATCAATTTTATTCCCCCTTTTCCAGAGTGGTCTTCCTTGTTGGTCCAACAGACATCAAGATGTAAGTGGGATCGCATTTCTTGGTCTGAGTACATTTAATATGAAGTGGCGGATTTAAATGGTCAGCAGCTTGGCCATCCGGTTCGACCGGCTCCATTATGCAATCTTTCTTGACCCTTCTTCTTGGCAGTCATCCACTTAGATAGGACGGGTATACCTACATTAAAATAGAATAATTGCTTATGGCAGGTCTTGAATCAGCGTAGAGGAAAGGACTAGATATGGGAAAGGCGTTGTCTCGGATGATGGACTGTGCACTAGATACAAAATAAACAACCAACAAGGTGTGTAGTGTAATATTGTGTCAGTGTCCTGAATGGCTAGGAAAGCACGGGCGATGTGATTCATATAATACTAGTAGACGGCTGTAAGATATCGAATACACCAGTTGGCTAGTTTTTACGACGAGGCATAACACTCGGACAATTAAGACTGATGGTCATAATGTATAGGAACTATATTGAAAGTCCACAGTTCACAATACTACGGATACGGCTGAGAAGAAGCAAGGATGATTTACCTATAAAAATCATTGACGCGCACATATAACATTTCAAAACGCACCCTAGAATGCAACTTATAAATAATTTGCTGTCAAAGACGCCCCGACTTGAACCAATTCCAGGTAGCGTTAATCACACATGGAGCGGATAGATTTCTAAGACAGTCACAAGTATCCTTAATGGAATATGCAGAGATGGACGACTATAGATTACTCCGGAAAATGCTTTTAGAGAGTCCAAGAATTGGACCTGTCCTTCTTTTGAACATGACAAAGAATTTCATTACGTGACCCCTCGCCCTGACCAGTTTTCTACCGCGATACAAGCAAATCACTCCTATGCAATTGCAGAGAAGCCCTCTAAGGGAGAACTTCCTCACTTTCCTCAATAACCTCCTCGACAATTTCCTCAATCACCCGATCCTCCTCTGATGATGTATCCAGGGACTTTGTGTAGGCCTCTAGCAGAGGAGCGTGAGGATCCTTTGGTAGGCCAAGCGCCTCGCGCTCTTCCAGCACGTCGGCCTCCATAGACTCACGCCAGATGTGCCACTCCTCGAGCATGCGGCGACGAGCCTCAACAACAGCCAAATCAGCAGACGCACCACGGTCGGCATCTTCTTGCTCAAAGACACGGCTGTAGTCTCGGAGGTTCTTGCGGACCGCCTTCTGCTCCTCCTTCGTAAGGAGAGTCGCAGGCCGAGGGCGCCACGAGAACTGCTTGAACTTCTCAAGGGGCTCTTCTCGCAGAGCCTCACCCTTGAAGTCGTAGATGTGGTAACCGTTTTCCATCTATGATGTATTAGCACGAAACTCGGAATAGTGTGTCAGATTAAACTTACAGAGTGCTTCCAGGCAGATGCCCAAGAGGCGACGAATCGACCTGAAGGGTCCCACTCGACATCTGTGACGCCGTAGTGGTCGGCGGTGTTCATAGCCTGGAGGTTGGCGGTAAGGTCCTTGTCGGACTCGGGCTTCTCACCCTCAAAGTCGAGGTCGTAGAAGTCGAGGTCGGAGCTCTGTGTGTTGGCAATGGTGGCAATAACAACAAAGCGACCACGAGGCGACCAGTAAATAGCGTTGCTGTTCTTCTTGTCGAGTGTTCGGAGGTGCTTGAAGTTGCCCACTTGCTGGCCCTTCTTAGCCTTTTCAGGGCAAAAGAAGGAGACTGCCGTCTTGGGAGCGACGGCAGTAACACCGGCAGGCTCGGTTGTGGAGATGATGGCGAATCGGTCACCCTTGGGTTCCCAAGCAAAGTTGATGACGGTGTCCTTAATGGTGTCAACAACCTCAACAGGAACGCCCTTCTCCTTGACACGGAAGATCTCAAGAGTTGTGGCTTGAGACTTCTTGGACTTGGAGTGTCGATCGACCTTGACGCAAATGTAGGCAGCCTCGGATTGCCAGTGAAGCTTAGCATCGCTGACACTGAAGAGGTTGAGAGATCGAACAACCTCTTTTGAGGGAATGCTCATCAATCCAACCTTGGCGGGGTTGCTGCCAATTTCGGGAGTCCAGTAGCAGAAAAGCTGCTCGTATTCCTTGACACTGTCGCGCTTAGGGGTAGCAGGAGCCCAGTCAAAGTCCACAACACCGTCGATCTTGATGGAGGTCTTGTCGAGGAGGTTCATGCGGGGGAGCTCGTAGACGGAGATAGACTGGCCAGGGTTAAGACGGGCAACGTACTTGTCGTCGGACGACCACTTGAAGGCAGGCCACTGCATCTTGGGCGGGGGCTTGCCATCCTCAACCTTGGGAGGCTCAAGGTTGGCGAAAGATCGAAGAGGGGTAGCGGTAGCGATATCCCAGATAACGTAGTTCTTGCCGTGGTCGTCGATAGAGAGAGCGGGGTGGCCCTCATCGGGGATGGAGATGGGGCGGTTGGACCAGGTGACGATGTACTTCTCACCGGGGGAGAAAGCGACCATGTTCACGAAAGGGTGAGCAAATCGAGCCTGTCGCGACCATGAAGGGCCGCCCCAAAGCTGGACACCCTGAGCGTGGACGGAGGTGAGGTATGTGCCTAGCACACTCCATTGGACGAAGGTCTCTGTCCAATGCTGGCGCTCAACAATGTTCTCGGGCTGGTCCTTCTCATTGTTCCAGTAGATTCCGACGCTTTCACCACGGTACATAACGAACTGATCGCGGCCACGACCTGAGGGGTCCTTGAGGAACGATCGCAGGTGCTCCTTCTCGGTGAAGTCTTCGATTTCGGGTGGTTGGTAGTTCTCGTCAATGCGACCTTCTCGTCCGTAGCGCTCGATATCGGTGAACTTGTTGACGCGGAGAGTGTGCTTCTTGTCGAGAGGAGTGAGGTCGAGCTGGCGAGTAGCGGCGGCAGCCTCGGCGGGTGAGGAGTACTCGACAAAGGCGAATCTTTATGGGATCAGTTCCAAGCTCTTTTGCATATTCATTCCACGTATAACACCTACCGAAGAGACTTTCCATCGTCGCCCATGGGCATGTGTACGGAGTCCTCGCGTGTCTTGCCGACTGTGTTGAGCTTCTTCAACAAGAACTTGACCAGCTTAGGCTTCTGGTCCTCAGTGACCTGGGGAAGGCCGTCGATGACGACAAAGTTGTCATAGCCTTGGTCTAGGGAAACCTCGAATCTCTCTCGCAGGTCGGAGATATCAATATCATCATCGTTGAACTCGTCATCGTCAAGGTCGGCCTCGCGAAGGTGGTCGAAAGAGGGTGCCATGATGGGCGATATGTGGTTGTTGGAGGGGTGCAAGAAAAAATGCCCCGCTCTCGAATCTGGATGTTTTTTTTTTTCGAGGGTTTTAAAGGGTTCGGCTACCGAGCACAAGGTCTGCGAAAAAGGCCTTTATGCGCTCAGGAGATATGACCTCTGGAAGACGCGCGGTATTCTGTCTAAAACCGCGGAGAAGATCGCTAGGGAACGTGCGGAGTCTTGATGTTGCGGTGGCCAACCTAGTTCCAACACAAATTTGGTGTTCTTGCTTCACTTCTGCGAAAGTGTGCGTGTTACGGAGAAATGATTGTCCTCCTTCCGAAATCCGTCGCGGGGCAAGTCACGTGTGGCTGTTCTTGCCTGGAGTGGAGGGGCTACGCTATCAAGCTGCGAGATAGCTCCAGAAAAAAAGGCTGCAACGTCTACCCCAAGGCTGAAGCATATTGACGTTGACAACGACGATAACCTCTTACGTTTCTATAGGTTTCGCCGTCTTCAGAGTCACATTGTTAGCCCATCATGGTATGTTTTATTACTTTGCAGTTTTGCTCTCAAACTGTCCAACATTAAAGAGAACAATAACTAACATATGCCCCTGCCCCTCCTCAGTCTTTCCAACCAACCCAAATTTTTGAGGAGGGCACCACCGAGGAGAAGGGTGAGAATGCTCGCCTTGCCGCCTTTGTTGGTGCTATCGCCGTCGGCGATCTCGTCAAGAGCACTCTTGGTCCCAAGGGCATGGACAAGATTCTACAGTCAGCGTATGTTGCGCCCAACTTGCGGTCGACGACCCCCCTTTTAACACGATGCTAGCTCCACCGCCGAAATCATGGTTACCAACGACGGTGCCACCATCCTGAAGTCGATCGCCCTCGATAACGCCGCCGCAAAGGTTCTCGTCAATATTTCAAAGGTTCAAGATGACGAAGTCGGTGACGGTACCACATCCGTTGCTGTCCTCGCTGCCGAGTTGTTAAGAGAGGCAGAGAAGCTGGTCGACAAGAAGATCCACCCCCAAACTATTATTGAGGGTTACAGAATAGCGAGCAAGGCTGCATTGAAGGCTTTGGAAGGCTCGGCCGTCGACCACAGCAAGAACCCCGAGGCGTTCCGCCAAGACTTGCTCGCTATCGCGCGAACAACTCTTAGCTCAAAGGTCCTCGCTCAGGATCGCACGCAGTTTGCCGAATTGGCTGTCGATGCTGTCCTCCGACTTAAGTCTTCAGACCTAAACCACATCCAAATCATCAAGAAGGCTGGAGGTAAACTGAGCGACTCTTATCTTGACGAGGGTTTTATTCTGGACAAGAAGATCGGTGTCAATCAGCCCAAGCGACTGGAGAAGGCCAAGATCCTCGTGGCCAACACTTCTATGGATACTGACAAGGTCAAGATCTTCGGTGCCCGTGTCAAGGTCGGCTCTACAAGCAAACTCGCCGAACTCGAAAAGGCTGAGAAAGACAAGATGAAGGCCAAGGTAGAGAAGATCAAGGCCCATGGTATCAACTGCTTCATAAACAGGCAACTCATTTACAACTGGCCCGAGCAGCTGTTCACCGATGCTGGTATCATGTCAATCGAGCACGCCGACTTTGACGGAATCGAGCGTTTGGCCCTGGTGACAGGCGGTGAGATCGCCTCCACCTTTGACCACCCCGAGCAGGTCAAGCTTGGTCACTGCGATACTATTGAGGAGGTCATCATTGGTGAGGACACCCTTATCAAGTTCTCCGGCGTTGCCGGTGGAGAGGCGTGCACAATTGTTCTCCGAGGTGCCACAGAACAGCTCCTCGATGAGGCTGAGCGAAGTCTCCACGATGCTCTTGCCGTTCTGTCCCAGACTGTCAAGGAGCCCCGAACTACCCTTGGTGGTGGCTGTGCTGAGATGCTCATGGCCAAGGCTGTTGAGGGTGCTGCTACACGAGTTGAGGGTAAGCGACAACTGGCTGTTCAAAGCTTTGCCATCGCCCTTCGACAACTTCCCACTATTCTAGCCGACAACGCTGGTCTTGACTCTGGTGACCTTGTCGCCAGGCTGCGCAAGGCTCTTTACGACGGTCTTACAACTTATGGTCTCGATTTGATGACACCTGGTGGTGGAATCACTGATATGCGGGATCTGGGTGTTATTGAGAGCTACAAGCTCAAGAAGGCTGTCGTTTCTTCGGCCAGCGAGGCCGCAGAGGTAAGCAATCACTTGACAACCTGATATGAAAACTGCTAACATCCATGGCTAGCTTCTTCTCCGAGTAGATGATATCATCCGAGCAGCTCCCCGTCGACGAGAGCGTATGTAAGGTTAGGCTCAGTTGGCCAGGAATGATGGGTCAATGTGCATGGGCCATGATGATCTGTAATGATACCATAGATGCGGCGACATGGAAATGCAAAAAAGGACCTTCATGAATGAACCTTGCTATATGAGAACAAAACCGATACTGCATCAAGATTCATGACAAAAGTAGATAATAAGTGTATCTTAGTAAATTAAACTGACAAGCCAACAATTTCTTGAAAAGTCTGCAAAAACAGAAGAGTTCTCGACACGATGATGACTTGGAGGCTTCTGCCCACAGCTCATTATTTTCTAAAGCTCAAGTACATATCAATACCCGTAGCGACTTGATGATTTCGCGATAGACTTGAACACATGAAAGCAGCCAAGACGTAAGAGCGGGACAATGAACAGTGTCTATGGCTGCACTACCTTCGCTCCTTAGACTGGATAAGTGCGGACGAGCTTGTTGTAGCCAAAGTCGAGTTGGAAGCTGAATAGAGGAGTAACCGCTAGGCAATGACCTACAAGGCAGGTGAACGCAAACGGGGTATCTCACCGAAGGTTGTCAGTGGCAGGCGGGCAGCTTGAGAAATTATCCTAAAGATGATAAAGGGGCTGCCAGCTGTTCGGCACTGGCAAGTTACTTTAGATTTCAACTTATTCAACATTTCTTATCCTTCATAGCCAATAACTACTTATCATCCCTCTGAAAAAGCTGTTCATCTAGAATACTCAATAGGCAGCACTGTAGCGTGAATATTCATTCGGACTCTTCAATAGCGGCAAACTCAGCCTACATCGTTCACTTCTGCATATTGTTCATCAGAATTATCATTACTCACCTCCAGGGCCTAACGCATTTACTTCTTTCAGATTGCACAGCTCATCACAGTCAAACCTTTTTTAGCAATCACTTTTACAAACTATTCACTTACCTCAGAGAAGCAGCTCGTGGAAACGATCACGCTTTCAGTCCGAGCATTCCCTTTTCTGCCCGAAAGCATTCACCTAAAGCATTCCGAATCAACAGCAGCCCATCATGCCACCAAAACAACCGCGCAAGCGCAAGTCTGTCGCATCACAAACCCCATCCCAGCGCCGGCGTCGTGGGGTTAAAACTATCCCCTCGACACCCATCTCGCAATCCATGTCCTCGTCTCAAGCCGCAAAGAAGCGACGAGTCGATGGTCGCAATAAGCGCATCGCCGAAACACCTCAGGCAAATAAGCGACGCGCTATTGGTAGCAAAGCCCAGCAAAGCCCAGAGAGAAACACTCAGCTCGCTCAAGGCACCTCTCCGAGCACACCTTTTGAAGTTTCGTCAGCTGAAAGCTCCGATTCTGATTGTAAAATCGACAAGGTACTGCCATCGCCAAAGCGCAAACTTGTCGCTGCTAGCTCACGAGCTCGCCCAGCCAAGAGGGTTAAGATGAAGCGCTCTAACGCCCCCTCATCCGATGATGGGTCTGACTGCGTTATTGAAAAGGTTCTTCCATCACCCAAAGGTCGCCAAGCTCTACAGGGAAAGGCAACAATCAAGCGGCGTAGAGTCGGCGACTCCCTTGATACTCCTGTTTGTATCGAGAGTGATGTCAACAGCGATGTTGAAGATGTGAACTCACTACCCCAACCAACACAGACACAAACTCCAGACGAGCCGCGAGCGCATTCGCCCGATATCATGGACGCTTTGGATGCATGGCTTGACGGTCCTCAGTCTGGCGAAGCTGCATCAGAAGCGGCTCAACAAGTCTCAATTTCTGTCATCGGAAGTAGCCCGCCAGCTATGCCATTCTCAACAGCCCCCGAACAACCCATTCAAAGCTCCTCGTCTACGGAAACCTCAAGTCGAGGGATTCAAACCCAAGAAGCTCAAATCGAGGCGTCTATAACCCCAGCACCTGACTTGGAAAACAAAACCCCACCATCGACCTATAAGCTCCAGCCGGTCTATAGCGGCGAGAACCTTCAGGAAACACATACTCCTGGTACACCTTCACAGTTTCACCCACATCATCGAGAGTCTCTTATCGGCCTAAAGAGCATTCTAAAAAGATCTAGCGAAAAGCCGGTATGCGATATTATCGAGATGTCTTCTTTCCTTGACATCTCCCCGCTTTCTGGAGATGATCATGCCATATCATCGCCAACCGAGCGAATTCAAGACAGCAAGCATCAAGCCAAGATAATTCGTTCGTCTGAGCGCAGAGTTTCCTAGGATGAACCTGCTATTAGACGAGCTATAGAGGATGAAACTATATTCACACACCCACCACCAGCAAGGAAGCTGACATTGGCGGATTTCCGATCGAAGAGTTGGACCCCATCTCAGCCCAGGGACGCATACCGACATTTGACCTCATCACCAAAGCCCTCGTCATGGCTTCGACAAAGTAAGTGCGACAACTTGTCGCGACAATGGATGAGGCTGACAATAGATCTAGAAAAAGAATTGAAATCATTGTCGTCTATCGCCGACGATACGGTCGCAGAGGAGGCTGCATCTGATCAGGGGACTCCCTCAAAGCCACCTACCGATCGAGTCAACCGTACTACCCAGAAGATGCTCAAGGTAGAGCCGCAAAGCTCCGACGAGGACTATTCGGACGAATGCCCAATTCAAATTAAGGAGTTGTTGGAATCAAGCATCATCAAACAGGAGACACCTTCGAAACTGCCTACACAGCCAGCTATGCGCCAGACTCAGAAGTCGGTCGAAGTCGAAAAACAGTGTGTCACTGATGCCAAAGTCACCAAGACCAGGCGCCATAAGCTTGCGAAACAGTTAAGACAGAGCGCGGAACGACAGTTCACAAACCCCAAGCCTCTATTTGGCAAAGCTCAGAAGCCGACGAGGATTGACGAGCAAAATGTTAGCGATGGTGAAGAATCTGAAGGCGAACGCCGGAAGAGACTTGAAGAAAAGCAGCTGGTACCGGTCTCAAATCCAAACTGGACCAAGCCCCTCTTCCCAGGCAAAGAGGTTATGCCTCAAGTCATTCGAGATAGTGTTTCGGAGCATGCTATTAAACCCACCGTGGCCTCTTTTAAGGAGAAATCTACAGCTGGTCAAGGATTCACCTTCAAGCACAATGACTCAAACCAAAAGTACAACTGGGATGTCGACTGGAATATCAACCAATCTCTCAGCGAACGTGAGTCGAGCGCCGTAGCCTTGGAACTGAAGCATAGAGGTATTAAGACCGAGAGGCAATACAACAATTTTTGGTACAATCTTACGATGAAGTTTTCATCAATCGCAGGTTCTCCTGTCCCACTCTTTACTGCAAAGAAGAAGGCACTGGAGACTGTTGTGGAGGAGGCGATGCGCAATGGCGAACAGCGGAAGGCCCGCAGGAAGGCTGCAAAGAAAGAGAAGCTGCTTAAACGCGAGAAGAAGAAGCATATTAAGGCAAAGAATCGTTCACGAATTGTTGAAGAAGTTCTGACCGCCAACAACGCCGATGAGAAGAAGCGTGAGAAGAAGACAAAGAAGCTTCCTCAAGGTGTGGACGCATTCTTGATTCCTGGCGATACTGACGAGGAAGGCAAGTCATCATCCGAGGATTATGATTCCGATTACGATGGAGAAGATTTGATGGCCAAGGTGCGAGCGGATATTGACAGGCAGCGAAGGATATCCGGAGGTGGAACAAGCTGTGGGTATCGAAAGGGGGGTCTTTAAAGACGCGATCGAGATGATATCCATGTGATGGAGAAGCGGATCAGTGGCTACCTGCCTTTAGTCAATGTAATGAGCATGTCACATTTTGGACGAAATGATCATAGTGGAATGTATAACAAAGGAACAGGGCGTAGAAGCCTCGCCTCATACAATTGATTGTCTGGATCCCTTTATTAAAAAAAAAATGAGACACGTTGCTGGGGTTTGTTATTGTGGTCTCGCTGTAGAAGGGTCAAGGATCGTAGGGCTCTCGGAAAGAACGGGGCGTAAAATTGCTTGTTTTTCCTCCCGTGTCGAATTAACTTTAGTATGGATGAGTCTGTATTCCGTACCGAGATGCAAAAGTTGAGGCCTCGCGGTTGTTAGGCCATGACTGGTTGTCCTTGTTTATTAGACGCGGGTTATGCGGCCGAGATTAAAGCAACAGGGGAGGGGAAGTGAAGCACAAAATTGACACTGTAGGGCTTCTGATTTACAGAAGGGTATTACACAGTTCCAAAACAAAGTTCACAGTGTAAGCCCCTGGCAGTGGCTTGGCTCGATAAGGCCATGTCAACAGACCCATGCAAAATCCACATCTGCAAATAAAACCAATGTCACTCTGCGGCTATTTTTGTATGCAACAATACAAGCATTCCATCTTTCTTTTTTTGCTGTCTAAACTAAGCTGTGGGTGGTGGGATCATCTCCTCTCTCTCGTTTGGGGATCGTCATCCACTTCCCGGTTTAACTTGTTGGTCTTGGTATCTTTGACTTCCAGGACTTGATTGAATCTTGACTTTCCTTGTCTTGATGCTTGAATCTCACTCGTTTTTCCTTCTCCCCTCTCTCGCTCTCCTTTCCATCTCTTGATTTCCTAAACCCATTTCCTTTTTGTCCCTCCACCTACTCAACTGCATATCATCCTTTTCATTCTTTCTTGTCTCAAACCCTTCAACAATAGAACTAATCAATCATCACCCCTTTGTTTTGGAGGCCACTTCATTCAAACCCGCGCTTAATTTTGGGTAATATTCTCGTCATCCCGGCCGCGACCGCTTATTATTACCGCCGTCTGGGGTTGCAAAATCTTGTTTACCTCTAGATAAGAGCACTATAGCATTGCTTGTTATTATTCCCTTCAAATATCATCCAACCCCCAGTCTATCGTTGATCGATTGAATCCCTCGAACCGCTCTTAACGGTACATCAAAACAACCTTCAACATTCGCTTCATACCCTCGCTTTTTATCCCTTTTTCAATCCTGAATTACTTTAGTACGACTTCTTTTGGCCCGGTTATTTGGTAATCGACTCCTACCCCGGCAATCTTGAAACAGCTCTACTCCTTCTCGTCCATAACAACGGTTACCGCCAAATCGATAAAGGAAAGCCAAGCACGGCATTGTCGAACAAAAACAGAAGCGAGTCCACCTCCAACAGTAACCGACGATATCACAAGCCACGATCCAGTACCAAACCGATTCATACCCCCAAATACCTGTACAAACCAATCATTGCGACACGAAAATTGTTTTCTTGAGGGCCCTCGGGCAATTCGACACTCCCCTCTTGTTCAATCCTTTCCTGCTCCACCGAGCGATGCGACAATGATTCGCACTCTTGATATCAACAGTGTTCTCCCCAGTCCCGACTCTCCTCCAGGAATGACCACCTCAAAGAGCTCAAAGACCTCATCTTTTCAATCGTATGACAGCGACGATGCTAGTGTCATGGCCGACATTGGCCATTTCGAGGAGATTGGTCTTGACGATGACAGCGTCACCCTCAAAAGTCCATCAAAAGTCGACGTTCGCCCTAGTCTCCCCAAGGCTCACTCAAGTCGATCTCTTGTAGCTGGCAAGACTGCTTCCAAAGCTCGACCGCCCTTCCCAACTCTCGAGACAAACGTATACACCTCCAACCCCCGAAGCACCAATCTGAGCGCATTGACAGAGCCCCTTTCTGCCACGCGCCCAAAGATGTTGACCAGTCCGTCCTCAGCCTCTCTCACATTCAATCGACGACGAAGCCCGAGTCCTGCTTCCTCGCTCAACCCGAGGGATCCGAGAGACCCGAGTTTTCCTGCAAAGCCCCGTCGAAGCAGCTGGCAGACTGCCCGTGAGCGCAAGTCTTTTACTGATCTCGAGCGTGAATGTGACGAGGACGACGGTGACGATATTCCCGATGGCATGTTTCTCGATAATGTGCCGCTGTCCCCTCGACCTATGCAGGAGCGAACACCCAGCAGACCGCCGTCCACATCGCCCTCCCCGAATCGATCCAAGGAACGGGTTCGAAGTGTCGGAAACGGAACACCTGCTGTAGCACAAGCCTCGGGCTCACTTCGTTCGCCAGCCTGGAAGACCGATACCCCTCGCAGTCCCGCCCAAACACGAGCGCATAGCTGGAACGCAGCACTGGCGGAACTGAATGCCGAAGCCAAAACTCTGACCGAAAAGCTCGAAGAGCACGCTGATGAGTTGGTCGAGCAACATATCAAGCGCCCCGCGAACCAGCGTCCCAACACCTGGAATGCATCTCGTCGTTCTGCCGACATGTACGAGAAGAAGCAGCGCGTCAAGTCAACACCTGAGCTGCCACCTCTTCGCAAGACCAACATCATGATTGACCCTCTCCCTGTTTCCAAGGAAAAGGAAGCTGTCTTGAGCCGTACGCGTCCATCATGGTTGCCGCCCAAGGATCCTGCTGAGGAACGCCGACACTTGAAAGAATATCAGAAAATGATGGCAGCCAGTGCAAAGGCCGAGGAGCGACGTGAAGCCTCCCGAAGAGCCAAGATCGAAGGACGAGACAGCACAGCCGACAATCTGATGCAAATTTGGGAGAGAGACGTTATTCCACGATGGAACGAGGCCATTCGAGAGCGCAGAACAAGAGAACTCTGGTGGAAAGGCATCGCGCCCCGTAGCCGAGGTGTTATATGGGGTCGAGCGATCGGTAACGAACTCGGTCTTTCAGAGACATCGTTCAAGGCAGCTCTTGCGAGAGCCCAAGAAATCGAGGCCAGAGTCAAGGATGACAAGGGTGATGCGGAGGATGCCAGAAGGGCAAGGTGGTTCCAAGAAATTCGAAAAGATGCCTCACACAACACATGGCAGGATCTCCGGATTTTCGACGTCGAAGGGCCTTTGCACCAGAGTCTCGTCGACGTGCTGAGTGCTTATGCCATGTACAGGAGTGATATTGGTTATGTTCGGGGTTGCAATGTAAGTATGCCCTCAGCCACCTTGTGCTACTTGAAATGCTAACCAAGTCCGTCAGACAATTGCTGCCCTGCTGCTCCTCAACCTACCCGATGTCCCGTCCGCATTCGTCGCACTCGCCAATGTGCTTAACCGCCCATTACCTCTGTCTTTTTATACTGGCGACCCAGGCGCACAAGCTTCCGCTTTCAACCTTGTCATGCAGACGCTGTCTCTCAAGTCGGCGCCTCTGCACGCGCACCTTACCAAAAAGATCCCAACTGCCGAACTTGAGCAATCCTTGTCGGGAATCCTGACAGCCATATTCACACAGCATCTGGCCATTGACGAAGCAGCCCGGCTATGGGACGTGTACGTCTTTGAAGGCGATGCTCTCTTGATTCGAGCTACCGTAGCGCTTCTCCTCAGCCGAGAGATGACGCTACTCGGCGCCAAAACGGCTGAAGAAGTCAAGACAATCCTTAACGAAAGAAATGCCAAGGTCTCTGCCGCCAGAGTTGCTGGCGAAGTGGGTGCCGAGGACAAATTTATGATGTCAGTCCGTGAGGCAGGAAAAGCTTAGGCGTTTGTAACGGGCTACCATTTTGGAAAGGCTCTTGGTCTTGGGGCTTGCTTGGTTCTCAAGCCGTAAATATGGTATAGATGGGGAACATATTGGCTCCATTTTCATGGCGTTTATTACACGGACTTCGGATCTTGGATAAGATGCGGAGGGAATGTTTATGAAGTATTTGGAGAGGTTATAGAGCGGTGTTTTTATCTTCGTAATTGCAGTTGACCATAATTGGACAACGAGATTTTGAATCAATATATTTTGATGATCAGACGTGTTTTATGAATTGGCACATGTTAAATTGACATAAAGGATTAGACTTGAGTACGTACTTGACTAAAAGCTCAATATACCGAGACATTGTGGTGTTGCACTAACGGATCACCAGTTGTACAGCGGTTTCACCGTTGACAAACTCAATCCAAAGACTTCTACGACACAATTGAATGTCAGCTAAAGCCGCAATACCATGGAACTTGTAGTGGAGGCACAAACAATTAGACCCAGAGCTGGACACTGCTAAAATCTGGTTCACGTAGTAGAAAACTCATCCATGGTGCAGGGTAAGAAAAATATGGTGTTTCAGCCTTGTATCATGCAAACAAAGCAAGCCGTGAGCTAGACAACAATGCCTGTCAATGAAACGAAGTCTCTGTTTATGACGACTATTGCTTCCTGTTTCATCGTTTATCCCTCATCAAGCGCGTTTGGTAGCGCGTTAATATTAGGGGCATATCTCAAGAGGCTAACAGAGCATCAGCACTCGCCTTTGACAACAGAATGCTGTTGCTCCTTCAGACAGGAGATATGTTGAAAAGTTTGTCTAAATAGTAGATAAATTCCAAAACAAACATGTCGTAACAATGTGGGAAGTGACTATCCCAGGTCGTCCTACCCTTGGGAAGCACCAACCTCCAAGGTGACACGAATGAAATGCCACGTGATCACCGCCAACTTTTGACCCCTCACCACGTACCGCGCAATCAACGAGAGCAGACAAAAACATTCAATCACCACCGTCCCAGTCATTCTCTCCACCCACTTACACCGCGAAAAAAGCATCCTAGACTGGGGCGACGCGACACGACACTCGTTCAAGATGCCAGCCGGATATAAGCATGGGGACACCCCCAAGAAGGCCATGGTTCGAGGCACCATCTCGTACCTTGAGTCTCAAGGCCTCCCCGTCAACAAGTCAGCCATCTTCAGGCACTTTGACCTGTCTCGTTCTCAGGGTTATGCCGCGCTGAGTGTTCCCGCGTCCAAGCGCAATGACCCCGAATGGGAGGAGACGCGTGGAAGACCACTCAAGATCTCCGAAGACGATCAGCAAAAGATGGAAAAGATCCTGTGGGACGACAATTATGTCAACGTAAACTTGAACTGGCACGGTCTCGCCAAGGAGGCTGGTGTCGAGGTGGACGTGAACCCAAGGACTCTGCACAGGACCATGGGTACGCTGGGCTACCGACGATGTCTGCTATGCCCACGCACCTGGGTGCACAAGAAGGCTCGTGAGAAGCGAGTTGAGTATGCCCGGCGCATGCTGGAGGCGTACCCGCAACCTGAAGATTGGCGAGCTGTTCGATTCAGTATTGAGCTGCACTTTGGATTTGGTCTTGATGGAAAGATGCGCCTTATTCCCCGTCCCGGCGAGCGAGTTTGCGAAAGTTGCACCACCAAACCTGAGGCTGATTGGCCACGCGACTTGCGAAAGGCTCATGCCTGGGTTGCCGTGGGCTATGGATTCAAGAGCGACACCGTCTTCTACGAAGATTCAACAAGCCCCAACTGCACTGGTGTCATGACCATGCAGGAGTACAAGGACCACATCCTCGAAAAGACAGTCAAGCCATGGCTCAACAGCACCGGCCCGCAGAGTTTCATTCTCGAGGAGGACTGTGAGGCATTTGCCCACGGCGCTGCGAGTAAGGTCAACTTGGTTCAGCAGTGGAAGGACGAGCACAATCTGCGATACTACTACAACTGCGGCGACAGCCCCGACCTGAGCCCTCTCGACAGCCTCTGGCCCGTGAACAAGCAGTGGACGATGGAACCACCCAAAGACTGGGAAGACGAGACGCTTCAGAAGATGGTACGCGACGCGTGGGCAACCTTTGACATGGAACGGCTCAACATGTGGGTCAACTTTATGCCGCAGCGACTAAAGTCTGTGATCGATACCGACGGGGCACTGGTATCTTGGTGATGATTGAGTATGGCGTTTATCTTGTTCGTGATGGTGTTATGAGCGATGGACTGAGAAAAAGAAGATTGGAGGCATGTTATGCTGGGTATATTTTGCTAGAATCTTGTAAAGTTTTGTTATAGCATCATAAATGGCATGATGTTTGGCTGATGACATAAACAAAGAGAAAATGGAAGAATTGCAATGATTAGCAAAGAAAAGAAGTTTCGTATCTGAATATTTTTCAACGTTGATGTGTGGATTAAGCCGAGTTCTTTATTTCCATCAGTTCAGTCGCTATCGTCAAGCCTGGATAATTTGGTTGCTCAAACCAAAAGAACGGAATCAATAAGTTAGGCTGGCTTATATTATGAGGTGCTTTAGTTATGCCTTTTGCATTGCCCTGTTCTGTTATTCCCTGGTTTTTCGATGAGTCTAGGCTATGAATCAATACCGGCTGCCTCGCACTGCAAACAATCCACCACCTGGGACTCCTTAACCACTCTTACATCCACACACCTTGCATATTTTGGCCAATCAAGACTCTGCTCACTTTTTCCCTTCTGTTCAAATAGAATCCTCACGCTGCGCCGACTTGTCATGTCTCGTTATCTCATTCGACTACGCTCCCTTTCTCCGTTTGCCTAATATGAGACCTCCAAAGTCACCCTCCAAAAGGAAGGCGACCGAGGGTTCTCCTAAGTTTAGATATCGGAGCTTCACTAACTTTGGAACTTCTCCTATTCCGAGAAGCCGTCAAGCCAGAAGATAGCTACTTTTGGATGGGTCGCTACCTAGCTACCGGCACCCCTTCAACCATAGGAGATGACCAAACTCCTCCTCAAGCTACGAGGGATAATATCTGCCAGGTGAGTCAAAGATGTATCATCCTTTTTATAATAGCTTATTTTGGCGAGTTCGCGACACATTCCAGCATCCACTAACTTCTCAAGTTTAATCTTAATCGGCGAAATGTGCAGCGAGGTGATGTTCATCCTGTCGAACATAGACCCCTTGCTATGATCACCAAATATCCTCCCGTGGTCGAGAAGCCTACTGTATGGAACGAAACCAACAGAAACAAGACCGAACGAAAAGAAAGTCAGTCAAAGAAGCAGAAGACTGCGCAATCTGAGCCTGAGCCTCCTACAGTCCATTCCCAACCTCCAACAACGGATTTCGAGAGTGTCATTTGGCCTGAAATGCAGGAGAAGGTCAGGTCCCTCATCGAAGTAAAAGTTTCGGAACATATGGAAGCTATGTTGCAGGAAAGAAAGACTGAATTGGAGTCTTTGACTCGCCCTCCACTGCTTAAGGCGGACAGTTCGCCAGAGGTTTACCTCGCTTACGTTCAATTCCTTCAGCACAGAATAAAGTCTACGGCCAAGAACACGCCAATGATGCGAAAAACTGAAGCTGTTATGTCGTTGGCGATGGACTTGGAGCCAGGAATAGAGAAATGCCTTCGCGAGCATCTAGTTCAAATCACCGCCGAGGAGAACACTCAAGTGGAAAGCCAAGACTTGGCCATGACTGAGCGAGAGTGTGTCGAGGAAGAAGAACTGGAGATAGACGACGAAGATATTGTCACAATTCCGGACGAAAACGATTCCGACTATCAGGACGATCCGGATGATGTCGATGAGGAAGACGAAATCTTGCCTTCCATCGAGTGTCTTACCCCAGTTACGACACCCACAACCGTGAACCAACTGAAAAGATACGAGAAACGATATAAGGAGTATTGCCGGTCTGCCGCATCGGAGAGAGAAGTGCATAGTCGTGTGTTCAGTCCTTTGGATGGGTATACAAATATACCAAATGATGACTCTGATGAACCTCGACAAGCTTGTGGTCTCCCTGAAACACCAAGCAAGCTAAACGAACTAGAAGAGACTCCGGACGGAAAATGGGAACTAGGGAAGATTTCCAACGACAAGAAGAGATCATTCAAGATGACGCCGACACCAACCAAAGCAGTCAGCAAGAGACGCTGCACAGTCAAACACTCGCCTGGATTTACAAGCCCGGTGTCGTCCATGTCTTCGTACTTTCCATCACTACAGGAGATGTTCAGCTCAAGTCTGGGACGACAGTCATCTCCGGCAACACAACCGAGTCCCTCCAGAAGACAGCCTTCTCTGGCTCATAGTCCAACTCCTAGCCCAGCAGTGAGAAGATCTGTGGGAACAGAAGACACCTCTGGCAGTACTGGTGCTACCCATAAGCCTCCTCCAGTACCGCTGTTTGGAGAGTCGCCCGGTCTGTTCGTGACTCCTGATCCAACTTCTAACACTAGCCCCTTTACCTTCAAGCAAAGCGCGTCTAGTAGCACACGGAAGGTTGAACGGACACAGCGCGAGGGTACATTAACCACTCGCTTCCGAGAGACGGCGGCAGATTTTGAGGCCATGGATACATCTGAGAAGCTCCTGTTGCTGTTTAAAATGTCCAGAGGAAAGGAGAAATAGCCACGTTGGGTGTATTGTTTCAGACTGCAGCTTTGGGAAGCGTTGATTTGGATGGATCGACGATGCAGAGTATTTGGAAAGTACTCTTAGGGATTCTGGTATTGTAATGTGTTGGGATAAGGTGCGAGAAGATAATAGTAGAGTGAACAGACAGAATTTGTGAAGTGAGTATGGAGAAGCTGTTTGTACATAAATTGCAGACCATTCAAATAGACTGCTAGGTATTTAGATGACCTGCTGTCGCAGGAACGATGACCAAGCTTTCTATTTTAGTTGTTGTTAGTATAGTTGTGTCCAATGTTGAGTGCCATATCGATCGCGGCCTTGTGACAAATGATTCCCATATTGAGTACTGTTAAACGATGGGATGACAGCCAATGCTAGGGCTAGTCTGGAATAACAAAACGATAAGTATACAAGTCTGCATAAGTCAGCTTAATATTTTATTTCCTAGACATCTACGAGGTTTCTGCCACCCCTGGCGAGGCACTGCCAAACAGTGACCATCAGATATGAACCCTCAGGGAATTAAGAAAGTTAACCGCTAGAAGCGTGAGATACAAAATTATTAGGTCAGTCTACGATGCTCGGATAGAAATCCTTAGGGTTGTTTTTCTCCTAAAACTTGCAGGCCAATCTCTCTGTTGCCTACAGCTACCCACTAACCAAGGCAAACAACTCCCCACCCACTCAGCAGCCTTTCACCTTACAACAACACACAGACAAACCGGCGGGTTCACACACAGCATTCATTATTCTCAATTTTATTTCGGCCCGTCAAATAATTTCACCGGGACTGCCCATTGACGCACCGCATCAATCATCCCACCATGGAAAAACCAGGAAAGAAGGATAGAAAAGGGGAGAAAGAACCGCCAACCAACGTTATTGACTTGAGCTGTTCGCCGGCTTCTAAATCGTTCATGACGACGTCTAGTTTTCCCGCGAATGCCCCGAAGGGTCCATCGCGAGAACATTCGAAAGCATGGAGAAATAAATTCACCTACAACTCCCAACCTCTTCCTATATTCTCGAGTAACAATCCGCCAGACCCGCCCCGTGCGGGAGTCAATGTCGGCCCTGCGTCCTTGTGCTCTCGAACAAGCAACGACACTGAAAGATCATCTTACGGTACTGAGTCTAAGATCAAAGTCTTAGAGATTTGCATGTCCCTAAAAGACAGATACTTGGCTGTCCCCAATGCACCGCATGCAGATCAAGAGCCCTTTTGGGGGCGGTTATTGGAGATGCTAGATCTAACACCAATCACAAAAGCGAAATTTAAAGACTGGAAGGAAGTACACCGAGCTGTCGAGCATTGGTGTCAAGCTCGTCGATCCTACATGAGAGAGAACCGACTCCGTCCGTATCGCAGTCACAACCTGAACTGGAGACCCTCATAGACCAGTTGAACTTGGTATTTGCACAGCGTTTCTGCCAGATATACCATGGATACTTTGCCGCGACTTCGCAGTTCTCGGCGGGTCCGACTGAGCCTACAACAGGCAAACGGGAGCATGTTGGTCTCACTCCTTGTTCGAATGGGACTTCTGTTCCAGCAAATACTTCAGCTCCTCCAGCGCGATCAGCGTTTTCAGACCCCCAGATAGTCCTGCTGCCGTCAACATCCAATACAAACATGATACAGCGTCTGGAGAAACCCGAGTCTCAACTAAGTAACTCTTCTACGCAACAATATGATTCGAGGAAGAAAAAGGATTTGGAGCCCCCCATTCACAGTACTGGAAGCTCTGGCCTTAAGGAGGAAACACGACAAACACTGTGTATGAGCAGTCAAAGCGACCACGTCTTGACAACCACCACAACTTACCTCCAACGGGAGATACACTTAGAGGCAAAGAAACCCGCCATCCACGCTCGCCACCTTTTCGCCGACCTCCGCTCCCATCACTGTCACCCCCTTGGAGGAGGAACGGTGCTCGGTACCAGGATCAGTATCGTGAAAGGAGACATCAGAATTATTATCAAGGCGGTCGACATCAAGAGATCGACAGTTATAGACCCTCTCCTAGAGTAATGCGCGAGACTACGGCAAAGTTCGAAGGCATGACAATCCAGCAGCAGAATATGTCTCTTCTTCGTCAAATTAAGAAAGTCCAGGATATGGTTGAGAAGAAAAATTGAAAACTGCGACGGGGATTTAGGAGGAATTGACTGCTAATATGGGTAGTCGACGGGTGACGGGCTGGGCACCCGCAAGAGCATAGCCGCTTGTTGGCATGTATTGAGAATGTTTACACGAGCTGTTCAAAAGTGTATTTGAGCTAGATGGCATCGAATGGCCAAGACGTTGGAATAACTTGGGACCCTTGTTTTCAAGATGATATCGGGAACCGACGAATATTCGAGATCGAATGATCATGATCTGACTCGAGGTGAAGGATTGGGGATCATTAAATGTTGGGGAGAGACCTTTATTACTGGTAGAAGAATCAACTTGAGTTATTAAAATTGATTGGAACAATACCACTGCATCATGTCCAAGTCTTTCCATGAAAAGAATATATCAATTCCTGTCTTGATTGATGGCGTTGTATTAGTGACTATATTGTTGCTTTCAAGTTGAATTGACTCCAAAAAGGAGGGGTCATGGAGAGATCCAATAGCGGGGTTTGGGGGTCCTTCAAGGATTTAAATAACTAAAAATCCAAAGCCCAGAGCCGCGAACCACGGAAAAGAGCCGCTAGCGGGCCAGACACGTGGGGCACCTGGACCCTAGAACAAGAGGCGAGTCGATAAAACAGTCCATGATATTTTCTATCGATTGCATTGATGACCAAACAATGAAAATGATCAAGGCAATTAGTATAGTGCTCAAGTATCAAGCAGGATAAAACCTATAAAAATAATGAACAGGACCATATCCTTCACCTTCCCTGTTTACGTCGCTATCCATCCAGCCAGGGAACCAACTTCATCGTCCAACGTCTCCACTTCTTCTTTGACCCTGGACGCCGATGCCAAGACAAAGGGTCCCGCCTTGAACTCAACAAAATTCCCAACAGAACGGAAGTAAAAAAATTCCATCTTCTTTCCTTCCAATTGACATGGATCGATAAGGACCTTTCGATGAAGTGAACGTGCACTGTATTCGGAACATCCGATTCTCTTTTCACTTTTTCTTTTTCCCCACTAAAGGAAAACAAGTCGGAGAAATATCCCCGAGTTTCATATCAGTTGAAAGCTTGAACTGCGCCATACACAAGTTGGCTGACAACCATTGAGCTTCGGTTAAAGCAGTACATCAGGTATTTGCGGATATTTGTTCGGTAATGCAGTTGTGGCAGATACTTTGCTCTGCTGCGCCGCATCCCATTGATTCCCCAGGTTTGTCTGCAGACTCAAACTTGGCCTTTGACAAGTGACGATGCAATCATGTACTCTGTACTGTGCTACGGATGACCGTTCCGTAAACATAAAGTTATCTTAGCACGAGCTGACCATTCATACACACACCTCGGTTCATGACCAAATATCTACAGAGTACATAGACTTTCACATGTCGATAAACACAATGCCTTTCATCCATGATGCGTTGCTTTGCAGCCATCAAATAATAGCCATCTCGATACTTTAGACAAAGAGGCGATTAACTGCTACAACATCTTGTCAATGCCATCAAGCTCTCTCTTCCCCACAACGGTGCCGGGGTGGAAACAATTAACCAGATTTATCTCCCTTGTCCGTTGTCTGAGCTTTTCTCCCGCCTTTTTATAGCCAATCGTCTGGGATTCAATTCACATCGCATCGTCAACAAAAAAAGCCAGCCACGATCTAGAAGGGAGTCAAGGGAGCCCTGTCTTGTCAGGCCTGGGCCGCTAAGATGTGGTGCTTGTGGTCGACGTCGACGTCTTCTCCCGGTTCCCCCCGTTTGTAGACCACCTCCCAAAGGATTTTTTTCATGACTTGATTCACATGTCGATGATCTCCAGCCCTAAGCAATTAGAGTCCACTTTGGACCCGCACGAGCTTCCAACTGGAACCCCCGATTTGGACTTTGGGAAGAGGGGCGACCTTCGAGTTTGTATGGATGTACTTTGGGATAGTGAGGCTCGTCTCGGTTGAACGCTCTAATTCGACGCCATCAATTGCTATCACAAGAGGCGTTGCTGCATTTGTGTTTCACCCACCAGTTTTATGTATCTGTCGTCCGTACAGTGCAGTACAGTCCAGCGTGATAAGCCAATCTTGTTGCTGTCGGACAGGTCCCGTTAGTGGGAGTAGATCCATTCTTCAGGCGGTGTGAAGATCTGAACCACTGTTCGAGGCTGAAGTATTGGTATTCGTCACATTGACTGTCCATTGATGGCAGAGGCTCAAAACTTTGGAGGCGACGTCTAAACGTTATATTGCGCGCTGTTTGTTCCAGAGTCGGCCAGACTTGGGGACAGTCTGAGCTTTGACAACCCCATTCTGCATTGTGGCACGGATACATGGATTGAGACCAACGGTATGTCAATGGGAAAGAGTCTTTAGACACTATCAGGAAAGCCATCTTATCTGATGACCATAGTTGAGAAGCTTAATTGGAGTATAGATACCTGTGAAAATGTCCCGTGCAAGTGTAGACTTGGCGATTCAGCCAGCCACCATATGCAAAAATCCCTAAGCCGACTCAACCTGCAGCAAAATTCGAGACACAGAACAGCCAGCTGTCGTAAAACCAAGACACAGCCCGACAACGAATAAGCACCCACTAATGAGACGGTTGTCCCGTCGGGATGCTTCTGCTTCGGTACATGGGAGCCATTGCCACTTTCAGGGGTGGGTTAAACCAGGACCCATTTTCTAGCGCATTTTCCTGGGGTATGGGTTTTTTTTGTTAGTGATTCAAATTGGGGCGTCTATTTTTCTGCTTCGTTTTGAAGCAATTGTATCTGCATGCAGTTGGAAGATGTTTACAGTTGAAGAGTTCTTGTATAGAATAACTGTTTGAAAGAGTGAGAGTTGATTGTAGAATTCTAGTTGGCAAACTTTCGCTTATCGCTCATTGCATAAACCTACCTGCTACTGTACCTGTCTCATCTGAGGATTGTCGATCTTTTCGCCAGAGACAGGAGAGAAAAGCGGCGCTGTAGACATAACAAACAACGATAGTATCAACTGAGAGTAACGTACCTGTCCATTATCGTTCCACCTTTGGTTATTTGCCCGCATTCGCCGCCACCTCTGCTTTGTGTTGCCGCTGCTCTGAGAGGTTAGGTTCCTCGTCCGCTGTCCCGCCCGCGGCAAGTACTTACACCTGCCCTTTTTTAGGTGGGCTCCCCCCCAACAAAACGTTGCCGACAAGCATCCACGTAGGACAGTTGCTTTAAAACTTCAGCCCCCCGTTGGCCATCTCGAAACTCTTTTCTTTCTCACCTCCCCTCTTCTTTCCTCTTGATCAGTTTGCATTCGGCATCTCGACTTTCTCTTTTGTCGGCCGTATACCTTCCTTCAAAATGGCGTCAACTTCGGCTCTGCCTAAGCAGAACCCTGCTCTTAGACGCACCGTCACCTCCACCACCGTGACGGACACTGAGTCTGCTGCTGTCTCTCCTTCAGACTCTCCCCGCCACTCGGCCTCTTCCACCTCGCTCTCATCTCTCTCCGAGGTCGACATTGCCAAGCCCAAGGCCGAATATGGTGTTATGCTTGACACCTACGGCAACAAGTTCGAGGTTCCCGACTTCACTATCAAGGAAATCTACAATGCCATTCCCAAGCACTGCTTCAAGCGCTCCGCCCTCAAGGGATACGGATACATCCTTCGCGACATTGTCCTCCTTGCTACCACCTTTAGCATCTGGCACAACTATGTGACCCCCGAGTACATCCCCAGCACTCCCGCCCGCGCTGGTCTCTGGGCCGTCTACACCATTCTCCAGGGTCTTTTCGCTACCGGTATTTGGGTCATTGCTCACGAGTGTGGCCACGGTGCTTTCTCTGACTCTCGCCTCATCAACGACATCACCGGCTGGGTTCTTCACTCTTCTCTTCTCGTCCCCTACTTCAGCTGGCAGATCTCCCACCGAAAGCACCACAAGGCTACCGGAAACATAGAGCGTGACATGGTCTTTGTTCCCCGAACTCGCGAGCAGCAGGCTACTCGTCTCGGCAAGATGACCCACGAGCTTGCTCACCTCACTGAGGAGACTCCCGCCTTTACTCTGATCATGCTTGTTCTCCAGCAGCTCGTCGGCTGGCCCAACTACCTCATGACCAACGTTACCGGCCACAACTACCACGAGCGTCAGAAGGAGGGCCGTGGTAAGGGCAAGCACAACGGTCTCGGTGGCGGTGTCAACCACTTCGATCCCCGCAGCCCTCTTTACGAGCACAGCGATGCCAAGCTGATCGTCCTGAGCGATATTGGTATCGGCCTGATGGGTACCGCTCTGTACTTCCTCGTCCAGAAGTTTGGCTTCTACAACATGGCCATCTGGTACTTCGTTCCCTACCTTTGGGTCAACCACTGGCTCGGTAAGCTTTCATCCATTCCATTTTGACGACAAGTACTAACCTTTATAGTTGCCATTACTTTCCTCCAGCACACCGACCCTACTCTTCCCCACTACACCAACGACGAGTGGAACTTTGTTCGCGGTGCCGCTGCCACCATCGATCGTGAGATGGGTTTCATCGGCCGACACCTTCTCCACGGTATCATCGAGACTCACGTCCTCCACCACTACGTCAGCAGCATTCCCTTCTACAACGCCGACGAGGCTACCGAGGCTATCAAGCCTGTCATGGGCAAGCACTACCGTGCCGACGTCCAGGATGGCCCCCGTGGTTTCATTCGTGCCATGTACCGCAGCGCCCGTATGTGCCAGTGGGTTGAGCCCAGTGCTGAAGCCGAGGGTGCTGGCAAGGGCGTTCTGTTCTTCCGCAACCGCAACAAGGTTGGCACTGCCCCTGCCGTCATCAAGCCCGTTGCTTAAGTGGTGTTACGACATTGGATCTGTGAAGGAATATCTGAATGTTTGAGCGTTGATTGTTCCAAGTTGGTTTCTCGTTTACGGGGAGGTCTCGTCGTGGGTATGGCGGGGCAGGGGTGGTGGATGAAAAATAATTTTGACATAAGCATTGAAGATTGAGCAGCAATAGAGCAAAGATAGACGAGGCGACACTCGATAAAAAGATCAAACCATCATTTCTTGGATATTCGCTACCGTTATTGTGTTGTGATGAACTTGCTTTGTTTTTGAAAGGTTGTGTTTGGCTGAAGTAGTTTGACTACGGGATGCTCGGATCTGGTAAGTGCTCCATGATCAGATTGCGGGGAAAGAACAACACGTGCTCCATAACCGACTTTCATGGTATGGGCATTTGACAATGATTTCGTACTGTAATTTCGTATTGATGTTTGTATCATTGGATTTGGAGTTTTATGGGTCTGCATGAGAAGCTCTCCGGGTGGCGCTCAAGGATATTTTTGAGGGCATTCAGACGTAGGTATGCAGATCGCCTTGTGGTGCGGGACGTGGTAGAGTCCAAGACTACCAAATATACACACATATCTATCAACTGATTATTTCTTTACTATTCGTTGACTACTTATACTGAAGACATCTCTTGATCTCTCGTTAAAAGCCTTGTGAGAACCTCAAGATGAGGGAACGAGATGCTCGTTGTGATATTGTATGTAATTACCATGTATGCCAGTTGTTCTCTATCTAAAGCAACAATGCATTAATATAGAGATTTATAGCATAACTCTATATAACATTGTGCATAATCTTAATGCGTCTAAAACATAATCATATCTTCGAGAGAGTTTTGAGCATAAAATTAAATTATATCGTGATTATTTACAAAATCCCCAGACCTCTAATAACCTCGGACTTGTTCTATTTCTTTATTCCTACAACCCAAAACTACGACGAACCACAAACGCCAGCTTCAACCCAAGATACCTTCATTGAGTTGTACAACCCTTGCAACTACACACGGTGCATTATATGTCTTTTACGATGTCTATACCTTCGGAATGTGGTGACACTTCAAATCACAACGATACCAGAACGTCACAACTGAGTATAGAAAGCCCGATCACGACAAGGGATGTTATAGTCCCAGAACATTCTGCACCTCCAGAAAAGCTCACCATCCCAAACGACACTACTACGGAGCCCAAAGCCACAGAAAATAGTTTGAAGAGGAGGAACAGTTGCAAAAGCACTGGTCCTATCAAGAAGGCTAAAATATCAGCTGATACCGAGACTTCGGAGGACGCCAAGACCTATGAAAACACGAAAGGTCTAGATAGCCCGAACAAGGTCTTGGGAGATGATGACTTGGTGTATTTACTCTTTGCGATTCATGTAAAGGCTGTTATGCGCGTGGAACGAAGGAGGTTCTACAGGGTTTGCTGAATGAAGCGAGGTGACGATTCCAACACTTTCATAACTGTCACTCGCAAGCACTGTTGGCACTGCTATGGCGATATTAGGTCAAGGGCCTGGAAAGATGAGTAAGCTGCAACAATAGTTATCTAGCCACAGATGTTAATGATTCACGAAACTCATATCTGTGTTTCTGAAAAAAAACCATTCTGAAGTTGATTGTGATAGACCCAAGGAGGAAGGGAGGTCAATATGATTTGTGCATAGACTATTGGAAAACAAGAGTTGACAAAAATACAAAATAAACAATATGAAGTGTGATCTAAGTAGTATAATCTGACCTTATAGTTTGTCTTTGGTATTCCTGTGGGGATTCGAACTCACAAGACAAAAAAGCGAAGGCACACTTGAGGTGCAATTGAACATATCAGCTGTTTTGTATTGTTCAGTAGCTACTTCGCTGGTGGAAGAGTGTATTATTTTGTTATAAGTAGGTATAGGCTTAGAGTGATAGAGTATAGAGTTATGCGTATGAAGTTAAACGTGATGACAAGACAAAACTATGGGGTGGTGGCATGACAAGTATTGGAGTAACTAGTGATATATAAGTTAATTGCAGCGAATCTATTATCAAACATCCGGTGTGGTGTATCGGTTAGCATACCGCGTTTTCATTAATAGAAATCCGCGGCGAGCGGGGTTCGATTCCCCGCACCGGAGTTTCTTTTTGCCTTTTCTAGAGTGAACTTTTTCTTCCCACCGTTATATGAATACTCCGCTGGTCGTTTACATGCCGTGAAAGAATTTTGGCATGATTTCTATGTTTGCAAATCTCAATCAGCTGTGATGTCATTCTGGTATTAAGCAGTTCAGGCCAATCTCCTGGAATGTGATTCAAGTGACAGAACCAAGAACATGGAACTGTTGGGATTTCCAGGTCACTGGACGACATCAATATTCTCTCCAATCATTTGTAAATCATCATGGAGATTGCCCTGATGTGCAACGCATTTGGACGGGTAACATTGCTGAGCTTATGTTGAAGTTACAGCCATAAGGTGACAGTTAACATAATCAGCATTGTGCGCACACATAACTGTAAATGAGGTCTAAACACGCGTCAAGGCGAAGCGATTATGGATTCTCTTGTTGCTGTGTATCTGTGGTATGATGCTCACTGAGATTGGTAACTTGCCATCCTGGCTTATATCGCGCTGACTTTGATCTCCTGTGCCCCTTAATAGCTCAGGAACACAAGACCACATAAGGAACTTAATCCTTACGACCGGGGATGTATCAATTCTTTAGGTTGAGTATTCTTAACACTCAAAGCAGATGCTTATCTCAATCATGATGTTCAAAACTATATCGTTGTGCTATTGCATGTTCAAGGAAGTATGCAAGAAACGGGCTTCGATGAATTCTCACTAGCCCTTCCAACCCAATTACACATTTGATATCACAGCCTCTGCTTCTATCGATGACGAGGAAACAATGCGTCTCCTTGATTGACCTTACTATCGTTACCAATGCCAGTCCACCATCCCCCTCTTACTTGACAACATTCACCCGGCGTGATGTACTCAACCCTTTATCTGAAAGTGCCAGCTCTCTCGAGCTTGAGTTTGGCACACGTAATGATGGGATGTAGTATAGATTGGCAGGTGCGTTGGAGGAACGGCTCCGAATGTCTGACGTCCTGCTAAAAACGTCGTTAGACTTGCGGTTAACCATGAACCCGGAAACAACACTAGACTTAAAACGAATATGTCTTGATATGTCCTGATATTTGGTCAACGTTGGCTCAACGAGCCAGTTCAAGGTACGTCATTGAATTCCAGTCACCGTTTCGTGGATATGCTTGACAGGCGACAACAACGGAATCTCTTGTTTCCGAATAGGTAGTGTATCACAAGTAACTATGAACTAGACATCATAAGCAACTCAGATATTCGGAAACGTCTTATGGTGGACCGAATACCTGGAGCGCACTGGAACTTCCCCTGGCTTTGCATGCCCCATTCAACAACGCTAGGGATGATGTACGGACCAATAATTCCGTTAATTTGGAAAGGTCCTTAATAAAATTAAACGAGAAATATCACATGGTCCTGACGATCTTGTAGGAGAAAGGTAGGAGGTGACGTGGGAAGTCCCGTATCTTTTCATGAGGCTCTTGGGCTATTCTTAAGACGGCAATGGCGTTTTGGGGAATATGACTAGTCAAATTGATGATCAGGTTTTCAGATTTTCTTAAGCACCTTGTTGTGCCTGCCCATCAAAATAATGTGCTTGTGGGATAATGTGTAAAGTTTGATCGACCACGTTGACCTAGCCTTGTTCCTTTCTGAAAGGCATGGATCGACTATGTTGATTCCCATAGCAGCCATCCGCTGGATAATGTTGGGCATCAAAGGCTAAATGGGGTATCGCGTCGTATTAATGACCAGGTTATCGTATGCGACGGTCCCATCTGAGCGATGCTTTCCGAGGACAGAGAAATGTAGACCCCTGATCTGATGCTGCGCCAAGCCTAAGCCACCGGGAACAAGATCCGGAAAAGGTGTCAAGGGAAATGACATCAGAATCGTTGATAGGGCTGTATGTGACAAATTTATGTTAACACAAACAACTGCACTCCAAGACGGTATATTTGGGATGAGGTGGCTTCTCACCTGCTGTATTTGACAAAATGCGACTTTTTGTACCTGTGACGATAGTAAATCAAACAAAAAAGAGATTGGATTGTGTCAAGAACCTCATCATTGTACGTCTCAGGATGATAGAGCAGGTTTCCTATCATCCATTCTTCCCCTTTCGCTAGCAGCAGCGCCAAGGACGCCGTTAAACAAATGTGCTGCTCAAGTCAAGACTTTGTTCATACTGACCCAAAGCCGTTGATGTCGTTCTAAACTTAGTTGAGTGAAGAAGGTCGCATCTCATTATACTGTCAAGATGGTCACTTTTCAGCTGTGGATGCACGACTGAGCGGGACTCTAGAGTAATTCAGTTCAACTATCTGCAGATTAGGGGATGTGACTAATTACGTGTATTCTGTATGACACTGGTGCATGGCATGTGTGACGTTCAGGTACGCCTGGATAACAACTTCAAGCATCTTCACTCTAAACAATCGAGAGAGAAGCAACTTCATAATGTCAATGTTCTTTGAATAAAACCGGGCCGCAATCATAACCCCACAACCGTGTCGCTTGCAGCATTAGCCTACCCGTTTTCCCACTGAAAACAGCATTTCTCCCAAATTAATTGACAGCAAACGTTGGGAATCGAGGCACAAACTAGCTGCAACTGAAGCATTCCTTAACCATGACGATCGACGCCAGACAATTGTTTTTTAAGGATCTACAGGTCTCTCCCCAGATCACCATACCGTCAAAGGGAGCTTCAAAGGCTTATTTGCGGCCAACAAGAAGGATTGGACTTGATCATTGGGTGGACACCAAGAATTAAGATAACTTAAGCTATGTGGATATGGTATCGAAAGAGGTCAAGGTTTAACCGAAATCCAATAGGGATAAAGATCCGAATCCTAAACGGGACAGTAGTTGAGGCTATTACCAACGTTCCCTTGACCTACACAACCATGACCGTAGAGACGGACTCGGTGGGCTGTGTCCAGGAACGTGACTTGAACATTTCTGCGCTGGTGGCTGCCTCTGATGTGATAAGTTATGATCTATCAGAAGCTGTGGGCAAAGTTGGGTCCGATTAAACTTCTACTCAATGTAGCTGAAGCACTACACAGATTATCCTCGAACTTATGGACGTATGACGACATGCTAGTTGCTGTGACTGGGATGTCATGGTGCCAAACTAGGTTGAATGTTTCTCGGTATAAGGAAAGAACTCAACTATATATCATGAGGATCATCTCATAGATACCCCGGATCATCAGGTCGATCAATACCGACTCCAACAACCAATTCAATCATGGCTCGTAGAATGAGCTGGCGAGCCACAGTGGCTGCAATTCTTACCATCACTCCAACAAAAACCCATTCTGCCCCATGCGATGCCCAACGCACTGGCATGTTATATGCCGGAGGCTGTCCTCTACCCGGCGTGTGCAGCTGGGGGACTTGCAACACTATCACTATTGAACTCGACACTTACAACTGCGGAAAGCGTAATAACTCCTGCGAATCTGGGCAGCTTTGTGTTGCTGGTGGATGTTACTCCCTTGAACTTGGACCAAGCCCACAGAACTGTTCTGCAGGCTGCCAACCTGGTCAATGGTGTGATAGTGGTAACTGTGCGACTATCGAGGTGACGACCAACTCTCGTCGTTGCGGTAGCAATAGCACCGAATGCGGTCCAGGATCACTGTGTGTCAACGATGTATGCCAAAAGATCGACATCGGCTCAGATCCAACATCTTGCGGGGCTTCCAACCAAACCTGCAGCTCTGGAAACTGGTGTCTTGATGGTACCTGTGTCCCCTTCATCCTCGGAACCAAGGTCCAGTCCTGTAAAAGGACTAGCGAATGCCCCTTCGGCACTTCATGTCGTGGTGGCTTCTGTCGCCAAATCGCAATCTCTGCCGATACATACAATTGTGGTGAAGGTGCTTCGAAGAACTGCACCGCCGGTCAACTTTGTATTTCTGGGCAATGTCAATCGCTAAACATCACCTCAGAGGCTGAAACTACGAGTTGCGGTTCTTCTAAACAAGGCTGCGATCCTGGTTCCTACTGCTCAAAAGACACATGTTTACCCCTGTCCGTCTCGATCGACTCCTCCCAATGTGGCAGTAGTTCATCACCTTGTAAGAGCGGCCAGATTTGCGTCTCTGGCCAATGCATCAGCAATCTGATTGACCAAACAAATACTCCAAGAGTCGCTTGTGGTTCTGGGTCTGGAGGACCTGGAGCACGTACTCCTGGCCGAGCTCAGAATGCAGACGACAGTTCTCCAGGGGGAACGAGTGGCGGAAACGGTAGCAGTACCGGAGATCCAAATCAGCCAGAAGCTTCTGCTGATAACGATAGCCCAAGCGGGGACGATCCGGGAGACTCGTCCACTGGTGATGGAGCGACTTCAGCTCGACCGCAAGGAAGCTCCGAGGGAACCTCCGACAGCGGTACGGGTGCGAACAGTCCAGATTCTGACTCTAGCTCTGGAAGTGATGGACAGAATGGGGACGCTTCTCCAGGCCAGAGCGACTCACAAGGACAGAATGGCGCGAACAGCCCAGGCGCACCTACTTCTACCTGTACTCCGCCATGCACTGGCAACTCTGTCTGTATTAATAGTCAGTGTTCTACTGTCCAGAGCTCTTTTGCTTGCGGTGCCTCGTCCAGCCGTCTTCTTCGCTTGCTGAGGCGCCAAGCGGCAGCGTGCCAACCAGGCTTTTCTTGTATCAACAACGAGTGTGTCGCTACGACAGGACCAGTGAACTGCGGTGCATTAGGAGTCAACTGCCCACTCAATTACGCTTGCATACAGAACTCTTGTGTCGCGCTTGACGATCCATCCACTTGTGGCGGTGACGTCTGTAGCAGTGGCGAGATTTGCTTAGGCAATGTATGCACACCAAACGCTGCTTTGGCTAGCTGCAACAGTGTGTCTTGCGCCACTGGAGAAACGTGTCAGAATGGAGCGTGTCTTGCTATTGGTAACGCCGGTTCTGGAGGTACTACCAATCCCCAGGTACCTGGTTCAAACGGCGACACCACTAACACCAATGGTGATGGTGCTTCATTTGGTGAAGGGGCCAATGCAAACCCAGGCAGGGGTCAAGGGAGCGGTGTCCCTGCAGACCCGGAGCCACAAAGCGGACAAGGTCAAGGTTCAGGAGGAGACATTCCAAGCTCTGGAACTGGCTCATTCCCAGGGAACGACTCTGGATCAGGCAGTGACAATGGGCCTGGTAGTGGAACAAACTCTGGCACTGGTTCAACTCCAGAAAACGGTTCAGGCGATGAGTCTACTTCTGATGGCGGTGCCAGTGGTAACTCAGGTAACGGATCGAATGACGGCAGCGGATCCGGAGCAAATTCGGGCTCAGGCTCAGACTCGGGAGATGACTTGACAGGATCACCTTCAGGCAACGGCCCGGGTTCTGGCAGCAGAAGCGACGATAATGCTGGTACTGAGCCAAATGCAGGATCTGGTTCAGGCAGCGGAACAGGTGGAAATGGAAACAACTCAGGGACTGACCCAGTAACTGGTTCACCTGCTGGTAATGGATCCGACGCCGGCTCTAACACGGGAGATGGTGATGATCCGGATGGAAATGATGGCAATCCTGGAACAGACCCTGTCACTGGTTTACCGTCTGGGAATGGCTCTGGATCTGGAGACGGCAATGATCCAGATGCTAGCAGCACGACTTCGGATGGTGCTAGTACGGGTCCCGAAAGCAGTACGACTACTTCAAGAACTGGCTCAAGCCAGAGTGATGGTTCTGATGGAGACGACCCTGGAGACGACAGCACTGAAGACGGTGGCGCTGGAGGTAGTGTCTCACAGACTGCACGGCCACCTAACCTTACCGGAGAACCTCAAGGAAATGGTTCAGGTGGTGATGACGACTCTGACGCAAGTGATTTGGAACCATCTAGCACAGAAGCAGACTCTGGCCCTGTAGAGTCGAATGGTGCATCGCCATCCGGGGGCGATGGCTCTGGAACAGCAGGTCCCACGGACGACCTATCACAAAGTTCAATCTTATCTGAAGGTGCACCTATTGTCAACCCCGGTCCAACTTCAACGATGTCGTCAGTAGAGGCCACTAGTACTAGTACCGGACTTACTGGAGTTCCTCAGGGGAATCCATCAAGTCGAGATTCTGGAGATAATGGCTCGTCAACTACAGAAGTCAACAGCGACGGCAGTGGCTCGGAATCCTCACCCACAACTAGTAGCGATGGAGATGGGCTGCCAACTCAGGAATCCGGAACAGATGGATCTTTAACTACTTCTACAGTGGATGGTACAAATCCTGAAGACCAGACAACCACAACAGGCAGTCTACCCTCCGAGACTGGCTCTATCCCATGTACTGTGGATGAGGATTGTATTGGACTTTCTACCGGGCTGTGTGCACTCTCTGATACAGCTTGTGTTTGCCTCGATTCTATTTGTCAACCAGACCCTGACGTTAGCAGTCCCTCTGGTAGCTCAGGTCAAGAAGCTGAGACAACTGGAACCTCTGATGCCGAGACAATTGGAGCTGAGCCAACCGACACTGAGCCAACCGACACTGAGCCAACCGGAGCTGGGCCAACTAATGGACAGTCACCAGCAGTCACAGATCCTGGCTCTTCACCTACCGACGGGCCCCTGACGCCATGCTCAGAGGACAGCGACTGTATCCTCGATGTTGATCTTTGTGTTGTCGCAGGAGTCAACATTTGTGGTTGTGTAAATGGTGTCTGCGTTGAGACCACCGACCCTGATGGCGTTTCCTCACTACCTGGCAGTTCTACAACAACTTCCCAGACGCAGGACGCGGGAAATCCAGAGCCCACAGATGGCACAGGCGTCACACCATGTTCTGAAGATGCCGATTGTGTGGCAAATGCTGCACTGTGTCTTGATGGCCTACTGAACCTTTGCGCTTGTGTTGACGCTGTCTGCGTTTTAGCAACTGCTTCTGGCGACAACACTGTGTCAGCAACTAGTACCGCTTCTCAGACTCAGGACACAAATGTCTCCGTACCTACTGACGGTACTGAAACCACAATTTGCAACGAAGATGACGACTGTGTTGCGAATGCTGGTCTATGCCTCAGTGGAGCGTTGAACATTTGCGCCTGTGTCGACGCTGTTTGCGTCCCTACCATTGATCCTGACGGCAATCTTACATCACAGACCCAAGACGCAGACCCTTCTACAGGAACAAATGGCGCCGAGGTCACAGCCTGCACTCAAGATAGCGATTGCGTGGCAAATGTGGGATTATGCCTTGACGGTCTATTGAACCTTTGCACTTGCGTCAATGCTGTTTGTGTCCCAGACACAGCCCCTAGTAGCACTCAATCTGCTGATGGCACAGGCAATACGGCAACTCCTGGCGGAGATGGATCAGGCACTTCAGTGGCATGTTCTTCATCTGACGACTGTTTTGCCGATACATCATTATGCTTATTAGGTGGACTCAATTTGTGTATCTGTCTGAACGCGGTGTGCGTTGTAGCCAACCCCAATTCCAGCAACAGTGGAAATGATGGGGATGTATCAACTGACGGGGATTTAAGCGGGACAAACCAACAAGTTTCCTGCACAACAGACAGTCAGTGTACAGCCGCTCTTGGACTGTCTGTACTGGGTATCTACGCCTGTGTAGACCTCCTTTGTCAGCTTCAACCTACTGCGAGCTCCACGGATGGAAGACTGTCAGCCTCAGAAACAGGAACTGATAGCGAGCCCACGACTGTTAGTGAAGTGGAATGCTCAACAGATTCAGACTGTGTGGTTGCTATCGGCACTGACGCCTTGGGTCTGTTTGCTTGCATCGATCTCATTTGCCAACAGACTGCAACAGCAACAGGAGCTGTTCCCTCGGCCACCGGACCTTCTTCTACAAGTAATGCAGTTGGCCTCGAATGTTCCTCCGATAATGAGTGCGCTGTAGCGCTTGGTACGGGAGGTTTGGGCATATTCGCTTGTGTCGACGCGCTTTGCCAACGAGTTTCCAACACTAATACCGGGTTTGCCACTGTTACGACTGGCACTACTCCTGCCCCAACTGGTGACTCAAGCGATACAGGCGGCGATAACTCTGTATCCTGCTCTAGTAACTCTGACTGCACAGTGGCAGGCGAGACATGCTCTTCTGGCGTCTGTCGCGCAGCAACTTCAAGCGCTGGTAGCGGAAACGATGGGTCGTGCGACGACGCTACTGACTGCCTCTTATCAGTCAACCCACTGTGTCTAGCCGGTCTTTGTGTCTGTCTCAATGGCGTCTGCGGCCCTGACTCGAGCCAGATAGACACTTGTACATCAGATACGCAGTGCGACAGCGGGAAAACGTGCCAGGCAGGTGCGTGTGTCGACGAGGTTACTTGCGACACGCAACAAGACTGTGTAGCTGGCATTGATTTATGCACGTTTCTGGGTATTTGTGTGTGTGTCGATGGACTGTGCCGTTTGCTGTAAGAGTTTGGCTTTTATTGTCTATCATGATGGCATACTTGTCGCAAGGAATTTGTTTATTTCTACCATACTATTGCGAAGACAGTAATTTCGGATGGGCTGTCACTATTGCGAGTCGCATTTTATATTCAATTCTACTATGCATCATATTTCTAATATTATTTACATCACAACCAAAATGTTTCTTTTGTTGGTGACTTGTTTGTTTGCTCATATAACTAGCATGCTCATCTATACAAGGGAGATGAACAATCGAGTCAAGCTTATCCAAAGGAGATTAAAAGAAACCCAGCGCTGAATCATTGTCGTCTGCCCATTCATAAGTTGGCACCGAAATCCCGGCGTTGGTCATGGACTCGCACCATGTATTGTAACCGCTGATGATGGATGCTGCTTCATTCTCTGCCACATTTGGCATAAATGTCGGGTTTTCGCAATATGTTCGCGTGCCGTCCTCATTTAAATGAGGCCAGCAAAGCTTCAGCGTGATGTCGCGACACTTGGAGCTGTTGGGGTTAACCTCGGCCATGCCACCCATGACGGTAAGGGAGGCTTGAATCTGCGAGCGCCAGTCTGGCGCAAGAGCGTGATGGGGGTTTTGTCTGAGGCAGTGTACAGGGATCAAAGTGGCATGGAATAAGAAATACCTGTTTTGTTAGCAATCTTGGAATGGCAAGTTTGGTTCGGAAACTTACAGGATATAGAAAGCAGCCAATCTTGAATGGGTGCGAGATGTCCAGTAACTTTGTATATGCATGACAGACTCCTTGGCTGCGTCAAGACATCTAAACACTGCCAAATTCTCACTGCTAGTCAAATTCTGCTGGGTATTTTGTGCTGATGACCTCGCCCATCTGACCAAGAAAGGCCGGTACATGACGATACGTAGATTTCGGTAACGCCATTCTGAAATACCCATGCCAAGGCCATACTCAGAGTCTGGTGGTGGAACGGTACGGTAGTAGTATGGGACTTGTGCAAGCCAAGAGCCAATGCAAACGTCGTCGAGAGTGATAAGTTCTGTGGCTGATGGGAAGGGGCTGGTTATGAGACGGTTGTAGACTGTCATTGTGCTGAGATGGTAGGCTGATTGGACACGGATGTAGGTGTACATGGTTATACCGTCGACTTCTGGTGGACAGTGTGTTGAATCATGGGTGAGATCCTGGACATTTTAGTGGTTGGGCTTCCCGGGGTACGATATATACTGACTTTTTCATGTATGTTCTGAGGGAACGCTGTCTCGACACCAGCCTGAGGCCAGTTCAGCGGCCTTCCATACGTGATGGTGGCGCCTACATCAAGTACACATAAACACCACCATATCCTACGTCTCGTCTCACTTTGTAAAGGTGAAAGACTGTTCCCTTCTAAATCCTTGTGGAGACCCAACCCGATAGCTAGCCTAATAGCAAGTCCGCCATAGTTGAAACCGGTATTTGGCTTATTCCTTTTCTGCATATAATTCGACGACAAGCTGAATGCCTGAACAAGGGTGAGATTGCCAACCTCGAGGTAATTTGAAAACAGACTCTTTTGCGCTGCTTGAAAGATGGGAAGGTCTGTTGCGTCAGCCACATTACTGCTCGCAAATGATCCCAGGGCCGCGAGGATGTTTGCTAGAGTGTTCCAATGGCCTTTGTTGGCGCACGGTAATGTCCCTGCGTATTGGGCTCGGAAGGTAGGCTCGTGGACAATGGGGAATGTGGGATGATAGAAAACAAAGAAGGCGTCAATGAGATTTTCGACAGCGACTCTGGTCAGCATAGCCTGTGAGCGGAACCATTGTGAGTGATCTGAGTGCTGCTGGAATAGAGATTCGATCTCGTGGAGCGCAACATCGTTGTCTACCTCCTCGCCGTCTGGACGGGCTGATAAGATCTGTCGCAAAAGAGCGGATCCAGACGCAGCTCCATAATAACCTCTCTTCTGGTCCCCGATGGTCAAGGAAGCCATGCCGTCCATGATGGCTTGAGATGGGTTGCCGTCGACGTGATTTGTTATGGACCAGCTGGCAGGATCATAGGTCCCCCACGAGGTTTCCTGCTCGTTCCATTCGAAATCATCGGTCGTAGCTGGAGCAAATTCAAAGGCAGCATCTTGCGAACCAGCCCACAGCCCAGCATTTGCTTCCAATTCGCCGATGGGCGCCAGAAGGAAAGGATCCGCAGTTAGGTTCGCTATGTTGGCTTGACCCGCCAAGTAAAAGCCAGGGTCTGTAGTGGGAGTCGGCAGTTGCATGAGATTGTCTGTGGTTCCTGGAGTGGTAGAAGGCAGGCTGACTAACCCAGGGGTTTGTGCTAGTGTTGGTGCTGGTGTTGGTTCCGATATCTGCGGTGTGGGTTCTTGTGCTTTACTTTGAGCTAGTAGTCCTTCTTTGGACTCTTCCAGCATCTCTGCGATTTGACTGTCGGTGTAGTGGCGCCGAAGGACAGTTTCGGCCTTTTCCAGACGTTCTTCCAAAAGGGTGAGTTGTCTATGTATGAGTGTCAGTGGCTAGCGTTGAGTGAAGTCAAGCCGTTGATCGATAGGAGGCTTATTTAGTATACCTTCTAGTTAACCTCGTTCTACTATGCTTGTCGTATAAACAGTGACGCCTGTACTTTCGACAGATGGTGCAAACGGGCATGACACCGTCGCATTTGACTTTGCGCCTCCGACATTCGCGACATGTTGTAGATTCTTCTGCTGGTTGTGGTTCATTTCTAGGAGCAGCTTGCGCTGAAGCTGGTTTTGTCGTTTTCGGGTCCATGAGTTCGAGATTTATTTAATTATGCATTGAAAGTCAACGATGGGGATGACTTTGGTAGGATTTAAAAGGTACGAATGAGTTGAAGAAATGAGATGACACTTGCCCTGACCCCTGTTCATCCCCGCAATTGTTCTTGGCCCCCGTATTGAAAACAGTTAGCGTCTTTTCGGCCCGACTTAAACACGAGCTCTTGCTGTAATAGGTTTGTAGGGTAACATTGTAGGTTGATGGTTACACAACCAGCAGTGCTTTCAACTGTATAGCCTATAATGTGTAGACTCTCATTCTTTCCTGTTGATTTCATCACTCGGGATTCACTATGAACTGCTTATAACAAACTACACGGCTTGTATATGCCTCGCAACTGGTGCAATGATACGTCGTACTAACAAACACGCAAAGACAGATTTGACAGTGTAACGGTTTCTTGAATCAGATCGAGTATATCGTTAAAATAAAAAATGGTACATACTTTAGTATATATTATGCCTTATGACCTCCGGAAAGGATGAGCTTCTGTGTTCAAAACATACTGATCCAAGCTAACCAGATCAGGTGATGAAAATATGAGATAGAAATACTTGAGTGTCTCTGACAACCAGAAACTCTCCATAGAATCTGTTTGTTTTGTATCCACGTTCACAACATCATCAATTGCAGCATTTCCGTGTGGAGTAGTTGTAAATCGAATAATCGATTGGAACATATCCCAAGCCATGTCCTGCCAAATCGGATCCGCTGTGATGCGGTACATGATAAAGATGCTTTCGATGGCTTCTGGACGCAGGAGATATCTCGGATCTCGGGCATGTCGAAATCCGGGTGGAATGCCATCCCTTGGGGGGTTCCAACGCTCCTTGTCGTACACGCACGGTTCTAGACTCGGACAGGCCAGGATGTTGAAGATCTCAGGCATCATACCTGTAGGAAATGACTTGTATGCCCAACCGCAACCTCGAGCAAGTCTTTCTCCAATGTTGACATGCTCTTCGATACCCAAAAGCTTGCCACCAAGAGCAAACATACCTCCAGTGAAGCAAGTAAGATGCTGACTCTCCGTGCTCAGTTCTATTCTTTCATGGACACGGACGTCACCAGAAAACAAGACATCGTCCTGTCCCGGCAGCATAGGTCGGTACAGCAAATGTTTCACTACCACATCCATAGCTGTGCGATACATGGTGGGATAGTTCTCATCCACACCACCCATAAGTGCATGCATCTTAGGTAGGTACTCATAAAGCGAATCTGCCAGTGCTCCAAGAGAGAATGTGTTGTCATTGGCCTGTTCGTTTTGAAAGTCGAGGCTGAGAGGCCACATCCCTGGTAACAGGGTGCTGTTCTGGATTTTGACAAGAAACTGCGTTACTCGATCGGTGGCATCGTAGAATTTGGGATCGCCCGTAAGCATTGACAGTTTAGTAAATTCCATGACTAAGGAACTGGGCGAGGCAGAAGGGTCATGGACTCCCGCAACCTGTTTTCCGTTCCTGGCATCTTCAAAGTTAAGCCAGAAGCCAGGTAGTCTGTTAGGTGTGTCGAAGGCAACGTAAAGCATTTCTCCCAGCTCAATAGCTTTCTGGAGCAATACCTTCTCGTGACTTAATTCGTAGGCACCAAGAAGGCCACCCAGGTGACGAATTGTCGTTTCGAATAAGTTGACAGCACCTTCATGAGGCTGTCCCCAGTCAAGAGTCGCAGCCGCTTGGGCAGCTTCGCTGAACTCTTCCTTGAGATCCATGATCCATAGCGTATCCAAAGAATCCACCAACGTTGCTGCCCACCCGCCAAAGGTGTCCTTGCCCTGAGCAGTAAGAGGCGTCAACTCGTCCTTCATCCAGGCATACTGCCTGTACGACCTGTAACTGCGAAGAAACTCATCACGGACGGCTTTTTGACGAGTCTTCGTGGTTGACGTCTGACGAAATTTGTTCGTGTCAGCTTGAACACGAGGTAACTGATGATGGTTTTCCGTTGGTAGAGGCTTGATGGTCGAGGGAGGATAATATTGGCGTAGGGTCGACCACTCAAATGTGCTTGGCACGAATTGCAATTGTCTCTTTGGCGCTGATGATTTAGACACAGACGATAAATGCCAGAATAGAAAGAAAAAGAGAACTGCAGCGACCAGCGCTTTGCGCGATGATAAAGATACTGGACCCGAGAGCCAGATCATGGCGTCGAGACTGAGTGTATGATAGAGACTCAGAATTACGACAAAACAACAGTTGGAGACGCTGAGGATTGCTGATGTTGCCGCCAATAAACGAGATGAAGGGAGAGAAGCAAGATTGCAACAGTCAAAAGAGTTTAGCCGCCGTCGCGGAGTCGCCAAAGAAGCTGCAACCAATTATAAGACAATATTAATCAGCCCATGTCTATATATCCCTGTTGAAACAAGAGACTAAACCAATAGTAGATGTCTACTCTGTATCTACTCTGTGCATCACCTTCAAAATAGAAATCTTTATGCTGTTGGTTGTGGTTTGTCAAGAACAAACTGTAAATATAGATCTAATCTGTTGGTTGTGTCTAATCAGGCTGGCGGTTAGCAAGAATGGTAATTAATATTCCCTCCATCACGAATTTCACTCTAAACAAACAATTCCTTTCCTTTCTACACAAACTCAATTCATGATGCGTCGATTGTTGTGTTTCTTATTTGCCGTGGCTGTAAATTGTGTCTCGCATTGTGACACAGAGCCTTTGTCACTTCCCATCCGCGATGTTCAGGTTCTTCCCAATGTCGAAAAATCTCTCATGAGAGGAATCCCAGCAACTATTGGTTCACCAAGTCAAAGCATTGTGCTTCTACCCTGGGCGTGAGTAATGTCACCAAAGAGCATTCGGGACGGACTGTGTTACTAACCTCCAACTTAGAGAGTTGAATAACACTTGGATCTACGATGACCAACCCTACTGCGACAAAACAGTTATATGGAATGACAGAATCTGCGAAACCAGAAGAGGTGGACTTTACGACGAGGCAGAGTCTGAATATTTCACAAAAGCTAGTGATATTGGTGATGCAGGAGGCTCGACAAGTGAAGTAGCATTTCAAGGTGCAGAATCAGGAATAAAGAAACTCGTCTCCACCAGTCTTGCCGGCACCGACAACATCACCTTAGAGGGAGCACCAGCAGTTGAAGATCTTCCAATTGGCATACCGCGTCTTAAATGGGATGCCGGTTATACGATGCTCCATCCGCTTGGTCTTGGTTCCAATTCAACATATCTCAACACTCTTAAAGATGCTGGGAAAATAAGTTCCAGGGTCTGGTCAATCTTTTGGGGAAGGATGTGGGTAAAGACTCCCATTGATGGTTCACTGGTACTGGGAGGATACGATGAGGAAAAGGTAATTGGAAAGAATTACACGGCACCTCTTGTCTATGATGATTATACAGGCACCGCAGGTTGTTGGACTGGGATGAAGATTACTATATCCGATATCAGAGTCAACTTCCGCGATGGATCTGATGAGAGCATCTTTCCGTCCAACACAGCTCTGCCATGTTGCATTGTACCTCAAAGACAGCTTCTTCTTGAGGCGCCTGGTGCATATGTCTCTAGATTTGAAGAGGTGACTGGTAGCAACCACACCGATACTTCGTATGGCCTCCACTGGTCAGCCCGTCTATTTGACGCCGATGACGCGTAAGTTTCTCCATGACACCCTCACTATGAAAATGAAGCTAACCCGCCAGCTTTGACGGCGATATTACTTTCCATCTTGACTCTGGTCTTCAAGTCAGGGTACCCAATAATCAATACATCGTCCCTTTCGTCGATATTGATAGAAGTGGCGCTCGAGTCACAAAGCCAAAAACAAAGGAGTTATTGATGAATGGCGTTGCACACCAACCGGCTACCCTCGGACGATACTTTCTTACCGCCGCATATCTGATGGTGAATCACGATGCAGGAACTTTCACCCTCTGGCAAGGCAATCCTACTCAAAGAAGCAAGTTGATAAAGGTATTCGATCAAGACACTGCCGACAAATGTGGCAAGGACGCCGCTGGTATAGTGCAGCCAACAGTCAGCGCAACCCCAAAAGAAGAAAAGGAGGAAGAGTCAACAGATCAACCGGAATCATCGTCAACTCCCTCGGCAGCGATCATTAGTGGCGCAGTAGCTGGTAGTGTGGTTGGAGTGGCAGTGATTTGTCTGGGAGTATTCTTCATCTTCAGACAAAGGAGAAAGGCCAGAGCGGAGAAGTCATTTCCGACTGACGTACATGTACGCGATTACAAGGGAGACTTTCAAGCATGGTATCCTCCTCAAGAGATGGCAGGATCTAAACCAATTCCCGCAGAGATACAAGGGCAGTCACATTTTGTATATGAGTTGGATGGTGGTGCCCGCAAATCCCGACTACGAGCGGATTAATTAGATTATACAGTTGCGTAAATATGCAGTTTATGTGTTTCTCTATCCTAAACTTCCTCTGGTATCTCATTCTCCTTCTTCCTTCTAGCACAACCCAAAGCTGATGTCGTGTTTTGTCATGATGTAGGACAGCCCTCTTGGCCCAAAGGCTCGTGGATCTGGGTCACTCCAGAGTAAATTTACTATCCGTGCTCCTGTCTTGACAGCTCCAGGTGTACGCTCAGCTCTACCAACCAATCCTGCCCGGAAAACCCTAATATGTTGTTCAAGCTGCGCGCAAGAAGCCATGATAACGCCTGGCCAGAGGAGCATACGACGAAAAGGCGAGTTTCCAACAAAAAGAGTATAAAAGGCAGCCATTGTCTTGCCAATTCTCTCATCGAGCTCCATCGCTAGATCAGCGTCTGAAAGCATGTCCAGGCAAAATGCTGAGTGCAGGTACACGATGAGAGCATTCTGGTAAATGGTTATTGAACCGATGCGTCCTTCAACAGGACGAAGACTATTGAGGTCTTCTTCGTGCGGGTCATATGCATCAATCTTTGCTACGAGATACTCGTATTGCTTTCTCAGCTTTGGAGACTCTCCCAAACCCAACCTTTCCTCTTCTTGGCGCGCCTCGACAAGTTGGTGGATCTGTGGTACCATTTCGAATAAAGCTTGCCCAAAGCCAAGAAGGAAGCCTCTAGATTCATATCCATCAAGAATGTCGAGAGAATGTACAGAAGGATCGATTTCCACATTTTCTTGCCGAAGCATGTTTCGAGGGGAAAGAGCCAACTTCACTGCGTGGTATGCATACATCTCCAAGAGGAAACCTCGCAGATAGGCAAGCTCATCATAGGGTTGGCATGGAGATGTTAGTGTAGTGATGTATTCGCGACTTGCTTTGAGATGAAGATAGATTGAACCTCGTGTATTGCCATGAATATGCTAAGTGGATTCAGTAAGTATGCGATTCAGATCTTGGGGAGGTGAGCGGCTTACATCGTAGATACAGAGCAGTTGCAGGATCAACAGAATCTGCGAAGTTCTGGTCGATGTCGTCTGTTGGACCATGCCAGGGGTCACCTGACCTATCTCGTAAGAGATCAACGTCTGTAGACCGGCCAAAACCTTTGCGTAGTGACCTCTTGTGGCTACCTCCAAGCCACGAACTTTCGAGTTGTTGATCAAGAGATGAGCTCCTCCAATAGCGAGTACACAATCCAAAATAAGCTCGTTGTTGGAAGCCAATGGGAGTAAATAGTTGACAAAAGGGTTTCCACATTCACTCGGTCCTCTTGTAAGCATGTCGGCCGTGATATCCAGATACTGCTGATAAAGTGGTTTTGAATTGTCGCTTAGATAGGCCAGATTCCCATACGTGGGGGCCATCCGTATGGATAACGTCGAAGTGGTGTCCTCTGAAACCGCGCGAACCATGCAAGCACTAGAATTGGGTTGAGAAAAGTGGCTTTCCAAGACACCCTCAGTATGTGAGCCAAGTTGTCTATCTCCGTGGTCCCCGTTGGGAGTGGGCCAGACACACTCTTGTCTGGTACGAACACAACCTCCGCATATTGGCTTTGCTTCATCACACTTCTTACGTTTCGACCGACAAGTCATGCAGCCATTTTTAGATCGTGGATGATTTCGACGCCATTTAGAAGGAAACGGAGCTCCTCGATATGGTAGTTGCTGTGGTTGAGTTTCCATTGTGTATGAGTATGTAATTTGGCAGTGGTGACACGAACCACGGAGATCGAGTCAAGAATAAGTACTCGGAATATGAAAGAGGCAGCTTGACTTGGTTCTCGTAAAAGCCACAAGGCTTAGTTGGATGTAATGCTACTAGAGCTGCAACAAGTCAAGACTGGCAGGGGTTCGTTATCTAAACGCTTATCGCTGAGAGCTGTAAGGCTGAATTCGCTCACCTGACAAGGATCACAGAGTCGTACTGAATCCTTCGTGACTTTGTAGTGCAATAGGGTAATTGTTTCGAACCAAAAGGACATTATAGGATTTATAAAGCAGATTAGCCATCCTGGATGGGCCGGCTATAGAAACAGGATTTCTGGCCAAGGCGTTGACCAAAGCCACTGCCAAGCGAGGAATCAGAAATGGATTAAATTTGGTGACCTCATGAGAGATGCCTATACCGGGTGGCACTAGTCTGAGCTGAGACCGTGAACACTAGCCTCAAGGGTCCAAGAAACAAGAAGTGATCTGAAGCATATACCGGACATCAAAGCAAACTCCTGCAAACAGAAAGTCGATAATGAAGGAGGCCATTCACCTTGGTTTTGTATCATTAATCCCATTCTTCTGCTCGATTGTGAATGTGAGGTTAAAGAATGCTACATTGGGAGAACCAACTCTCTCACCCTACCCACGCATTTCGAAAGGATAATTTATCCATCACTGATGTCCAACCTACTAAATGCACTTTCCGTCAAAGCAAACACTCAGACTCTAACGAAATGTTGATTCTAGAATCTTTAATTGTTAAATAAACTCTATGGTTTGCTCTCTCTTGAGGCAGATGTAGTAGTCACCGCGTGTAGGTCTAGGTTAAGTCGACTGTCCCAAAATGGCAGGTTTCTGGATGGTTTCCTTACAACGGCAATTTATCGGCCCCTTTTAGATTACTAAGCACCAAACTCGCGAACATGAGCCAGTCTTGGAACAAACAATAAACTGCTTACAACTACCAACAATACTCTGTCATACGCCACTGCCTCGCATGATTATTCTGTGAGCTTGCTATATCTAATGGTGAGATTCGGTGGAATAACCCTCCGAGACAAGGCACTTATGGCGCCATCTTTTGCTTGATATTGCAATGACGAATGGCACTGATAAGCTCGTCTCTTTAGATAGCAGATACTTTCAGCATTCTATCATTAAATATCCTTTCAATATCACAACATCACAACTCATACCATGGCGAATTCATCAAAGACTGTCGCGTTCTTCGGTGCCAGTACTGGCATAGGACTATCAGCACTCAAAGAAACCTTGGCTGCTGGTCACCACTGCATCGCCTTGTGCCGAGTCCCTGCTAAACTGGAAACCCTCATCGCAGAACATGCCAATCTCCTTGATGTTGTTGAGGGAAATGTTTATGACTCCAAGGCCGTGAGCAGCTGTTTACTCAACAAGGATGGCAACCTTGTGGACGAGATCCTCTTCTCAATCGGTGCCAAACCTGTCCTCTGGAAAATGACTCTTGATGACCCCAAAGTCTGCCAAGTCGGCATGAATGTTGTTCTCGAATGTGTCGCGCAACTCAAAAACAAAGGCGCTAATGGAAAGCCACTTATCGTTGCCCTCAGCACAACTGGCACGTCTCGCTTTGGCCGGGATTATCCCATGGCCTTGTTCTTGATATACTGCTACGCTTTGAAAGTACCCCACGAGGACAAGATCGCCATGGAAGAGAATTTGGCTGGAAGTGGCGAAGACTTTTGCATTGTACGAGCCAGTTTGTTAGTTAACGGCAAGAGCGAGACTCCTGTGCGAGTGGGAGTTGAAGACCCCAAGACGGGACGACAGAGTCAAGAAATCGGATACACTGTCTCGAGGGAAGATGCTGGAAGATGGATTGCCGAGAACTTGATATTGCAGAGGAATGCTGACTATGTGAATAAGATTGCATCGATCACTTGGTGATAATATTCAAGGACTGGATAGGATAGATACTTGTGAGGTACTATGAGAATGATGCACTTTGGAATGTCATGTGTATGTTCTTGTTTTTGCCTTATGATTTGGTTCAAACTTCCATCATCAATTAATTATCAGCTATAATTTTCAGAACAAATGTTATTGCTAGAGCCGATTTTATATGTCTCATATTGGTCTGAAACCTCTACAAACATTGTGTTTCAAATTGAATCCGTGAGCGATATAATGATCAAGGTTGTAAATATAATTTTTGGGTAATCGCCTTACACAACAACTGAAGCCTTCTATTTTCTTATTTTCATTATAATTATTTGAACATTGTTGTCGAAACAACTCGATGCAATCAATTTCCCCCGATGTCTCGGAAGCATCCAACATACGAGCAATCGACAACAGGGGTTCCATGCTTCGGCCATTTCTAGTTAGGGTGTTGTACACGAATACAGTATCAAAAGCGACTATCCAATTGCAGTCGCGTCAGCAACTAGACACAGCATCATCATGCAAGCTTCCCCTCTTTATCTCTAGGCAACTATATCTATATATTAATTCACCTTCGCTTCGATCCGCTATCGTGATTGAAAATAGTACGCAGAGCAAACCTTTAACAGCAACATAGATCGTCGATCTAATTAGCTCATCCAGGGCTTCTATCACCAACAATGACCTCTTCTAATCCTGCGTATCATTTCCACCGCCGAAACGGTAAACAAAACGATCCAAGAATGACTTCTGGCGCGTCAAAGGGTCCGGGCGATGAGGCGACTAGTTCATACTTCGATCACTCCACCGCTAAACGAATCAACACCGATTCGGTCTTTACTTCGGCTCTGAAGAAGCAGTACCCTGGGCTTGACCTCATTGTGGCCCAGGAAATGCGGTGCAACCTGCTAGAGTATGCTGCTGCCGGACACGCCACCTTCAATGCCATAAACGACAAGGGCGAAGTCCCTTCGTCACTTGAAGTGACCGTCTACCTGCCGCCATCTCGTCGAATGGACGGCAATAAAGGACAGCTGGCCGAGCTGGTCATTTTTGGCAAGTTCCTCTACCAATGGCAAGGGGAAGAATTTGTTATCTACTTGGTCGACGGTCGTGATGGCGCCGAAGCGTATCCGCAGCTGAGGAACTACTACATCCTGACATCCAACATTCACAAAGCCGAACAGCTTGTACTTGCCACCGGTTCCTGGCAAAGTGATCTCCATGACGAAGTGTGGGTATTTGACCAAGGCGGATTTGAAAAAGATAGGGAACTCTGGAAGAGCGCTCAGAAATCGACATGGGACGCTGTCATCTTGGATCCAGACATGAAGGAACTGCTCATCAACGACCACATCTCTTTCTTTGAATCCAAGCAGACATACAAGAATCTTGGCGTGCCGTGGAAACGAGGACTCATCTATCACGGCCCACCCGGCAATGGTAAGACTATTAGTATCAAAGCCACTATGCATATGCTGGCGGACAGAACCCCATCCATCCCCACTGTTTATGTACGCAGTTTAGAATCGTGGATGGGACCCCAGTACTCTCTTCATGTCATCTTTGAAAAGGCTAGGGAGTTTGCGCCCTGCTACCTGGTGTTTGAAGACATTGATTCACTTGTTACGCCCATAGTAAGGAGCTACTTCTTGAACGAGGTCGATGGCCTCAAAGAGAATGATGGCATATTTATCATTGCTAGCACCAACCACTTGGAATTGCTGGACCCTGGAATTTCGGTAAGAGTCTCGGTGTCTTTGGAGATAACCACTAACCAGGTGCATAGAAACGTCCATCCCGGTTTGATCGCAAGTATTATTTTCCCGACCCAAACCTTGAACAGCGAGAAGCATACTGCCACTTTTGGCAGAAGAAGCTCAAACCAAACAAGGACATTAAGTTCCCTGATGAGCTATGCAAAGCCATTGCTGAGATTACAGACAAGTTCAGCTTTGCATATATTCAGGAGGCGTTTGTGGCGGCGCTTCTGGCCATCGCTGGGCGGTCTAAGGAAAAGCCAACCAAACCAAGCTGCGACGATGCCTGGGTCTTGGTGGCCGACGATCAAGTATCTGGAAAGATACGGGATGCAGATGATCTGAATAAACTGGAGCTTTGGGTTGAGATTAGGAAGCAGGTTAAGATTCTCCGTGAAGGCATGGAGGACGACGCCGATGCGTAATATGGGTGTGATTTACTATTAGTCTTTTTCAACTTAGTACCGTTTGGCATATTCATGTTATTTGGTTGTATATACGGGGATTAATTGAATGATTGCCATTGGCAGGAAGAATGTGCAAATGCATAAAACATCCCCCCTTTCTCTCTTCAAGAGTCTTCGATAATTCAATTTCGCCCACTAAGCAACCTCAGCCTCAATCAGCATCTCATATTGCTGTGGATCAGGCCAAAACTTGACAATGTGAAACCCAGTCCCTTCCAACAAATTCTCCCACTGAGTCTTGGTCCTTTCCGAAGATGAGAGGAGAGACATCATTTGAACATCCATGGTAGCCTGGCTGATGCTAGCTCCCTTCGGCGGCAGAACAATATCATAGATGAAAAGCTTCGAGTAGCCTTTGGTCATGGCATTCCTAGTGTGTTGAAGGATTTGTGTAGCTTCGACATCAGGCCAGTCGTGGAAAACAGCATGCATAAAATATACGCGACTCCCTGCGACTTATTAATCATGTATTCCATCAGGGCGGATGAAGCTTACCCATTACTGGTTGAGGTTTAAAAAAGTCATGAACCTGAGCTGTAAATTTTTCATGGACATTAACCTTTCGAATAATCTCTGGGAGGTCCTGCAGAACCAGTGACCCGGCAGGTAAACCAGGTCTCGCTTTGAGAACGTGAGAGATATCAATTCCTGTGTTACCGCCAACGTCTACAACAAGAGGTTTACTCAGATCGGCGCCATCCATCAACTTGCTGGGGTCGTAGATCTTGGTCCATGGCGTCTTCCACGCTGTCCAGGCCTCCATGTGTCCCGTGAAAGCTGCATAATACTCTGGACTCTTTTGAAGTCGACTAAAGAAGGTAAGACCTTCCGGGTCACTTGCTGCATAGTTGCTGTCTTCAGCTGATTTAGGCTCTTTGTAGCCAATTTTAGCTAGGTATCTGGGGAGGCTTTGGCCAGCTGAGATATAATGCTGAGTTCTGTATATAGTCAGTCACTGAGGTAAAAGGGAATAGTAGAATATTACTTACGCTGCCTCGAGTGATGCTCGGACTTTGGTGGACTCATCGCCTATGGCGTATGAGAATGGCGTTGGCTTGAATGTGTCTTGGTCTGTTTCTTCGACAACATTAAAGGCTGCCAGTAGGCGAAAAAGACGTCCTGAAGCATGTTAGACTAAGATGACTACAGATGAAGAAGACACCCACGCAGCAGATTGACCTCAATATCCCTCCTTGACATCGCAACCAGATCACCTATGGTCTTCTTCCCACCGCCAACTTCAGTCCAGGTTTTCCAGATACCCAGGTCGGTGCAAGTCTGTAAAGCAGAAAATACAGCAGGATGCTCAAAGCATAAACCCCAGGCCCTTTCGTATGGTGATTCCACTCTTGCTAAAAGACGGCGAGCAGCCGCGCGAACTCGCAGACGCTCTACTTCATCGCCGCAGAATTGATCTGGATGGATGCCGTCAAGGGCAGCGATGATGGAGTCAGTTGAATAGCCTATAGAGCCCATTTTGGGCTAAAAAAGGGTTTGAAGCAGAAGAATGTTGTTGACAGAAATTCAACAGTAATTGTTGTTTGATCTGTACAAGTTACACCAGATATCGCTTCCCCGCCTTCACTGTACAGTAGATAACGACGCAATTCATTGGACTCGCTAGGATACGCTAAACATGACTTTCATGCAAGTGACTTGCTCCAGATCCTACATATAATTCAAGATGACAGCCGACCGAGAAGAGATATGAATAGCAATGGGTAACGGTTACCGGAACCTTTCCCGCTGCGGAGTGTCTCTCTGATGTATCATCTTTTCACTGCAATTTAAAATTGCCAACCCACGTTGTTGGTCGAGTCGCTGCATAATAAGGTTACCTACTAGGATCATAATCCACGGAAACATCGGTTACAAGAATCACAGTCCGAGCCCCAATAAGGCCGCCCACAGGTAGTGTGGGTTGTTAGCCTCAACGACTGAGACGCGGCTAGAGGAACTCGGGATCCCGGGAGGTGGGACGACGATCTCAAAATAGTTATCAGCTAATTCAACGCTTCTTATAATTGTCAAGGTACCCATTCATCCTCGATAACGGCCTCTCTTGTAGATCAAGACACATAAGCTTGAAAGCCCTTATTTCTTTCGCGTTGCAATCAATGCTGAACTATATGGATATTGCTGCTACATGCTTTATCAAAAAGAAGAACTTGACAAGTACAACGCCACATGCCTTGAATGAAGACAAAGAAAAAACGGCCAGGATCATGCAACTGTCAGTTGTGATGGTGGAACTTCCCCTCTATCCCGCATGTTTTCGTTGGTCCATAATTGCTTTTTTCTGTCGAACCGAATTAACCTGACCAAACTGCATAAGCGAGCTCTCGCCTAGAAGCGGGTCTGGGGAGACAAGAGACAAGAGTGAAGAAAAGAGATAATACACAATATCAGACCTTGCCAAGGCTCTTTGTCAAAGCGTTGTGGGCTGCAAGAGAATATTCCTCGTATGATATCCAGATATATACCCGTCTTTACAAGTTCCGGCTAATATCTAATCGCGAACGACTTGACGCTCAAGCCTCTAATGTCTTCAGAATCACCAACAGTATTGCAAGTCTCGCTTTTGGCCCAAATAAAGAACCTGTCACTTTTACTTATTGGGTTCAAACACGCTAGTGGAGACCAATGTCTCATTATTTTCTTTTTCTCTGACGATGTTGTTAATACTTGTTGAAAGTCTCTGACATGTTGATCTCTCTACGCCGATCAGGGGCGATGCAGTTCTTTTACAAAAGTCGATAAGGTTACATCTTCCGGCTGTTAGATCAAAGGCCTACAAGACTGCTCTACTATACACTCTTTATTCATTCACTCTTTCGTTCACAGCCATGGCCAGCTACTATGGAGGCCTAGGCCCCATGCTTAATACTGTACTCTGGGTGCAAGTGGTTATCTGTCTATTTTTCGTTGCTCTACGTATCTATACACGTTCTCATATCCTCCATTCAGTTGGTCCTGACGACTACCTTGTTATGATTGCATTGGTACTGTCCAATTAACCCAATACGAAATCGAGCACTAACACTTTCACAGGTCCTGCAGATAATCTACTCCGCTTTCGTCACCGCTGGAACAAAATACGGCGTCGGCCGAAGATTCAACGACATCGGAAACCCAGATGCATACTTCAAAGCTGTCGAACTGGAAGTTTACAGTCAGGTAGCTGGCATTTTACTAATTGGTGTCGGGAAGTGCGCAGTAGGCATCTTTCTTCTACGCATCGTCCGAAACATATTTCAGAAGCTTTTCATATGGACGTTTCTTGCAGGCACGGTCGGTATCACGCTGTTTGCAAGTGTGGTTGTTGTGGTGCAGTGTGACCCAGTTGAGAGTACCTGGGATAAGAGGATCCCAGGAACATGCTGGATAGACTTTTCCAAGGTCGGATTGACAGTTGGATGTAAGTGCCATTCTCTGCTGTGATGTCTTGGATACTGACACGCAATAGCTTGGTTCGTCGTTGCCGACTTTTGTTTTGCCATTCTTCCCTGGTTTGTCATCTGGGAGCTGAACATGAAGCGCAAAGAGAAGATAACAGTTGCGTGTGGGTTGAGCCTTGGCATCGTGTAAGAAACCATCATCCAAAAGACAACATCCAACTCTAACAAATTAGTGCTGGGATATGTGGTATTGTCCGAACAGTCGCCCTCGACGGACTCAATGCCAACGAGTACATATGTAAGTATCCTGATTTTAACATCATCACCTACCCACTAACTATATATAGATGACACGGTGGACATGCTTATATGGTCTGCCACCGAGAGTACCGCCACAATAATGTGCTCGTCCATCCCAGTTCTGCGACCTCTCTATGTACGCTTCCGATATGGTAGTAAAGGCGACGGCTCTGAGGGCAATAGTAGTTATAAACTTCCAATGTACGGAAATCACAGTGGCAAGAAGTACGGAACTGGCACACGGACAGAACCGCCTGCTGGGTCGTCTCATCAAACGGTAATTGTGTACAATGCCAATAATGCCAGTGACGAGAGCATTCTACGCGATACCAAGACCCAGAATGATGGTGGCGGGATCAGAAGAACAGATGAGATCTCGATCAGTTATGGAGGGATTTAAATAAAAGACGGAAGATTTAACCCTGGATATATTCATCACTTAATTAAGAAACGTGCTTAGTTCAGCACTAAACTGGTTCCCTTATAGATAATTATCTGTACCTACTCCTCCTAGACATCTCGTGCAGAAATGATAGTCTTTACAATCTCTGCTGCTCGATCTAGAGCCGCCCCAAATCGATCTGCACTGTCCATAGGACTAACAAAACACACCTCAATCCTATTGACTATTAGTATGTATAACCAGAGTTAGCATCTAGAACAAAAGAGACTTACGAATCATCAAAAACAGTATAGTTCATCCACACAGACTCTGGATGCGGCATGGTAAAGCCCGGGTCTTCTGACAACTTGGTTTCCACCATGGTTTGCATAATCAGTTGTGGGTATCCCCTCTTCCAGACAGGATCGGAGAATAGCTCTGGGATCTCTTCATCCTTTTGATCTTGCGACATGACCTCAATCACATCCATCAGCCTGAAGTAGTTGCGACCCTCGGTTCCTTTGGCGATTTGGGCATTGCACTCGCGGGCGGCCTGCAGGAGTTTGGTACGAACCTCGGCACGCGGTACTGAATCGTCAAGAGCTGCATCGCAAAACTCCATGACGGACTTGAGAACCACCTGAACGATCTCGGGACGGCCGAGATGGAAGTGCGCTGTTGATACCGTCTCCCAACTCGCTGGCAAGTAGCCAAAGTACAGCCGACTGGCCAATTGGATTGTCAAGTCAACAGTCGCCTTGATGGGTGCAGAGTTGTCGAGCAAGACTGCTTTGCCAAAACCGTTGATGAAATGCGGGACGTATTGTTTTGTGGATGTGATGGCGAGGTAGTCTTGACGAAGCGTCCCAATGTGAATATCAATATCTTCTGTCGTCACCAACGAGATTTCCTTTAGAGTAGACGGATCAACAGTAGTGCTACCGTTACTTGCTGCGCGCGTCTCAGGACCAAGTGTGTTGATGGCATTCTGCAGTCTCTGTGACAGCTGAGAAACCGTCATGAGATCGATCATGGAGTGTTCAAAGATGGTCGCAGAGCGTCCATTCGCAGTCACGATAATTTGAGTACATTTGTCGTGCCATCGGTTGAACGAGTCACCTATGTAACCATAGCGAACCCGGTCTGCTCGTGTGACAGGGCTATTGTCGTCAAGACACATGACGAATACAGAAGCCTCAATAGTCTTGAAATAAGCTGCATTCCTGCTATCCAACGCGAGCAGCCTTTGTCGATTCTAAAGAATGTCAGTTCCATCGCAAGTTTAACTTCGCAAAATTACATACCAATCCCCATGAATCACGGTTATCAGTCGTCAAAATTCCAGCCCAAGAGTTGTCATTCAAGTTCAAGTCAATGATGGCTTGATACGTTGCCTTGAGCATGCTGTATGAAGCACTTGCTCCATCTAAATTGAGAGGGACCTTGAAAAGATGTCCTTTTCGCAACACTGCAACGTACTCGTTGTCCGGGTACTTCATCATCTTGTCGCAGTCGACATTTGGCTCTCTCACGGCGTTGAACAACCAGGATAATGAATGTCCACAGTTGGCTCTTGTGCCAAGGAAATCGGGCTTCAGTATGCCTGCATCACGGTCGGCCTTGAACTCACATAATGCTGTAGTGAGAGCAGCTGCACGTTCTGCCTGAGTGTGAGGTATCGGGCTGTCAAAGTGCGTGCCCATGAAGTTCCCAAAAGGTGCTAGCGGGTAGCGACGTTTGAGATGCAGGGCTTTGAGAAGTAGGTCGGCAATCCAGCTCTCCACCTTGGGATCATCAGCCTTGACGCGTAGCTTGTTGTAGAGTCTGCGACCAAGACTACCTGGTGACGCTAGACCATGAGCTTTGCGACTAAGCTCATCGTATTCATCTCGAGTATGAGCAAAGTGGCCGACGCTGTTTAGAAGGTCCTTGACAGCTTCATCTAGATCGACGAGCGGATATCTGGGCAAGTCGTTGCATGTTCGGCAACAATAAAAATCATGGTTGGTCTTCACCTTATCGCGTTGCGAAAGAGATGTCTCTTCCATGACAGGAACAGCCTCTTTCGGCTGTGATTGACGTATCTCATCAGGAATGAGCTTGGATCGCGACGCGACTGTGGAAGTGAGAGCGGTGATGCTACCGGCACCGCTCAACTCCGATGTTTGTAAATTGACCTGGAATGTGCGAACCATCCAGTTCTTCAGCTCGATGCTGACAAGGGAATCCAGCCCGAGAGTAGCCAAAGACTGGCCCACCCGAATCTCCTCCACAGGCCGGTCTAGGAAGACTGCAAACTTGGCGAGTGAAGCATCTTGGATCAGCTGTTCCGCCTCTGACATAGTCTTGACACTGGCCAATGCCTCCGCAAAGTCAATCTTGTTGGTTTTGGTAGTGCCACTGTCCTTCTTCTCCAGTGCGAGTGGTAGCTGGCTGAACACGGGATTGTCGAGTAGATACTCATCATTGGCTTCAACCATTGATTGGCGTGTTACTGCTTGGATTGATTGGTGCAACCCATCCTTACGAGCAGCATCGGTCGCAATGTATTCGAAGTTGGAGAAGAACTCATCAAAAGAGATATCCATGACACTGTTTTGACGGAGACTTGCCCTAATAGTACTAATTGCCGTCTCGTTTTCAGAAGCTTCCAAAGCACCGTGGGCATCAATCGAGACAGCGCCGATGTTAAGAGACACATACTGAGTATGAGGGTGGTTGGCATGGGCGCGTGCAAAAGCATCTTGGAAGCCATTGCCGGCTGCATAATTGGATTGACCAGATTTGCCAATGACAGATACAATTGACGAGAGTGCCACGAAGAAATCCAAATCAGGGCTGGCGAAGTACTTGTCAAGATTGATAGTTCCAAAGATCTTTGGTTGTAGTGGTAACTTCCATTCGTCGACAGTCATTTGAGAAAAGGTTCGATCCTAGACAGAGTCAGAATTTTACATTGTTGGCATTGATTAGAGCAACTTACCCTCAGTGCCAAGGCTCCCTGTACTACACCTCTGATAGGCGGTAGCGAACTGCAAAACGAGAAAGCTTCTTTCATCTGATCCTCATTGGTGATATCGCATCTCAGTAGGTGAAGCTTGGCGCCATGTGCTTCCACTGCTGCCGTATGTTTACGTCTCGTCTCTTCGTCGATGGTGCGCCTAGAAAGAGAAATAATATGTCCAGCTCCACGAGCAGCGAAGAAGTGACAGATTCTTGAAGGTAGATCACCAAGACCTCCCGCCACGATGTAGGTTCCGTCTCTCCGGAGTCGAAGTGGTTTCGGCTTTGCTGGTAGACATTTGACTATTGATGAAGGCTGCGCTATGAGAACAACTTTGCCAATGTGTTTCCTCGCACTGATCAGGCGAAAGGCATCCTCCAGTTGCTCAATAGGATAGGTGTTGATAGGTTGTGCTGGACGAAGTGTGTCTGATCCAATAAGCTCAACGATTTCACCAAGCATTTGGTGTATCTGTTTGGGCTTTCGCATAGCCAAAGTCATCAAATCAAAGGTGTTGAATGTGATTGACTTTTGGAACGCGCCCATGCTCAATTGAGAAGCCTTCTGGATCTCACTCTTCCCAAGTTCAATAAACACGCCCAGACTTTTGACGCAATCCAAGCTGTCTCTTAGCATCTCCCCGGTCGACGTGTTGAGCACAACGTCCACACCCTCACCATTGGTGATATGCATGATGCTCTGTTTCAACGACCCGGATTGACTGGAGAAGATGTGGTCTTCCGAGATCCCGTAAGTGTCAACCAGGAACTGCCGCTTCTCGCGATTCCCAACAGTACAAAAGATCTCGGCTCCAATAGACTGGGCAACTTGGATTGCAGCTTGACCAACAGCCCCTGATGCCGAGTGAATGAGAATAGATTGGTCCTGGTCGAGTCGGGCCAAGTTCTTGATGCATTGGTACGCCGTCACGTGTGCATAAACGATCGATGCTGCAGTACTGTTGCTCATCGAGCTGGGCGTCTTCTGGGCAAGGTATCCGTTGACGCGCGATAGATTGCTGTACGGCTGGGCACCAAAGCCCATAACCCTGTCTCCAACCTCGTACATGTCCCTCATATCGCTGCCAACAGCTGTTACAGCACCAGCAAACTCACCAACCATTTGTGTGTCGGAGCCCGTTTGTCCCAAGGCCACACACAGATCCTTGTAGTTGGCCCCAAAGGCATCCGACTTGACTTCGATCTGATCAACTCTTAGATCGGAAGACAAGTCACTGTCCACGAATTGAAGTGAGCTCAGCAACCCAGGAGTAGCAAATTCGAGCTTCAGAGCCCGATCACCCTGATGAGGAGTAGTCTCTGTCTCGACCATAGTGGAGGCTTCCCAGCTGCTACGAGCCCACTTCAAGAACGTGTTGTCTGGCAATACCCTGGGAATTGACACTCGCCCATCCTCGTACGCGAACTCAGGCTCCAGAGACTTTTGATCTTGCGCGTCTGGCCAGAAGCATTTTTGTAATATCTCGGCCACTACTCGTCCAGTCACTTCTGCATCAAGAGCAGGGTCACGTATGTCAAGGGTAACAAACCCAGTGTTGCCACTTTCACGACGGAGAACTCTTGCAACAGCATTTACCACACCCTTGTATGCCGCGGAGACGGGGTCGGGGCTATCTTGGGTAACGACCCAGAGAATTTTGGCCTTTGCGGCAAGGAGCGCGTTGAGTGTCGTGAATAATTGAGGTTGCGGGTCGAGAAGCAGAGGTGTCTCGGCGCGATCAATGACCAGATAGGCAGTCTCCTCATTGACTTCAAGTTGATCCCACCTACCCTCACTGACCTGAGTATTGGCCAAGGTAGACTTGATGTTCTTGGAAATCGCATCAATTACATCGCCAGACATATCATTGATGAGCACAAGCTGTTCGTTTCGTGCCACATGTCCATTGGTCGACAAGGGCACAGCTTTGGAAACCATCATACTGTTGCGCGCAACGTGGATTCCACCAAAGCCGTTCCTTGACAGAATTGTATCCCATTGCTCTCGGTACATTAGCGCGGTGTCATCTCGGAACTCGTCCTCGTGAGCCCACCATCCAGATAGCGTGCCGAAGATAAGACCAATGACTGCGCCTTTGGGTGAGTTCTCAACAAGGATCAAGCTTCCACCGGGCCTCAGAAGCTTTCGAACGTGTTCCATTGTGACGTCCATCTGCTTCGTTGCATGCAAAACATTTGATGCCACAACAACATCGTACGTCTCGGGCTGGAAGCCCTGCTTGAGAGGATCTCCCTCCACATCAAGTGTCTTAAAGTCCATGTAAGCCTCCCAGTCCACGAATGTGCTGCGAGCCTCCTCAAAAAAGCCACTCGATATGTCGGTATAGGTGTACTGTTCAATGGGTAGGCCACCGGCACTGTTCTTATCGGCGATTCCACCAAGGAGCCTCTTCGTGCAGCCTCCAGTTCCGGCACCAATTTCTAAAAAGCTGAGACGGGGATTCTTGAATGTGAGAAGTTGGAGGTATGCAACTGCAGCTTCGTAGTCACCACTGAAGGTTCCGCCCTCATAAGCACGTATGAGGAGGTTGCCCTCCAGCATGACGCTCAATGGCTCAATGGTACCGCTTAGGATTGCGGGAAGGGCTCTGCCGACACGTGCCAGAAGTTGTAGCTCGGGTGCGTTGGTGAGAGCATCAATTCGCTCCAGTATGCTGACCTCGTCCTCGAAGCGCAACCCTGACATGATGTCGTTGTAATAGTCTGAGTTGACCCACTTGTTCATCCATTTGAAGTACTTTACAAGATGAGGGCTTGAGATCTCAATCTTGTTGGCCTCAACGTAGCTCAGTGCATCTCGAATCCAGATGGAAGCGGCCTGGTCGGCTGCACGGAAGCTCTCTTCGGCTTCGATAGCAGATACTTTGCTGCCTTCGTAGTTATATGTCATGTTCTCATCCAATCCAAGCGTAGTAGAGAGAAAGTGAGAGAATGATGTTTCTTCCATGAAGTCCGTGTCCAGGTTCCACTCCAGTCGGTTCACCTTGTCCTGAACAAAAGGCCGGTTCTCGTCCTGATGCGCTTCGCCAATGGCCCTGAGGTTGACCAAAAGCTTGATGACTGGTCTAAGCTGGCCATCAGCCTCTCGCTGAAACACCCAAGACTGCCCAGTAGACGCCTTGAGTCCATCAGGTTCGATCTGCATAGCGGCAGTAAGACTATCGCCTGCCCGTGCAGAAATCTTGGCATCGACCTCCAGCAGTGTAATCTTGGTGGGCACACAGGGAGCATTGGACACAAATTTCTTGAACAGTATTCCACTGAGTTGATGAACTGCGTCCAGAGTGATTGGGTGGATAACGTGAGGTTTGAAAGAACGATATGGCATCAGGGACGCCACGTCTGGGATAATTATGTCGAGAAGACCTTGTTTGTTGCCATACTTGAGTGAATCGATCGGACTGAATGCGCCATCCCATTGGTTACCGGTAAGTTTAGCAAACTCATAGAACTCAGTCTTGGTCATATCCAGATCGCAACTCTGTCGGGCGCCGTTCAGAAGTTGCATCGATTCTTCTTTCCGCAAATCCGTTTCTCTAGCGCCAATCACCTCGTCATCCTCAGTGTCTTCGTATTCGACCGTAATTTCACCGGAGCAGTGCTCGGTCCATGATTCGTTGGCATTGTCATATGACCAGATCCGGAAAATCTCCCAGCGACTGCCTTCATATTGACGAGAATTGGACATTGTCAGTTGCACTTCGACTTCGCCAGAACTTCCCTCATTATCCGATTCATTTAGAACAATGGATTTCGAAATGGCCACTTCGCGAAGCACGAACCTTGAGATAGACCACTGAACATCCCTTAGCTGCACGAGCTGCTTCATCGCCTCAATAGCCATAGTCAAGTAGCCCGCACCAGGGTACAGGGTGAAGCCCTCGACTACATGGTCACGGAGCCATGGTAAGTCATCCAAATTGATATGATATCTCCAGCGAGGCTCGTGAATAGTGCTCGCTGGATCCAACAGGCCGAGTAAATCGTGCGGTGGGAACTTTCGAAAGCGATGGGATTTGCTCAGCCGAGATTCGTGCCAGAACGGAGCTAGATCCCAAGGGTACTTTTCCAAATCCCTAATGACCTCAGACTCTGCTTCATCAGTCATCCTGAGCACGGCTCCAAGATTTACCTTGAGGCCGAGCTCGAAAGTCTTCCCGGCGAGCGATAGAACCGTCTGCACAGCGTTTTTGTGGCGTACGAGGGCAGACAGATATTCGAACTTGAACTTTTCGCTTCCTCCTTGCGCCAGTGTTTGACGAGCCGGGCCTGCCAAAGCTGAATGAGGGCCAACTTCAATGAAGACGCTAGTGTCCATGCCCGCTTCGTTTCTCGCTTGATCATCCTTCAACAAAGCCAAAGCCTGACTGAACTTGACTTGAGAGATCAGGTTTGCTGTCCAGTACTCGGCGCCAAAGTCTGTAGACTTTATTGCTCCCGTAACGCTTGAGTATAATGTGACACCACTGCGTACTTCAGAAGACTCAATAGTACTCATTGATTCCTGATATTCCTGAGCGACTCGTCGCATGTGATGTGAGTGATATGCTGTATCGACCTTGAGGGCACGTGCAAAGATTCCCTCAGCGTCAAGTAATGACTTGAGCTCTTCGATGGCGGTCAAGTCTCCCGAGATTGTACTGCTTGCCGGACTGTTTACACAAGCGACACTGACAGTTCCAGTTATGATCTTGTCAATGTATTGCTGTGCTTCTGTCTCTCCAAGGGCGACGGCCATCATGGAACCAGGCACCTCCGCTACTGCCTTGGCTTTCAGGGAAGCAACACCACGGTAGTACGCACTGTTCAACATTAGATACATAGTCACATCGGGTGCGTAATTGACTTACACAATAATGGCATTCTCTCTGCTTAATGCACCAGCAGCATAGGCAGCGGCAACCTCACCAGAGCTGTGTCCAACAACCCGGCTAGGCCTTATTGAGATGCTCTCCAGCAAGTCCACAAGCGCAATCTGGATAGCTGTTGTTGCAGGTTGGGAGATCTCAGCCTCGGAGATCCGTGACTGGTTCTCCTCTCTGGAAAGCTCTTCAATGAGACTCCAAGTGCTGCCTTGCTCTCGTATCGTGTGATCCATAGCCGCCATCGACTGCCGGAAACATCGTGACGAGCTGATAAGCTCACGACCCATAGCATACCATTGAGCACCTTGTCCAGAGAAAACAAAGGTAAGTGGAGCATGGGTAGTCGTTCTCTTTAGTAAGACTGTTTGGTCTAGTTCCTCCAAAAGCTCCGCAGATGTGGATGCGACGATAGCTCGGCGGAATGCAAGAGTAGATCTGTGGACACCCAAAGTATACGAGAGATTGCGCAGGGTATGCGAATCTAGCTCATGACTGTCTGCCCACTTCTTGATGTTCTCCGAGGTCGACGATAATGCCTTTTCGGTTGATGCGCTAAGAACGAACAACTTTGGAGTAGCGTCGTCGGTTTTAGCACCATTAGTTATTCCGTTGGATGTGCCATTAGCAACCCCATTGAAGTTTTTTGAATCTGGAGCCTGAAGGATAACGTGACAGTTGGTTCCTCCATATCCAAAGGAGTTGAGTGACACACGAGCAGGACCGTCTTGCGATGTTGGCAGCTCTGTAAGCTCACTAGGGATCTACGATCATCCATGTTAGAGCGTCTCATACTTATTTTGATGACATAAAAGGATGTACCTTTATCTTCTTCTCATATAGCTTCAGCGAAGTTTTTGGCTTGATAAAGTTGAGGGTGGCGGGAATTTGGCCGTGTTTGAGGATGAGTATAGATTTCAATAGGCCGGCAATACCAGACGCGGCCTCCAGGTGACCGATGTTCGTTTTGACAGACCCAACATATAGGTCATCTTCTCTACCAGGCTCTTCGCAAAAGACCTTGGATATAGATCCTATTTCCTCGCGGTCGCCAGCCTGTGTTCCCTATTCGTTCCTGTCAGCATGGATCTCATTCTACCATGTGCAACACTTACAGTGCCATGAGCCTCAACGAATGAAGTATCGGCTGGATTTAGCCCAGCCTCTTGGTACACACGTCGGGAGAGTGCTGCTTGTGCTTCGCCACTTGGCGTATTGAGGCCGGGAGTTTTGCCGTCTTGGTTCATACCTGAATTGGCAATGATGGCGTGTATTCGGTCACTACCAATTCTGTCAGCATGCCAAGCAACTTCAATTGATCAAGGCTTACCCGTCTTTGAGTGCATCATCCAATCGTTTGAGGACGATAGTGGCGACGCCTTCGCCGCGGCCATACCCAGCGCCTCTCGAGTCAAATGCATACGACTTTCCATCTGGGTTGAGCATTCCCATACCACTCACTGCGTAAGTATCAGTGATCCATTTATGTTTGACATGGAAATCTCTGGCTTGTAGTCCAGAGGCGTTATCAGTACTCACTTATGCTTAGAAGGTCTGGTTGAATAACGAGCTGAGAGCCACCCACCAAGGCGAGCTCCGACTCGCCTAATCGAAGGCTCTGACATGCTTGATGCAAGCCAACAAGACTGCCAGACTATGCATAGTTAGCACATCGCTTTCCCGGAAACTCGGTCCTAAGGTGTCGTACGCATCCGGTATCGATCGTCATACAGGGACCCCGGAGGTCGAAGCAGTACGATACCCGGTTCGAGAGAACTAACGTGATGTAAGCTGCTAAGTATCATCATCACTGATATCTACATTCACTCACTGGACTCTCCCGTTCCGTTGAGGTGTGTTCTTCCAATTGTGGATAGATCTTTATGCCCCATCCGGTCATAACTCCTCTCGAATATGCTGGCATACACACCAGTGTTCGAGCCACGCAGTGTTTCAACTGGTATACCAGCATCTTCAAGGGCCTCATAGGTTGTCATGAGAAATAGGCGCTGCTGAGGGTCCATAGAATTTGCCTCCCCACTAGAGATTCCGAAGAATTTGGCATCAAACTGAGAGATGTCATCTTGTAGGAAGTACCCATGCTTGGTCACCATTGACTGCTTTGCATCTGGGTAAGCGTCGAACCACGCATCCGCATTCCATCGATCCTTGGGGATCTCTGTCTGTCCATTTCGGCTCTCAGATAAGAGTTTCCATAGACTATCTAAGTTGTTTGCTCCGCCTGGGAGCCTACAGCCGACTCCAATGATGGCAATTGGGGCTGGATGGCTCATGGTTGACACAATAGTTGGATGATTTTAGATTTTGTAATATCAAAAGAGGTATCAAGAGTCTTGATGTACATAGTCGTTTCAATGCCGGTGCATTATATAAACCTTTCCACCTGGCCACACATCCTCTCGGCAGACCAAGGTCTTCCCCTCTTTGAAGGATTTCGAACGAAACCTCTCCTAGCTTGCGACTCCGAGCTATCGCCATTATCATCCGACCCGAGAAGACAATAGGCTGAATGATCCGGTATTCGAAAACTTAGAACCGAAAATAGCTCGCACTTGGATCATCCCCAGAGAATATGGTAGTTGAGCGGGCCGTTGTCCTGTTCTAGGCAAAATCGGCATCAGCATCTCCTTGTGGTTAGGTGCAGCATCATAGAATCCTTGGCCTCCAGTGTATGTAGGTGATCAAGTGCTCGCGATGATACTAGAAGAACACATATAAAAGACGGGACTTCAGAGAAGTCTATGATGTATGCAGGTGAGATTAAGACATTTAACCTGCCAATGGTGACTCAAAACATCTTGCATTATCTCCGAAGGATCCCTATGTTGCACCATGTCCCTAAGCTAATGAGTTTCGTAGCGTCTATTGGCCAGTATTCGATGAGCCGCATAATTTGCTTTCCAGGAATCAAATCCTAAAGCTTGCTTGGCAAGGGCCTATCCGAGAGGCCGGCTAAATGCTGCTCTGCCAGAGCCCAGGTTTCAGGCGGTAGAATGCCCATCATCCACGTATTTCCCTGGCCATCTTTGCCGCCCACCTGGAACATGTTGCGTATGTGTGTGTTATGCTCTAGCGTAGTCCACTGGTGCCAGGAGATTTTCCCAGGAGACTTTCCATGACCAGCTGCGGCGGGGGTAATAACCGCAGAAGAAAAGTCGATCGAGTCGAAAAAGCCCATCTTGCTGAAGTTGGACACGACTAGGATAAACGAGTCCTCGGCGGCAAAAATTGCAGGGTTCTCACTATCTCTCTCGTACGACTCCCGCAGGAGATGTAGTTGCGCGTGTACTTGCGGCTCCTTGGTCAGGGTCGCCACAGACTCTCTAACCAACAGCGCGGTTCTCGCTAGCGGCTGATGTCGAAGCGCCTGTAGAGTGGTGTTGGTCGAGGTTGAAAAGGTTGCATTGGCGACGAAGACAGGGCTAGAATCGGGCTTGTCCTTACGCTGGGGAAATGTTTCCGGTAAGCAATGTCTCGCCTCGTACATTCCCATCACATGGACGGGCCGGTCCGCCGCAGGAAGGATGCTGCAGCAGAGTCGTGCCGCCCAAACAGACAGAATATCAGCGTCGCTTACAAACTGTCCATTGTATAGGGCTCCCTTTGGAATCACTTTGAGGGTATCCGAGCCTTGGCCGCCAATGAAATCCATCTTGATCTTGTGGACGGCGGGTTCAGGCAGCACAAGCATGCGTCGCACCGACACTGGGTATGCTTCGACGTGCTCCAAGTATTTGTCGTAGGTCTTCTTGAAGGCTTCAGGGCTCAGCTTCATACTTGACAGAGCATAAGATTCTTTGGGCGGAGCCGACCCAATATCCTTTAGAGGATCATCGAATGCGCCCATGAAAGGTGGAATCTCGTCGTAGCGTCCATCCAGATCCATTGACCAGGCCAGAATCAGACCTTTGATCCCCATAAAGTCGCAAACGACATGAGACCAGCGAATACTAATCAATGTCGCATCGCTGAAGAGAGCCATATGGACGCCGATGACTGGCTCCTGGCGACGAACGTGTTCATCAAAGTCAAGTCCCCATTCGGGACCAACGGTCAAGATTTTGAATTGGCCTGTGATGCCTGGGAACAGTTCGGCCTTGCCTCTTGCCCTGGGGAGGTTCTTTGCGACGGGATGATCAGTGGTTTTTACTGGGAAAGTCTCTTCAGAAAATTGAAATGCCGGTCGCTCTTGGGTGTATTCTCTTGGTGCATGAATCTCAAGCTTTCCCATATCGTTAAATTGCAAGCGACCGCCTAACTTTCTCCAGTCGCCCTGACTGAGAAGATTTGTGAGAGCTGCGCATAGCTTCTTTGTGTCGAGGACTGCATCAAATCGCAGAGTCCAGTGTTGCATATACCGATTAATGGGAGAGTCGTCAAATTCATGTAACGGGTATACAATTTCAGATGAAGGCATCGAGTCGGGAGTAACAGAATCAGATGACATTGTAGTGTTGTTTGTGAATGACTTAGTTGATGTGGTTGAAATAGGAATATCTTGCATGAATGATTGAGAGATACCACAATGCCCTGTAAGTTGCTTAACACCCTGGAGCTGTAGGTGACTCGTCCACTGCAGATTCCCCGCATTACAGTGCTTTGTCGGGCCGCTTTCCGGCGGTTGGAGGGTTCCATCAATTTAGGCAGATGTTGCTGCAGGGCATTCATCCATCCATCCTTCGCGCCTAGAAATCCTGGCCAAACCGGCAATATCTCAATGCTTGACTGAGATGCATGGGCAAAGAAGTGTATGTCTATCTACCTTGATCTAATCCATATCTGAACCGATAACAACCCAATCAAACAGACTAAATCTCCACCACTTCCTCCATCAAAAGAAAAATTGATAAACGCCTCAGGATGTTGATAGTTACGGAGAAACTGCCTATTGAAACCACAGTTGTGCTCCATCACTTTATCGTCATGATTTCGGAGCCAATCAAGGAATGCTGCGACAACCATGGCAACATTTTCGATCCAATGTCATTTTTGCGTATTAACTAGACCCGGGGAGCCGTCTAATAAGTTCGTTGAAGGCACCGTTGCCATCATAAGCCAACGACTTTGCCAGACTGGACAATTCTCACATCGCTTGTATGAGCATATCATACCAGTCAGACGAGCTATTGTCTGTTTCCTAGCAAATAACAGTTCCGCAAACAGCTTCACTGACGTTGCTTTGGTGCAAATCAGGCGTGTCAGATAGGAAATCTCGCATCATACCTGCTAAAACAGAACCGAATTCGGGGGTTCTGTACGAAATCCCGTGGTATTTACCATCTCCCCATCCACATGAGAAGTAAACCTAGTCTTTCCCAAGCTCACCAGACTTTCTGTACCACTTGAAGATTTCCGGCTTCAGCCAGACGCGCACATAGCCTGTGTCGGTCACGCCACCTTTTTCTGGGGGGGGTCGATAAACATGGTGACACCTCGACCAAGAGTTGAGGAAGCAGTCGCTAATGCTTCAGTTGGTTCAATTGTGCCACCGGGTTGAACTTGGTTGGACTACACCGCCCGGATATAAGGCTGGAGAACCGTTCTTCGCCAAGCTCTCTGACCTGATCATCGAACTGCTCCCTGGTAAGAGGTGCATGACCTGCCGTCTTCTACAGTGTAGCCTTAGTCTCAAGCCGTATTCTGGACCGGTCAATTCAGTCTTCAGCAATTATGGTAGCCATAATTGTGAGGAAGTATAGATAACCAAATATATGTATATGTAAAGTAAGTGATTACGGGTTCCTGCTTTTGCTTCTGTGTTAAGGCGGCACATTATAGAGGCAATCCGTGACTCGGAAACCTTGTCTTCCATGGCATTCCCAGAAATACTCTTTTGACAAAGGGAATTTCATCTGGTCACTGCTGAGGTGTCTGTTTCTATCCTTTGGTATAAGAATATCCCCATTTTGTCGGCATGAAAATCATGATGTTTGAGATTTGCATTTCCATTGCATTTCACTCTGCTGTCTCAGTCCCAACAACCAATACATAAATGATAAGACAGCAACTTGATTCATCCATCTCATACAAATGCATTTTACTGGGCAGCCGATCCTATAAACTTTGTGTCCCGTGTCTCATCGTCGAGGCCATACAAGGCGTGTCTGCCTCCTCTTCCAAATATAAGGTACATACAACAGGGACATAGATGGTTATTTGTCTTTGAGCCCCGCATCAACATGTACAAGATTTCCTCGCATGGAAGTCAATGCCTTCGAAAGGTCTCTCATCAGTATCTCAATAAAACTTATTGAGTGGGACAAGATTTGATCGCGAAGAATGTATGGTTTGTTGTATGTATGTATTGGAAATACTTCAATAAAATATTGATGTTTGCTTTTTCAGTTATGGTTACTGAGTTGACTGTCTCGGCTTGTTGTGAAAGCTAATTGACAATTGTGCTTGTGTATCTAATTGAAAGTCAATGGAGAGAGATCCAGTTGCTTGACTACACATGAACATTTACTTCACCTTCATTGTCAAAGTATTGTGCAAACGCAGAACTTATTATCACTTGTAAATGTTGACGTTTCAGCTTATCCTTTCCACGGTAAATTTCATGACTGTTAAAGTGAAGTACACAACCAACTGACACGAAACATCCAATCAAAATGGTAAGAAAGACGAAAACCCTTAACAAGCTTTGATTAAAATGAGAAAAACTCCTTTGTGGCCTGTTTGCTCATTTCCTTGACGGTTGAGCTGCTTGGGATAGATTAGGTTAAGGGTAAGTCTCACAAATTGAAGCAACCGAAAAACTCAAAAGGTTATCATTAATAAACTCTAATAAATTATTTATATATCACGATTCAATGCGATTAAATATAATGAAACTTTCCGCCTATCATGACACTCCGGCCCTGGCTCAATGTAATCGGCATAAAGGAACTTCGCGGAGGTTCAACACATGGGTGACGTTGCAAACCCCGTCAACACTTTCAGTAAAATGAAATGTCTGGGTTTTGCCGTTCATCTGTAACGGCTTGATTAACCTTAACTCAAACGTACAAGTGGCACGAACATCTCGCAAAACGTTACACAAAGCTTGTATGACAACATTCCAGCCGACTTCTCCGAAACCCTTGAAGATGTTGCACTTACTGGGTTAGGTGAAAGTCAAGATCGTTGATTTTAGATGATTATGGCGGCCGCTAAAAACGCCCTCGATTGAAAGGTGTGGCGTTCTCGAAGCTTTATCCATGATCTAGCTAAGTTTAGTCGGATGACCCGAGACGCGTATTCACAATCCATCGTGAGGACACTCTTCATGACGATCGATCAAATATGCGGCTCGCCGGTTTTAACAGCGGTCGGCCAGGAATGTACTATACCTGGTACAATCGGTGTACGACTACCCTATTTTTCAAGGATACCTGCAGATCTTACGGTAATTAAAAGAGTACCTAGTCCTGCTAATCTACGTATCGTCTACAGAGTAGTATTCATCGAAAAGTGATAACAAGAAAAGACCCAAGTCAAAAGATCCTCGGTTGGAAGCATTTCCCTTGTCCTTTTGTAGTGTAAAAAGAAACGATGACGACAACAGCCAGGGGTCAGTACGTGTCGAAAGGTGTCGCCATGAGGGGTCAACTGCCGTAATCAAGATCGACACCTCCAAATGCTATAGTAAGCTAGTCTTAGTCTGGTCTGGCTGGTCTGACTCTCACAATAAGCGAACAAAAGATCCCGAAGCGATAACAACGAATCTGACCGATTGACTGGTCAAGAAACAAAAGCATTGACAGAACAATTGGAGATCAGCTCTCTAGAAGAGGAAGGTCTCTTGGCATTTCTCCAATTCTCCCGACCCAACGCTTGTTGTAAAGATCGAGCCGGAACTTTTGAGGCTTGTCCCCCATGCGCTGTTCCTCTTGGGGCAGTCCAACCCATGGTCATGGTACATGGGTAATGTAAGATGCCGTTCGAACCGTTCTTCCTTTCGGTGATGCCTGGCCCAAAAGTTGAGATGTGAAATGCCGTGTTCCGTGTTGTGACATCAGTCTCAAATGACGCGAGTATTGCCTCTTTAATGGCTGTTACTACTATCTCGTGCGCGTTTTCTTATATAAGACCCCATGGGGCCTTGGCCTTTTCCTATTGCATAACCACATTATCCCGTGATTGTCCAAAATGCGGTTCAGTCTCATCACCGGCAGTTTTCTGGCGCTCGGCTCTTTTGTCGAGGCTGGTTTCAACCAGGGCGCCATCAAAGCCTTCAACCGTCCTCACCCTCGTCATTACGACCAGAAGCGCGCACCTGTCCCTCCAAAGCCGTCTTTTGAAAAGAGAGCCAAGTCCAAGTTCTTGAACAAGAATTCAGAAAAGTTTGCAGTAAACGGATCTGCTATTCCTGAAGTGGATTTCGATGTTGGAGAGTCTTATGCTGGACTTTTGCCCATCTCTCAAGACCCTGATGAGGAGAGGGAGTTATTCTTTTGGTTCTTTCCCAGTACCAATCCCGATGCTGGAGAAGAGGTTCTGATCTGGTTAGTCAATTGAATCTTGATCATATAACAGAACTAATTATATAGGTTGAACGGCGGTCCTGGATGTAGTTCACTTAGCGGTCTTTTGACTGAGAATGGTCCTTTCTTGTGGCAGCAAGGCACTCTTGCTCCTGTAGCCAACTCATACAGCTGGACCAACCTGTAAGTTTTGAATCCCAACAGACTTTGACTTGATATACTGACTTAATCAGGACCAACGTCATCTGGATTGAACAGCCTGTCGGTGTAGGCTACAGCCAAGGCAAGCCCAACATCACCAACGAAGTAGAACTCGGCCTTCAATTTATTGGTTTCTGGCGCAACTTTATCGACACCTTTGATCTTAAAGGTGCCACAACCTACATCACCGGCGAGTCCTATGCGGGCTACTATGTCCCTTACATTGCCGACGCCTTCATCACAGCTGCCGATGATGACTACTACAAGCTTGGCGGTGTTGCCATCAACGACCCAATCATTGGCGATGGCACACTTCAGCAGCAAGCTGTCATCCTCCCCTTCATTGAGTACTGGGAGAAGTTGTTCTACCTCAATGAGACGACAATGAATGCACTCCGCTGGACACATCAGCACTGTGGATTCGACAAGTATCTTGAGAAGTACGGAACTTTCCCCCCGCCCGAGGGAAAGTTTCCCGTCCTGCCTGATCCTTATCTGGACACCAAGAACTACACTTGTGATATGTTTGACTGGGGTTACGCTGCTGCTCTTGACCAGAACCCTTGCTTCAACATCTATCACATCACTGATACTTGCCCTACCACTTACAGCCATCTCGGAATAGTCAACTCGGTACGTCTCTTCCCTTGCTAATGCAAAAATCTCACTAACTAGAAATAGGGCGACTATTCTCCTCCTGGTGCTGAAGTCTACTTCAACCGCACAGACGTCAAGAAAGCTCTCCACGCTCCTGTAGACACTACCTGGTACCAATGCACTCGTAACAATGTCTTTGGTTTCGGCAACCCCAATTCCACTCGCAGCGACACATCTCTCGCTCCCGCCCAAAACGGCGTCCTCAAGCGCGTCATTGAGCACACCAACAACACCATCATCGGTGTAGGTCGCTTGGATTACATTCTTCCTCCCAACGGAACACTTTTTGCTCTGCAGAATGTAACCTGGAACGGAAAGCAAGGATACCAGAAGTATCCTCAAGACAAGCAGTTCTACGTACCCTTCCACCCGGAGCACAATGGTGGACGGCTCAGCGAGGCGGGCATTGTTGGACAGTGGGGATATGAGCGTGGCTTGACCTACTACGAAGTTCAGCTCGCCGGACATGAGCTTCCTGGATACAGCGCCGGTGCGGGATACCGTGTTGTTGAGGCTCTGCTTGGAAGGATCAAGAACCTGGGAGTTATCGAAAACTTTACCACACAAAAGGGTGATTATCAGGGTAATGGTACATCGATGAGTATGAGGGGTTTGAACCCGCTGGAACATCCTTATGGACCCAACTACTATTAAGAGGGCGTCTAGTTTAATGGAAGTCTATCTAAATAATTAAAAGAAACGAATCATGTTTTCCAAAGAACAAAAAGTCAGCTGTAAGCATTTCATATGAATGAAGTAATTCGAAAGCGAAGTTATTCCCATTTAGCGTCGTAATGTAGCATAGGACTTAGATGCAGATCATTTTCGATAGCTCTCAAGTGTCCAAGGCAGAGAAATATCGCACTGCAGATTGCCATACGATCTCATCCTTTTACCAAATATTGCGGGTTCGCCGATTATCTTGTCCACATCATTATTTAAAAAAGCAATAGTCAGTGCCACATCGTTGTCTAGATCTCAGGGGTCTTACACACAAATCAAACCTCTTTTCTCTTGTCCAGATTCGTCAGTTTTGAATTTTCCCCTGGTCTCTATCTTTAGTAACGATGCATAATCGTAGTCTGCTCTTCTGGAGTGTCGGCCTATCTGGCCTAGGCATGGCTGTCGGAAGTGCATGTCGACCACGTACTGCAGGTAAGAACATAGCGAATTGCGAGAATTACGCGCGAAGTCGATTAACTGTCTACAGATTCATATTTATCAACAGTTGGGATGTCCACTGTAGCGACGAGTGCCTGGAAAGAGACCACCCTCGCAACTTAGACAATACTTGACACCAGCTTCCTCTCCTCTATAGAGGCTTCTACGGTCTCAACAGCAACCCACATGTTGAATACAGCAACTGAGGCTGTTACGTCTGGTTCTCCATTCTATCCGACAACCTTCCACCTCGTTTCTTCCACTGGCCCTGCCGAAAACAAAGTCCTCAGAGGAGAATCCACCGATGGAAAATACGCCCTCTTCGACGGTTCCCTTGGCCAAGACATTCCACTGTCCTACGAACCAGAAACAAGCCGTCTTCGTGTCTCGGACAGCCTCTGTATCTACGCGTCTTACAATAGCCAACTCAAAACTGCTCCTTTGAAATCATGCGGGTCATCTCCGACTTCATCGTATCTAAAATATGACGCTCCCACGGGGGAAAATCACAGTGCAGGATACCAGCCTTTATCCTTCGTACAGTTCATCAAGAGCACTCCCCGTTTGCAGTAGTATGGATGACTGATTGTGGCCTTAGTGTTGAGCCGTGGACATACTTCTACTTGAGGAGAAATCAGGGAAGCACGCAGATGGAATGGCATGCTGATATTGACGCTGGGGATGCTACAGACCCTGATTTGACGCTGATCGATATTCGAATTGTGCTAATTTAAATGGAATGAAGCGTTGTAGGTATGAAACCGATTGTCTAGACGAATTTACAAATGGGAATTGCCCAATTGATTTCCTTTATCCATCATGTCATAAACCTTCTTTCCTCCAAACCACGTCTCGTCGACCTTGATATCCAAGAGCCCTTGAACTTCCGGGATACCTGGCAAAACCATGAAATCTGCTCTCAATCCCTCTTTCAAACTTCCTGTCCAAGTCTCCGCAAACCTTGAATACGCAGCTCCATATGTTGCAGCCTTCATAGCCTGCGCCAAAGTGAGCGCACTCTTACCATTCGTAACCTTGTCCATCTCAGGCTCCAGTGCAGACTTTCTCGTAGTTGCGTTATACAAGTTTGGAAATGACAAGTGTCGGGCTGTAGGTGCATCGGTGCCAATTGCCATATTTGCGTGGCCGTCAAGACACTCTTTATAAGGAAATGCGTTTTCCCACGCTGATGGCTTAACAAGCTTGGAGTACCCTTCGAGGATTGCAGGGTCGCTGTGCACAGGCTGTACCGAGGCTGTTATGCCGAGACCACCAAGTCGAAGGGCGTCTTCTGGGGTAGCCATTTCCAAGTGCTCTATTCTGTGACGAGCGGTAGGATTGTTGGTGCTCGCTATTGCCTCGATGGCTTGGTTGATGGCTGTATCACCTATGGCGTGTATGGCGCACTGCATACCAGCTTTTGTAATCTGATGCAGTGTTCTCTGCAAAGCCTCAGCTGGCCATAGTGGCTCAATGAGATCAACAGATTCTCCATAGGGGTATGATAGCGCGGCTGTGCAGCCGTCTACTGTACCGTCTCCAATAATTTTGACGCCCACGATGCAAAATTCTGGGGACTTTGAAGGGTGGAATTTATTATGCATGTCGATAGCTTCTTGAATTTGTGCATCGAGAAGAGTCTGGTCTGCCTCGTAGGGAACAAACCAGTGCGCAGCGATATGAAGATTGATACCCTTGGTTTCTCGTAGTACTTGCAAGGCTTCCCAGGCTATCGCATCCATGGCCATATCGATAACTCCAGTGTATCCCTCTGCAGAGTAAGCCTCAATTGCTCTCTCAAATGCCTCTATCTTATCATCCATGGAAAGGGATTTGATAAGAAAAGGCCAGATAAAGGCTGTGACAGCGGCTTCTGCCAGAAGGCCAGTTGGGTTTCCGTCTTTGTCACATGTGATGAATTCTGGTACCTTTGCTTTCATTTCTTCAATGGGTAGCCTCTTCAAAGCGGCAGTGTTACACCAGACCGAGTGAAGATCATTCGAATCGATGAAAATGGGCCTTGGGTCGATGTCATCGATCATACTCGCCAGCGCAATTCCTCCAGTCGCGGACTGAAGCCATCCTCGGCATAGAATATGTGGCAGGTCAGGGTTGAATGCTGCGAAGGCGGATAGTCTCTGTCGGATTTCTCCAAGGGACTTGCATCCTCCAAGGTCGAGCTTTTGCTGTGATAGACCAAAAAATAATAAATGGACGTGGCTGTCAATGAAACCAGGGAGGACAACTCTGTTGTTGAGGTTCACAAGTTCAGCGCCATTAGACTTTGCCTTTTGAACTGCTGGATCATTCTCTGGGCCAATGTATGCGATGTTGGAGTCTTGGGTGATCATGCATTCTTGGTGAGAGCCATGAGTATTGCTGAGGAATCGGCCATTGGTGAATATCTTTGAAGAAGCCATGATGATCAAAAATGTTTGATGATATCTGTCGAGTGACAAAAAAGGGGATATCAATAGATATAAATAAGGTTGGAGGAGTTGTCAAGGGTGGAGAGCTATCAAGATGAATCTGGAAATAGATCGATTTGGACTTTCGGCGTGTCCATCTTCTGAAAGTTACAGACGAAAATTGGCCATACATTGTGCTAGAAATGTCCGTGTTAGTTCTGTAGTGAAACGTAATCGTTGAGCAGCGGATCGACCTGCTGGAATAAGTTAGCTTCGGCCAAGAGTAAGATGCCGCTCATTGATACCGAGAGTCATCCCGACCTGTCAAGCAAATCTCTCAGGTGGTAATAAGACGGGTACTGGTCGCTTGAAGCTTCTACTTCAGTATCCCCGCAATGATCTAGCCGCAATCCTTGGTAATGTCGCTCAAAGTTGATCATGCTAATGATGAATCTTTGATATGATGCTAAAGGTATTCGTGATATTTCCGAGGTTTACTTGCAATGGTACACCATCCCTTGGGCGATTGCAGATCGCAAAGAGGTGGCGGAAGAAGTGCAACACTACCTTCGCCTTTGCATCAAAAAAAAAAAAACCATTCGACATGTTGCTCCAGATACTCAATTATCTGAATCGATAACATAGCTGCGTAGATACAGTCGAGTCTCATTGGGTACGGCAATAATGCAAGACATGCAATGCAGTACATTTTGGGACATTGAGAAAATACATTAATTATCATTGTTTCCCGCTATCCAGTGCTAGTGTCTGTCCGTTTACTCATTCCACATGAAAGAGCGCACAGCTTATTGAGCAACTTTCTCGACAATGTCAACCACCTTCAACATGGCGTCTTCACTTAGAAACGGTACATGTCCAGACTTGATAGTCTCCATGACAACGCCGCCTCCCATAGCCCCCGCCATAGCGAGCTGTCCTTGCTTAGGGATGCAATGATCCTCCTCACAAACAACATACGTCCTTGATACTGTGATATCTGTCGCGACAAAATCCGATGGAGTCTCAAGACTTGCCGTGCTCTGGAGAGCACATGCTGATAGAGCCTTGCCTGCTTCTTCAGAAGGGAGATCGTTGTAAAAGGTATCCTTTGCTCCCTCATTCAGATACAAAGCATCGTCCTAGAAGGAAAGGTTATGTCAGTATCGAATGTCTTGGAATATTGGTTTAGTGGTCGTACAGTTCTGTCCAAGAAAGGACCGAATGTTCCTCCAACAGCAGCTAGAAGAGATAGTCCTTTGACAGGAAGTGCAAAAGACGCGACGTAAACTACATGCATGATTCCTCCAGATAAACCTTTTGCCTCTCGCTCGTGGAGTTGGTATCCTTCAACAGCAGCAGATCCCGGAATACCACCGTAGCTATGGCATATCAGAACAATCTGCTTTCCCTCGTCTAGAGAGGGTTGGAGTGCTTTTCTGATGACTTCCATGTCATCCATATGTGTTTTGCCCTTGATATCATCAACGTTTCCAGATGAGATGTTATCGGGCTGGAGGACAGTGAAGCCTTTGGTAGTCAGTAATTGAGCGAATGCCTCGTAGTGGATTGCGCGGTGCCAAGCACCTTGCACGATGGCAATGACTGGTTTCTCGAACATTTTGATAGATAGGATTGATGGTTGGAATATTTTAGTTTCTTAGCTGGGCTCTTGATCTTCGACACGCGATGTTATATGTAAAAAAAGTTAGGGTCAGCACTAGATAAGTCAGGCAGTTAGTTATGTGCTCATGTCAGCCTTGTTGTGTTTCCACGCCGCATCAGTACATGGTCTGTTCGTGATAGGCGCAGCTAAATGTCTATGTATTAGATGTGCTTTCCAGGCCATGTTGGGAATTGGAGTCTTTCATAAAGGGCAAGTGCGATAATTACATGCTTAGCACGAAATGCTGTCAGATGGCTACCTACAGTACTGTTCAAATCCTGTCAGCAATAGCGCTGATTGTCTAGACCATGCAATACAAAACTACCAATCATGACCCCAGCATCTTCCTTAGACGCATGTCAGCCTCACAAAATCAACAGACTATTACATTAGTTCAAAAAAAAGGGCTGCTTAGTACACACTTATATCACAGCCACGTAAGATCAGACTTCCCACCCGGCATCATGATCCTCAAAGGCCATCCTTTTGCCTGATAAATCTCCCCCACAATCTTCTGCAACCAAACTGTTGCAAGGACCGGGAACACAAATTCGAATCGCTCCCTCATGGCGACTTCAACAGCGGCGTCCCATGATTTTCTCCCTCCCTCGCTATCGCCCATGGCTATTTGTGCATGAGCCATAGATAATTGAATGATGGCTGCTATCCATCCATGTCTGGAACTAAAAGTAGAAAGAGCCTGCATTTGTTGGCCAGCTTGATTCCAGAACATCAAAGCATTAACAAAATCGCCACGTTCGTGCTGGATACGCGCTGAGAGGATTATACGTCTCATTTTGAGGACTTGATCATTTAAATCGTCCAACTGAGGCGGTTCGACAGCGATGAGCTCTTCAAGAACTGAGGTAGCACCATCGAATTGGCCTAGACCAATGTAGGCTTCTCCCATGGCCATTGTTAAACGTCGAAAAGGCCGACCTTCTTTCACGGAAATGGTTTGAAGTTCTACTTGTATAATCTGAAGAGCTTTTTCATACTCATGAAGCTCGCAGTGAATCTCTGCCAATCTTGTAACGATAAGTAGTTTCGTGTTTTGTCGTATTGGCATTGTCGAGTTCAACCACAAATGCTGTTCCAAAGAAGCCCTCGTCGTCTTGAAATCTCCAATAGAATGAAAGAACTTGGCCGCAACACCCTGCAACCTCCTCGTAACCTCAATCTCAAACGTGGATAGTGGATGGATACCCTTCCAGTTGTATATCGTCGCAGCGACTTCCGCATCATACCGATGTATTTTATTCTCGATACTTGAAATGTGTAGTCTTCCTCTCAAAGCGTTGTCAGATCTCGTGTTGGTCTCGCACTGCTCGGATGACATAAACTCGTTGATAATAGCGTTCGAGCGTTCAAAGTCGCCGTCCTTGCCGGATATTATGCTGTCGAAGAGGGTGACGGATGCTTGATAATAAAAGGGCATGTTTTTGCGCACGAGGGTCTTTGCGCGTTGAATGGCGGCGAGACGGATACTGAAGAGGTCGCGTTCGCAAAAGTAAAGAAGGGCTTCTATGACGCATGTTCTCAGCGATGTTGGGATCCTTTTTTGGGAGGTCAATTTGTCAAGGAGAGTCCAGATTGCTTTCTTTGTGGGGAGTGACCTGGTTTGTTAGCTACGTTCTGGGAAGTGGGTTCATAGATGGATGTACCAATTGACTTTTCCTTCATAACAAGGAGGACAGGCAAAACATATCAGTCGAAGAGCTGTCGTTTCCCAATCTTCCACTGTTTGTGATGACAAACGATTGGCAATGGTTTCTTTTGCTTGGGGATGAAGTGACAGGGTTACTGCACCGTCCTCCAAGGTTTGTTGAGTTACTTCAGGTCTTTGTTCGAGTTGTGACACGACATTATCGCTAGATAGCACAGTCACTAGATCCGAGCTAAACCCAAAGTCGACGGCACTGATACTCTGTATCTCTCCTTCATCTGTCCAGCGTCGCATTGGTATCTTGACACTTTTTAAAAGGTCAATCGGCACGTCAGTTCCTCCTAGTGTGTGAAGGAGAAGGAGACCTTGTTCAGATGGTAGAAAGCAGTCCCCGTATTCTGAAAGAAGGCTACGGAAGGATAGATTGAGTGAAGAATCTATTTTCTGTCAGTTCAGTCCCGGATAGTTTAGAAGCCATTTACCGTTGAGTTGCTCTGTAATTATACTCTGCACGAAATAGGTCAAATCGGGAGCCTCGGACCCGAGATTTTGCAAATGAACGAATGCTTCAGTATCATCCATATTCAAGTACCTCTCGTATCTGTTCATGTCAATATGTTTTATTAACTTCACCCATAGACTACTTACGTTGATGCGGGTACTTCCAAAGGAAGCCAAAGAATTGATCCGACCCCCCCAAGCTTTCTGGCAATCTTGATATACTTGTTTCCCGCATATCTCAGCTCGGATAGTGTCCTCCCCTTGACAACAGCAGCAACATCCTCGGCGATCCAAGCATCGTCATTGATTTTTGATCTCAAAAATATTGTCACGCATGCAATTCGTCTCCTCAGCTCCTGTAGCAAGGAATCATCTTTGGAAGTCCAAAACCCTTTGGTGTCATTCTGAAGAGTCTCAGGCAGATTCCTAACCCTATCAAAAGTGATGGACTGAAGGGAAAGAATCTTGGCTGTGCGTTGATTGCTCGGAATAACCTGGTACCGAACCTCCTTGGAGAGGGATTTATTCTTAGCGAGGACAGAGCGGATCGCTTCGAGGTGCTTGTTTAGATTGGAAGCGAAACGTGTGGTGGAGGACGGATCAAAGTTATCAATCAGTTGATCAAGATGCTTGCAAAAACACGCCATCTCGACTAGCAAGATCAAGATAAAGCGAGATAATCTTGGCTGATAATCGCGGGTTTTTGTTTTTTTCACAGTGAGAAAGGGGATTGTCAGAGTTTGACCCTTTTTGAGGTGGACCGTAGCGTCTCACAGTGAGAGTATTACCATGGTCATGGCTCCGAATCTCGGGGACTAACTTGTTTAAGAAAGTCATGGCGTGAAGCCGACTGGTTGAATAGGTTCAATTATTGGAGCCGTTGCTTATCAGATCATGGTAGGAAGTCTTTTTGTTAACATTTTCTGTCTGATCTAGTAGGTTAAATGTTCATTGTCATGATTGAAAGATGCCAAAACCCACGTTAGATACTCTAATATTTCCAAGTATATTAAATTTGTTTTATTTAGTTATTTGGTCAGATATTGCTATAGATATCTACTTTCTACACATCAACTCCCTAACAGTACTTGTATCCTTCTCGTAACCCATTTTAGCTTCCCTGACATGTTCACATCAAGTGGGGATGCAATCAACCTAGCGGGTCTGGACTTGAACTTGACAAACCTTGTTAAAATTCTGGAAACGGTTCCACCCGATTTGATCTGATAAAGAAGCATCATCGCCATCTGATAATCTTCCATTCGTCTCATCCTCATCTTAATCACTTTTTCTTCACAAGATGGAGCCGTCAAAGGAAGCAAAGGACATAACCAATGTCTCTCCGGCATCTGACCAATCAGACAACGACAACGGCAGTGAGGATCATGGCAAGAAGCCTGTACCCCTGAGTATGAAAATACTCTCTGTCGTCATCGTCAGTATGATTGGCTTTGGTGGACATTGGAGTAGTGGTGTCACAGGTGCTTTGAAGAGTACCTTGAAAAAGGTCAGTTGACATACATGCAGCAATTGGACTTTGTCTAACCTCTACCAGGAGCTTCATATTTCAAACACCCAATACGCGGTCCTTGACACAAGTGAGAACTTTATCAAGACTGCTCTCATTCTTGTTAGTGGTGTTCTCACAGATCGCTACGGTGGTGCAAGTATGTATACCTCAACTACCATCACTACTTTTCAGTACTAACCTTGTCTCAGGCACCATGCTTTGGGGAAACGCCGTCTTCAGTCTAGGAGCAATCCTCGTCGCAGCGGCCACAACAGTCCGAAGCTACAAATTCATGATTGGAGGTGCCGTCATCCAAGCTCTCGGCGACGTCGCAACCCAGGTCGCCCAGTACAAGATCTTTTCCTCGTGGTTCCCTCCCTCTTCCGGCTTCGCATCAACGCTGGCCTTCGAACTCGGCATTGGTAAAATCGGTTCATTTGTAGGAAAGGCCACGGCAAACGTGATAGCCCAGAATCTCGGCGATTTCAGCTGGGCGTATTGGATGGCCGTCTTTATGAACCTGTTCACCAACGTCGCCACCCTCTTCTTCTGGTGGTTCACGCGCTGGTGCGAAAAGAGATACGCGGGTACTAGAGATCCTGCTACCGGAGAGAAGTTGACGGAGAACAACAAGAAGTTTGAGATTGGCAAGATGCTATCGCTGCCCTGGTCATTTTGGATGGTTTGCCTATTTTCGCTGTTCCAGACCTCCACGGCTAGTATCTTTGCATCCAACAGCACGGAATTGGCTGAGCAGCGCTTCAAGATCTCGGCCGTCAAGGCAGGCTGGTACTCGTCCATGTCGCAATACTTGGGCTTCTTCTTTGTGCCGTTGATCGGTATCTTTGTCGACATGTTTGGACAGCGACTGACACTCATGCTTGTTTGTGGGTGCGGTATGCTCTTATCCATGTGTCTTGCAGCTTGGGGACCGACCGTACCCGGAACGGCCGCGAGTTTCGGTATTTTTGCCGTCGCTACGTCGTTTGGACCTACGGTGATCATCGACAGCATCCGCACGAGCATGTGGTACCAGGAAGTCTTTGGATCAGGCTACGCGATCAAGATTGCGATAAACAACAGCATGACCATCATCGTGGGCGTGATTGCGGGTGTCATCCAAGATCGTGATAATAACAGCTACGACAATGTCACGATTCTTTACGCGACATTGGCTGTTGGTTCCGTGGTGGTGGCATTGATCATCCTAGCATTGGGTTTCGCCAGTCACATTATGGGACATTTGCAGTGGAGTCGCAGCAAGAGAGTCGAGAATGGGCACATCATCAACGCCAAGAGAGAAGAGGCTGAGAAGGAGGGACAAAGTCAATGGAGTCGCAAGTTGGGGGTTATCAATTTTGGAGCTGTTGTTGTGCTTATTCTTGGAGCTTGGGCAGCTTACTTTTGGGGTCTGGCTACCAAGAATACGTATTGATGATGATGATAAAAAGAGATTTAGGTTGATAATTATTGAGTCGAGTAATGAAGGATTAATGCTTTGTGCAAAGCTATGCAATGTTATGCAGTATAAATGATACTTAGATGTGTCAATAGTATCACTCACCAAGGCAACACCCATCTTCCACCAGCGGAACAGTTAGATTCCAATTGGCTAATTGATTAGTATTCGGAGTACCCTAATTAGGATAACAACAAATCTCGTCCAGGTCGCTGAAATCAGTTCCGTAAAATCCTTTCATCATCAGACCGGGGGAGTCGATTACTATATAATGGAAACAAGGCCCTGACACCGCTCTTCTCTCCGTTTAGTCACCTCACATGATCGGTTCAAGCACGGCATCTCTACTTGGCATCCCCGCTTGGCATCCCGACTCGACTCCGTAACGGTTTGTCCCCAGATCTGATGTAACAATCTATAATTACAATTTGTTGATAGCATAACAAATAAACAACATGTCACATTTTACATCATAATCATCCCTGTCTCGGTCCTTTTTTTTTTTTTTCGCGCTCCGCCGATTAACCGTTTCCACAAACCGGTAGCGACACAATATGGCCTGATGATAGACGCTGTGATACTACCCTGGACAAGCATGCATCCTGGCTTGGTTGGGGCGATACCTGTTTCGAGAAGGATTCGGTCTGAGGGTTACTAAGGTTAAATCTGAGCTTATTTGAGAATCTGTTGGGTATGAGATATGAAAATGGAGTAAGTGAGACAGGATCTATGTCTGTTGGAGGCGGTCAAACATGTTTCTTGCATTGTCCGTTAGATATTCGGAGATCTTGATGGTATATAGGAAAGGTGTGTTTATTTCTGGCCTGGACTTGTCAAAACGAAACTTTTAAATGTCTCAACAGTACCAACATAATCTATAGGGTATTGCCCATTGCATACATCATTATACGTCTATCAACATCATCACATAGGTCAACATGCTACCAAATTACCTCCATCCTTCCAATTTCTTGACCTCTCTTCCCCTCAAACGAGTGGGGATCATTACCCCTTGGAAACATTAGGTTGGGGTTCCCCCACGCTCTCGTTACCACCTGAATCATGAATTTCCACAGCCAAGACTCCAACTTTTTCCCACCATGCCTAGTTTGTCATTGTACATCCTTTGCTGCCCTAGCCTACCGCGGAGTTGAAAAATAACCCTTTTCCAAGTCTTCTAGACTTGCAATATCCCCGCATACAAGTCTGCCAAGAGAGGCATTTTGTTACAAATAGTAACATTGCATGTACATAAACGATACCCACTTTGCATTTAAACCCTTACGGCTTCTCCGAGTTGTCTGCATGTACCTATAATGGCCAGGTTCTGATTGGAGATGAGTGATGAGGGGGTTGGCTTACCTGAACCTCCCCCCAGAGATTTGGGGTCTTGGCTTGTTTCTTGGTCGGCAGCTGAATTGGTCGCCGATGGATGTATTCATCATCATTGCAGAGAAAGAAGAGTGAGACGAAGGGAAAATCGCTCGCCAAGAGAGACAAGCCTTGTCATGAGCCAAGGCGCATCAAAAGAATCTGGGGGATTGGCATAGCTAAAAGGCTTAGCCTGGGGAAGAGAGTCTCTCGCGAGAGGGAATCTAGAGGCTCTGGTACTTAGAAAAACAGAGGTTTCAATAAGAAAACACAAAACTCAAGTGACTATTTGGTTAATACGAAAATATTACTTTTTTATTAGTCAACTACCCCAATCACCCCAATCATCTTCCCTAAAAAACAACGCATTCGCCATCTTCTCCGCTGCAAATGGTGCATACCTGTGCCATCCTACCATGCTACCCCCCCAGCATTCCCCCACAATATAAGCCATGACCATATGTCTTGGCCTTTTCCCCCGTTTTCTCGCCTTTCTTCTTCCTCGTCTTGTTGGCTTGGCTCTCTCTCACAATTCGCCTACTTCGCGTAGCTATTACTTTTTCCCTTTACGCAAAGCCAAGACGTCCGGCACCTTCTCTTCCAGGACATGATGCTCCATTCTGCAACATGCGAGTAAGGGTTCCCCGCAGTCTTGAGGCAATACTACCATGCTCTGACAGTGGAGTTTCCGTCATGGTTTTGATGAGGAGCAAGGAGGTGAGGATGTGAGTGTGGAGGTATAAAGACGGAGGACATCGGCGTTGAGGTTCGAACGACAGACAGTTTTCTTTCTGTCCCTCTCCTCTCTCCTCTTAGTCTCTTCTTTTTTGCATCTCTCGTGACAAAAGCTGCAGTCATGTCAGACCACAAACCGCAAGCTCACGAGGGTGAGGACGCCAAGGACATTGGAGGTCCTCTGGAAAACACACCCTCCTACGCTCAGGAAAAGCCCGAGGTAGTTCCCAGCCTGTCCAATGTCGCAGCTCTCGGACTTCCCAACGCCACAGAGCTCGAGAAGAAGATTGTCCGCAAGCTCGACATGTGGATGCTTCCTCAGCTTTGGATTCTCTACATGTTCAACTACCTCAACCGCACCAACATTGCTCAGGCCAGACTCAACACCTTCAATGAGGATCTCAACCTCAAGGATGGCGATTACCAGACTGCTGTTGCGATTCTCACTGTCGGATACATGCTTGCCCAGCTGCCTTCCAACATGTTGATTACCCGTGTTCGACCTTCCATCTACCTCCCCGTGGCTGCTTTCATCTGGTCGGCCATTTCTGCAATGACTGTGCTCTGCACGAGTGCTGGTGGTCTTTGGGCTGTGCAGTTTGTTCTCGGTATTGTTGAGGCGCCTTTGTTCCCTGGTGTAAGTTCTTGTTTCCACCACTCCACATTCATCCTCTAACCACTCTCAGGCTGTCTTCCTCATGTCCTGTTGGTACACTCGTCGCGAATTCGCCCTCCGTGTCGCTCTTCTATACTCCGGTCTCGTCCTCGCCCAGGCCTTTTCTGGTCTCATCGCAGCTGGTGTCTTCAGTGGTCTCGATGGTCCCATGGGTCTGGCAGGCTGGAAGTGGCTTTTCATCCTCGAAGGTGCCATGAGTGGATTCTTCGCCATCACCGCTTACTTCGTTCTGCCTAACTATCCTGAATCTCCTACCGGCGGTGCTATGCGATACATGACTGAGGACATGCGCAAGGTCGCTGCTGCCCGTATTCTCGACGACCGAGTTGAGATTCACGAGAAGTCAACTGTCTGGGTTGGCCTCAAGCTTGCTGTCATCGATGTCAAGCTTTACATGTTCCTCTTCATGAATATCTTTATCACCTCGTCCTATGGATTCAACAACTTCTTTCCCACTATTGTTCGAGGACTTGGTATGTTTGACCATCTTGTTTTTAATCTATTACAATCTTGCTAACAGTTGATAGGCTTCGGTAACAGTGTTACATCTCTCCTCATGACTGCTCCTCCCTACATCTTCGGTACACTATGCACCTTTTATGTATCATGGGATTCCGATCGTCGCCAGGAACGAGGTCTTCACATTGTGATCCCCCTCACGTGCTCCGTCGCTGGTTTCATTGTGACTGTCGCAACTGGAAACGCAGCCGTCCGCTACGCTATGACATTCCTCTACGCAGCTGGTTGCTTCTCTGCCAACACTCTGCAGTACACCTGGGCTGTCTCCACCATGAGTCAGACACCCGAGAAGCGAGCTGCTGCCGGTGCCATCGTCAACATCTTTGGGCACTTGGGTAATGTCATCTCGCCCTACTTCTTCCCTGACAAGGACCAACCTCGATACACTATGGCCATGATTCTTCAGATTGTGTTTGCTGGTCTCGGTATCGCGCTTGCATCCACCATCAAGTGGTTTCTTACCAGGAAGAACAAGAAGATTAGGTCTGAGGCTGACCGTCTCGGCATTGACTTCAACCCTTTCACTACTTAAAAGGTGTAAGCATGAAATGACTTGGGTTATGGATTACGGAATGGTTTCAGGAAAGCTGGTTAAATAGATAGTATAATGAATAGACGACAAAGTATGTCAGTAACATACTCACAAATGATGGCCCTACAGAATATTGCCTGTGACTGTAGTATTTGGGGACATACATAACGAGATGCGTAAATAAATCGCGAGATTATGGAGGTACCCATCATGCGTTACGCGTTATCACCGACGCGACCACTTTTCCTCCCTTCATAAAATGGATTTTATCACGGTACGCAGAATATCATGTCAGTGATGGGAAGAGAGAAAAAAGAGATTAATTTCTCATGCCAGCAAAAGATAAATCAGCGATGTAAGTCGACCACGCCAGGAGTCGAACCTGGAATCTCTAGAGGGATCAGTTGCTGAAGACCGAAATCTAGCGCCTTAGCCATTAGGCCACGCGGCCTGATCTTATTGGATTTGGAGTCTAGATTTGCGAACCATGTACTAGACACCCAACCACCACTCTTACCCTAGATCTCCACCAGGATAACTCATTTGCATACCTGCGTAGAAATACAGTACATAGATGTGTGTTATTATTACAATATCTTTATAAGCTTAGTGGTTATTTAAATCAAGACTATGCAGTGACTCTTCTTGGTGTTTTATCTGCAATTTCTCTTTTATCTGCCTTTTATAGTAATTACAGAACGCTAAGCTTATCACATTATTTCTAACTCTTCACATCAACAAGCCATGCTGGATATATCGGTAAACAGAGTTTCGTGCTGCCATCTAAGCAGCATTTTTATTCCCTTAAAAGCGTTGTAGATTAAATACATCGAGATCGGTTGCCGATATAACATAGAAATGCCCCGATTGGACGTACCTATCCCAATTCTCTGTTTGACCATCGGCCTCTAATCAATGGTAGCTAATTGTATCACAGTTGTTGGAGCCTGTAAGCAGACTTTTCCTTAGATCGGTAGCCGAAAACCAACAATCGTCCCACATTGTATGTAATGTCACTTTATTTAGTGGTCGCTAATGGCTGTAATTAAACTATGCAGCCTTAGCAACCGACAACCAACACCTAAAAGCTAAGAACCAACAACATGTTACGTGAATTAAGGGTCCCGATGACGCTAGACAGGGGCTTTAGTCGGGAATATCTTCATTGAGCCGACTTGGCATCCCTAGCGTGCGCAAAAGACCTCTCTTTCGGACTCTTGGACTCTTGCTTATGCCATTATTTCACGATCGTATTTGGCTGATGGCAATTAGCTACTCCATTACAATTTAATCGATGACTCGTCGCCGGGAAAAATTCATTACTTCCGGCGCCCCGTTCTTTCCACTTATTTAAAAGTGTCTGTAGAGTACATATGAGGACGGGGGCTTTTCTTTTTGAGTCGGCCGTACTTGTTGCCCAACATTACTATCGCACACCCATCTGTTGAACAGACAAAATGCTGTTCAATATCGTTGTGGCGCTGAGTCTCTCGACGAGTGCCTTGGCCGGGTCCATTCCCGACCTGAGAAGATCCGACGACAGTACCCTCACCAACAAAGCCTGCAACAATGCGTTGGAAAAGGAGATTCACTGTGACAAGTTTCTGTCTGGGGTCATGTCTGAAGACGACTCCCTGTGGACGAAGGAAAAAGTCGAGCTCACTGACTCTGTTTGCACCGACACCTGCTACGATTCCCTTCAAAGCTGGTATGACACAGTTACCGATGCATGCGATAATGGCGAGGACAATTACCTGCTTCTAGACAAAGTATCGCATACAGGCTTGGGTGGTAGCATTTGGGCTTCTTGGAACGAGACTTGTGTCAAGGACCCCAAAACAGGTCGATACTGTCAGGGTAAGCAACGAAATTAAGACCCGTCTTCATAGTATATGACTAACGTAAAGGCAAGAGATCATAGAAGGGTTCTCCGAGATAGAAGACGGCGAACAGAGGTCCTACGATGAGCTCTGTCACCCTTGCTATGGCAAAGTCATTACTGCAATGACTAGGAGTCCATCATGGTTGCTTTCGTCTGACCCTGGCACCGACTACTGGAACGATCAACTTGAGCTTGTCCATAAAATTTGCGGAGGTTCAGATTCATCCAAGTCTCGACCGTTTTTGATTGGGACAGAGATATCTAAGGAAGAGTATAGCTCAGGCTCTACTCACGGAACTACCAGTACCCTCTCCTCCGATATGAGCACCGTGTCACTTCAGCGCACCTCTTCAACAGGAACCGCGTCACTTGAGACTACCTTGTCGGAAAGTGAACCCTCGGAAAGCAATGCTGCTGGGATACTTGGATTTGAGCATCTAGGCGGATACAAATATGCGCTATTAGCCTTGGGGGTTGATATGTTTGTTATCTAAATTCACCCACTTTAAATGATTGCGTTTTCTCGACGAGATGTCACTACTGGGGATTTTCAAGTATTTGATTCGTCATGATTAGCTAAATTTCTACCCGAGACATGTTTGAATAGATGCTCAGTCCCACTCATTTTACACCTTATTTCCAATCAAACACCAAATAAGTTTCATTGAGAAACTCAGAGCCAAACCTACCTGCCTGAGTGAGGAGGGAGCCAGGGGCTCTAGAGCAGAGCTGGTTTTCGGCAGAATGGATACATGCTCTTGGGAAGGATCGATGTTGATGGACAGCGGATTATTACATCACCTATCTGTGATATCACTACCTGGGTAGGTACCTCAGGTATGATGATTCTATTTGAAATGTTCCATCTTGTCACGAGACATGACAGTAGCACCGACATTCAACAAACTCTATCCATACTGCTGCAGAAAATATAAAGCAAGACGAATATCCAACCAAAAAAGACAGAAAATAGCCAAGATTGCTCATCATCCATACAACTGCACATTAATCAAAATGTCGCTGCAAGCCTACCTGATCGGAGAACCAATAATCTACGGCCTGCTACTCGTCCCAAGCGCATTCCTCGTTAAGCGTCATGGCAAGCATGGATATCTCGGTTGGGGGCTTGTCACGCTCTTGTGTCTGATGCACGTCATCGGCGGCGCGATGCAGCTTACTGGAACCCGACATGGCCTGTCTGTTCTCAACAGCTGCCCAGGTATTCTCCTGCTCGCCTGTTGTGGTCTGTGGTGGGAAGTGTACGTGCAACTATCTGCTCGTTTCAGGATGCATTCGCTAATATGTTGACTACAGCAATCACCATCTCGAATCATTCAACAAGTCTGCGAAGATCAAGGTTATTGTAACCACCCTCCTTATAAGTACCGGTATAATCTTGATGGTCAATATCCAGCTCCGTACGCTAAGCAGTCGAACGAAAATCAGCATTGCTTGTGGATGCTGGGGAATAGCATGGCTGGCAGCTATTATCCAGATGGTCATCAGTATGAAGGCGCAGAGTTTCGGTTTTGGAGAGCCCCCTCAAAAGGTCAGTCCCAGCAGAGTTCCTTTTGGATACGAAAACTGACTTATTGCTAGCTCCTTGTTGCTGCAACATTCGGTACAGTCTGCGCTGGCCTACGCATCTTTTTCATCATTTCGGTCAAAATAAGACTCGTGTACGCGTTACAGCCAGGAGCTGGCAGCTTTTCAACGGCTGTGATACTGTCGTGCGTACTTGTTCCTGAAGCTCTCGCAACGCTTTTCTTGATTATTATTGAACTGATGACGCGCGGGATTTGTGGTTAGAAACCGACCAAATGTGATGAACCGACCAAAAGTGTTGAACCAAGTCGCAATAGTCCTCCGCCGCAACAGCACACTTACGAACTGCAGTTTGTACGAGAGCAATTTGCGCGAGAGCAATTTGGATTAGTTTATCAATAACTTTAAGCTAGGATAAGTAGCTATAAAGAATTAATTCTCTATCTGTTTAATCTAAGCAAGTAGAACACCCTAAGACTTGGAATGTCAAAATAAGTGACCTACGAACTATGGACTAAGGAGTATAAAGTAACCTACTAACTTTATCTCTTATAATTCCAGCCGTTAATATTTCTAACACCTAGTACATATAACACAGGAGAAATGAATTATCTTCCTTCTACCTTTTGTCTGTTATTTAGGTACCAAGGGGATATCTTTGGGCCGTGTCGCTGAACTTTATGTTTACACGCAGCTTCAGATAACTCGATTCACGATGGTTAAGTCAACATGAAAACAAGCAGTGATGAAAGAGACACATCCGAATGATTGCTATTTTCGAGAACTGTTACAAATTGACATTTCTTCATTACTATCTGTATACGGATACGACTATCATGGATTTCTCATGCATGCCTCAGTCAATCTTTCGAATAGAACAATCCGGGCATTATCGGAACACCGTCTCGTCTCATGACAAGAAAAATTGATTTGCTTAGTGGATATTGTGCAACGCAAACTGCTAATCCATGCATTGATGCGCAAAGTGTTGTTTTGTGGAGGTTTACAATATGTTGTCATGATAGATGGCCGCTCCGCCGCACCACAGATAATTCTGCGGCCCGCAACATGCCGCAGCGGCAACTTGCAACTTTCGCCCTACATATCACAGTCTATAATGTGGGCTATCATGCCATCATATCCCGAACATGCCGCTTTACACCATAACGGGCCCTAGTAGCTACGTAGGCCCTGACTAAGATCCCATCGATCATTGCCGGCAGATCTAGGAAAACTCATGATGCAGCTATGCCATTGGTCCAGCTCGCAGCCTGTATGCAACCGTGCGATTGTGCGGTTGCTACTATACGTGCGTTTTCTATGCAATACGTGGTTCATCATGTTCTACGTGCACTGATCATGAATCTTGATGGAGATATCGGAGCCTTTCGGCGTCTCGGATTACCACGCTGGTTGTTGTACTGATATCAGTTTGACAGTCAGTGTGTTATACCAAATTCTTGTCTGTGTATTCTGGTATAAATATCTAGCTCTGCCGCATCCAAATCATCAATATCACATTCATCATCACACAGAAACACTACAATCAAACAATCCCAACAGTTCTCTTTATCAACCTTCATCATGGCTATCACCAAGTACAAGGCCGCCGCTGTCACCTCCGAGCCTGGAGTGAGTCTCTCACCACTACAACACCGATGCATTTACTGACGATATTTAGTGGTTCGACCTCGAGGGCGGCGTTCGCAAGACCATTGACTTCATCAACGAGGCTGGTGAAGCTGGATGCAAGTTCGTTGCCTTTCCCGAAGTTTGTAAGTTTTTTTCACTTTTAATGAATTTACAATATCTAATACCCAACAGGGATTCCTGGATATCCCTACTGGATGTGGAAGGTTACCTACCTCCAGTCTCTCCCTATGCTCAAGAGGTACCGTGAGAACTCCATGGCTGTCGACTCTGAGGAGATGCGCCGCATCCGACGCGCTGCTCGCGATAACCAGATCTTTGTCTCTCTGGGATTCTCCGAGATTGACCACGCCACTCTTTACCTTTCCCAGGTTCTGATCGGTCCTGATGGTGCCGTCATCAACCACCGCCGCAAGATCAAGCCCACTCATGTTGAGAAGCTCGTTTACGGTGATGGATCCGGTGACACCTTCATGTCTGTCAGTGAGACTGAGATTGGCCGCGTCGGTCAGCTCAACTGCTGGGAGAACATGAACCCCTTCCTCAAGTCTCTCAACGTCTCTGCTGGTGAGCAGGTTCACGTTGCTGCATGGCCTGTCTACCCTGGCAAGGAGCGCCAGGTTCACCCCGACCCTGCTACCAACTATGCCGATCCAGCCTCTGACCTGGTTACTCCTGAGTATGCTATCGAGACTGGCACGTGGACTCTTGCTCCCTTCCAGCGTCTCTCGGTTGAGGGTCTGAAGATCAACACTCCTGAGGGTGTTGAGCCCGAGACCGACCCCTCGGTTTACAACGGTCATGCCCGTATCTACCGACCCGACGGTAGCCTTGTTGTCAAGCCTGAGAAAGACTTCGATGGTCTTCTATTTGTTGACATCGATCTAAACGAGTGCCATCTGACCAAGGTCCTCGCTGACTTTGCTGGCCACTACATGCGCCCTGATCTCATTCGCCTTCTGGTCGACACTCGCCGCAAGGAACTCATCACTGAGGCTGACCCTAACGGCTCCATTGCTACCTACAGTACTCGCCAGAGACTTGGATTGGACAAGCCTCTTTCGAAGAAGGAGGGAGATGAGACAACTGACGTGCTCTGAATGAGACTTGACGAGGTTGGGTTATCACCGCCAAGATGATTTCATCTGATGATGGATGGAACTTGTAAGATAGAAATATTGTGTATAGAAATTGAAATATATCGAGGATCATAAAGTTATGGGATCAGTATTAGTGCGTCATGATAAAGAATATGTATGAGTTTCTCAAGAACTGAAAATCAATGTCGATCACTATCCCAATATGCTTGGATCGTGTTTGAATGGGGCGTGTCGGGATGTGGAGGTCACCACAGCCGCTGTGGGGCCCGGTTCCTCCAAACTTCCGAATCCCGAAGATCCATTAAAATGTACATAAAGACACTCTTTCATAAACAGGCTCAAGTTTTGACCATATGCAATTTGACATTTCAATAGAGATCATATTGTTGATTCCAAAATGACTCTCATTACTACTCCTGGGGCGCCTTTGCTCGCAGGTGTCTTTCTCTTTGTCATCGCAAGTTACACTCTGGCAACATCACTAACATCACCGTTACGCCGCTTGGCCGGTCCTTGGTACACCCATTTCACTCACCTGGTACTCAAATACCACATTGTCACTGGTAACAGGATACACTATGTTCATTCACTTCACCAGAGATACGGTCCTGTCGTCCGCCTCTCCCCCCATGAGGTATCTATAAGCGACGCAGAAGCTGTCGCTGCAGTGCACAAGATTGGCGCAGGATTCCTCAAGTCAGCTTGGTATGATGGCATCACCCCCGGTCGTGAACCTGGAATCTTTGCCATGCGTGATCCTCATCAGCATTCAGCTCGGCGAAGACTGTTTGCTCGCGCTTTCAGTAACGGCTCCTTGCTCACCAATTGGGAGCCCGAGATCAGGCAAAAGACTAGCCTTGCAGTTCAAAAGATCAAACAGGATGCTCTTGGAGCTGGTGCTGATGTTTTCAAGTGGTGGACACTTATGGCCACAGATGTGATCGCTCATCTGTCTTTTGGAGAGTCATTCCACATGCTGGAACAAGGCAAGGTAAGCAAGTGCCAGCGATGTCAAGGATATCTACTAATTATGCTAGCAAACGCAATACATCGATTCAATACAGTTGGCCATGATAAACAGTGGCATCAGAACTGAGCTTTCGTGGATCTACCCTTTTCTGAAATTCATCCCTTCCCAGGGTCTGAAGACGCTACTGAATGCCGACAACGTCGTTTACGATCACGGCACTGTAGCCGTCAGGAATATGCAGAGTGCCGGAGACGGACTAAGCAGGGCCAATCTGTTTAGTCAGATGGTGGCTGAAGCAGATGGGCAAGAAAAGACAACACTCACAGCGTCAGGTGTACAAGCAGAAGCAGGTAACCTCATCATTGCTGGATCAGATACGACAGCTGTCACTTTGACATACCTTGTCTGGGCTATTATCAAGCAACCCCAGCTACAAGCCCAGTTAGAGGCTGAGGTTTGCTCGCTCAGTGATGAGTTGACATTTGACGAACTCAAGAATGCGCCAATCTTGAACAGCATTATCGACGAGACACTTCGACTATATGGTGCAGCACCTGGTGCACTTCCGCGTGTTGTGCCTAGCAAGGGTGCTACCCTTGCCGGTCATTATCTTCCAGGGGGTACTGTTGTCAGCACACAAGCATATACTGTTCATCGTGACGAGAACATCTGGCCTGACGCACTAAGGTATGACTCCCGTAAACATACAAAAGCATGTACTGACGTGGCGACAAGATTTGACGGTTATCGATTCATGGACAAGTCCAAAGTGACAACTGTACAAAAATCAGCGCTATCGCCGTTCGGAGCTGGCTCTCGAATTTGTATCGGCATGCACTTGGCTTACATGGAACTAAGGCTTGGAGCTGCACTATTCTTCCGAGAGTGCCGTGGGGCGAAACTTGGCGTGGAGATGACTGACGATATGATGGCGATGGAAAACCACTTTTTGATTGCACCCAAAGCTCATAAATGTATAGTCAAGCTATAGGCTATGGAGTAAATAGAGTCATATATACATGGGGTTTCATAGTAACAATCTATCGACCATCATTATTCCAATGAGGACATGATATTGACTTAGCTATGCTAAAATATTTCTTCGAAGTACCTGAATATCGACATTATTAACAACCTTGTTAATCGCCTTGGTATCGTTCATGAATAACAAATCCATCAACCCAACCATGATTTGGTTTGTAGCTTTCTCGACCATTCTTCCATTCAAAGTACCAAATACCTCATCCACCATTTGCTGCGACTTGGGAGGCATCTTTATCTTTTCCAGCAACAAAGGCACGTCTGTGAAAGCATAGTGCTGAGCCTTTAAGACCTTCAAGACCATCTTGGAAGCGTCGATCTTGTTGTAGAACTCACCCCACTCAGGACTGTTCTTATTTTCAACACCTACAAGCACAAACGGCTTGTTCTTGAATCCTTGGTGATTGACAGATCCGTAGATTGGACCATCGAGATTGAGTCCGCCAACAGCGCGATGGTCTCGTTGAACAGTGACAGCTGCAGTTGACCCGCCGAAAGAGTGCCCGTATACTACAACTTTTCCTGGGTCGAAAGCACCAGTAAAGTTGGCGAAGATGCCATTGGAAATGGTCTTGTTGGAGAGTTGTGAGGTGAGAAACGACACGTCATTGGTGCGAGCCTAGACATATTAGCAGGTAGGTTAATTTTCATCGGTATTATAGACTGACCTCCAACATGAAAAGCTCTGAAGTGTTGCTTGTTGTCGCATACGCAGTACCTCCATCGGGAAATTCAACGACCAAAGTCTCATATGTATGATCAAGAGTAAAAATGATGTATCCTAAACTTGCCAATGATCTGGCCATCGCGCCGTACACAAGTCTAGTCCCTTGAGCGCCTGGTGAAAAGATAGCCATTGGAAATTCCTTCTTGGAACGGTGAACCTTTTTTGGTTTGATGGTGGACATGTTACAGACTTCCATGTTAAAACTCTCAATAGTGCCTTTTGGAATGCCGAGGGTGGTGCCCAGTTTACCAAAGACACTCGCTGTCAGAGGTGGCATATACGGTACAACTTGAGATTTGCATCGATGATGAGCCTCAATGGGCAGGTATACAGATACCATGATGCGGCGCTTGGTGTTGGGCTCTGGTGCAAAGTGGTCGATGCGAGTTGGATCTACAAGCTCGAAGTTATTGACGGCAACATGATACGGGCCTGGTGGTGAAGGGACTAGTAGTGCTTGAGTCGCTTTGAAGAGTGCAAGAAGTGTAATAAGTTTCATTGTTGGTGCGGAATGGATCAGTGACGAGGGTTATTTGACTTGGATATGATTAGAGATTCAGGCGATGGTCTTGTAATTTATACAACATGATGACCTCTAACCTCGGTGTTTCAAACATGCTGATAGGTGCAATCAGATGCCAAGTCAAAGACCGAGCTGACACCTAAGATTGACGCAATCGATATGTTTACTTGTGCAAGTTAGTTTGAACAGCCGCTGCGCTGACTGTCGGCCCTGCCTGGCTCATTTCTGCTAAATTTTTACAAATCTCATGTTACCTGCGAATCTACCATAAGAAAAAAGGCTGAGACATGTAAATTGTGGCTGTTGTTGAATATGAGCCGGCGTCCAAGGTCAAAGATCGAGCGACATATTTCAACCAATAATATCAAGCTTCAAGACCAAGAACAAGTACGAAAATTCTCGGTCTTGAGTTGGTGTCAGGCTAGCGTTGTGGGGTTGATTTGTCTTTGTGGAACATCGGTTCTACCTTAAAGCGTCCATTTATAGCATGATCTCTAGACCTAAGCTAGATATAATTTCGCTCTCGTTATCCCCTTCGGTAGATGAGTTTTTAAGAGTATTCTGTTGGTGATATGTGTGATAATGACTAATTGGTCCTGGATGAAACAGAGATCTACAATTTGGATGAGAGAGTGACCTTATGATTGGCCATGTAGCCGCTCGCAACACTGATGCTTGTCTATGCAATAGACAAAGTTTATCGTAATAAAGAGATAGAATGAGTTCATAAAGTAAAAGGTTCCCCATAGTTCAATGGTAAGTTACTAGGCTGTTTGCTATTCGTATTGATTGCCCGTCTATCCCAATTTCGGATCGCGACTCGGGGTAAAGACAGTCCAACTTACACCCAATCCCAAAACTAAAGCATATTGATATCATCCTTGTCAAATTATCTCATCATGGCGTTGAGACTCACTTTCTTACTCATGCTCGTTACTCAAACTTTATCCCAACGTGTCAGGATATTCGATCAAATCCCTCAAGATGTAAACCAATGCATCAAACCATGTCTCTTCCGCCCCAACAACGCAAACACCGACGTCGGCGGTGTGCTAGACTGCGATACACCCTATAAGCAAGATTGCTACTGCGCAACCAATAGCGATAGAGCGAAGCTCGTCAGTGAACATATCGACACTTGTGCCCAAGCAAGTTGCTCAGCAGGAATCAAGTCCCAAGATGCGTCATCTATGAGATCATATTATGCCTCTTACTGTATGGAAAATGGATACACGGCTGATGTGATGACAGAGTGGTACACAGGCACTGTCATTGAGGAGGCTACCGGGACTGATAAGAATGTTTGGGGATGGAGTACAGCGACAGGTAATAGCAGAAGTGATGTGTTTGACGACGAGAAAGAAGATGGTGGCGCCATTGTGAGGGCTGTTGATTTGCTGTTCTTGGGAGTCCCTCTGTTTGCGACACTGTTTCAATTGGCTTAGTCGTATAAAGCCGGCGTTTGCCATTTAGAGAAATAGGCTTACTAGCTGCAAATCATCAAACTTTGCTGTTACCAGTGGTCATAAAAATAAGCTTGAATGCCGCGTCGCCCTGTCTAAGCCCCAACAGGCGACGTATTAACCTCGCACAGACAAGCACAGACCTGTCAACAGCGAATCCTCCAAACCAAAGATTTAAACTCTTAAGAGAACAAAAATTCCATCAAGTCCAAAAACTGTATTATTAATGACCATTTTAATAGTAATAACAGTATACTACTAAAGATTAATCATTCCCAGCGAGCTTATTAAACTGTGGTCAAGAAAAAAAAATACGATTTGCAAATCTTTCGACAATAAGCGAGACACCAAGAGGTTGTTGGTTGTTGATTTCCTAGTGACTGATATGAGGAGTTCCACAATATTACTCCTAATCTGGATTATGAATCCCTTCTTTATGAAGATCCAGAACCTCTCCCCTGTAGTCGGCGATTACCCAATGAGGTATAACACAGCAATTCCAATCTTTTGTGCCCCGTCAGGAGTTGATGATGACCCGCCACGACTCGCTGAATCGTATCATGAATTTCCTTCAGTACGAGTGAATAGGTCGTACCGTCGCAGGGCTTTGGACACGTAGATACTCGCCCTACCCCTATCGTGGCTCATCAACTGAATGCTTTGTCTTTGATATACCGTCAGGCGACTGGGTCATTTTTATAATGATTTTGTACTTTTTAGATTTCTGCTTTGTCGTTCTATAAACAATCCTATAGCCTTGACCTTGCTCGACAGGAAAGATGGGGGTTTTACAAAGCTCTAAGCGTTCTTTGTGGATTGGTTCTGTATTCGGCTTCTGTACATTCATTCTGTGCTCCTACTTTCTCCTCTCGTTATATCCTCAACGGTAGACTCTCTCACCCTCCAGACGTCTACTCTGACTGACAACACCCAAATAGGAACGAGCCCCTACGACCGCAGATAACAGATGTATTCAAGACAAACTGTCATAAGAAAGCCAACAATACAAATACAAACGATGCAGCCCTTCCGTCATTACTAGCAGAACTATGGAAACCTCTAATACATCCTATCGAGGAACGAGTATTTGTCACTGACAAAGGAGATCGTTTCGAGATACCAGAGAACCAGATGCGATGGAAGAAACCGCTTGGCAAAAGAGTCGTACTAATCGATACGGATACACGCCTCGATGCAAAGAACGATAACACAATGTTGAATGACTGCCCTTTGCACTATCCATCTCTTCCCGGTCGAACAGCAGGCCATCTCAATCACTATATATATGGTAAAGTAAACAGAACCCATGATATGACTGCCTTTTAACCTTCTTATCTCCATACAGCTATGATCCATGGATACGATTACCGCCTAGTACGGGCAGCAGATTACCCTGACCGACATGGTACCTGGGTTAAGCCAGCCGTAGCCAAAGACGCACTCAAGACGCATGACATCGTCGTCTCTCTCGACTCTGACGCAGTCTTTACCCACCTCGACTTGCCACTAGAATGGCTTATGAACCTTTGGGGCTTTACAGAGGAATCCCTTGTCGCCATGGCCTATGATCTCGACTGGGAAGGGGACTACGACCCCCAGGGGAATCTCATTCTCAACACCGGCTTCGTTATTTCGCAAGCCAGCCAGCGGACAGAGGACATGTATAGGAGATGGGAAGACTGTCCACGAAGTATTCCGGGCTGTGAACATTGGAACTTCAAGTGGGCTCATGAACAAAGTGCCTTTTCGCACTACATCCGCTACGAGTTTAACAGGGTACACGATGTTGTGAACATACCATGCAACCATGCCAACGGGAATGAGTTTTCCGCCAACGGGCAATGCGAGTGTCAAGGTGTTTTTGTTAGTCATAATTGGAAGAGCAAGGACAAGACACCCGAGCTATTGAGCAGAAGCATAATGACATCCTTGGCTCGTCGATTGCAAGGCCAATTTCAGGCCGACATTCAGGACCTGTACAGGGATATTTCCAATCAGACCTATCCCATGAAGGAGATTGAGATATAGGTATATTTAAGAGAACAGATTAACACTAAGAAAGAGATTACGAGCTTAACAATAATGAATTAATTTGTATGTGATTCATTGTTTTCATATAATTGAGATACAACGTTCCATTAAGCTTGAAAAATCACATAAAGGGAAGTTCTAACATCGAAGGCGCCGCATAGAAAAGTTGAGAAAGCCACACCAAACTTGAACAGACAGTAATCAAAGGGCTACTTCCGCATAGCTAATTATGCGACACGACAAAAGGGCCACATCTATTCTCCCAAAGCTGTCTTGCTTCGCTCGCAATTGCATGTCCAACATCACCACTGCCACACATAGAATTCGTAATGACCCAAGCATGGGCTGCCATAGCTGCTCGTGGCGAATTACCCAAACCCGGACGTGCCGTGGTATCTGCTGTAATGAGATTGTAGTCGGCGACGTTGTTCGTTACTTCGCGAAACAAAGTGGCCCAATTTTTGTGGTCTTTCGGTTCAGAACGGTACCAAATTTGATACAAGTCCTGGCCAAAATACGAGTAGAGATCGGTGGCAGTTTGGGGACAGTCCAAATCGTCAAGCTCGGGGCCTAAACTGAATGCCCACATGCCCTCGGTGAATGCAGTGAGGACTTCTTTACCGTATGGATCAATATCAGCGATGTCTTGGTGATTGTTCCTGGTAAATGTGCCCTCGGGAAACTTTGCCAGCAGTCGCATGATGGGCCTCCAAGCTGCAGCCATGGTGCGTGCATCTCTAGTGCCGGTTCGATATGTCTCACGAGCCCCCAATGCCTTCTGTATAAGGGCCTCAATTTCTTTCCAATCCTGGACGCCAAGAGAAGTTTCCATTGCACCGATAAAAGTTGAGATATGTGGTGATGAGAGGTAAAGCAATGAAACGGACCTAAAGTTTGAGTGTGAGTTGCGTCTCTTATGAATTCCAGTGTCAGCCGTCAGCAGAAGAGTCAGGCGCACAAGATACCAAGTTGGGGTAGCACGACTCTACTGATCAGGCTCCTGATGCTACGACTCCCCCAAACGGCTGCATATAATAAATGCTTCCGCTTCAATTAAATGGGTAGGCTGCAAGGACTCTTTCACACGTGCTTGGACAGTAAGCAGACATATTTTGCATCGACCAATACATATGATCCACGCGCGCGGTGTAACTTCGCTTATTGAATAAACGCAGCCACCATTCTTAGCCGGGTTTTAAGCCAATACAAGCCTCTTCCTCCTCAAACAAGTTGGTCAGCCCAGCCGAGCTGAGCCTGGATGTCTCGGCCAAGATGATGATGTATTTTTCTCTCCGAAGAACTGAGATGGAACGGGAAGTGTTCAGATCGTTCCACATAAATCTCCTCTCAAAGTCCTTAAACAGAGACTAAGATTGTCTAGCCAGCCACATGATGGACAAGATTGGTGATACAAGTTCTCTCGAAGGTTTTATGCCCGGTTCAATGCCGAAGACACAGCTACGAAGCAACCAAATAGAGATACATAGAGCCTGATTTGATTGCCATGACGTTTTCGTTATCTATCAATTGATTACATTCAAGTTTTGCAGGGAACTATTGACTGTGCTGCAAGCTACGATGCGACTATATCTGCTTTCGACATGTGTACATTGTACGGTTGAAGCTTGTCCTCTTACATATTTGTAAGAGTGCCCAATGTCTTGTCGAGGAAACCCTTGCCATTCTTTTTTTTTATTGCTTTATCCAAAATACAATCTAAGCGAATAAGTCATCTAAGCCAAAAAGGCCGACATGAAGCCAACATTCTCTACACTCGAAGTCGATATTCGTGGACCACATTCTACGCTGGAAGTAGACCCTCGACAGTACCCTGCCGATCTTGAAGTCAAACCAGCAGATCCCAAGTCTCCAAAAGTCCTCGTCGGGGAGGGTCAGCAACCTTCTGACACAGGACCAACGAGATCTCATACTAATCCTTGGCACAAAAGGTATTGGTTTGCATTTGCTGACAGTTTGGTAGCATTGAAGTTACTACTACAGCGCAGTCACATATCTCAACTACAATTACCACTACGGAAACTACATTCACTACGGAACGATCTACTATCAAGTCCACCTCTACACCCAGCCCGGGTGAAGCGCCTCTTTTTCCCATCTACATCGGTGGGGCCGAAAATGGGGATGATAGATTCCGCATTGCATTCGTCACGGATCAGACACGCGCCCCTTGGTGTAGCTAACAGACCCTTCCAGACTCATCAAATCCCCGTGGCCGACCCTTCATTTTGCCTGACGGGTTTGAGTATATCTGGAATGGCTGGGGAGGCGACACTTGGACTACTTGGAGGAATCCGTCTGACAATGACTCTGAGTATAAAGCGCTTCTCTCTGCAGCTTGGTTGTAATATGCACTCAAGCTAGCCAAAAAATGTTATGCAGAAATATCAATCCAACGGATGCCTAGCATCTCAACATGTCAATGGACTGACCTCAAGGCCATTGGACAATAATTTACCCTAGTTATTGATGGTGGATCACTCGTTTCCTGTCTGAATTTAAAGCGCGTTACATGAGAGGCCACGGAGAGTCAAGAATACTGCAAGATTTGGTACGACCAATTATAGTTCATTGTGTTGATCAGAATTACATGCGACGCCTAAATATATGTTGGCTCTAATAGCTCTTCCTGTCCAGACCAGTGTTTACAAAGTCCCGATGCCTTGGCAAGCAACCTCCGGACATTACTAGGATCCTTTGCCATCCGACTTTCTCTTACTGCAGTGATCTTCGATGCAGCCCTGGCATAATTCCTCCATGTGCGCTCCATTGGGAGACACGTGACGTGCGAGCTGCTGGGCATCGATGCCGTTCCATTTCTTGAGTCGGTACGCGACTCTGTCCGAGTATGACAGTTTGTCAAGTTCCGAACGGGTTGGCTTCTTGCATTTCATGCAGAGCTGGTGGTGTACGAGGACATTATACGACCGGTCCCGGTACTAGCGTACAGTGATAGCAATACAGTTGCTATTTCAGCTATGACAATAGCGTTTGGCTCAGATGCAGGTGAACTTTCCAATGGTGGCGGTGTTGTAGTCGCGCTTTATATCGACCTTAGTGTCGTGGTCACGGAACGAGTATTCAAGCTCTTCAAGGCTCTCGGCGACGTAGTTGTGAAGATCAGGGTACATGGAGGACTTCGGTGGCGCTGACTCGGTCTCTCTGGTCTCCATGGTGGATGGCTCGCTGTTTTTTCGGGGGCATTTTCCTAGGAAGAGATTTAGAAATGTGCCTAAGCAAAAGATGAAGCATAACTGCGTGACATACCCTGTGCTGATTTTCCTCGGTCTCATGCGATATGCTGGAAGATGAGAGAGAAAGACACCTCTTCTGGAGAGGGTTGAGCCATAGTGAAGGATTGAAGGTAAGTCGATGAATATTGAAAGATTGGGAAAAGGAAGCTTGCATGAATGAGAAGGAAATAAAAACAGCGTACTTTTGCCTGCCGAGTTCGGGCAGGCAACAAGAATGACGGTCTCCTCGCAGTGCCAAACAGCTGCGAGAAGGGCAATACTTCAATAGTGAATCATAGTCGGCTAGGCTTGCGGCCCGCCCGCAAGGCATGAAGTTGGAGCAGGAGGAGAGTCAGCGGAGAGGAAAGTATCTTGTTTCTGATGCTGGTTTGTGCCCTCCAGAGTAGTTGGCATGTTGGACTCTTGACTTGGCCAACGGCGCCTTAATGTTCCCGGCCGAGTCGGTGTATAGCATGAAAGGTAGATATGAAAGAAAAACCTTCACAGGAGAGAGAACAAAAAGCTACTTCAGAACATACCTCTTAACTCATGTACACGGTTTAAACTGAAAATGAAAGTAATTTTTCGGTCAGTAATTAACTAATTGCTGGTCTATAATAACGTAACGCAGTCAACATAAGACTCACAATAAAAAGGCAAAACTGGAAGGCACTTTCGACTAATTCATTCATGTCACTGACCTTTGTGCCTTTCTTTTGCTCTTCTCTCATCTTGAACCAACCTATACTATTCATAAGCATAACCAAAATGTTTCGCCTTACACTGGAACCACATTTCTCGTTATCGTGGACTTAACGCTTGGTAGACCGATTCCGTTTAAGACAGAGCACTTATCAAATCCCCGTCCTAGGAGCCGATGAAGAGAATGTGTCCCATTTGGATACACCGGTACCAGAAGATGCAGGTCTCTCAGCGCCCCTCAAGCCTCAGAGGCCAGGATGTCAACAGAACTCGAAGTGTCGACTACTATAACTCCCACCCGAGCTGCTGATCCATATCATGCTTTTTCTGCCACACAGTTCTCTTTATATGGTCCGTCAAACCTGCCAGGTCCTGCATAACCTGACCGACGACTTTCAGTTCGAATGTTTCGAGTGGGAAATTCTGCAGCGTCAGAATGTGGCTTGCTGGACTTCCATCCCTGTATGCGACTAGCTACGGAACATCAAGCGGATCTTCCTTCGAAGATCCCTATGCATACCATGCGGCAACCTTTTCGACTCAGGTGAACTGGAAGAAAAACTGGAGAAACTCTGGCAACGTGTCTACTATACTGGATGTCAAACCGACCACCCAGAACTTCTTTTCCCTCAGGGCGGAAGAGCGCGCAACATCCTTGTGGGACTTCTGGGTACGTTTAACCTTTGCAAGCATGTCAAAGTCTCGGGCAAGGTCGGGTTAGATGACGGAAAGAAGGTTAAAATTGTTTGCTCACACCCGGACCACTTTCCCGACAAAATGAACTCTGAAGAACTACCATCTTTCAAAGGGGTTCTCCCATATATCGAGTACAATTGCGGCTGTGTGCGGTACTCCAGATCTTTTCCACTGTTAAAGATTGCTCCTCAACAATACGCCGGAATGTCGACGTTGAAATCGCGGCTATTGAAACAACTAAAAGAAACACATCAATATGAGCTTTGTCAGCACGGTCCAACTCAACTCAACTCTATCGTGTCGTCTTTGCAATCTGACAAATGCAATTGCTTCACGGCCTTCGGTCCCTCTGTTCGCAACTCCCAGCCTACCGGGTGCAATAACCACCGCGGTTACGATTGCCTCCATTGCGGAGCGCGTTACTTTTGGGCCTATACGAACGATTATATCGTCCTTAATGTTTCAATTGAATTATTTAGGAGAGGCGCGCACAGGATGGGTTGGCTTTCGAACGTTACATTTTATACGGATGAGCGCCCTATTCATCCAATCTTGAACGAAAGCACCAAGGGTACTCTATGGTGCACTGATCCGTCATGTGGCACAGGCTGTGGAAATCGTTGGCTATTGATGATGGTTTTACTGACAAAGTTTTCACTTCGACGCACTGATTGGTGTGACCGCAGGGTTCGGGACCGTTCGTTTGCCGCCAATTTGCCCTATACGCTAGAATATCAAGTATTTCAGAACGCAACAGGCTGGATGATGGAACTAGATATGCTGGGACGTGACCTTTTCTTTCTCAACGCTAAAACTGTGTATCCGTGCACCAACTACCGCCAAGATTAATAGAAATAAATAATTGAAGAATTGTATCAGAATCACGTGCTACGTCATACTCAAAGTCCTAGGCAACCATGATAACATGAGTCCTACATGGTCTTACATTTTCCTTTTCTTTTTCAACCCTCCAACATCATTCCAAATACATCGAATTATTCGCCATGTCAGAAGCTTCAAATATTCCAAAGTTTACTGTCAATCTTTCTCAGCCACCGGAAGATCGCTACAACCATATCATTCCTCATTTCCAACAATCTATCGACTCATGTAACTTGAGTTGGCTTTATTGGATACTACTCATGGATTTGGCGGGCTCATCCATAGGAAATCACATTGCTACTGTATCGCGATACATTCTGCGCCGCGTCTATTCCAATGAAGAAACGGCCGAGTTGGCTGGGATTTCAAAAGGCATGAATATGCCTATGCACATCCTTGTCGCCTTCAACGTTCTCTTAGATCTTTTGTTGGGATGCACAAGCGGGGGTGTTCGTACTTTCGACTCGCCAATTTCAAAGGGAAGAACTCGAATGTTGCATTTTCGTACCCTGGACTGGGGTATGGAAAGTCTTCGACATATCGTTGTTGAGCTCGATTTTGTTCGTCATGCTGGAGGGCCTGTTGTCGCAACAGCCATCACTTATCTTGGTTATGTTGGGGTACTGACAGGTGTCAGAAAAGGCCTGAGCATAAGCTTGAATTTTCGACCGTGTCACGCAAGAGAGACAATCCGGCAAAGACTGTCTTTTAGGTGGAATCAGGCCATGGTAGTTCTTGGCCACAGACAATCTATATCGAGCGCCTTGAGAGATATCCTACTGGATGAATCTGCAGAAGCCGATAATAAGACCGAAACATCCAGAGACTTTACGGACACGGCAGCACAAGGTGTTTCAGATGAGTACGTACAAAGGATTTTAAGCAGGCTCTCTACTTCTAAATCAAGCGCGGCATACCTCATCCTCTGTCAACCAGAACGCGTATTCTTAGTAGAAAAGGACAACAAAGCAGCTAACATACGCGACTCGGACACATTTTTGACTGCTTGTAACCATGATATGAAGCATGAAGATGATCCTTCACTTCTCCGCGAAGCTGCCGCTGAGTTGGAACAGGCTGATGACGCACTCGGTATGGCAGACCTAGTAGGTCTATCTGTGGACAGAAAGAGGCACTTGGAAGGCCTATGGAGGGAAAGAACCTCTGCATGTCAAAGGAGGTACAAGCAAGAAAGGGATGTTGTGACCCAGCGCGATGTCATCAAGTTTCTGAAGGACGATGAGATCAAGAATGAGGAAACGCACTACGCGGTCATAATGGATCCAAAGGATGGAACGATAACCTGGAGAAAAAAGTATGAGGTAGAGGAGTCAAGTTCCGACTGAGTTCGACTACATGTTTAAGCCACGTTTAATATCGGAATGCCAAGAAGAATGCAAAATTAGAGACACAGAACAGCTTTCCAGGTGTCTTGGTTAGCTCCACAAAGCGTCCGGATGTATTTGATTACAAGAGCCATGTATAGTTCTGTAGAGGCCATCCGGATGCGGAGGTTCTCCAGGTGAGGGGTTGTCTCATGCTGTTTTGTTTGGAGGAATGGATTGCTGTTCGTATCGAAATCATCACGCAGGACGACTGGCGGTGTGATGTAGGGTACATTCAACCCTGTGAACCCAACCCCTCTTGGCTGCTCAATACTACACAACGCCACCACAGTTTCTCCGGCCAGATGGAAGCTTGTAGTAGTCAAGTTCATCCCCATGGGGTTAAACAAGACTAACTGTAACGTCCATGGGGAACAACATGATTTTATGATATGACATGTCAAGAATTCAAAGACAAACCCAATTAGACATCTGTGTGCATTCATAAAGCCACGATGCCTAGCCCCAATTGATTCGCAGGAATGATTCTCGGCATGACTTGGTATAAAAATGAGAAAACCAGAGATCCATGCCAAGTAAATAGTTACTGTTCCCCTAGGCGAGGAAATTGCGATTGTGCTTGGCATGCTTGATTGTAGCCCAGAGGGTAATTCTCTCTTGGACAACAAACTAGCCAGACGAGTAGCAAACATGTTCCAACGACACCATCAATACCATCATCAACCTAGATAAAAATTGTATCCTACAGGTTAGTTGGCTAGCTGGACTCTAGAAATGGCGTTGCTGCAGCCCAATGACTGATGTCGACCGGAGAGACTATTTAACCGCCTCCTGGCGATCCCTCTTTCGGTGTGACACACCTCCCTACCTTGGTTCTTGTATTCCTGACCTTTTCGGCATCATTTTGCCGAATGATCGTCCCATAGCTGAGAATGGGATTGCTTTGATCTGTTGATTGTATCCATGACTCGGCGTGGGAATCTGCCTCTAGCTCCAAGGGTCCCGTGCAATTGTGGCTGAACGCCTCCAAGCTAGATCACCAGGATCGAAACCCGTAGGGCTCTGGGACGCACTGCTATTTTCTTCAGTGGTCGCATCGTGAGGGGAACAGCAGCCATTCATGCTGACACTAATACGTAGAGGCAGATACACAGCGTTCAAATACAGTGGCTGATGCAGACGATGGTCTACAGGCACAACAAAGACAAGCCACTGCGCTCAACGCGTGCTACGACATTCTAAATATCCGAATTCAACTTGTTTCATGAAATGGTCATGCAAATTTGCCAAGTAAACAAGGTAGCAAACGTTGCAGCCATGTTTGGTTAAAAACGCTGCTCATGGCAAGATTTACCGAAGCAAACCAAAGTGTCTACAAACTCCCAGCTTCCGAGATCTATCGGAACCATGTTAAATTCTGACGATGTTAGTGTCAAGATAACAAAGGCACCGACTTGTTTATCGTTATCGTCTGTTCTCAAAATGCTGATCTTGAGTCGTGAAATTGCCCATCCTTTCAGGAATAGAGAAACCGGCTTATGGACCCGCTGTCTCATTTGAAAGGGTTCCACATGAGGCTGTGTGAGGGGCGATTCCTCTGGGAAAAGACTAGACTGAAGATAGAACAGTTCTTGGCAAGTTGCAGGATATCTACTAGATGAGACCAACGATGCAGGGAACCGATTGTTGGTACCTAATGGAATCCAGGGTTTTGGGATGGGAGAGAAAGCTCCTACCTATTAAAAGAAGAGGTTTGCTAGGAAGGATTGAGGTCACCACCGTATTTAAACTGGTGGTACTAATGCACTAGAGTGACACTGGCTTGAAAACTCTTAAGCGAGTGACATGTTTTCACAGGCAGAATATTCTATACGTTGTTGCTTGGACGTGATCAACGTTTGCAACGCATTTCATCCGTGCAAAGTCATGTACCAAGATCTATAGTCGCATCGCCCGGCAAATCACTCTCCCGAGATGTCGGTACGAGAGATCGTCATTATCTGGGTCCGGGGCAACAAGGAAGACCAAGCGCGACAGGGATCTTCTTAGTAGCCTCGGAGGGAGATTCGTTAATGCTTTAGTTATGGGCGATCCCGACTGGCACCCGCTCTCACGAAGGATTACACACTAGTCGGGACCTGGCTTAAACCTTGTATGCACAAAGTCTCCAACGGCAAAGATGCAGGAAACTACCACGTTTTTGCCTTGCATGTTGGAAGGAATGTTTTCTGGAACCATTTGTATGGGTGTCATGTCACTGCGATAGACCTTTTGTTTCATCTTTTCTTCTTATCTATAGAATATTCTGAGGGCAGAGGATTGACTTTGAGGCATTATGGTGGACAGGAATTTCCACATACTAATTCGACAGCGGTTAGACTGATACGGGTATCGGGAGAGCACACTATTATACCGAGTCATGATTTTCAGTGCTCCATTACTCGGTCCAGCGGTCAGGGTTCCTCTCAACACCGAGAGCGCCATGGCTTTGTAGTGACAACGTAGCACTTCTAGGCATTGAAGATCAGCTCATGGCGTTCATGCATATTGAATCCGAGCGAGCCTGGAGAGCCGTACTGTCTGTGCAACATCTGGGGATAAGGTTTTGAACGTTTCTCCCCAGTCCCATGGCTTATGGATGCTTTCCTCGCTGGGAAGTTCTATGGTGATTCTTCACTGTAAGGCTGTGAGTAAACCATCATGGGATTGCAATGGCAGAGTCGGCACTGTGTCATTCACTTCATTACGTTGTGCTTGTGATATGAATACTGTGTTGGGTTAGGCATCAATCTCACAATTGCAGGGGACATTCTAATATTGGTTAACTCAAGCCCCAACCTACCCAGGCTACTGGGTAACGTTAGAGCTGCCCGGTTTATTACTGTGGCGACAAATCTCCTTCAGAGGCTAACGGACGACAACTATCAGCCTCTCAATTGTTAGCGTTGTCTTTGAGGGATTATGCTGGTGGCCAGCCGTCCGTGTTTCAGAATTAACATTCTTTCTAGAGCAAGACAACTGCCAAATTTGCGGCAGACAAAAGACGTGATTCATGCTTTGTTATTTTCTAGTTAATCGTTATGCGACTGACTCCGATATCTGAGGCCTCGAACTTTACCCGACGATCTGTAGCGGAAAAATCGGGGAAAGGATCTAGGTCATAAATGACCGATGCGCACCAAGTCACACTAAACCTCGGATCCTGGACCTAGCCAAGCAGCAGATCAAAGAAAAGGGGCCCGGGAGCACTCATCAGACCGGCTTCAATACAGGAGTTGCCCTGCCGGGGAACTGAGTCGGTCAATTTTACAATAAGGCTACACCGAAGGTGAGGGAATCAGAGGATCAACATTTATCGTCTTGACGTGATAAAATCGGTTTGCCAAGTGTTGAGGCGTTTTGATTACTTAGTTGCCCGTTTGAATGGTGCCGTGTTGAAACAGACGTTGATAAGGCTGTTGAATTTACTCACAATTTAATGGCACCTATGAACCTTCAACATATGCACAGCCAAGGAAGGTTTCTAAGATTTTAACCGAAATGTCAGATTACTGAAACCCACAATGAGGATATTCTCAATACTTGACAGCCTCACGACCCTCCAAGGGCCCCTCAGCCCCTCAAAAGACAGCTGTCAACACCTTTTCCTTCACAGACATGATCTTGGCAGTAGAACCAGTCGGAAAAGAAAGGGAAAACCCTTCAGCTGAGATCAACGCGACTCAGTGTTGGCTTCGAATAGAGTTTACTAGCCTTGGAATTCCCCATTGTGGCTGGAAACAAAGTGGATGAGGGGGAGACGCAACTTGGGCTAACTATCGTTGAAGGTAGCCAAGTTGGTAGTACCATTCCGCTAGACCTCTTTGTGTTGAGAACGCCGTTTCGTAAGCCATGCATGGGTTCGAGAACAACTAGGCAAATTGGGAATCCCATGAGTTCCTTTAGCAAGTGATCGGCAGTTTGAGGCTAAGTAAGGGTGATGACTTTGCATTAGAAGTGGGTAAAAAAAAGATGGGAGAAGAAACAGGGGTCATGCTAGTCAAAGTATGGTCAAGGTGAAGAATCAATGCCCAATGTTCTGCAGAAAGGTTCCATCCCCTTGCCTGTTATATCCCCGACGCACTCCGCCTCCATGCTTCGATCGTGTTCCTGATCCATCCTACATTCCTTTTTCATACATCGCTTTTGTTTCCTTTTTCTTAGTTTGTTACTCAGTACAACTTTAAAACCAGGGTAGCACGCACGACAAGATGACGGGCGACCATCGCGGCTTTCTTGTGCCAGATTACTATGTCGACGACCTTCCCAATGATATCGATATGAACATCGCTTCCATTGCCTGGGGCTTGTCCCTGGGTATCACGGTCTTTAACGTCGCCAAAGCAGTCCGACAGACGCAAGCATCGTGGCAACGAAGAAAGAAGATCACGAGTTACGTTGCTCTGCTATGGGCCGAGATCATTTCGAGTTTTTTGCTGGGAATCATGTGTTGGTTTTATCTTCGGGGCACCATTGAACCGAGCATGCAGTTCTTTTTCTTTATCAGTAAGATACCCAGTCCCCGGAGTCAAGGGTACTGGTTAACTAACATCTCAAAGTTGTCTGGTGGTCAACACAGGTCCAATGTCTTATCCAGATTATCATCAACCGAGTCTCCCTATTAATGGTCGTTCGATCCAACGGTACGAAGCTCAAATGGCTTTGCTTCCTTATTCTCCTTGCAGTCAATATCAGCGTCTTTTGCATCTGGGTACCCGCCCGACTTCAGATTAGCGAGCGGTATATTCACCTCAACGAGGTCTGGGATAGATGTGAAAAGGTCATCTTTGCTATTATGGATGCTGTTCTCAACTTTTATTTCATCTACATCGTCAAGCAGCGCCTTGTCGCAAACGGTCTTCAAAAGTACACTCGCCTCTATCAGATGAACATGTTTCTCTGTGGCATTTCCATTGCTCTGGATATTCTGCTTATTTGCATGATGTCTCTCCCCAACGGTTTCGTGTAAGTCAAATTTATTTGAAAAGCAGGCCGCAGTTGCTTACTATAACCAGCTACATTCAATTCCATCCCCTTGTCTACCTCCTCAAGCTTCACATCGAGATGAACATGGCCGATCTCATTGGAAAGGTCGTTCGGGCCGGCAACAACGATCCCCGAGGTGGAGGCAACGACTACAGCTCGCGATCGCGAACTACTGGAGCTTCCCGAGCCCACGGCACACGATTCGGTAACACCCTTGCAAGTGCTCACCACCGCACACATATTGAGCTAGGAGACGATGACGAGTACGAGCTCAACGAGAGAGAGAAGATTGATGGTATCAAGAAGACTGTCGTCACCAAGATCACACATACAGGCGAGCAGAAGCTGGACGACAGCGATTCGACAAACGACGATCACAACAACGACAATGCTGTCAGCGAGGCCAGTTCGACCAATCGTTTACATCAGCGCAATTATAGTGTCGTCTAGAGATTATCATCTACAGAGTACAAGAATATTTGCAAAAGAGTGTTGGAGGATATACCACAAATAGCAACGAGGCAATCCTGCTAGTTTAAAATTTTATATAGATTTTCTTTAATGTGTAATGAAACGAAAAATATTTTCGTTAATCTTCATTTGAATTACCTTGTTTGATACCAGCTAGGGGTTGATCTCGCTCAAATCTACCGAACCGGGACATTGGAACCGAGACTTATCTTATCCACCCTGCTTCATCTCGGCGGATCTTAGACAGCCAATGTCCAACATTAGAGTGCATCCCGTTCAACTCCACCCAGATCCTCAAAGAAAGAGGCGATACTGTGAGATGCAAGCTGAGTTTGAGAACGCAGTCCAGCAAACTCTGTTCAAGTCCAACACTTCATACAGTTAGATCGTAGCGGGGACTAGCCTGAACAGCATCTAGTGTTGGTCTTGACAGGGTCTACCCTCCCTTCCATGACTCTCGTACCCGTTTGATCCGGGCCTCCCGGTCTTGGCCCGAGAAATTGGTCGTAAACTAGAGAGTGTTAGTTTCTTCTAGCTGCCCATTCGACTTTGCTCACCAATCGCTTTTGATGGAACTTCCGCAAGCCTGATTCCAGCTGATCGAGAATTTTGATTGGCTGTTTCTAGATCAATACGCCGAATACACCTTTGCGATCACACACGCTCGGCTTACGTGAGTTGATACCCTATACAGGCGGCTGTGCAAGCGTATCTTTCATCCAAGATTCGAGAAATTGAGAGCCTGATCAAAAATGAGTGGCTGTATTCAATATGATTCAACATGCAAATTATACGCTTTGCAATATTTTGAGTATACAGTTGGATCTGGACGACTTGTAGGATGACATTTATATAAAGCATGACAATGATCATCAAAGTGAAATTCAAAAATCAAGAACAACCAATAACGAAATTATCAACCTCTCTCCATTCCTACCATTACAACTTCATTGACCAACATGAACCTCTTCAAAACATCAGAGTTCGTCGCAGAGTGCGAAAAGAGTGCCAAAATTCTGCAAGCCTTTCTCGGTAAATACTCTAGAGCTTTCTGCTACTTATGACTGGTAACTAATCCATGCCAGACAAGGGAAAGATACCCTCAGATGTTGTTAAAAGCGCGAAAGGCCTCGCGATCTTCACAGGCTTCCGAGCGGGCATGTACTTTGCCGGTGCAGGTGGATCAGGCGTCGTGATAGCCCGACTACCAGATGGAACCTGGTCTTCCCCGTCTGCATTTTCCGTTCGTAGCGGTAGTGTTGGTCTTGTATATGGCATCGACGTCTATGATTGCATGTGCGTTCTCAACACTGCCGAGGCCGTTAATGCGTATAGGAAATCCGAAGTCAATCTTGGTGGTGCAGTCGCACTTGCTGCGGGACCTCTAGGTGGAAATGTGAATGTCGGTGAAGTAAAGCCTGTCTGGACATATACCAAGTCGCGTGGTGTTTATGGCGGGTTGACTGTTGATGGAACTGTTATAAAGGAGAAGAAGGCCGTGAATGCCGAATTCTATGGACGTGAGGTCTCGTCGGCCCAAATCCTTGATGGTCAGATGGAGACTGGATGGTCTCAGAATATTCAGGTGCTTCTTGAAGTTGTCAAGGATGCCGAAGGGAAGGGTGTAGAATACTGACCCCAACATTCGTGTGGATGTTTATTATATTGATATAGGTTTATGTTAAAGCCTACCGCTGATACATGACGCCATATACTGGTTCTTCAACTTCATGTCTCGTGAAAGAGCAATGCGCGATACCCTCGTCCTCAGAACCTGATACGACCCCCCATTTGAGGAGTTCCCACGCAGCTCCCTCATCTGATTCTGGTGGATGGCAAGACGTGCTAATGATAGCAGAGCAAGTACCATAGACAGATATTGCTGACAATCAAATTCCACCCCATTCCTCATCAATAATTAGACAGCGCAACATATAATATATCTATAAATGGTATAGCATTTCTATATGCGGGCTGTGATAGTGTTTACTGTAAGCCGGTTCAGTTCCCTCCTGGCTTGAATCCAGACGCGATATTAATACGACATCTCTTGATAATCTTTTGCTCGTGAATGGCAAAGCCTGTTTCGTGTCAGTAAAATGCTTAGAACAAGCCTCTTACTAGAGGAGACTGGTTCGATATACATTCCAAATGGCGGTCTACGACTCCGATGAACATATGATTGATGCTCCAGAATTACCAGTAGCACCATCGGCTGAATCGAGGCTACGCGATGCAGAGACCGAGATCTTGAAGCAGAAGGGTTATATAATAACATTGCTCAGTCGTCTATCGGAAGCTGAGAAAGAAATCGAGGAATTGCAGCGGATCGACCGACTGGTAGGTTCTACGCGGGATGGTGAGGCAAAATTGCACGAAAGGATAGCCAGGTTGGCCAACCAGCGCAGCTCCCATGTTACCTTCTTACAAAGAGTCGAGATGTTGAAATCCGACAATCTGGCCTTGCCGAGCAAGGCTGTCAGAGAAGAGCTCAAGCTACTTTATACCGAAACTTATGACACGAGCGATCTGATCTGCCAGATAGGCTCTGATGTCGGTTCTCCCGACCAAGATGCTCTTATCCCAGATTATGCACAGAGTTGGGTGACGCTGCTTTACAACGGTAACTTCGGCTCCCTCCTAGAGTATGCCAAGGTTGAGGGAATCCCGAAATCAAAGCTCGTCTCGGCCGTGTTGATGGCAGGGATATTTAAACTCGTTATGGAACCAGAGCTACTATCTACGTCTGCAATGCAGTCGCCCCTACTAGACCAATATCGGAGGCATATTTCCAATCAGTGTAAGACACAGAAGCCGCATTCTCCCAACTGTAGCTGACGCCCTCTAGGTGGATCCAGAGCTTTACGACAGCTCGACCTCATAGCGGCAAAGTCCCTCCTATCAAATGAGGAGGTGCTGGATGACATCACAGCGGAAACAGCACGTTGGCTCAGCATAGTAATTCTTCCCATTCTAAACAGCTTCTTCCCACCTGGTGGCCAAGATCCCACTCAATATTCGGTACTTAACAGTGTGGAGACAGACACGCTCAAAGATCTTGAGAAGACTCTCTCACGCGCGGTATATATCAAGATAAAAGTAATGCCGGTTTCAGGGCGATTCAAACACATTTTCTTTAGGCCAGGTACAAAGTTTGATGGCGACATCATGCGCTATGATAACTCGCAAGGCGGCAGTACCTCCAAAGGTCACATAGTCAGGCTTTGCCTTCAACCTGCCATATTCTATGAGAATGCAGAAGCAGCAAGTCAAGACGATGACGACACATTGCATCTGGAGACCATATATACCAGGTGCTTTACAGATGCGGCGCCGGATGATATGGATACTCTTAGTCTTATTTCAAAGGCTATCGTGCTGGCCTAGTGGAAGGATTCAAGTAACAACAAATGTTACCCTGAAATGGTTTCTACTATGATTTTATACAGAGCCTGGAAGGTATCCATACTTCTAGCCATAACACTTTGCATATGCCACAATTTAATGGATATACCGGATACAATAGGCAAATTGAATTTTTTTCTTTATTTTCCCCTTCTCTTACATTACCAATGATAGTCTTTATTCAAATTGAGGATGATGTAATTGCGATTTCCAGACGTCTCTTGCAATGATTTAACCCCAGAGTACGATCAGTTCGGCTTCTGACCAGTGACTACGAAACTGCGCTCGTTAATAATTGTAGTTATGATCATAGAGCGGCACTTACACCTCCCAGTATGCATGAACCTTTGTGTTTCGCATCTCGGCCCTGACTTGTGAAATAAACACCACAATCTCTTCCTGACTCATATTAAGCCCCTGCCTCAGCAAGAATGAGCTGATAGACTCTAAGTTTCTTTCAATATTCGCCAGCGCCCAAAGCCCAATCTCTTTTTGTTTTGGATCTTTTGGCCAAGTGTTGGTAGGCCACTTGAACGCCTTGCGAGTAACGTTGATGAATCCGTGCCTTTTCAGACGGACTTCATGGTTGACGGCTTCACTAAAGGAACGTCCTAGTGCCTTAGCTCCTTTGGCAGTTAGCTCATCCCATTTGTGCAATGGAGAGTTGGGTTTTAGTGTTCCGTCGTCGGACTTGGCAGGAAAAGCAGGATCAATAACTTCTAGCCAACCTCCAGGCTCCAAGTTCCTACGACAGGGTTAGAGGCAAACAAACGATATGATCAAGTGGTACTCACTTGAAGCACCGGCCGGTGAACTTGTCCCAGCCAGCTATACAACCGGGCATGAGACGCACAAAGATGAAATCAAATGGTTTAGTCCAAGTCCATTCTTTTTCAGCATCGTCGATCTCGAAAGTGCAGCTAGGAGGAACACTGGGCTATGTTAGAGAATTAACCTGCTGATCGAGACCGAAACACACAAAGCTGGCTGGATAGCAGCGATATCAATACCAAAAACCTGTTTGGTTTGAGTCATTTGTACTAGTCTTGGTCAAAGGTATCTCACCTCGGAATGAGGATGTTCGTCGGCTTGTTATCTCAGTCAGTCTATCTCTTCTCCGAGAGATCATGTGTTCATACGTACCAAACTCGACAGCCCACATTCCAGTGCCTGTTCCAATATCGAGAACCCGCTTGGCAGTCTCGGCATTTGGTGGAAAATATCTTTTCCCGCCAAAGGTGAGTAACAGCTGATGGCTCTGGAGATCTGGCGATATTTCGTCAGTCCTGCTATATCATTACGGAGACTGGTCCATGTCTACCTAGTCTTTATGACTCGTGCTGCAGCCCGTCAGTATTTTTCATGCTTTTGGAATTCTGTTATGGCACCTCATCACTAGGAAGATAGTATTCTGCATTCCAATCAATAACAATTCATCCATGTATGATATCATCACTTAATCTCATCGCGATGATATCCGCGTCCGTTGATCATGTGATAATCTCGAATACTAGAGCTTAGAGATGCAGTCGATAATTCATCGTCCTTCTGATATAGTTAATGGTTATCATCCTGCATAAGGACCTCATATACTCACAACTCCGATTGCGGAGTCATTGTCTACATCAACGCTCGCCTCCTGGAGTAGACATGTTACTAAAAATCGGCCGCCGATCGACATCACTAATACACTCACCAGACGAACTTCGCCGTCATCGGTTGAATCCAATCCGTCATTTGGGCTGGATGGAGACATTTTGGGGGATATGGCTTCTCGAGGGGATAACATTCCCGCAGCGACTTTGGCATTGACAGAGGTTATCTATCATCTTGTTTTTCACGCTGGTTTTTTTCTTTGAAGAATGCAACAGTAAAATTTTAATGTGAGAGTCAAATAGGCGAGCGGGGTTGTCCCTCTCAATAATATTTTATCATATGTTGGTTACGTCTTCGGGTCATATATGCTTGATCCGTTCATGATCTGACTTGCAATATTTCTGCTGTGCCATTAAAGCACATGTGATGTCGTACTTGGGCTACTGTTCCGTACAATTACCTCCACTTATAATCCTTGTGGCATTTCATCTTATGATCTGCGAGTGGGTGTGTTCCTGATAGTGGTGGATCTCTGGTATATAACTCAGGGATCAGTATCACATCTAGGCCGGGATAACTAAACAAGGAATGTATTTCTTATTCTTTTTCTCTTACTATCTACATTAGACTGTAGGGTTAGTGTTGTTTAGATGAGGAAACTGTAAGAATAAAAAGCCATGCCGCTAATAAGCTAAACAATTCAAACTACAGTTATGGCTAATAAACTTGTGACAAGGCTGAATGGAACTATCGACTTCAGTTATTCGAATCGTGGCTGAGTACATGGAACTCATATCAACCGATCATCACGATCCAATTGAACAAGATATTATGGGAGGCCTTCCCAGCCTCAGTATTGATACACGTAGTTGTTGATTGGGTCCCAGGACGTGGCACACCTACTTCTCACCAAGCCACTGTTCTAGACGTGATGAGGCGCCCCAAACCCAAAGCTAAAGTTCAAGGCACCTCACTGAACGAAGTAACCTCATGACGTTCAAGGCTGTTTGATCGGCTTCAGTTGCCGTCCAAGGTTGTGTTTCCAGATTTATCTGCTGTTCAGCTGAGGGTTAGCTGCGAATTCCCACTGCCATCCTATTTATCCAGTTCAAATATAAGTATCCAACATCATCCTCCAACTAATGCCTCTGAAGCATATCTCAATAGGACACACATCCGCGCCACAGACATCACTACCTCCATGAACCAATTACTGCGAAAGTTCTCTCGTAAGGGAAGAGTCACTCCGGATCCATCGGCTGACCAACAGGCCGCAAGCCCATCGAAAAAGATATTTCCTTCGGGTATCAAGCTACTCCATGATGGTCAAGATAACATCGTTGAGTATGAGAATTCTTAAACTCTTTGTCTCATCCAATTGAGGCATGAACACTCCAAGAATATTGAGATTGACCAATACAGCATCATATTCGTACATGGTCTTACTGGGCACCGCGAGAAGACATGGCGAGCCAAGACAGCCGACAAGCCCTGGCATGAGACGCTGTTACCAACAAAGGTTCCCAACGCTCGAATCCTCACTTTTGGATACGACGCTTATGTCACCAATTGGAAAAGCGTGATGTCACAGAGCACGATTGGAAACCATTCTATGAACCTTTTGACTGCTGTTGCGACTTTCAGAGAGAACGATGATACTGTACGTGCTATGCTTACATATCTACTGGGAATATTGACTGACTGACTGCGCAAGAACAATCGACCAATCATATTTGTTTGTCACAGCTTAGGAGGTCTTGTCTGCGAAGATGTAAGTCAGACGTTTACTCAGATTGCCATGATCAACAGCTAAATTCCAAGGCGCTATCCATGGCTCAAACGAGACCAGAACAGCATCTGAAACAAGTTCTACTATGCACTAGAGGTATAATATTCCTGGGTACTCCACATCACGGTTCTGGTCTTGCCCATTGGGCTGAGGCCATGGCTAAGTCTATTGGTCTTCTCAAGCAGACCAACCCTGCAATACTAGGCGTTCTCAGGAGTAACTCAGAGGTGCTGGCAAGGGTGCAAATGGGCTTTCATACAATGATTCAGGCCAGGGCTCAGGATAAGCTTCCTCAGATCAACATTACCTGTTTCTTTGAGGAACTTCCCCTACCGGGCGTCGGCCCAGTAAGTTACCAGCATCATCCCCCTTTGTTCAACCACTTACTCTATCAGGTCGTCCCACGCGAATCGGCTATTCTTCCGGGTTACATCCCCATCGGAATTCACGGCAATCACATGGACATGACAAAATTTGATGACGCCTCTGATCCTGGTTTCATAGCCATTTCCGGAGAGATTTCCCGATGGGTAAGAAGAAAAATAATTGATGTCGTTACTGAGGACAGCGGTGTATTGGGACAGCTCAGATTTCGTGATCCTGAGCATGGATGGGCTCTTGATATTGGTGCCCAGCTTCCACGGTTCGATCTCTTATCCGGAACTTTGACGGATGAAAGCGTCCCGGGAATATCCACCGCCCGACGCGAGCTTGTTGATGAAGTGAACAGGATCCTCAGACGACGCAACTTCAGGTATACCGTGCCTGATGTTATACCAGGTCAGAACCAGATCCGCGAAATTACGGACGAGATACTCGACGAGATGTCTTATCGGCATACTGCATCTCATATGGCTTGTTTCTTGATTGGTTCCGCAAACTACTATCTGGGCATGGCACAAAGCACGCGACCTGATGTTGTCGCTGAGTTCACATCGTTGGCACGTAACAGAATGCAGTTTTTGGATTTGAAATGTGGAATGCTAGGAATCAAGTCAATGGCTTTGCTTGATCAAATGGCGCGAACTGCAAATAATGGAATTTCCATTCGACAGCTTCTTAGCACACTTTCGGATCATAATAGTTAGTTATACTGTTCAATACGTTTTTTTTTTTTTTTTTTCAGCCTTGGAAGGTCATAGACTCACGGATAATTTGACATATATAATGAATGCTCTGTCAGGAATCAATGTGATGTGAGTCAAATGGAAAAGGCCAAGAGATGTATGAATTATGCAATGTTTGAACGATATTTTTTTGGGGGCTTCACGGGTTTATTTTGTTTGCTTTCCTTTATTCACGTAAGGCATTAGTCTATAATCATTCTATCTTTTCATCGTAGTTTATGTAATAGACTAAGTTTGAACATTAGAACCTTGTACCCGTTTGGTCTATTCTCATGTCCTTCATATGGAATAACTCCGTCTCGTCATTGTCTTTATGACCATATTCCACCTCATAAGTTCGGTCGCATGTGATACCAATAGGATCGACGTGTGAACGCATGGCCGTCTTATCAACCTGTGATGTTGTACCCAGTGGCTGAGATCGAGAGCAGCTTCGATTGCTCGTTCCGGGCTTGCTTGGGCCTCCATAGTTGTTGCTGCCGTACTTGTAGTACTGTTGCTGTGTTGAGTTGCCAAGTACCTTGGGGAAGAGGCGGACGAGAAGAACTCGGAGACTCGGCATGCAAGCGCAGATAATCCCGACGTTAACCTCGATGGTGGACCACTGGTCGAACTCGGTGTACTCCCATGTTGCATTGTTCGCACCTACTCCTGCACGCATTTTGATGGTGGCGCTGAGACGGAGGATACTAACGATGGTGACACTTTGACAGGTTAGATGCGGTACATAAAAACAGAGAAGGGGGGTATGCTCACAAGATACCAACGCTGAACATGATTCCGACACCAATCTTTTTCTTCCAATCCAAATTCATCTTCTTCAGCTGTGAGAGTGGAATGCTCAAAATCCAGACATCTAGGGCGATATTGATAGCTCCACTGGACCATGTGATAGCATTGATGTCAAGGCATGTTCCAGTATCTTCAGTTTTGTGTTCCCATTTTGTCCAGAAGTAACTAATGGGCTGACATTGGAAGGCAGCTATCAGGATGAATGACACACCAAATACGCAATTGAATACGACAGTAGCCCACAACGTCTTCCTGACACCTCGTGTTGGGAAGATGCGGAGGTAGAAGAAAACCATGGCTAGCTTAAGGAAGGTTTGCAGGGTAAAATAGAACATGGCCATCATGTAAAAGTTTTGACCGAAGCTTGTAACTTGGTCGGGGGTGACTGTCCAGATGTCGCGGCCCATGCCGTTTGGTGTTAAACCACGCGAGTTGATTACCATGCAGGGGATGGCCATAAGCATAGACAATCCAATAAAAAGATCGTCAAGGCCCCAAGGGAGCTTGTATACTAGTTTCGTTGCGAATCGTTGCAAGACAAAGATACCCGAGGTGGCGCCCATTACATCGTTTACGGCGAGGATTTCTTGTTGACGATTTCGGATAGGTGCACCGCATAGTGTCATGGAAGCATTTTTAGTACCTATTGGGTGTAAGCAAAATCCATAGCTTGCCAACTTCATGACTCACTTAATGATTCCCTGACTGTGCAATCCGCCAAGACACATTTTTCTATCTCGGCTTGAAGTGTTTTGTTTCTACATGTGCATTGTGTGTCGAGAAGATCACATGTTGAATTAGAGACAGAGACTGCCATGCATTTTAGCTTTGAGCTGCTATTTAGTATTCATCAACAAAGCAGAATTGACAAAGCTTACAGCACACTTTGGTAACGTGGCCAGGATAGCAGAATTGTCAGAGCTCTGGGCCAATACCAAAGGAGAGGATGCCAAGACAAAGGCAAGGAGACCACGAAAGAGCCTCATGGTGATAGGCTAAACGAGACCAAAAAAAGCAAATATTAGATGTGACAGAGATTCGAGACGTGATAGGTGTGGGAGGAAGGCTCCTTTTTACATTGCCAAGGGGGAAAAGCACACCATATGCAGGGACGACGGCATGGCACCACCACAACTAGACTTTTATCGTTGGAAACCATTTTGGTGCCGTCGAAAGCGAACTAAAAGAAGGATCCGCGGTTTCTGGTTGGGTCATGCCCGATCCATACTCACTCTAGATCGCCCTAGCCGCTATATATGCCGAAGTGTGTTTTAAGACGCTAAAACATACTTAGTCTTGCGATCAGACACGCACAGACAGAGTTCCGATTCAACCATCTACGGGTTCTGACTCGTCTCAGGGTCGGGTAAGACGATGGGTTCATCTTGGCATGACGATGAAGTCAACAAGTCCAAGAGTCGGCTGGACGGAAGGCTACCAAGGGCTCGGGAAGAACTGCAGATCCGGACGTGTGCGCCGCAGTGATGGATATAGGATTTGTTATACAAGAAGTTTTGATGCAGTTGCTATGTTTGACAGATGGTGTACTGCCATCTGTTTTTCATTAGCTTTAATTATGTGGTCGGTATGTATCAGCCACATGTTCAACATTGATTAGTATGGCTGGAGTGACAGTAATACAAACAACTGAAACATTTTGCAGAATGACGTAGATAACTCGCATCTCGAGCGAAAGATAGGCCGAGTTCTTTTTATTTCTTACTTTTTCATATGTTCACCCAAACCTCAGTAAGTCACTTGGCAGTGTTGACACTCGAGTCCGGATCGGCATCCAGATTCCCGACATTATTATTGCTACCCACGGCCTGTAGATCATCGACACTCGATAATTTTCCCAATATGCACGCATGGGAGTGAAGAAGAAAAAGAGTCTCGTGGGGCATTGTTTTGGCTCAAGAGGTACAGACAGATAGCGATATATTAATTAGGCTATGCTACTCAGTTAATTCCGCGGATGTATAGTGGTATCAGTTCATTTGTTGTACCGTGCAGGCCAACATTTGACGCTAACATGAGAAAATACGGTGTGTTCCAAAAGGGAAGGCTTTTCGTGCACTTGTCCAGCTAGTTCATCGCTATTTAATGCCGTTTACAGAGGGTCTGTAGAGGGGATTATGTAAGGGACGGGTCATTAGTAGAGGAATAAGAGAAGAAGCAGCAGAGAAGAAACCCCTGACCTCTCTGACTCAATGGAGAATACTTAGCGGACACTAAAAGGCAACGCTAACGTGGGTGGTTAGATTAGCATCGCACTGTTTCTCCAGCCCGTCGAGTATATGTCGATGGTCATGTTATAATGGTCTTGTTTACAGTTTGTTTCGGGTCATCGGGTTCCCCGAGGTTTATTTCCATTATGATAGATAGGCAGTTATGCTACCTGTGTTATATCCAAAACAGCCATTTTCTGACGAGGTTTCAGTGGTTTCTGGTGCTTGTGGGTAACACTAAGACACTGTAACCAAGTGCCGATCTGTGGGGCAGAGCCTCTTTTCAGTTCAAAATTTCTCCAAGTAGCGCATGGAATAACAGTGACAGTGTCCAATCTCAATCTTGTCCGGTGAGGTACACGTGGGTCAGATAGAGAGAGCTGAAGAGGTTAAGCTGATGGATTGATTGCTCAGCATAAACCAGCTCACTAGCTGAACTAACTCGACTGATCGGCGGCTGTCCTCGGTTCTCTGTTCTCTATTCTCAGTTCTCACAGCGGAATGACTTGCACTAACAACCGCTGATCTGTCTGTTGTGTGGAGGCCAGTATAAAGAACTACAGGGTAGCAGAGACACGACCAACAAGTAAACAACACAACCATCTTTGCAATCACTTAGGGATGTAGTCGAAATTTTAATGTTTATTTATATATCTGATACTTAACTAAAATAAGTTGTACCTATAATCATATTTCACCTCGATGTAGAAGTGCGGTTGAATCATCTCTCTTTCATTGTACAATTACCGGGGTACTGAGAGGAACTCGCGTCGGCAAAACACATTAGTTGTCCGGTTAAACTACTGAAGGCGGATAAAATAGTCAAATCAACACTTTTGTCCATCATCAAACTCGAGTCATTATTGTTCGCCTCTCATCCTCTCTACACGTCAATCATCTGGTCATGGGTCTGTTCATCTTCATCCGCATGGTTGCAAGGTTTACTTCGCTAATCCTCCCGTCATCTAAATTAGCCTTACCTTGTCCCCTTGTATGACTGACCAGCGGATGGGATATCTATCGGCAGTTGCAAGACTCATCTCCTGTAACGGAATCTTACCGGATCTGCATCTTTGCACTTACAATAAATGTCGATCTGCGTGTCGTGTAATTATTGTAGACATCGTCATGCAGCACCAATGTGGAGATCATCATTATTCTTTCCACTACAACAGACAGCCTCGCAATCACTCTTGACCTCGTATAACATGCCTTATTTGCTTGGAGGGTATTCCTGATAAAGGCATGTCTGTTGACTCTTAGCACAACTTAGCTTATTGAGTAGCCGTATTCGTAGATATAGTTCAAAATTTTATGTTAGCACCAAGCTAGGTTAGTCTCAATTTTATGAGGTGTCACGCATGGCATAGACCTTTATCCATCCTTAACCGAACAATGGTTACTTCTGCTACTTCTATTACTACTATGGCTCTATGAGAAAAGAAATTGTTACAGCCGGTTGGGGAGGGTACTTTGCTGTTTGGTCAGTCGGATTGAGGGCTCTCATGTGGGTGCATGGGATTGTAAAACATGTTGGGGCACTGAGAGCTAACATGTAACGTGATCGTGGAACCAAACCATAACTACTGGCTCGCTTTGTTGACGGAAGAGTTTAGGCGAACTTGTCCTATCATCCCATCTAAGGGCTAGTCGTGAAAGATCGCGCAGTCGTATGTTAACGACAACGGTGAGCCTGAGGTCATATCTATTGATATATGGCTTTATTGGCCATGACTAGTCTCTTTCTGACTGTCATTTTCTGATGGTTACTCCAAATTGGATTGTGGCTGGATTAAGACGTTAACTTGACTTAACTCGGGAATTATGTGAGACAAAAGCAGCAAGTGTCTTATTCCCGACACTCTACAGGAGCATATGCAATTTGCCCATCGATATGGATTCTCTTATCGTCCAGTATCTTGTTAGATAAATCTCCATATTTCTCTCTGACTCTACCAAGATAACGATGTATGTCAAAGGTCGCGTGACAGCATCAGCTGATAGTGTCTTTATTGACTATTTAGGTAATTATTGCCGGTACTCCATTTTTATTAGTCAATCTTCTGTAAACTGCTTCAAAACCGCAACAACTAGAGAGATAATTTTTCCTTCTGTATACATCTTCAAGATAATACTATCACTGTACAATCGTTATGGCTGTCTCACCACTTACCCTGCGCATCGCCATGTTGAATGCCGATGCACCAGTGCCCAGTGTGATAAAACAACGGGCACCCTCATACGGCCATATCTTCCATGAACTTCTATCTCAGTCGGCGACTCGTGTAGCCCCTGGGTTATCTGTCGAGGCAGACTACTTTGACGTTTATCATGGCATATACCCAGAATCACTCACCTATTTCGACGCAATTGTCATTTCCGGTTCCAGCGCCAGCTCCTACGAAGACAAAGACTGGATTAAACAACTCGACGCTTATATCGCCAAAGTTTACGTTGAACAACCTCGTGTCAAGATTTTCGGCAGCTGCTTCGGCCACCAAATCATCTGTCAAAGCTTACTCCGTGAATACGGGGTCTACGTGGAAAAAGACCCGAAGGGTATGGAAATGGGTGTCCATACAGTTCAACTCGAGCAAGACTTCCTGAAAGCAGTAGGAAGTCGTTCGTCCGTCATTGATAACTGCAAACTCCGACTACAATTTATTCACGGCGATCATGTCAAAATACCAGAAGGCCATTCTCTCCCTCAAAGCTGGCTTTCCATGGGCCAGACTAAACACTGCGCATTTCAAGGAGCATATGAGCCGAATCACGTGCTCACATATCAAGGTCATTTCGAATTCGACAGATTCATAAACATCGAGACTTGCAAGGCCTTTTCGAAAGCCTGTAGTTGGGGTCCCCAGTTTATCGATGCATCAGTTGAGGCTATGGATAAGGATGATGACTCCAAAATTGCGGCTGACATGGTGATGAGATTCTTTCTTGAGGGTCGACATGCCGTGCCGGGGATTGGAGGGTTGATGAGTCCCCCATTAGAGGATTGAATGACTGTTTTCAAAAATACAAATTCTTGATAATGTTCTATTTTAAATGTCATATGCTGCAGCGAGAACGGTTACAGAAAGTGGCCACTTTAGACAAAAGCTTCTGACACAAATGCCAAACAAGTTCCTACTCCGGCAGAAGTTCGGGGTGACAGACTCCCTTCATCCTTCTCAGAATCACAGTCGAATTCTTTACGTCTGAGCCTTTACAACATCCGGATATTCTCCCATACGGCATCCTCAGTTACTGCTTCTCCCTGCATGGCCCCGTGAACATAACTCTCACCAACGACAGAATACTCATTCTCCTCGTCTGTCCTTCTCATTACCAACGGCGCAGGAGATCCGGCAACTATCCAAACCTCGTCTCCGACCTCACAAGACTCGAATCCCATCCCCATGTATCCTGTATCAGTAAGTATAGGCCTGTGATTCATATAAGTCGACGCCATCATGGTCCCAGGCGGCATAGAGTGTTTTGAAAGCGGTTTCTTTAGCATGTTGGCCTCTTCATCATTAAGTTCCACATGCTCTTTTGGTAGGAAATCTAGGCATGATTTAACGAGGTTGACGCTGGGGAAAATGCTCGAGGGATATTTCGCGGCTATGTCATCCAAGTAGGACATTCCATGGAGATACTCGAGTACAAGTGTTTCGCCGGCAGATGACGACTCAGCTTCTTTGTGAAAAACTCGCAATGCGTGAACAATTTCTTCCAAAATGGTTCGCTGAAAATCCCCAAGTCGGACAAGTTTAGCTGGTCGATTCGTAAAGTCTGTATCATGAATCAAGGTGCGCCAAAAGACTTCATCTGCCGGCTGGCCAGTATATGGATAAATCTCGTCCATGCTGAGAAGAATATCTCCAGCCATGCCACGTCGGCCTCGAACAGCTTCGATGTAGATCTCCCCTATCTTATGGATATTTCCAAGACGCAAGCCAAAAGCGGTAAGGATATTTCCATGAATGCGAAACGGTCGTGGGTTTGGAGCATGAGGCACATGATTGGAAGAGTTGATGGTGCCTATAGATCGAAATTGAGCGCTGGAGAGAGTGTTGAAGTCAACTGCCGGGAAGTCCGGTACCCATGATGGAAGACCAGGAGTCTCTCGAATGTCGGGGGATTTGACAAGAGTAACGTAGACCAAGGAATCGGTAGCCTCGATAATCTTTCGTGCGACATTTCGTAAAAGATCCTTGATATCGATCTCATAGTTCGGCTCGAATTCTGATGGTAGAAGAAGTCTATCCTTGGCAGCCATGTGCTTCATAATACCTCCCAAACCGTAGACGACATCCCGAGGGTCAGAAGCTTGAAGCCCGAATAGCGTAAAAAGGAATCGTAGCAGCACCATCTCTGCTGATTTCTCATGTTGACTAGAGAGCCCGGCCTCAAAGTCAATCGTCTCTAAAGTTCGGGTCCACTGACTTTTATCACCTTTGCACCACTCTCGGAGCAGTTGGATTCTCTCAGCATGGAACAAGTAGAGATTGCCAACAAAATAGATACCAGGCCTGTCTTTGGGGACCAGGTCGATCCAAGGCTGGAAAAATCCGCTGTAGTGAAGAAATGCTGCTGTATAGCCTACATAATCAAAGCGAGTGAATTTGCCGTTGCATAGAATAACAACGTCGTTGGTAAGAGAGACTTCTTGGATTACCCACACTCGCGCAAACCAGTTACTCATGAACAGTGCGACCAGCCCAAGAGCTTCTTCTTCATCGATGGGCTTCATTCCATATTTATCAGGCATAATTGAAAGATCAGAATTAAAAGCCCAGAATTGATTTTGAATCATTTCAAGCGTGTGAGGAACAGAGTCGGCCCCGATCCTCTCGGCCGCATTTATTCCGGCTTCCAACTCTGGAAATGGCTTGCCAAGCCAGACGATGACACGGCTGGCCTTTCCGTAGATCTGGTTCATTACCGAGACCTGGGAACATCGCTCAACGGGATCGAACTGGTTAATACACAAGGCATCGATCCAGATGGGGGTTTCGGAGCATGAGGCCTGGAGTTCGATGAGTGCATCGTAAAGATTTGGTTGGACTTCGAAGGTCTGCCCGTTCAACAGGACAGACCTGACCGAATCGGCCTCTGTATCGCAGGGGCGAGGCGAGCCCCAAGTGTAGGATAGCGCATTGTAAGTTGTCTCTGTGCCACTGGATAGTCCATATGTCGCGAGTGTTACACTTGGTACTTGGACTTCCGTGTAAGGATGAATATCCAGCGAGATGGTTGCCAGACGGAAAGAATCAGTGTCAAGCAAGTCTGGATAGTATTGCGGCATTATTATAAATCTGAAGAGGAGTAAGAGTTAAGATGAGAAAGAGTAAAAGTGGATGGCAATATTACAGATGCCAGCCGGTTCAGATGTTGTGTTATAGTCTAGCTTGTTTGGGTCTAGGTGGGTTCAATCTACCTATGCATCGATTTTATGTTCTTTGTACTTTTGATTTTGTTTTCACCATCACTATCCGATAATGACCCAAAACTACCTTGTCTCACCATCCCACCCCCTTTTGAGGCCTGCAGCGACGCATTTCGTAATTATAACGGGTTTTATACGTTGTCTCCAAGAAACGATTCCTATACCTATTAAATAAAAAAAACAGCAAAACAACTCTAGGATCATAGTCTGGCACAAAGTCTTCGTCTTGGATAGTACTGAGTATATTGTTTTCACCATCCTTCACGTGGTAGATTTCCGTATCAAGTATAGCAAAGCCCTCTAAATCGCCCGTCTCCTTGTCCTGGAAGAGAATTGGATTGCTGAAAGAGCTTTGAGAAGGTGATCCATCGGGTATTCCATCTAATTCATTTCAGCATGGGTGCGTAAACTTTTTGATCTCTAACTTGCCAGACCTCGATAGTTTCAGAATGTAAAAGATATCAGAATAATCTCTCCATATTTGATAGTAATAAGAGTGGCATTATCGTATCTCAGCTGGGGTTAATAAGTATTTAATTAGTTTACGAAATGAGTCATTAAAATAAATGACTCACCTTCAACTAATGGATATAAATCCTTCATCTTGATAATGCATTCGGTATCTTAATTTCCATGTCTGTTACCTGTAATCAACCACACGATGAGCGACTCAATTACAGTCAACTGGCCACAAGGTTTGGAGCTATACCATATAGACACTTTCCAAGCCTTAGAAGAATGGACTCCTCCTCTCACCAAGCTCCTCCAATCTTGCGTCAACGACGAGCCTCCTTCATCATCACTCGGTTTCCATGCGCCTTTATCTTCCAGTGACGCTCAAGAATTCTGGCTTTCCCTTTCAACTCAGCTCTTTGGTCCTAAGTCGCGAATCAGCCTATTCGTACTCGCACGGGGTTCCTCGGCAGTTGGTACTATCCATCTATTGTCTCACCCCAAAGCAACTCACGCGCATAAAGTCGAGGTTGCAAAACTATTGGTTTCAGAAGAGGAAAGAGGTCTTGGGCTAGGAAGGAAACTGATGGAGTTTTCTGAGAGGTTTGCTAAAGAGAAGTTGGGCAAGAGTATGGTTATGCTCGATACTGCGACAGAAACACCGGCCAGAGGATTTTACTTGAAAATTGGATATACGGAATGGGGTATCTGCCCGAATTATGCTGAGAGTGCAGATGGGCGTCTGCATGACTGTTCATTCTTCTATAAGAAATTGGATGGTTAGGCTAGACACATAGCATAGCTTAATCAAAAGTTTCGGTCACTCAACTCTATTCAACATTAATCTTGACCAGGACTCCGGACCGAGCTCCCCGATAAATTATTCCAGCATGATTTAAGCATTCATGCTACAGGGATTGATTGGTGGTCACCATTTATCCGCCTGCCTCTCCGGGGTAAACAACCGCCAAGCAATGGCCTGATTGAAGCGTCTACCAATCCAGCGGGGGATCGACATGTTCAGATCCTAGTATTGGGGGCAATCCCCGCGTTTTTACCAACAGTTAACATGTACAAGCGGCTCTAACCCTGATCTCATAGATGGCGGTGCAGCGATTTCGGGTCATCATAAGCCGAGGCAGGTATAAAACATCCTCAGCGTAACAATTAATTGGGTTACTGACTCACATCAATGTATTGAGCCTTACTCACTCAACATGTCTCTTCTCTCCCTTCTCACCTGGGCTTCTCTGACAAGCGCAGCCTGGATCGTTCCAGGCGCTCGCTGGCATGATACTGAGGGTAATCTCTTCAACGCCCATGCGGGTGGTCTTTGCGTTGATCGTTCCAGCGGCAAGTTTTACTGGTTCGGAGAGTACAAAACTGAAGAACGAGAAGAAGGCGGTGGTATCTCTGTCTACAGCTCTGATGATCTCGCGACATGGGAATCTCATGGTCTAGCGCTCACCCCTGAAGAAGGACATGAGCATATCTCACCAGAGAGTATTATTCAGAGACCCAAGGTTCTCTATAGTGAGGAGACTGGGAAGTACCATGTACGCATAAAAGAGCCACGCCGGGAAGATATGTGCTGACTTGGAAGTAGATGTGGTGGCATGCCGACGATCGAAACTATAGCCTTCTCCTTCAAGGTCTCGCAACATCTGATTCCATCGCCGGGCCATACGAGTTCAACCACGCCATCGCACCTCTTGGGAACTGGTCTCAGGACTTTGGCGCTTTTACAGATTACAAATCCGGCAAATCTTACGCTCTCTACTCCAATGGTGACCGCGTCGAAGGCCGAGACGTATACGTGAGCCAGTTCAATAGCAATGTTACCGACATTGAAAAGGTTACCCATCGCTTCAACAAGTACGACTTTGAGGCGCCGACTATTCTCCAGACGGAAAAGAGCTATTGGACTTTGATGAGCCACAAGACTGGTTATCGGCCAAACAGTATGTGTTGAGGTTAAGACGTTGCAACGAATACTGATGATTAGTTTAGATGTTGTTGCCATGAGAGCTGATAAGCTAGAGGGACCTTGGTCGCAGCCATTCTTTGTTGCGCCGGCTTACACAAGGACATTTAGCACACAGTCTGGATTCTCTTGGAGGATAAACGGAACAAAAAAGACGACATATCTTTACATGGCTGACCAGGTACGTATTTGTGTTGAGGTATATCTGAGCTTGTGCTGATTTCTATAGTGGGATCTACCGTCAATCTGGGAGAGTCGCAATGTGTGGCTTCCCATCGAGATTGATGAAGAGAACAAAAGCCTCGAGGTTGTCTGGCATGATATCTACGACTTGAACGTGTAAGAAGGCCTGTTGAAGCACAGAGTAAACGGGCGCTGACCTTGTAGGAAAACTGGCGAATGGAAACCTGTCAAGGGTAAGACATACCCGGCCAGCAAGGCCAAACTCACTGGAGATGCATTTCTCCAAGAGGCTGTAAGTTAAACCACCTTGAGAGCGAAAACAGTGACTGACATATGTGATAGACCTTTGGAACCGACCATGTTATTGCAACGAGTATTTCTGGCAATGACAGCACAGTCACGTTTACTGTTCAAGGCAAAGGTGCAGAACAATGGGTATCATTCTACCACCAAAGTAAACATTCATTCCTATTCGAACTACGATTTTATTTACTGACGTCTCTAGATATTGATGACATGGGTTTTGGTGACCAGCCGATGGGTCAACCAGATCGTATCAATGGCACATGGGCAATCCGTCGCATCAGCAGCGTCGTTGTCAACGGCGACAAAGACAAAGTGCACACTCTGTACCAAAAGGATACACACAAGGGTATAATCCTATCTACACCTCTTCTTCTGCCGCTCAAGAAGGGCGAGAATACTATTACTGTTGGTGGTCTCGATAATGGTAAGGGTGTCAAGGGCGCGGATTTGGACAGGATTGTTGTTTATCCCCCCGAGAAGAAGAAGGGCAAGAGAAGTTTTTTTGGACTGTTCTAGATCAATAGTTTAGTAGTATCATAGGACCCAATAAGACGGTTAATTTCTCATTAATCTGAATCTGAAGTTGATATGACCAGGTGACCAAGTTATGTGTATGCTTGTCATGTAGGAGCAACCTCCTAAATAAACATTCTTTACTTAGTCTTTGATTCTGATAATGATGGGACAAATTCACGATCCAGAAATAAACCTATTTACCACAATAAGTTTCTATACTTTAACAGCCACTGATAAACGCGAAGTCCGACTACGTAATTTTAATTTATATTCATACGTTGCATACCCGTAAACAATAAGTGCACTGTCAGTCACTGTCAACTCTGCATGATCAAAATGCATCTGTTGTCTCCACAAAGAATTCCTTTTGTTTCCACCTTGTTTAACGAACAATGACATTTTACAGCTGTTCGCAGCTGTTGTTCTCGCGTTGACTCGGAGACAATGAACAACTCTCGAGATGTTATTGTTCGATACTGTATAAAACCAAAGAAACTCTTACCGATATCAACTCAAAACAATCATTCGACAAGTCCTTCATCAACCACAACTGACTATCAATCTCAACTCATCGCCATCCTCAAAATACATTTACGAAATCAAAACACCAATCAGGTAAGCCAAAATGGCTCTCTTCAGTACCTGGCCAGCTGCCCTCCCGGCCAAATCACACCTCCTGGCCCGTATCTTCCCAGCACTTCTTCTCATCATCCCCATCGCCGTCTCCCTCACCTGCACCTGGCTTCTCTTGGCCGACACCTGGCTGAGAATCTTTTGCACCGTTTTCGTCCTCCGTTACACTCGCTTGGTGGGCCATCTTCTCGGGTCATGGATATACCGTGCTCGCGAAGTGAGCCCCGATCCGGCCTTTACTCGCGGAGATGTCACTGTAATCCTTCCTACTATCGATCCTCACGGCCCTGACTTCAGGGAGTGCGTGGAGAGCATTTTTGCGAATCACCCGGCTTGCATTTTGGTAGTCACAGTTGGTGATCCTCTTCGAGAAGAATGCCAGGCTGTCCTACGAAAGTTGAGCCTGGATGCACCGCACACAGAAGTCTCCGTTGCAGCGCTCTCAGAGCCGAGCAAGCGTAGACAAATCACCCACGCTATGCCCAATGTCACCACACCCATCACCATTTTTGCTGACGATCATGTTTTCTGGCCAGCCGATTTCATCCCCTCTGTTATCGCGCCCTTTGACGACACTCACGTTGGTGTTGTCGCTACCAAGAAGCGCGTTCGACGAACAACGCCTGGACAATGGTCCTGGCCATCGATAGTCAACTTCATCGCGTGCAACTATCTCGAGCGTCACAACTGGGAACTCCGAACGTCTAATTCTATCGACGGAGGTGTCTTTGTCACCTCAGGTCGCACAGCTGCATACCGCACTGACTTTCTCAACAACGCTGACCTTTTGGAACGCTTCTGTCAAGAAAAGTTCTTTTTCGGCCTGCTGGGCGGCGATGGTCTCGGCCCGGATGATGACAACTTCCTCACCCGCGAAGCCATGAAGAAGCACTGGCTTATCGTCTTTCAGGACACTGAGGAGGCAACTATCCAGACAACGCTCGGTGAATGGCCCAAGTTCAAGGATCAACTTCTTCGATGGGCCCGAACTACTGTCCGCAGCAACCCCGTCATGCTCCGTGATCCCGTCTTTGTTTACCGGTATCCCTGGAGTGCATTCATGGTGTATTGGGCATCGCTGTTCAACTTTGCCATACTGTGGGATGTCCTACTCGTCTTCACACTCGTCAAGAGCTCAAACGTCGGTGCTGCGGACGTTATTCTACTGCTGATTCGGATGCTCTGGACAAAGTCTGTCAAGCTCATTCCACATTTGCTGGAGTATCCTTCTGATCTTCCGTTGATGATCTTTCAGATTCTTTTCGGTTACGTGCATAGCTTCATCAAGCTCTGGGCATGGATCACTTTTTGGGACTGTGGTTGGTCTGGACGTAACCTTGAAGGTGTTGGACAAGCTGAACTTGACACTGCTTTCCGTAAGGTTGAGTAGACAGACGATTAGGTGAGGGTTTTGGTATGGCTAGCGTTATTGGTACTTGGACACTGGCGGGGCCGGCTTTGCGAGGAGTTCATCGGAAACAAAAAGCTGTTTTTCTAGGGTTTGGTTTTTGTACAAATTGATCTTGGTTTTGACAATTCTTTCATCCCCCTTCATGTTGTGAATTGTATGTTGTATTGTATGGCGAAGGGTGTTGCCCAGCTAGTTCTTAAAATCCCCCTTGGACAAATCATCCTCCAGATCATAGTAAACCTGAAATTCACAATAACAAATCTCGGGATCACTCTCGACATCAAAGTTAAAATCCGCCTCCTCATCCTCGATAAGCACCTTCTTGATACCGCTCGCAGCCGCAGCTTCGGCAAGTAACTGAACACGACAACTATTCTCCATGGAAGTATACAACCAAGCTGCTTCATCAACTGTCTGACCAACAGTCAAGATACCGTGGTTTCTCAAGATACACCCCTTACCCTTTTCACCAATGGCAGCAGCGATTCGATCGCCTTCTTCGCTGCCCAACACAACACCTCCATAGCTGTCGTACACGCTGTGCGCGTCCCCCCTAAACTTGCAAGCGTCTTGGGTAAGCATCTCAAGCCGTTTACCAAAGACTGACCATGCTTTTCCATGGATACTGTGTGAGTGACAAATAGCGTGTACATCTTGTCTCGCTTTGTGAATAGATGCATGGATCAGGAACCCAGCAGTGTTTGGTGGTCGTGATCGATTGCCACCAATGACTTGGCCGTCGAGATTAACGAGAATCATGTCGCTGACTTTCAACAAGCCAAAGTGTCTGCCCAGAGGATTTGTCCAGAAAGCATCGGTGAACTCGGGGTCGCGGACCGAGATGTGACCGCTCATACCCTCAACATAACCTTCGCGATGCCAGTGACGAAAGGCAGCAGCGAGATGTTCAAGTTGCCATTGACGTTGAGCGGCGAAGTTTGGATGCTTAGGAATGCCTTTTAGGACAACGTCACCGTGGGACATGGCTTGAAGGGGAGTCTTGTTTTGTAGTTCATGGCCATGAGACTGTGATGTCTTTGGAGGTGTCATGGTGGTTGAGCCATCAGTGGCAGGTGAAACAGCAGTGGGGGCCATTTTGAAGAACTATTGTGAATGAGATGAAAAGATGATTCTTTCAGATCTAGCCAACTGACAAGAGCCTTTTTATAATCGTGCACTCTCATGTCATTGTAAAGGCGCCCTCTAAATACTTCTTGTCCATCTGCGGGGAAATGACTTACAACAGACGCTTATCATAAGCGGGACCGGGAACTCGATCCGGTCACTATATGATTGGGTAGAAACTCTAAATATAAAGCAATACACACTGAAGATCATTATTGAGTCAAAGAATCTTTACTCCGTGGCTTGGCTTTCTTGCTTTGCCTTTAATATAGCGCTTTTGCCAAGGCGTACCAATTCTGACACGAATCGGCTCAATTCTTGCACACTTTCAAGATCCAATTCCGTCATTCTAGTCGATGATGAGTTTTGAAAGATTGTGGTTGATGATGCTAGAATATCCAAATCCATTTGTGCCTCTTTGTCGAGAGGATGAATCAGAATGTTCAAGAATAGTGCCAGGGCTGCGATGGGCGGGTAAAAGGCGACATGCCTGTACAGAGTTTAGTAAAATGCCGTTCATATCCAGTAGCAACTTACCCGAACGCATGTTGTTCTAGCAGCATATCCGGGTCTTTAAAAGTCTGCAAAATCGTGCGACCAGCTTCAAGGGATAAATCGCTACTCGAATGATAAACATTATGCAAATCATCAGGTAGACTCTCATTCATGGCATAAGCCGCGCCGCATCTTCGTACGGCGGTATGAATAATGATTGTCATGTAGCTGTACTCCAACTGCAAATGCGTATGTCTCCGTCTTTGGAGATGGGACATTTTCAGTTGAAATGGTTGATCAGCCGACAGTGACAATTTAGGACGGAAGTCTACTGGGATGTTTAGGCGCCATGTCTCGAGATCAATATCAAGCTGCCGCAAGTGGAAAAGGATTGTGCTATCAGCCAGATTCGGGTTGTCGAGAGAACAAAGAAAAAGGCACAGCCTCTCTTTGATCTGAGTGAGTTGAAGGTCTTGAGGGAAGTGAACAAAGGCCTTTTCGTTAAGAGGCAGAGTGTCGTATATCCTACCGAGTCCGTCTGGTAATGTCAAATCGCAGTAATTGCTGGGAAGAAGAGGAGGTTGGCCAAATCGAATTGAAAGGTCTTTGTCAAAGATATAACATAACCAAAACAGATCTCGAACATGCTCTCGTTTATGTTGTTCAGAGGGTTGTTCTGCAAATGTGGTGTAGAAGCAGTGGCCTTTCAGCTCATAAACAATACGGCAGGCCGATGAATGAAGCGTGGTAGCATCTTCCCATTGGCCGGAAAGAGTCTTGTAAAGTACCTAAACAGTCAATGGGGAGAAACCGAAGCGCTTAAAAGATACTTACCAGTAGAAGCAAAGCTTCCAATGTTTCCAAGTTGCCACCATCAGATACCTGCGCCAGATAGCTGTGTGCGAGATTGGCGTAAGCATCGCCCTCAAGCAGTTCCGGGATTTCATATCCGCTCGCTCGCGAACAAATAGCCAACGCCGCCAGTATACATGCTTCGGCTGTCTTTTGCCTGTGAATAGTCTCTTGACTCGGTGGCAGTGTATAGGCCGCTTCAATAGTCCCCGGTACAAGTAACGAGTCAAGTACCGGATACAGTCTTTGCCAGTCTGATGACAGCCAAGACTCGAGCACTTCATTCACTATCTCTCGTTCAGGTAGTTCAGCACGTGGTTGGAAAGGGGTGGGAGGGAAAGAGAGTGACCCGAAAAGACGGAATTTTCCCAGGTTTGGCCTTTGACCAATCTTGGATGACATCCAGTCAGTTCCCTTTTCTGAAAACAATGGAACCCCTTTGAAGTACCAGTGTTGGCCTAGAAAGGCACGATGTTGGGCTGCACTCCCAGCATGGTGAGGCTGCGGCGAAAGGGGAGATGCCTGTGTATTTACTGTTCCGGGTAATGATAAAGGTGTGTTTTGACTCTGAAATACTGGTGTAATTCCATTCACTGCCGAACGAAGTTGTTCAACTGTGTTTTCGAGTTCTGTGACTCGACGAGTGAGTGCTTGTACATGATTCAAGATTGATGGACTACCACATGGTAAGTCAGCTGATTAACTATACTGTCTTCGATAGTTAATGAAACTTACAGGTCATCTGATTTCTTTCTCTGCGCTTCTCGTTGAAGCACACATTCCAGGTTGTGGTCGAAACACCATTCGCATGGTAGATTGGGGTTGGTCCTTGTACATTGGATCTGATATCTTATCAGTACCATGACGTGATAACACATGAATCGCAAGTAACGCACCTTTCGTTTGAAGCATACATCACATGCTCTCTTGACGGGCATCTCCGGGGAAGATTATATAATGACGCGATTCGTAGTCGAAAATGTTTGAACGATAAGTCTTGTCGGTGGATCGGAGTCCGTATGATACTGTAGGTGTTTAATACGAGCCAAGAATGACAGATTCTTGTACTACCATAAAATCCGATAATACGTGAACGGGATGTACCTGTAAGTGACCACTAATGATTGGTAGGACAGGGATGAAATGGGTCACGGAGTCCGAACGCCGCTGACATGCAAGACGCTACTGCAAGCCATTCCCACCTTGGCATGTCAACACTGATTTGGCATTTCCGTGCTGAAATCTGAGACAGAATTTCACATTTTATGTAACGAATTGCAAACACCAGATGTCACCCAACCTCTCATTGTCTTCTCCAAGGCCACCATGCACAACAACTCCATCTTTTGCATCCCCACCCTTGACAATATCAGCATCGAACCATCCTCTAGCAGAGGGTTCATCTCCTGTCTCGACTTTCAGCCACATACTTGTCTCAATAGCAAAGGCCCAGACATCCGATAGCATCTTTCCAGCACCAGCGTGACCTAGTGAGCTAGGATCTCTTTCGCCAAACATGGTAAGTAAATAAGACTTGTCTTGTATGAATAAGGATAGAAGAGTTGAGACACTTCTTGCTTCTGGGCCTTGAATTCCATCCGGAATGTAGGGTATCGTGGACCAGGATGTGGCCCCAATGTTGTACATGTCCAATGCGCCACCCTGTTCAATCTTTCCGTCAAAGCCATTCATACGATACAGCATTCCATTGAGAAACGTAATTGAGGATCCACCACGAGCAGGACCAGGCGCAGCAGGTAACTGGGTCCAAGATCTTTTACCAATATCAAATACCCAAAGATCACTCAGCCGACCCTGCTCGGGGCATCCAGAGTGAAGATAGATTTTATCCACACCATTGGATGTGATACAATGATAGCTTCTTCCGGATGGAAATGCTGCATGGGTATCCTTTGGGGTAATGGCAACCCACTCGTTCTCGGCTGTGTTGTAGCACCAAACAGCACCATTTTCCTCAATGGGTTTCATATCAAGACCGCCTCGACCTGAAAAAAGATAGATTTCGACACCGATGGCTGTGCTAGGACTACCGACGCGAGGTTGCGGGGCTCTAGAAGGTGTTGATAGGGTTTGAGAAGCACCATCTATGAAGCATTAGTCAATTGTCAATTGTACTCTTAACAGGACATCTTTACTATGTCTCAGGTCGATAACGTCAATCCTGCTGTCTACCGGCTGACGAGCTATTAGCTCTCCACCAAAGACGAATGCTGTGTTATCGATGACAGATACAGCTTGTGATGATCGGCCAAGTCGGTCATTCTGAGTGACAAGCCTCCAGCTGGCACGCAACTTGTGCAAGGTCATTGTGAAATAGATACAACTAAAAGACTTCCATGGGTGAGAATTACAATTGTGAAGGAGAAGGAAAAGGGTTCATGAGCTATATACTTGACAGGTTATATAAGTTCCATTGACAATAGGTCGGTGTTCCTAAGCTACGGTCAACTATCTTCGGAGTCCGTGGCCCGCTGACAGAGACAATGCGCGGACTGAACATAATTGGTCCCAGCTGGCTCCTCTAGGCCATCAGGGTATGCATAGTCTGGTTGTTTTGAACTCGCCAAGATAAACATTATGCTATAGACTCTCTATTTCCGTGCTGATCATTCAAGGCTTCGAATTACGGCAAGTTAGTCACCAATATGGGTGTCTTTTTTCTACGTATGGATGATATACGCCACAGCCAATCAGATACGAGAAGGTGAGTCAGCGATGGTCATACTTGTCTTTATGTCGCTGCATTCGTTGCCTGACAATCGACCACAGGTAAGTAAAAAACTATATCATCCCCAGGTACCACAGCCTAGCTATCAAGGATCCAACAGAAAATACATTCCAATAAACCTGGTGAAAATGCTTCAAGCACGGAAGACCCCTCATTTCGCCATGACACAATCCACCTCAACCTTTGACAAAGTCTTTGCCGAGACACTCTGCGACATTCAGGTCCCAAAGCACATCAGGTTCTCTCCCAACGGCCAAAAGCTCGTCTACTCAACCAGTCTTGTCGGCGGTCATCGCAAGGGCAAAAATCACACTTCAACACTATGGCTTGCATCAACCAACGAACCCAACTCATGCCGAAAGCTGACATCGGGGTCCTTCAACGATACAAGTCCAGCTTGGCATCCCAGTGGTGACAGTATCGTATTTCTGTCTGATCGTGCCAAGCCCGGCGAAAGCTCAGCAATCTGGCGTATGCGATTGGACGGTGGTGATCCTATTCCTCTTACCACAGAGGATAATGAGCAGGATATTGATTCATTTTCTATTTCACCATATGGAAAGACAATTGCCTATGTTTCATGTGACGAAAATAAAAAAGACGATGATGAAGAAGAGGAGCCCGAAGTTTGGGGAGAAAAATGGGATCATGCTCGTCTAAGACTTGTCGACGTGGAAACCCATGATATCAAGGTCATTGTGGGAGGTGACAGGCACATTGGTGAAATTGCTTGGAGCCCAGATGGCAAAGCCTTGGTTTTTATGAGTACTGAGAATCCTCATATGGAAGAGGCTATGTTGACTGGTACTTCTATATCCACTGTCACCATCGAAACTGGCCAAGTTCAACATCTATGCAAGCTTATGAATGAGCCGTACGACTTGAAATGGGCGCCTGATTACCACGTCTACTTCATCACAGGTTCGCCGCCCGATAAAGACTCTGGGGGGAGATCTATATACAGTATTGATCCGGGGGCTTCTTTTCCCAATTTTATTAAAGTGGGATGCGGCAACGATGATGATGCTGGAGATATTCGCATAGCGGGCGGTAAAATAATTATCAATCGACAAGTCAGACTCGTCGACGTTATTAGCGAACTAGGTGGAGAAGATCTTTTTGCAGAGGGCAAGGAGGTGTGGGTGTGGGATGTCTCAATCAGCCCAGAAACAGGTACTGTGACACTCGCAGCCAGTCTCTCAGACATCAATACACCCTACGAAGTCTTCATCGTTCAACGAGGTAAGGACAACATTAAGCTCTCCAACCACGGAAACCTCCTCAAAGATCAGTCGATTGGATCTTGCACTAGTTTCACCTGCCAGTCATCAGACGGGCAAGTTGAACTAGATGGTCTATACCTTACCCCAGCATCAAAGTCAAATCCTGATGGCGCGCCAAAAAAACCACTTCCAACACTCGTTTTGATTCACGGTGGACCAAGAGATCGTAACTGCAACAGTTTCGACACATCCTGCTTTAACTGGGCTCCTTACCTTCTCACGAAAGGCTACGGTGTTCTTCTCCCACAATATCGGGGATCTTCGGGAAGAGGCGAGGCATTCGCTTCGTACAGCATTGGTGGACAGGGTGTATATGACTATGCCGATGTAGTAACCATAACGGATAACGCCATAAAAAAAGGTTTCGCAGATCCGAAAAGGCTGATGGTTGGAGGTTGGAGTCAGGGTGGTTTGTTGACATACTTATGTAGTGTCCGAAACGGCCTCCACGATCTAGGCTGGCGCTTCAACGCCGCAATTGCAGGAGCAGGAGTATGTGACACAGAAAGCCTCGCCTTAACAGCTGATCTTGGTTCAACATTCGAAGTCGAGCTCGCAGGAGGTCATACTATCTGGACTCTCGGTCATGATGACACACGGAACCGCCAAGGTAGCGCTATATGGGAGGTTTCCAGCGTAATGAAGTGTTCTCGTCGAGAGAGAAAGACAATAATTCCGCCGATGCTTATTTTGCATGGGGAAAAGGATGAGAGATGTCCCTTTTCTCAAGCTGAAGGGTTCAGAAGGGCGTTGAGATGTTATGGTTTGCCATGTGAGTTTGTCAAGTACCCGGGTGAGGGACATGGGATTGAAGCACAGAGATTTTGGTTGGATATACTTGAGAGGGTTGAGAGGTTTTGTGATTTGTACATCGGAGAGGGACTCAAGACTCAAGTGGTTATTCGATGAGAATAGGGCGACGGTGTTGTATATTTTGACTCTTGTCCATTTCTCCTGTTATTGGATCCATCGTCTGAGTTAAAAGGGAATTTGTCTTAGTTGATTGGTTCAGGTGGTTATGTGAGACAATCCTTTCTGTACGTCTTGTGCTCTAGCGCCGAACAACAAAGGCGATAATTCGTCATGGCGTATAATCCTTCCGTATTCTGGTGGTCTGACTCATACGCATCTAATGTGAAAATGAGCATAAATATGTATGTTTCCGTCCGAAAAGACGTTATTTCCATACAAGACTGGCATTATAGGTTATACTTCTTCTGTCGCAACGCCACTGCTTCCAAGACTTCAAGCCATGCTATTCCGTTATAAACCCGATTTTCGTTGATGAATATTGTTGTTATGCTAATGCTGATCCACAAACCAAGGTACATAAGCATTTCCCCTGCCTGTTACGAACACTGACCCCAAGCTCCAGAACTTTCCTATAACATATACGCAATTGCTTATAGACGTCTTTTGCGACAACTCATCAAAATGTCTTTCCAACGGCGTCTCACTACTCCCTCAAAAGACATAAGGGAATTTCTCGACCGCCACCCCGAAGTTGAAACTAGTGTCGAAGCAAAAGCACAGCTTGACGAATTTCATGAAGGCGACACGTTCTGCATCGTGACAAAGATTTTCAACAATACAATATTGCACCAAGAATACGATGGGGACTCCAGAAAACGCGTTTTTGCCTTTGCCTACGTTGAGGACCCCGAAGCATTGACTTGGTATGAGAAGAATAGGCAGGATGATAACGACAATGAGATTTGTGATTGTAAGGTTGGGGAACCAGAAGGGCAGGACCATCTTCTACATGAAAGCGTAGTTGAAGTTAGAAAAGCGGAGTGTGAAAAACACAAGGATTGCGAAGAACCAGACCCGGAATGTTTGGCCTGTTGGCCTGTCTTGTGTGGAAGCAACTGCAAATGGTAGGACGACATACCATGCAGAGAACCTGTTTATATTCTCTGTATTATTTACAAGCATCAACACCTATTTCATATAGCATTGGTGATGTACAGACCTTTGCTGCTAGTTCTCTAACTGCAGGGTAGGAAAGTTGTGACTGAATTACAAATCATGGTGGCTCTTCTAAGCCTAGATAGTATTAGTACTCCATCATTTACCGAGTCGGTAAACCAGATCATTGGTTCATTAGGATCTGAGACCGGTAAATGCCTCGGCACGGGAAATATCATCTCCATAATGACGATACCAGTGGACTGATATAAGAAGAAGAAGCCATGATTCTCTACTGCCAATTCATCCAAACAAACAGAAACTCGCACTTGTCTCGATCAACATACGATATCTATCAGAATGTCTCTTACAGTTCACCATCTCCAAGTCTCCCAATCAGAACGCATCCCCTGGTTGTGTGAAGAACTCAACATCCCTTATGATCTCAAACTCTACAAACGCTCCCCTCTTCTCGCACCGCCAGAGTTCAAAGCCCTTCATCCCATGGGAGCTGCTCCCGTGATCCAAGATGGTCCTGTCACACTCGCAGAGAGTGCCGCGTGCATCGAGTACCTTAGCAACAAGTACGCCAACGGATCTCTCTTCCTGCGCCCAGACAACCCAGCCTATGCCGACTTTCTCTACTGGTGGCACTTCCCTGCCGGTACTCTCGGACCGGCTCTGGGGCGCATCATGCTGATCCGTTCCGCCAAGCTCGGAGATGATAACCCCGTTGTGCAGTTTGGAAAAGCAAAGTATAGCCAAGCTTTGAAGCTGCTGGACGAAAGGGTCAAAGAAAATGAGTGGCTTGCCGGAAATGAGTTTACTGTCGCTGATATCATGGTTGTGTTCCCCTTGACTACAATGAGGTACTTTTCACCCTACAGCTTGGAGGAGTATCCCAACATTGTCAAGTACCTTGAGCGTATCGCGGGCAGGGAAGCGTATCAGAGAACGATGGAAAAGATTGATCCTGGCATGGAATTGGCTATTGGCGCGAACCCACCAAAGAGCCCTTTCAAGTTGTAGGTGCTTGTGGGTAGAGATGCGTATGTTCACAGCACCTACATTATGCTGGAGTCGTCCCGAGGCCAAGTTATATAACAGAATTCAAGTAGACTATTTCAAGCCTTTTGAGTGGCTTGCCATTCAATGAATTAATTGTATTTGCTCTCATTTGATTGACAATCATTGTAGCTAATTATCATATGCCAAGCATCATGAATTGAAAACATTAATCCTGACACACTTGACTTGCGTCCAATCATTAAGGGCGTCAGTACCATTCTCCCTGCCAAATCCACTTTGTTTGATACCCCCAAACGGACTGTTTGCGCTGATACTGCCCCAGGTATTGACAAAGACCATGCCCACCTCGATTTGATCAGAAACCCTCACGGCCCTGCTTATATCATTTGTGAAAACAGCAGCCGCCAAACCGTACTCGTTATCATTAGCGAGCGAGACGACCTCTTCTTCTGTCTTGAACTTGGCAAAGCTGGCAACTGGTCCAAAAACCTCTTCACGCATAATGGTTGCCGTAGGCGAGACGTTGATGAAGGCTGTGTTTGGGACAAAGTTACCCTTGCTATCGGAGTCGGTTGATCCGTGCAAGAGTTCTACTCCCTCGCTCTTGGCTTTGGCGATGTATTCCATAATTCTGTCCTTTTGTGTAGCGCTGATGACGGGTCCCTTGACCGTTTCGTCGAGAAGAGGATCGCCCATGACAGCTTCCCTCGTCTTGGCCGCAAACTCGGAAACAAACCGATCATAGACATCTTCATGGACATAAATTCGACTTCCGGCCGCACAGATCTGACCATTGTGAAGTGTGATTCCTGCTGTCGCAAATGCAAGAGCATTCTCAAAATTAGCATCGTTAAACACGATACTTGGACCTTTACCGCCTAGTTCAAGCGTAACTCTCTTTAGGTTCGATTTTGCGGCGCTGACGAGGATAGTACGTCCGACGGCTACACTGCCTGTGAAGGAAAGCTTGCGGACTTGATAATGATCGGCGAGAGCTTGGCCTGCCACAGGGCCTAGACCGGTGATGATGTTAACTACACCTGGTGGGAAACCTGCTTCAAGGATGAGTTGGGCTAGCTTTTGGCCGTAGAGAGGAGCTAGTTCGGGTGTCTTGATAATAAGAGTGTTTCCAGCTGCGAGGGCCGGACCTAGCTTCCATGCTGTGATCATACTGTCGATGTTAGCATTGTTCGACATATGATAAAGTGGAGTTGGAATTACAGGGGAGTGTTCCATGGCACCACGGCAGCACAAACACCGATAGGCTCTCGTTTGGTATACGCTAATCCTTGGTCAAAGTCCAATGATTGCCCATCGATCTTGTCTGCCCATCCTGCAAAATATCGAAGTGTCTCGACAGCCTGGACAATGCAGAAACCGAGAGACATGTTAAACAACAAGCCCGCGTCAACGGCCTCAATGGAAGCAAGTTCTTGGGCATCTCTCTCGATTAAATCAGCTAATTTGTTGAGTAATCCACGTCGCTCGGCAGGCCGGGTAGTCTTCCATGTCTTGAGAGCTTCTTTGGAGGAAGAGACAGCAGCGTCGACGTCAGAGGGCTGGGCGGCCGAGACTTGGCCGAGGGGAGTATTGTTGGTTGGGTTCTCGGTCGTAAGGGTCTCGGAAGTAGTGGAAGGGATGAATTCGTTGTTGATGAAAAGACCGGTTGGGACTATCAAATCGTTAATCTGTGAGTCTATGTTTGTAGTGGGATTGGCCGTACTTTGGATCTTTCGACTCCCAGCGCCAGTGATGGTAATTTCTGCCATGATGTAGTTGTGAGAGATGAAGTAGTTACAGAATTTACTCAAGAGATGCACAATCAACGTACGATATTTATACACAGCTTGGTTTCGGAGCCGCAATGCCACAACGTATTGATCCACCCGCCGAGTCGCAAGTACATCCAGCTCCACTAGAGGCGGCAAATAAGACGTGAACACCTGACAGAGCGTATTTGAATCCTACATAAACCGATCCGTGCTTGCCACTTTGACAGGGATTATCCATGTCCTGATTCGTGTCGCCGAATATTATCAGATCATTCAGACCGATCGGTGGGGAACTCAGAAACAATTGATGAGATAACTAATCCAGGATAAGCACGGAATTCTTGAGATATCAAAGTTTTCCTTCAGTCAAAACCAGTACAAGGACTTGTATGATCGGTTGTAGCTCTGAGCTCTAGTATGACTACCGGCATTGCACGACACAACATGCTTGCGTTGGTAGTTTATGATGGAAGTTCAAGCAAAGAGAAATGTTCCGCATCTCGTGATACCCCCTAACGGTTGTTACAAACGCATCTTGAGGGACCAACTCTGATTGACCATTAATTAACATGCTGAGATACATCCTTTTCGTTCTTGAATTCCCGTATCAATTGGTCATTTTGTAACAATGAGCTGCCAAAGCTGACAGTCTGAGAATAAATGCTCTATCCCTACTGTTTCTGTCTGATCTATCATTCCCCTCACTCTTGCAAGATATTAGATCATTGACTATTGGGCTGACCCTGAAACATAGCTCCCCCTTGGACTGGCAGTGGTATGTCAAAGGGGAAATGTTTCATTACCAGCCTTCAGTTCAACTCTAGCGCACCACTTTCCTTTCTACTTAGAAATGCACGCAGGCAGACCCTGAATTGAATCTTTTGTTCTTCCCCTAACATTCAGTTGCTTCCAGTCATGATCTCGGTAGTTGGTTGGCCGATCTTCACAACAGCACAGGGGTGCTTAAAAGTGGTTGCATGGCATAGCGCTCGTTTTATTGCGTAACTGAAAGACGTACAAAGACCTCTTCATTATTTAATATTATTCTGGTTTCATGATTCAAGAGCACTATTTTTGCAGATTGTGGAATGACTATTAAAATATGAATTCTGATCAAAAGGTCAAAGTGAGGCGCCCAGGTCATAACCTCCTTCAAGCCATTTAATAAACCCAGAATGCAGCTTTGATGAACAAAGGCTTCTTGGTCACGTCCGAGCCTGATTCTCAAGACAGGATTAATGTGTTCTAATTCCAGGGGGGGTCTTTCTTTATCGCTCTGTTTCATTCTTTTCTTTATGCTTTTGAGAGTTTTGGCAGATCCGATTCCAATGGCATAATTGAACAGCATGAGAGGCTGCTTGGGAGATCTCCAAGCTATAAGACGTTGTAAAATTTCCATAATCATTAAGTCAATTGCTTCCAAAACTCTGAGCTATCTCCTTGCAAACGTCCAAAGTTACCAAGTCTCTCACTCCATTTTCCTTTGATTCGAAAACTCAATCACAACGGCCAGTGCCTTTACAATATGTCGGATCAACAGAACCAGAACGGACAAAACCCATACTATCAGGCGTGGTCTCAGCCAGGTCACTGTAGTTGTGGATACAATAACATGGTCGGGACGTCGATCTGCCAGAACCTCGCCAAGAAATGCAAGCTTTTACTACCATTGCGCCCTCTAACGGTAGCAACCTCAGAGAGTAGGCCATTAATTATAACGATGTATAGAACGCAGGCTAATTTAGTCAGAGGAAGACGACGGTTTTCAGGGTTACGAGCAGCACGAGCAACGCGAGCACCATGAGGATCACGGCGAAGATTCTCAGGTCTAAAAACGATAATATCAGGGGCGCGTAGCAGGTCTGTTGTATGATACTTTGAGTGTTTAGCAAAAAGGGCCAAGTAGACCAACATGGGAGCCAGTGATCTCTCAGTCGCATCACATGTTGAAGGGAGGTGTGAGGGCTACAAGTATGGAGGGCGTTCTAGTTAGTACGTTGGGTGTTTCCGCGCACATCAGGGGTTACAAGAGAATGAAGAATTACTCATAACTCTGCGATATTTAAGCTACATATGCTCATTGTGGGTTAGTAACATGGCCTGGACTGTTCATTATATAATACGCGACAACATCGCAAACTCACGATCATGATTGCCAATGTACTCAGGCAGATATTAATGGGAAACCATTTCTTTTGAACAGCGGCGAGTTAATTGGTCAATTGATTTCAAAAGACCTTGGATTAAATGATACAATCAACTAAATACAAAATACATGCCAACTTGCGAGGGGAAAACCTTCGGGCAAAAACCCCTCTCGTAACTCGCTCGGCGCCTACAAGACTAAGCTTGCAGGATATCTTCTGGGCCGCTTGTGTTTGAAAACAAAACCATGGTCTAACGACGTCCCTCTAATTTCTTCAACACTTCGGCTTTGAGGGGATCGTTGTCATCCAATCGCCAGGCGCCATGCGCAAACCAAAACTCTCGGAAGCCCTTCTCGGCCAGTGCAACTTCCATCTTCCACTCCCACAACCTCTTGTCTCTTATAGTCCAGTTGTTATTGTCACATGTAGGCATAGATTCCAGATAAAGGTTGGTACGAGTCATAGTACGTACCCAGTCCCTAGGGACGAAGCCAGCAGAGCCCCACGTGGAGATTCCCACCAGTCCTTTTGTCTCATCAATCATGAATGCAATCGGCATCGCGTGGTTGTGAGCGAAGACAAATTCAGAGCAGTCTAGGCCAATCTCCTCATAGTTCCTTTGAATGACCTCTGGGGTGAACATGCTCGGGTTCTCCCAATCGTCCTTGGCAGAGTAATAGTGAGTCAAGTTCCCGCCGTCAATGCCGCAGATGCGACCATTATTCCACTTGGACAGTTGGTCATAGGCTTCCGCTATCTGCCGCGCCCACTTCATCTGCAACTCTTCATCATCTGTCTTGTGCCAGACCTCAGCAATCGACTTGCCCGGGAGGATGGTGTGAACGATGTAATAGTGGTTGCCATATACTGCGTGACAGTATTCAGTGGGGACCATGAAGTCGAAAGATGCCTTTGCCAAAGCTTTCAACGTGTTATGCTCTTGTGCTCCGTTGTTATAGGTCACTTTGAGGTGAGCTTGGCCTATCTTGAAGAGTCCCCAGTGCTCATCAGACATTTTGACAACGTCTGTGATGGGGCAGTCGTCTGAGATTCTCTGAGTGGGTGGTTTCGGAATAGGGGCTTCCGACATGGTGAAGAAGGAACCCTGATCACCTTCCCAGTAGGGCTGTTGTGGCTGGGAATGGTGTCGGGTTATCAAGGCCTCATCGTTGACAATCCATGAGTCCTCGCTGACTTCTTTGACGAGGTCGTGTATGCGATGGGCGTCGAGATAAGCCATGATGGAACGAAAGTTGAGTGTAATTGTTTAGATAGTGGAAGGATGGATTCGAAGTTTTCTGTCGGTTGCAGAGTTATGAGATGGACCGAAAGATATGGAAAGAACAACAAGGTAATTATACTTGTGTCCGTTGTTATCCAAGCGCTCGACTCCCCTCGACTCGACGCAAGATGGTCGAGGTACTCGGTCCAAACGTCGGGATTGTTGGTCGGATTTCTCTATTGTCATTCTGCAGGTGATTTCGATAGCGGAAATGTACGAAAGTTGTGAAAGGAGGAGGTAAAACCTGGTGTGATATCTTCTTTGTTCAATGCTGGTGATGGTGTGAAGGGTTGAGACGGCATCTCCGCAGGCACGATTGGTGTGGCACATAATGCTTTGATTTATTCTTTGTTTGCTTTCATCTTTTCAGACTCTAGTATCTTCTAGGTATTTGCACTCCAGCTATTGTGTCACGTATTCTTTGTTCGTGAAATCAACCACCGCTCGGACATACGCCACAATATAAATGTTTTTTCTTTCTTCTTTAGCCTTGCCTTATTGGCCCTTAGTTGACAATCAGCGGTAGACATCACAAATGCTGTTATTGACTCTCAAAAGAGCTCAAAGAAAGTCTGCTTCATACAACTGGTAAGAGTTGTTTCCAGGCTATACTGACTGTCATGTCAAGGTACCCAGGGCGGCTGGCACTCCGACTCAATGACTGTGCACCTCTGACTCAAATCCTCATTTCTGGTTGCTGGTTACGGCAAAGACTTAGCATATCCAGCTAATCCCTTATGGGAGGGCTAAAGCTGAGTAGTCTCTCAATTGAAATGAATCATCATTGGGCAGCAGATGTACCTATTTTTTTTTGGCTGCTGTGTTAGTCGCCCACTGCCAATATTCACTAGGCGATCTTTCTTTGACAGCCTCTAACCATTTTGACTTAATCCACATACGCTACCTCATCGTCGCGATTGTCGACTGAGGCGCTCTTGTAAATGACGCCTTTTGATGTTGCAAGTTACATCGAGTCTGTCGAGGTAAAATCCACTTTCCAACGTGACGATTGGTGTATAGCCATCTGAGTTTGACTCGGGCTTGGACAAAGATATGACAAGATAGTTGGAAGGCATGTAAGAGGTAACTGTGCGGTTATATTGTGTATGTTGTCAAGTCAGAGTTTTCAACACTGAATCACGTTTCCATCATCACGTAATTCTGTATTACAGTCGGGAAATACATTTTCCTCAGGACCCACGCTGTCATCTTTGGCTTACCTCGTCTCTCGTATATCCAACTCTTCCACTTACAAAATCGCCCCACAATCATGAAGAAACACCAAGGGCGCCCTAGTAAAGCCTGTGATTTATGCAAGAGGCAAAAGGTACTTTCTGGACCGCGACGAAGCTTGCCTTCCAAATTGCTGACAGTACATGCAAGATTCGCTGTTCAGCTGATCGACCAAGCTGCAGGAGATGCGCAAGACTAAAAACCTCGTGTCACTACAATAACAATGGGATTCAACATCAAGTAGCAGTCGCGGGAGGGACTAGAAGAACAATCAAAGGATTACTTCCAAGTCTTTCGGAGCCTTCTCCCTCTGCCACCGGGACTGCTACACTAGAGGCTCCCGATGACAAGATCCCCCCTTCTCTTATCAATATCCTGGTTGAACTGTACTTTAAAAACGTCTACCAGTCCAGTTTACTGCTACATAAAGCCACATTCATAAAGTCACTTGCAAACTCAACTGTGCAACATCATGTGCTTCTCAGCATGTGTGCTTTGGCAGCTAAGTAAATTTTCCTAGCATTGGCAGACATGACTTTCAACTGACGCGTCTCTAGTTTCTACGGAGATGAACATGGCCGATCTAAACTTAGTCACCGAAGTCAAAGGGAGAAATGGGCCAGAAAGGCTGGCTCACTCGTGTTTGAAGATATCCAAGACTTCCACCAAGAAAATATAGTGACGTTCTTCAATCTCGCATTGTTCTGGCATAGCCAAGGCTCATGGAGAATGAGTTTTCTTCACAAAGGTAACTGAAGCCTTTTACCATCATGTTATTGTCTAATGTCACGAAGGAAATGCCTGTCAGCACCTTCACATAATCGGCACAAACGTTAAACATAACTCCAGCCTTGCATCCGAAATATACAGAAGGCGTTTCTGGGCCTGTTACCTGATGCACTGTTTCAGTTCTGAAAAACTATTTCGGTTCGAAGCAATCGCTGATGTTGAAAATTTGCCGTTACCCTGGCCCGACAACAACTTCGAGGCAGGTACGCCACCTACTGATATAGCAACCATCGCAAATGGAGTGGTGACTGGGAGTGAATTTGCCGAGTTAATACGTGGTTTGCATCTTTGGTATACATCATACGAAACTTTCAGAGCTACCCTTCACTAATTTGTAAAGGTCTCATGTTGCACCTGCGGTCAGATGCAGAGAAACTATTCTGAGCTCCCGTATCCAACAAATATTTGCTATGGAGAGCAAGATCTTGGCCTGGTGGTCAAGCATCCCTCTTCACTTCAAACTTGACGCGTCCGCAATCCCGAATGCGCATCATGAATCAATGCCAAAAATCCTCCTAACTAATTTTGTATATCATCAATCACTATGTGCTCTGCACTCTTCGATTGTACCGTTGTTCTCGTGGTCCAAGGGCGATACTTATCAGTCGTCAGCACGACAGCTTTCAGCCCAAATCGCGTTTGAACATGCAGGAGCAATATCTATTCTAATAAGATGTATCCTGAGAAGCGCCTATTCTATGAGCTCCATGCCAATATTCGTCGCATACGCAGCGTATTCCAGCTGCGCCATACAGATACCTTTCCTATGGTGTTCCGAGCCGGCAGTCAAAGCTCAATCTAGATCCAACGTGGAGTTAAACGCGAAGATCATCCAAGGGATGTCATCGTATTGGAAGTTAGCTTCTCTTCTAGTAAGATACCACCATCTATAACCATTGAACGCCTGCTGACCCATTGCAGAAAGTCTATGTCCGATGCATTCACGACGTTCATAAGGCGAACCCTCCGAATATATCTAATGAACCCAGATACACGGATTCCTCTGCTTTCTTACACTTTGGAGCCGATTCGGATCTTGCAAAGGCGTCAATTCTCGAGTTCACGGGAATATTGAGATCGAGTGAGGGCGGTTATGTAAAACCAGGAGAGGAAAGTCGAGACCTAATGACCGGGAAAATATCAACAGATTTGTCGGCTCAGATGAGTCTTTCGAGTAATGCCAGTCTTGATGAGATGGTCCACGACACACATCTCGATATCTCAACAATGGCTGCCCTCGATTCTCAGGTCACCGATTTGTCTGGTTTCAGCAGTGAATGGCCAGCATTGGATGTGATCAACTCACTCATGGATGCTGATCTTACTAGTGCATTTGCCATGGACAATAATATTGACCTTGCAGGTTTTGAAACGGACTTTTTGACTTGGGACACACTGGATAGCACATAATCCATGGTCCTAGACTGTGAGGGTCAATCGAGCACATATTGGAAAGGAAACAGGAAACAGCCAACACAAAGAACATTAGACCATGCATATCCTTGTTTTAGCCTTTCAATTTATTGATCATGCATTGAGTTGTGTTTTGTTCGAGTCATGAATATACTCTCATCATGACTCGTCCCAACCTTATCAGCTGATCGGAGCCATGTCCCCGATAAAGTTAGGTCTCTGACCCACTATCTTGCACTGATTGCCCCTGTGCCACAGTACTCTTCAGCTACACTTTAGTGCATTAAGCCCCCAAGATAAACTCTAGAAGCCTAACAGTGGGCCACGTGGGACTAACTCTCAGGCACTTGTCAGCAAATTTTTTCATGATAGCTTCAACCTGGGCCCCTCGGGCTTAGACCTATTCAAGACAAAAGGCACTTGCCACCCACTTTTTTCCCTGGCTCTAGAATATTTTTCCAGTCTTCTTTTTGTCTTCTCCACGATCTTGATCTTTACATCTCCACACTCTTTCCAACATCATATTAAAAGACAAAGATGAGCACACCGCGTACGCTAGCGCTGCCGTCGAGCAGCTTACCGCCTCTCTTTACTCTCGCTAAACAAGCAGAGTCCGATATCTTCAACGCTCTGCATTACTTGGCCGCCATATACTGCCCGCTGTCATTCCCATTTTCTATTGAACTGGATGAAACAAAGCATGTTGTTGCTGAACCGGTGGATTCGGGATACACATCCGGGAACGAAGATGATGAGCCTGCTCCAACACCAGCTACTATCCGAGCAGATCCGTATGAGAAATCTTTTACGGAAAGGTGGTTGACTGGCTTTTTATCTCGTGCCGAAAGCCTGGATAACTTTACTTCCGAGGAAAGTAGCCAGCGTGCTTTGGACCAGGCAGCATATATCTTCGAATCACTTTTTGCAAACGCCTTGGATGAAGATGATCAAAACTCACCATTCTTACGACAATTTTCTTTCGACACACATTCTACTCAAGGAGAGAAGAAACACATCTCGGTGCAGTTGAACGATGGGCTTGCTGGGACGAATGACTCGGACTTTGAAGATGTGGGCCTCCAGAGTTGGGGTGCTTCCATCGTCTTCTCGGACATGTTGTGCGCGACTCCAGAACGATTCAGTCTCACAGACCTTTCTCTTACAAAACATAATCGAATTATCGAGCTTGGTGCGGGCACTGGGCTTGTGAGTCTTGTTCTCGGAAAGTTGATTCCAGCGCTGGGCATCACAGATTCCAAAATCATCGCTACCGACTATCACCCAGCTGTCCTTGAGAATCTGCAATCCAACATAAGCATCAACTATCCAGAGGACGCATCAGCTGTTGAAACAAGCTGTCTCGACTGGGCAGACTTTTCGCTCGATGCGCCTTTCGATGTGCCTGCTAGTATGCTTTTCGCAACAGATGTGGTATACGCCCCTGAGCACGCGTGCTGGCTACGCGACTGTGCTACACAGCTTCTCTCTGAAGGGGGCGTTTTCTGGTTGCTGGTCACCATACGACCTAATGGCAAATTTGCGGGCATTGGGGACACTGTTGAGGCTGCTTTTACAGCAGATGAAAGACCGTGTGGGAAGGGTGGGAAGAAACTTGATATTCTCGAGAGGCAGAAATTGGATAAGCGAAGTGGTGTTGGGAGAGGAGACGAGAGTCATTATGAGCTTTTTAAAATCGGTTGGGCTTAGACGGATGCATATGAGAATTTAGACAAAAGATGTAGACTAGACATGATAGACAAGGGAAACCTGATAGACTAGACTAGATGATTAGCATGATAGACATGACGGTAGATCAGACATGAATACAAACCCGTACGAAGCAGATAAGTCAAATCGCGATACAACAGAACAACGACACGTTCTATAGATGTATAATAACAAGATGCAACTCTACCAAACGCACAGAAATGCCAAATATCTATAAGATCGACAGCAAGGAAACAAACAGCCGCTTTAAAACTCCGTCTAAATATCCTTCTTCTCAGCAGCAGCCGCAGCGGCAATTCTCTTTTTGGCCATAGTGTTGAAAAACGTTCCCAGACAGAAACCCACCAGGCTAAAGAACGGCGCAAACATCTCCTTGGGCACAAACAAGTTTGCAAAAGTCAACAATATCGGGTGCAACGCGCACATGCCCTTTGTCATGGGAACCAGTCCAGCGCGTACTGCACCGCGAATTTGATCGGTTGTTTTCGCGCCGGCGATGATGGCCATGGAAGCGAGATAGACAGTATTTTGAATAGGGAAAAACTACAGAATCAGCTACACGATTACATGTCAGCAGAAGATGGGGACGTACAAAAAGCATGGTAATAATCTGCTGAAGCAGGATCTTGCCGGGGAGTTGCTTCTGAACCATGGTGTTGAGGAAATGAGATAGCGGCGCGGCGACACAAGCCCCGTAAAAAGCCATCTTGGGAACGCGCGACGTGATTGCTGGGCCGTAGCCTGGGCGGGCATAAGCAAAGTATGATGCTACAATTTCAGTCAAGGCTGATAAAGAGCCTTGAGTGTACATTTTCGTGCGGAGGGGTTTTAATTGGAGTTGTTTAAGGTAAGCCTATAATATGAGTATCTGTGCTGTGCTGGACGATAGTGTACAGAACTTACAGCCAGGAGAGCTTTTGGGTCAATAGCGCTTTTTCCATTTTGTGTGCTCGTTAAAGATGACATTTTGATGGTTATGTTTTGCTGTGATGGATCTATAGTGTGAAGTGAGTGAATTGAGGTGAGATGATTGAAATGTGTTGTTGTTTGATGACGACCGATAGGAGAAGGTGAAGGGTGTAAGGTACAAGGTGCCTGAGGCAGAGAAAATCCAATCAAATCAGCCGTATATATCAGCCGCGGTCCTCGGCCCGAGCTCCCCCGCTTAGCTTGGTGGATATTATCAAGTCGGGGATAAATAAGATGAAGACAAATTATATCAATAACAAATACTCAATTGAAGTATACATATCGAAACTGGGAAGCTGCGTATGAAGGAGAGTACAGTGAGTGACTATCATTGGAAAACTGATGCGAAATGCCTTGTTATGTAAAATCTCGGCCGACTGTGGAGATAAAGTGCATGTTCAAAATCCATGATCTGGGGAAACGTGGAGAAACGGGGTAAACTCTAGGGTTACAAGATGCCTCGGGATGTTGTAGTCTAGACTACCTTCATAAAATATAAATCAACACTATGCGCACTATCTCCGTTACATTTACGTATAGAAAGTCAACTTGCAATTATGTTTAATCGAAATCAATAAGAGACTTCTTTTTCTATATCGTGCGTCTAGTCTATATGCTCGAAGATCGACCCGTCCCAGAAGTCTCTTTCATCAGCCATTCCTTCCATTTCTCATCCTTGAGGATATATCTAACCCTGGCCTCCAACCACTCTGTATTCCCCCAGAATCCCCACGACGCCTGGAATCTACACCAATCGACAAGAGCACACTCCCAGTGTCTCACGAACGTATCCCATTCATAATCAAACGGCCCTTTATCAGCAGGTCGACGACCAAGCAATGTCTCATGATACAAGTACAACAAAGCCTCCTCGCCATGGTCCATGGCCATCTCGTGCGGTATCGAGGGTTTGTCAGTTAGCATGTCCAGCGGGACAGAACATGTGAATAGCTTGGCGAGATCGCATACGCCGAGACCTAGACCGACATACTGAAAGTCAAAGAAGCAGACATTTTCACCAGACTCGGTGGTGAAGAGGTTTTCGGACTTGACGTCGCCGTGAATCAACGTCTCAAATGGTCGGCCAGTGGGAGTCAAGAATTCGGCTACTAGTTCCGCCATCGACTTGCCTGGCCCTTGCAAGGGCGTACAAAAAGCCTCGGACCATTCAGAGTATGTATCGACAGCAAGTGAATTGTACTCGCTGCGTCGTGTGGCGAGATAAGTGTAGCCGCCGTTGAGCCACAACTTGGCCCCTCCAGTCTGAGTCTCTCGTCTTTTGAACTCGTCCATTGGTGGAAGGAGATAGTCATCGAGATTCGGGGGCAGTGACTTCCATGAGCTACTATGGAACCTGGCCAACCACTCCAGCGCAGACTGTACCTGTCTTGGTCCAAGAACGGACCTCTGGCCCCCCTCAACAGGAAATTTGACTCTCAGATCTGTAAGAATCGTAGCGGTAAGATCTTTCAGCTCTCCGCCATCGTGTTTCGATTTCCAGCTCGAGGTCAAGCAATGTGCCACAGCTGTGTCCTCTTCCAAGTGCGGAGCAACATGTTCGTAGAAATATTGCTCAACATCGTAACTCAGAATCTTGCGCAGATGTCCTTCATCGGTTGGACCAGGTGGAGGGGAAATAAGTTTAAGGATGAGAAAGAAGGTGTTGTTTGATCCTCTTGCGTGTGCGAGGTGGCGGACTGCGGCTGCGGCTTTAGAATCGGCTGGTCTTGCGGTAAGGGCACAGATGTCTCCGTATCCAGCCCATAGTGTTTGTAGTTCTCTGAAAGAAGTGATTTCGAGGCCCAAAGGCTCAAGGAGTACCTCGGCGACTCGCTTGGAACTGGCCATTTTGGGTTATGTGTATGAGGTGATAGTTAGGTGGTAATTGGAAATTGTTGAGCTACGTCATTGAGGATGTAAACGGGCCGGAATATCATTTCGGATGTGGGAAGCGGGTCACTCTGTACATTTTTCTAATTGATGAATCGTCTCTGTTGGCTAAATGATCAACACTAATAGAAGATAACTGCCATGAATGATCAACCTCAATCGAGAATTCGCCGACGATGAACAGAGTAGGTCGTCCAGACACAGCCTCGATTATCCCTTTGTGGGTCATTTCCGAGCAAAAGGTTCATTAGCGAGATTGCTACGTAGGGCTGAATAGGTAGCTCCATCCATATTGTCAAACTCAGCGGTGAACATGTCACTGATGTGCGATGATTGAGGATTGGATTCCAAGGCAGTGCATCTTTACCAATGAAACACTGACCTCTTCATTTATTGGACCTCCCTTTCGCGTGCCAAGATGGGTTGCCTCTAGCCAAAGGATCAATTCCCTTATGAGGAAGAGGAACAATCCAAAAAAGCCAGCCAAAAGCAAGGATGTGGCAGAGTTTAAGCATAAACGTCCCAAAAGGGGCCTGACCCGGCGCTACAATTCCGCTGGAAAAAAACATGCCCAAGGATCACCATTCGTTGCCGAGACGAATGTCACCACGAGCAAGGCTGAGTCTGCCAGGCAGGGGTATCGCTGTGGCGTCACAGGGAACATGGTATTGTGTTATTGGTCAAGAGCATGTTGAAGGATTCCATGGATGAGAATACAAAACAACTGTAATTTCCTAGTTTCTCTCTGTAATTGTTATATAGCTGACGTTTCTTCATGTCCAGACCAAGTTCTCAAATACCAACCAAACCTCATCAACCATTCTCAGACTTGACCAACTCTACACAAACACCATGAAGTCGTCAATTCCTCTCGCTCTTCTCGGCTTAGCTCCATACATGGCCCAGGCCCAGAAGAGCACCACCAAATACAGCAGCACAACCGTTTTTATCCCCCCAGTAAAGACTGGTTCCGCAACAGACATTTACGCCTCCATCATCGCCTCAGACGATAGCAGCACAAAATATCTCCTCGGCTGCCAAACAGCGCTTGATGCCTCAACATACTCCTGCGATAATGACTTTTCAGGCATTACATACACCCGCTATGCGTCCAGCATAGACGTCCAATTCGGTGTGACATCGTTTGGTTGCGAAACGGGTAATGACCGAGCTATCTGCGTTTCCAAGACTGCCACAGGCGATGATGCAGAGACTAGAACTCTTACATCATCTGAGAGCTCGCTCTGGATGACTGCCATTACCTTTGTCGATGTCAAGAAGAGAAAGACGACTGCTACCCACGCACAAGAGACTGAGTCATCAAATCGTAAGCTATGCAAGCGAAAAGTTCGCGATCATGTTAGTGGTGGAAGCGACAGCGAAAGCGACAGTGGAAGTGGCACTGGTACTGGTACTGGCAGCACTAACAATGGTGATGCTGATGCTGACGCCGATGGAGATTCCGGGTCAAGCGTCAACAAGAAGCCTAACAACAACAATGACCAAGACTGCTCCGCCGCTTCTATCGCATCATTGAGTTGGGCTGCCTTTGCTATGGGTTTTGGAGGATATCTTGGCTTGAATTTGGCATAAGCTCATTCATTGGAGAAAACATTACATTTAACTCATACGGGTCACCGACTCTGAATATCTCAGACTACCATGCCAAGTTGGTTGGGAATATTTGCAGAATGCGATTAGCGTATACCAATTCATAATTACAATAGTGTTCAGTACGATCGTTTATGCTTCCGTAGCATCGTTGTTGTGGTACAGCCTGTTGTGCTGTCTTTTTTTAGAAAATAAAAAAATAATAGCTTTGGTCTAACATATGTTAACTGGATTTAGTGAATATTTTGGGTTCATGCTAAAGAGGAACCTCTTAGCGCAACTCCGTGTTTAGCCTGTCTTTATATGACTACTGTTGAGATTATCCTCAATTCGGACTGGTGGTTGTTCAACTAGATAGACAATGGGCAGACAAGGCCCAACGAAGCATATATCCAGCTGTCCTCACTTAATAGTCCGCCTTGATGTCCCCAGTCTTGTTTTCATTTTCCTTACGCAAAAACCCACAAGGACCACCAACCTGGTCGGCATCAGACTGGTACTGTTTGATCCTCCCATACATCTTAGCCTCGTATTCCTCAAATCGAGCTTGTGCCTGGTCAATATCAGGGAATATCAATCCTATAATCCGTCTCCACAAGTTCTGTTTCGATTCCTTGTTGTTTTCGATGTCATATGAAGAGCTTGGCCAACGTACCCTTCTACAACATGCTGAATATTCAGTTCTATGTCGTTCTATGACGTTTGTTTGGTCGGGATCTCCAAGGGCGTCATTCATGCCCATCGTTGAGATTATCGTAGTAGACACAGTTGCTCTGCTTAGAGTCGGTTGTAGAGAGAGGGTAGCCAAGCACAGGTAAATCGAATAGTAATACTTTTTCCGATGCATGAATCATACCGATCGCCGTTTTGACCCGGAGCAGCCTGTTCCTATCTTAGGGTTCAAGTGAGGGTAGTTACAATTGTCTTTTATGAATTTCACTGCAACTGCCTCTTGGTGGAGCTTGTATTTATGGCACCCTTGTGCAAAGACTCAAGCATTCATACCTCAGACTAGGACTCATATACTTCGACGGAAGGATCAGAGTACTCTCACGTCAGGAGTAGTCACAAGACATAATCTCACCCATGGCTACGCTAGTCCAGTCAACTAGCGTAGTAGGTTTGTTGTCTGACTACTCCTTGCCCTACCCTTAAGTACTGTCAGCACATTTTCCTACAGCACTGGACCTTTCAGCTTATCTCATACACGGAACTACTGCCGTGGTCTAACTAAGTGCCTAATATTGCTCATCGAGTCCAGTGATTCGTTAGACTGTCTGGATTGATTAGTATTCATCGTCTAAACGACTCTTGGCCGTGTGGACGTCATTGTACGTCTGCGGGAACCTTTACCCGCTTGACTTCGTTAACTATAACACGTCTTCGCTCTTCTCTTCATACTTACATGATCTAAATGAACATTGTTTACTTATGTGATTTTGTGCCAAAGTTGACTTACACCACAGCGCCAAGTCCGCGATCATCGATCAAGACCCGTCTTCTCCAGAAAACCCTTTGACGATCGCTTGGCATTCATCTGTGCCAGGGTTTTGATGAGATCTACACATGCATGTCCCGCATGTATCGATCTACGTTGAATTTTTGAGATCTGATGGATAATACAGATGTTTGTTGACTTGAGTGAGCTGTGGAGATGTTATTTGAGATTTTGTTAGTAGGCGATGATAGTGACCGAACTGTTAGCAATTCCTGCTTCAGTACAACCAACATAATGGCCAGTATTCTGTAACCTACACTTCAACTCATTAAGTGTTTTGCCAATTTTTCATCGAGTCTAATTCTTGGTAGTCTGGATGAGGCTGGTCTCGGTACTCAAATTGGCGGACACGTCAATTCGAAGACAGTAGAAGCGTGTCCACACGCTACAGACTATAGTTCAATGAGCCATTGACGACAGGGATTTTACGGAGAATTAAAGTCTATGCGTGTGACTGGATGATAGAAAACAATACAGGCGGTGGAGATGAGCTTTTGAATACATTTTGCAGGTACCTATCGACCGTTTCTTCTTCATTTAATCTGCTGGCGATGCTCTGATAGAAGGCCATGACGGCCTAACTACGATGGAGTCTTCAGTAAAGAACGACGAGACATATTCTATGTACTATTCAGCATACACAACGCATCGCTATTTGCCTTCAAATGGTAGACTCCCACTTCGAGACTGGGGCGAAATTATTGCATGCCGTTCAATTGACTCAGTCGTAAGTTTAAACTTCTGGCTATCTTGATCAAAGTAAGCTTATTCCAACCCACGACGCCATCACCTCATTTCCCCAACTGCAGATTCAAAGGTGCATATCCCCACGGGGCACACACCCACGCTCAAAAGGAACTCGCGTCGGGCGGGTCGAGATAACGTTGCATGATATGACTGTCATCTTGTGATACGCATTCCCCGGATTATCAATGAGTCGTACTCAAGATACGCGTCCTATGCACATCAACACCGGCTTTCCAAAAACGGACATCCGCAGATACTGACTACTAACCAACAGATCACTAGGAAAAATGCGGTAGAGACAAATACCACCTTGTGTGTCACTGTAAAGTGTGCGCCATGACTAAGTACTAAAACAATTCCTCCGGGCCTGGCAATGTGGATCTTCGGGGTAATGGAGCGGACCCGATTAATAGCGGGATACAGCTCCAGTTTAAATTTACACAGTTGCCTGTCAGGACTGTGATACAACACGACAACAAGGAAGGGATCAACAGGACCGCTTCTTTAATGTCTCCACGGGTTTTATGCAGTTGGGACTTCCAGGGTTTTATGAGCTGATATGAGGAAGATGTCGGGGGAGATCGGATTGTAAGATCTTTGGCACAGAGGTATCTAAATGGGTTCAGATTTGGATGACATGCATAAACAGTAACAGTCAGTTGTAAAAGTGCATGTAGTGCTTCTATTGAGTCTATCCAACTCTATAATGTTTCAAACATCTATACTCTCTATCCTCCTTCCAAGAGAAAGACGTCTAAACAAGGGTATCTTAATAAAAAATTGCTGTTTCCTTACAGAAACCCCAGCCATATAACAGCTCAAGCCATTCAAGACTTCTCAGAGTTAAAACCAGACTCGTCGCGGACAGTGCCGCTCTCCTCACCTGGCTTCTCCATCATGCCACCACGACCAGCCTCGTCAACAAGTCCAAGACGGATGGCCTCGCGCTCGACCTCCTCGTGGGTGAGGAAAGGAAGCTCCTTGGCAGCCTTGACGTACGACATGTTCTCGACGAAGCCCTTGGCGAAGATGATGTCGATCTCCTCGAGAGAACGGTTGGCAGTCTGTAATTCATTAGTGCCTGTTTTTGTAGATACGATAGTATAGAGTAACATACCTCCGGGTAGAACCAGTACAGAATAGGGAAGAAGGTGGCGTTGGCGCAACCAAAGAAAAGGTAGGTTCCCCAGTGGATGTTAGAGATCATAATGGGAACAATCATGACAATGACAAAGTTGAACAGCCAGTTGGTGCAAGTAGATGTAGCGTTGGCCTTGCCACGGGTCTTGAGGGGGTTGATCTCGGCGGGATACAGCCAAGGAAGAGGCAGCCAGGTAGCACCAAAGGAAGCAATATACGTGAACAAACCAGCGATGGCACCCTTGGAAATTTGAGGCGCATTGTTACCAGGGTCGCTGCCACCGGGAATCAAGAACCCCATGGTCAAGAACATGGAAAGCATCTGTCCAGCGGTACCAATAAGCAGCAACTTGCGACGACCAACACGCTCAATGAGGAACCAAGAAGATGTCGCAAAGATGGAGTAGACAATCATGTTGATACCACCTAGCAGAAGAGCAAAGTTCTTGTCGCCAAAGATGTCGGTACACAGAATAGGGAAGTAGTAGATAACAGCATTGCAGCCACCTACTTGCTGCATGAACTGGGAGCCAGCGCCGAGAAGCATACGACGGAAGTGCTGTGTCTTTCCACCAGTGAACAGAGCCTTGACGGGAGTGCTCTTCTGAGCAGCGAAACCAGAGGCACGGATGGAGTCGACAACTCTGTCGCGCTCAGCACGGGTCTCGTCGCTGTCGATCTCAAAGCCTCGAATGGCGGCGATGACCTTTTCGGCTTCTTCGTGGCGGTCGTGGGTGAGCAACCAACGGGGCGACTCAGGAAGCCAGACCATGCCGAGGCAGACGACAAGACCGAAAATGACCTGGAAGGCAATGGGGAAACGCCAGGTGAGGTCCTGGGGACCATAGGAGCAACCGTAGTCGATCCAGTAGGCAATAAGGGTACCAAAGGCAATGATACCACCTTCGATACAGATGAGGAGACCTCTGTTGGAGGTGGTGGAACACTCAGCCTGGTAGGTAGGGATAGTAGAAGTGTTGATACCGTTGCCAACACCGGTGATTGTTCTGCCAACGATGAGCTGGGCGAGAGCAGAGTGACCCTTGATGGCGGTAACTTGGATGATTACACCGAGAATCATGATCCAACCGCCGAGAATCATAGCCCTTCTACGACCGAGAAGATCACCGATCCAGAGAATGAACATGGCGCCCAATAGACATCCAATCTCGTAAATGGCAGTGACAAAGCCCTGCATGGTGCTGTCCTTTGTCTCGGGGAAGTAATCATGGAAAGGGTCAGCGTCAATGATTCCAGACATGACACCCTGATCGTATCCGAAGAGGAGGAAACCAGTTGTTGCGACTGTAGAGATGGCCAGGGACAGTTTCTTGCCCGTCAGGCCCGCAAAGGTGGGAGGCATTTTGGGTGGTTGTTGCAAGACCAGCTGTGCTTTGAGATGGGGGTGCTAACAAAACAAAAATAAAAAGCAGCTCTCCCAGGAGCTGTAGTCTATGCACGAAGCGTGTTGACAAGTAGACTGAAGAGAAGGAAGAGGAGACGGGCCTTTATATAGAGAAGGATCAAGGTCTGTATCCGTCCTCGCCCGTCCATCTCCACATGTTAAAGTGACGATCATCCTGAACAACGTTAACAAAGTTCGCCGTTGGTAAGAGAAACATCTCCATACCCAACTAGAGTCCCTACACCTGTCTCATCTTGTGCTTGTCTCCATCGCCATGTGCAAGCAAGCGGAGCCTTGAAGACCAAGGGATTAACCCACTGAGTCGTGCTGTAGTTATTAGCGTCGATACCACTGTAAGCCAGCGGCCTCGTAGGGCATCCTTCAATGCGTCATTCCGTTCTGTGCCGGTACCCGACTTGTGTTTGTCCAAGTACACATCTATCCCCGGGATCTGCCAAGACCGGTAAGAGATCCACGAGCGGAGGATCTCTTTATTCAGTAACACCGAGGGAGTGTGACGTCAAGTAATTTTCGGCAGAAGCGCTTGGAGAATAGTTTTTCGGGAATGGTTTTTGGAGAAGCCACAGGGTGCAGTGGTGACGATCTTGTACGGCAGAGCTATCATTGGTTGACTAAAATTCGGCATGTGCGAGATATCATCAACTTTATCAGCCTCGGTTTCCATCACTGACATCTGTCTTTTCCAATGACGATCTCTCCTTGAACAATCTCGCATATGCTCCCCAGAAACGTTTTCTCCAGTTCATACAGTTTACAGTTATAAAAAAAATGGCGAAAAAAAACAGGACCGCGGGGTTCGCTAACCAACAGTCAACAAAATCCGGGCCTCAAATCTTGAAGGGACCACTTATAAGTGACGATCCTCTCCTCACAAGGTAAATGGAGCGGACAGGCAGGGGTTCAGTAGTTCCACAGCTTGGAGGATGGTAAGGAACTATTGTTTTGCGGTGGCCCACGGGGAAAGAAGGAGAAGAAAACAGGTATTTTTGACAAATTCTAAGGTTAATTTGTTCGCGTGGGGGAAGGAATTAAAGAGTTTTCTTCCATGTCGGGCAACGTCCTTGGCAAGGTATTTCTCTATGATTACAGGGGGATATCTCATAGGGAAGTATCATTGGTGTAACGTTACTTCTGAATGGTATCACTGGCCTTGGTTTGGTGCATTTAGGTACATGTCTTGATAGACTCTGCAGTCCACTGTTTAGTGATGATCAATATCTTGTTTTTGATATCTCTTTTCGTTTGGTGCTTTATGAAATGTTATGAGAACAAATAGACGTGAATTCCTAGAAATGCAAGTCGTTCTTGTGCAGTCTTGGCCAGCGGGAGATCTTCAACCACAGGGACCTGGTTATTGACTTGGCGATCCAGAAACATTGGCATTCACCATCATTCGCCATGATTTTGATAATTACCTACAATGGCCAATTACTCCTACTGCTACAGCTACGTAGTACAAGACCTTTCTTTGCCTTCGATGCATTCCTTACATGGGCAATTAATCCGTCGTCTTTGGTACCATAATTGATGTCTCCCTACCTCCGCCGATCATTCGTAATTAAACTCCCGATTTTACGGAATCCTTCCCTCTTGTTCTCGGATTACTTGAATAGGTCTTGCGGTCGCTTACTCTAGCCACCATCTTTCATCTCCCTTTGAGCCGCACCGCCTTACTTGCTACAGTCAACCAGTACAGAACCCAACCCTTAATCTGTAATCCATCAACACTTGACTAAATATCTGGACCCTGTCCTTGGCTCTCCACTTCTCTTAAGCATCAATTACAATCCTACGGATAACTTTGCCGCCTGGTTTCTTGGCGAACCGCGTCTACGCGGGCATAGTGAGGGTTTACCATGCGCCAATTCGTCGTACCGGTGGATATTCGCCAAGAGAACCAGTTTGTAAATGGTAACAAGATACTACTAAACTCATACGATATTATTGATGAAGCCAAGAAATTAATTCTCTACTGTTACATCTATTTACCCGAGTCTCTTCATTGTCATTAAATGTAACATGCGACCCAGTATTCTTCATCTTGTGGGGTCTCCAATGCGGGATACTTTTGACCGAGTTTTTGACCGAGAAAAGAGGTCCCCTACTTCTCTTTCTCCAGATTCTCGTTAAAATATTTTGGCGAGAGTTTTTTGGGTCTGGGGGATTGACGTGAGAAGCTGGGGAAAATTGCCACTGAAGGGGCGAGAATTAAAATTGATCCGCAATACTTTGGAGAAAACAATGATGGGTGCGTATTAGACGAAAGGGACGAATGGATAGCTAATTGGTTTATTAGAAGAAAGCGCAGTTGAGGTAGGAGTCGTAAAGAAATGCGACAGCTCCGACCGTAGCTGCTATCACGAGTATTGTTCTTGGTGTGGACAATTGAAGATCTACATCGATCATGGATCAACATCCATTCAACACCACAATAAATGCTAGCCTTATTGATTCAGCACCACTGGATGCGATACCCAAAAATAAATTTTGACAGGGAGAATATGAACAAATAGCGACGCCCAATCAGTCCCATGGACCTCAATAACTACTAAATGTGCGATAATGGTAGACTCACGGAGAGTTCAAGATGCTCGCTTTCTTAGCCAAGTCGACGAGTATAAAGATGTTTTCCAATTACCAGAAGCGCATCAAGATCTTATTCTAGTCTTCGCCATATTCTCCTCTTCTGTCGACCTTGTCTCGATAACATTCAGTTATAGAGCAGCATCCTCACCATCAACACCACAAACACAAACACCACAAGCATCTGCATCAGCATGTCTCCGGAAATTCCTCCCGAATTTGCCAATCTCTCTCTCACACCTCTCTCCCCACCTCTTCCTCCTCTCCCACCTCCTCCCATCCAAATCAACCCTCAACCCAACTTTCTCACCATCGTCGAGCACGCAGTCATAATGCATTCTGAACGCAAGTGGAAAGTCGTCAACATGGACCCCCGAGGTCCCCAGAAGAACATCGCATGGAATATCCCTCGCAGCAACAACTGGCTGGCCAGAGTCAGCAGCCCTCGCGCCAACACTGAGCTACTCAACATGATCCGTCCTGCACAAGGAACCACCATGCGAGGCTATGTGAGCACCTGGGATGACGATGTCAGCCTGTCCATCATAATTTGCAAGATCCGTGCCAATGAGCAGGGAGAGATTGAGTATGTCCCCGGAGGTGTCAAGCCTGACAGAGAAGAATACTTTATTCATTGGTTGGCTTCCGTTATGGGTTTTGACGCGATTTACATGCCCATTGGTTGCTGCGGATGCCACTCGCTCGGGTTGACTTGAGGTCTTGAGAGTGCAGTACCCACGAAGTCGGCAACAGTTTCTGGTTTGGGAAATTTAAAGGCTTCATTTTCTGGAAGGGGGAGATATGGAATGGCTGCCTAGTACCTGCCTCAGTAGTTAGGTATCTGGGTAGGCTACTGGATGGCAGTGGCCAAGAGTGCAACTGCCCGTCGCTCTTTCCTCCACTAATGCAAACAACCGTCACAACCTCAAGCAGTAAACAAGCAATTGATTGTCTACTCTCTTTCGCCATTTCAGTGCATTCGTGCTCCATCACTTCCTCTCATGCAATTCTTCTTCCCTTCTTAAAACTATACACTTCCATTTCCGATGGTGCCTTATGCGACATTCGCCTGTAATCACTTCCGGCTCTAACCTCACAATATCACCATCTACAACATGCCAGAAAACGACCCAAGTGCCACTGCCGACGACAAGGATTCTCCTACCCCCAACGAGGGTTCACCTTCCTCTAGCTCTATTAGCTACAGTTCCTGCTCTGACGATTGCCGTCACCTTGCTCATATCGAAGCCATACCAATCCGTCATGGCGGTCGTCTTCGCCTTGTCCGCCGCGCCCGTGTAGCCTTCACCGAAGACACTTGGCATGTTATCAACTGGAACTGTGGGGGTCCCGATATAGATATTTGCTACAGAGTTCCAGGCCACAAGAACACCTGGATCGCAAGATTATCCACAGACGACAATGGAAAGATGATGTTGGAGCTTCTACGCCTTATCGAGTCTCGCTGTACCGATAAACAAAAGGTTTACGACCGAAACCACTACATCGGCTACGATGAAGAGGACGGAGAAGACGCCATGTCGATAATCATCGAACTGTTCGAGGGGACGGGTGAAGGAAGTATCACGGAAGTCCTGACTGAACCAGAGAAAATCCCTTTACTTCAGGCAAAACTGGGATTCGGGGTAATGGAATATTAAGGAGAAAGGGCCAGTGGATCGCAGGTGTGATTATGAGACTCGAGTGAGAATGAACTAGGAGGAGAATGAAAATGGCGTGACCTGGGACATTTTCTCAATTCTATATTCCACTCAAATATACGGCGGAGCATCAATTGGAAGAAGAAGATGGGAAATACGGCCAGTTACGATGCGAGACTTGTTGTGAGGCGAAATTAGCAATCCGCAGTGCATTATAGCCTGCCAAGTCGGGCAAATGGACAGGATCAAACAATGCTGTATCCATACCTAATTTAGTCAATCGTACTTGACTCTCTGGCCTTAACCTCTATGCTGTGATCATTTGCGTGTCTGCCTTCCCTGTCTTCTCAACCTCCCGCTGGGAGAACACAACTGAAGAACGCATGTCCTCAAGAGGTGGGTGTGGAAGATGTTGATCTTTGAATCGAATGGGTGATCATGTAGGTAAAGACTCTCCTAACGCTATATATCATCATCCCAAACTCGTCTCAACTTTAGGCTGCAATCTCCTTTTGTGTCTCGAATCCGAAGACTACCTGCCTACCTAACTTGGTGAGGAAAATAGGCCACTTCCAAGGCAGTTGCCTTATAGGGAAGTCGTGGGCGGCCTCAGTCAAGCGACGACTTTGGTTCAGTTTCCCAACAGTAACAACAACATCATCCACGCATTCGCTACATGGTATCTCTACGGCACTCAGAATGTCCTCTTCAAGCCGGCAGCCCACGTGGCTGATATTTGTGATGAGGTTCAGACCGGAAGGCTTCTTATGCATACGAATATTTACGATCGATAAATTCGCGATGTTTATAACTCCTCGAGTTTGGCGCGACGTAGATGTCGAAGAGTTCAAAAAAGCGAATCGCATTTGTTTTGTTACTCTTGACGATATGGAGAAAGAGCTTGCTGACCTGGCAACACACTTGTTCAATGGGATAAAGGTGGATGCCTGGTGGTACGAGGTATTCCGCGACGAATCAAGGGAATAGCATTATCTCATGTATCCCGTGGGGTATGTTAGTTGAACCTCTGTTTGGAATTTCACTGATGATGATAGGTTCGATACCAGCAAGATTGGCCCTGAGTACTGGAATCCAGAGTCCGACATGGACTTGGCACAGATGAGACAATTAGAACTCGAGACTGCAGGAAACAATTCATCGGATAGCAAAACATCAGAAGAGGCTATTGACGACGAGACTGATGATGACGAGACTATTGACGACGAAATATCGGCGGACGAGGCAACAGGACCAGGAAAATTGGTCAGCACCAAGGACAGCAATAACCAGGAAACCGAGACTGAGAGTGAAGACGCTCAACAAGAGAAGCAGTCAAAAAGGGCACGAAAGAAGAAAGGAAAGAAACGAAACAAGGGGACAAGATTCGACAAAGGTTTCACCAAGAACAAAAAGAAGAAGAGAAAGTGAACTACCAGCTGAACCGGGACTGTCGGGACACAAATACATGATTAGCAAAGTATGAACCAAGTTGTAGCGATTCTGCCGATAATAAATAGCGTTGTTAGAAATTTTACACTTTCTCTCTAGGCAATATTGCGGTGGGAAGTATTCTGAAGTATAGTCCGCTGAGAAGGAGGGCCACCCCTCAGGGTATCAGAAAAGTTGGCCGCTGGAAGTATACGAGACAAAATTAATAGGTCACTTTATGCTCCTTAGGCCATAGTTCTTAGACTACTTATTCTTATACCCTAAGACTTAGTAGGCTAACTTTTCTGTTACCCAGTAGATGGTCTCAGTTCTACGAGATCACAACTGACTATCCAATATGTTCTGTTTTATTCGATACGCATCCCTATAAAAATTACGTCTAACAGACACGGACACAGAAACAGTCAATGAATCCTCTCGAGTCGTTCATAATACTCATCATCGCATTGGTACATTCGCTATGTTATGTCGAGTCTGTGCACAAAGAACTCTAGTTCCCATACTTAGATTGTACCACATCACTATGCGCCGCATCAAAGGACCTTTCAGCTGTGCACAAGCTCTGACGTTCGTTACTCGAAATAGCATATCTGACTTAATTTTCGCATCTATGAAGGCTATTAATATGGATATGTGAACCCGTTGTTCGACTCAGCCAGCTCAATTGGCTCGACCCAACTCAATTGACAAGTCAACAACCATGAAACTCATCTTTGTGTCTCTCTTTTCGCTGGGTCTCGCTGTCACAACGCCTCCGGAACCTGTCATCCTCAACCCGATTCCCGACAAGGCCCATTCAGGGTGCTACCACTAGTTCGTTCTCCTTCTCCTCCTACTGTCTCATCGCCGCGCCTCCCAGGATATCTACTAACACTTCTCCAGCACAATCTCAAAGAAAGATCACTGCTGTCTTCCTCATGTCTGCGCCTGCAAAGATGGTATGTTACATACAATCCGCTACTCACTGTATCCCGTCACTGACTGACTCGAAGGCAACTTCTACCTCTTCAACGACGAATCATGGAAAAAGACATCCAACGGATGTAATCCTCCGTGGGGGATTCTAGGAAAGTCACTGGAAGATATCCCAGGGTACTGCTGCAAGAGGTGGAAAGCACCCAAGCCCAAGCTCAACTGGTAGTCTCTTCACTGGCCGTTTACTCGCTTTTCTTGCGGATTATCGTTCTGCGGTGGCATTTCTCTTCTTTACTATCTTTAGACCATTCCTATACCTGAAGCTATCTTTTATTTTTTGTCTTGGCCTCTATTCTCATACCTCAAACCATATTTGATCTATAGATCCTTCACTTCTTCTTCTTCTTCTTCTTCTTCTTCTTCTTCTTCTTCTTCTTCTTCTTCTTCTTCTTCTTCTTCTTCTTCTTTCTTGGTAGCTTTACAGTCCTCAATACCGACAGCAATACTCTCCAGCTCGTTCCCGTTCCCAATGAACGGTCCAACAGTATCATTCGAGTTCACTGGTCCATACGCGAACCACCCACTAACAGGCTGTGCCGTGACTTTGCCTCCTTCTTCCATCCTCTCCACTCCAACGTTTCCAGCGAGTATGTAAGCTTCCATGTCAACTCCTGGATGAGGATAACCCTTCATCGTTACGGGTGCTTTTGCGTAGCCTGTAGAAACGTCTGACAAAGACAGAGGAAGGTACTGTTGTCCATCCATGATGAGGGTCCAATCGTTAGGATATATACCCATCCGGGGTTCTTCCTTGACAGTTTCCTTTTCCTCCTCATCGTCATCATAATCCTCCCATGCATCATACCCTCTCCTCCATCCATTCCTTTCAAAAAAGTCAAACCCCGTTATCCAGCCGCTAACACCCCACTCGTTTGCTCCCTCTCCACAGGACCACTGCTTCTTCACTCTCACAATCTGCTCCCAAAACAATTTTGTTTCTTCTGCGTGTGCATCATCCCACGAACTAACGAACCTCTTCATTATTGGCCTCAGCATCTCTGCAAACAATTCGGGATCTGGACCAAATTCTTTGAGATAGTCCAGCTTGGCTTCGAGCTTAACCCAGTCTTCTTTCGTGCCGAGTAGCGTGACACTGGGTATACCGCAGACTAACCATCCCTCAAAGTCAAAGAACTGCTTCATAAGACCCATCATGAGTACTGCGGCAGTAACATCGTCTTTGGGGGTGGAAGTGCTGAAGCCAGGCATGATCCAGTCCTTCAGCCATTTTGGCTTGACACGCTTGTCAATCTCGTCACTAAAACCGACGACCATATCATCCCACGAATTCCCCTCGACGACGATCTTTTTCTTTCCACCTTCATGCTCAACGAATAAACTTCTGACTTTCTCGGAATGGACACTCATGTAGAGATTCATCTGTACAAGTACCTCAAACCAGACCTCTTCAGGCCTCAACACGAGATGCTGATGCTGAGCCCATGCTTCAACAGCGCCTCGTATAAACCCGCCCGAAGAGGGAAATACACGCCCTGTAGAAAATACATCATTGGAGAATGAGGATGCGAGAAGAGAAGGCTTGTATGGATTCGAGGAGGCGACTTCCTCGGGGCAACTTCTCCTAAACAAATCGTCGACCGAAGTCGCTGCGCCTTGGTGAGAGAGCGGTAGTGGCGCGACGGGTGAGAGCGGAATGGTGATTGAGGCGGTGACCAAGCCTAGACCTGCCAGCCACAGAAGCATCGTGGAATGATATCGGAATAATATTCGGCCAACAGGTATCTCAATCAGCCCATATAGTATTTTAAGAGTCAAGGATGAAGATTACGGGCCTACCGATCGGACGGTTTGACAATCCCTGCCTTAGCGGCTCCATCATGCTGGTGAAGTTGGATTAGGTCAAAACTGGGCCGAATAATAAGGCTCAAATCTCATGTTGTATCGGAGTCTATCTCATGATCGCATCTCAGATCATGATATGCATCTTGTTGTCATTAAACTATAAGCCATAGTCACGGCTGTCATAATCGGGCCATTAGTCTCGATAGGATCGGATCTCCATTTGTCACATCAAGATAGCGGATCTTACCACGAAAGGTGTGCGACAGGTTATGTCTCGATCGCTCAATCCAATAATAGATACCAAGTTAATATCATCTCGTATTGTTTACTTTAATTTATGCCACGGGAGCTCGGCGAGTAAATGCCTCATCTCAATAAACACTTAGCAAAGTAGGTAGGCACTATAATTTGAAGGATTCACACTCATGGGTAATAATCACAAAAAACGTTCAGAATGTAAGTTGAGCAACCGATGTATTCAGCGCTATATCAATCTATAAACCAAAGGACTTATGCATATCATGTCCTAATATCCAATCCTGCGCCATGCTGACAAATGATGTATCGTAACCTCGTAAACGCCATGCCTTGTAAAAGCCAATCTAGTAAAGAACCGAGATGTTGAAAAGATAAAAGCTTCCAGCTTATTCCTCAGCGCTGTCGGCCTGGACACGTTGCACAACGCTGACAAGCTCGGGGAAGATCTTCTCGTTATCCTGAATGCCGCAGATTTGCTTAACAACATCCTCGGGTCCATTCTCGGACATGATCTTGGCGAGCTCCTTAGACTCCTCGTCGTCGGTAACTTCCTGGAAGCGGAAGGCCATCTCGATGGCGTCGAGGAGGTACTTGATGCTTTGTCCGTTCTCAGCGAGCTCGGCAGCGGGGCCGACGAAACGCTCCTTGCGAGAGAGCTTGCGCAGGGGAGCACGGCCGACTCGCTCGACGGCATCTTCCAAGTGGGGGTTGCCGATTCGCTTGATAATCTTCTCGACATAGGCGGCCTGGGCCTCCTCGTCGATCTCGTGCTTGGCGACGATCAGGTTCTTGGTCTCCATGAGAGCACCGCGGACCTCTGCCATGATCTCCTTATCCTGAAGGGCATCGTAGACGGTACGCTTTCTTCGGTTGTAGCCGTGGTAAGCGGCAGTGGCGTGGCCAGTGTTGACGGTGAAGAGCTTGCGCTCGATGAAGGGAGCAAGGTTGTCAACCCAGTTAATGCCCTGGATGTCAGGGATGCCAGCGTCTTGGAAGGGAGTGCGGTCAACGACCCACTCGAAGAACTTCTCCAGTGTGACATCAAGTCCAGCGTTGGGGTCCTGGGCGGGAACGATTCTGTCGATAGCAGAGTTGGCATAGCGAGCTCTCAAGTGGTGGTCCTCAAGACGAGAGGGCTCAGTGTTGCGAGGGTCCTTGATGTGCTCAGCAAGAGTATCTGTAGCGCCGATGGCGTTCTCGCAGGCGATGACATGTAGAGGAGCGCTGTCTGTTGAGCGGGCGTCGATACCCTTGGCGATGACGGGAGCGATGAACTTGAGGATGTTGGGACCGACGGAGCAAGTGACAATGTCAGCTGTGCGGATGGCCTCGATAAGATCCTGCTCGTGTGTTCGGGAGTTGATGGCCTTGTAGTTTGTGATTGTGTTCTCTGTGGTTCCTTCAGATCCGACCTCGATGACCTTGTAGGAGGGAGTTTCGTTGATGAGGTTGACGATGGTGTCGTTGACATCGGCGAAGATGACGTCGTAACCAGAGTTGTGGAGGAAGCAGGCGACAAAGCCACGGCCTGTAGATGTTAGCAAGAGATTAAGAGAGGTGTTAGTTATAGAGCATACCGATATTGCCGGCGCCAAAGTGAACAGCTGTCTTGGCCATGATGAATATGTAAAATGTATGTGTATAAGTGGGAGGATGTGGTATAAGTGTATGTGATATGTCTTGGTATGAGACTAAGATATTGTATTGTATGAGAGAGTAGATGGAATGAGATGAGAGATAGAAACGGTGACCGTAGCGAGGGAAAAGACGAGTTTATATGTCAGTCTTGTTGTAGTCCAAAGTGGTGTCCTTCCGTGACGATGACGGGTCAAGGGGACGGGATCCATAGATGCCATCATCTCGTCGTTAGAGGGGGGGTCCACTGTACCTAACTAAGCACCTACAAGGCAAGTGGGGACCCTACCACAGAGGTCAAGTACTGCATGTACCATGATGGATGCCATCATTTGTACAGTCTTGGCATTTTGGTTACATCTGCCCGTGGCTACTTCAGGTCTTATCCATTGGTTACGGTCACTAGCCCAAACCGTAACACACAAACAAGGATCAAATCAATGATGACAACGAGCATGTCGACAGGCCTCCTGATAGATGATTGGTAGCCGAGGACACTACCGTTTAACGGACGGTACCTAAACGAATGAATGCAGTACCTCATGCATCGAGCCCGCCATGGGACAGTGTTTGTTCAACGGAGGTTATCCGGCACTACAGGGAGTTTGCAAAGATTTACAGGGGTCGAAACAGCCCAGCCTGACCCCACTGTAACACAGGTTGTCACCTCACTGAAGAGAGTCAGACTCAGAGCCCCAGGGCCGCCTTGCCTAAAGCGAACCATGGAACGTCTAGACAAAGACCCTATCTCATGCCACCTTTATCACTTGTGCTGTGACTGAGATATTTGTTTTGAGTCTCTACAAACATCCGAAATATTTAACCATTTTTACTGTACATGATACACTACAATTCACAGTAGATATCAAGAGTAATTCTTTTCCACTTGCACCAATTAGAGAATCATCCAGATACTCCTAGGTACCTCTGCCGAGTGGATAAAGGAACACTTTTCCCCTCTCTCTGACGTCGGCTCCTCCATCGTGGGTCTTCAAAGCGCAGTAACACAACTTGGACTGGTTGGATGGATATGATGGAATTAAACAAATGGAACCAGCTTCGGAGCCCCAGACAAAAAAAAAAAAAGACTAAAAAAACCTGGGGCAGTTGACATCACTCGTTCAACCTGTGTTAGTCAACCTCCTTGTTTCTCATCTCACGATGTTCTCGATTGCAGTATCTCGATTGACATGATTTCATAGCCCATATTAATTGTTAATTTTCTTACAAATGTCCATAATTATGACTTGCTATGTATGTCAATCGATCATGTGTTTTGTTCTTTATCGTGATGAACAAGACAACACGTAGACATGGCCACTCGCCGTCGGCATCTCGGCCATTCCTCTCCGCCATTTCAACCTCAACTCTCCCGTCTACTTGATGCCCTTGTTGACGATAATCAAAAGGCGGCTCGGATCTCTGCATGTGCAACCCATCCATAGAGGGCCCTGTTCATTCCACCAATTATTATTGGTAGAGTGGGTACTCCATCCTTAGACGGTGTGCTGGCTTCAATTCAAAGTGAGGGTATTTCCAAAATGGCTGACATGTCGAAACCCGAAACTTGAGCCCAGCCCAGCACAAGTGTGGAGTCTTTTTATGCCGATGCATGTGAAGACATTCGGCAATTCTCACGTCTCAAATTGAGGCTTTAAAATAAAACTCGTCCGTGCAAGGCGCGTATATCGCTTGTGAGAGTCGGAGAAACTGCATCTCGACGCTTTCGACTTGTCCTATGTCAGTTACCGCATGCAGTGTAGCACGTGTAATTCCCTATTCACAGACTAGCAGTCTAATTCTTATCTCATGTGCTACAAGTCATCTGTAAATGTGTATCAGTTGTATCGCCTAGCCTGTGACGAACGGGCGTTGAGTCGTCTGCCGTCCCTCGTCTTACCTGACAAAGTGCATCTACCACCATGCATCTGCATCTACCTACCTATCTGCAACCACCGACGTCATACCCTTGGACAGTTCCTGTACAGTGCATTCAGGGTCAGGTTACAGGGCTCTCATCTCAGCCTGGACTGTTCCAGGGACAACAAAACAAACGGCCATTCCTAATTTTACCACCGTAATCGCTCCGAAAGAGTCATGCCATCGAATCTCGTACTGCAAATTCCCTCAATTTTATTTCTCTCCCCAGGATAATAGGGACGATTGTATATTCTATCGGATCAAAAACCGTACAGCCCCGTATATCCCTGAATTGATCCCTATCGGGCCTCAACTCCGAGATCCTGACTCTTCCGTCTGTCCGTTTTCGTCCGTATACTGTATGTACACAAGCATAGCCTCAGTCCGTAGATAACGCTGTCCAACAGAACGAATCATAACCTCGTCTGCCAGTGGGACTTGAAGCCAAGAACGGTTTACCTTGGCAATGAATTAGCGCCGTTATCCGATTGGTGATGGCTTCATCTCTCTTTTTGCAATAAACATTTTCCCACGTTTACCGCGCTAGAAATTGCGTTTTTGTTACTGTACCTGTTGATCTGGGAAAGGTATCTTTTTCGGAATATCAATAACAGGCTAATTAATAAAATTCGGAAGCCTGCCAATATTTCTCCGGCAAATACATTTATTTGTTCATCTCATCTGATGGCTGACCGTCTGTTACGCCCTTTGTCTCATTCATCACGCAGGGTCCTGTTCGCTTCTTCTAAGGGTCCAAGCCACCAACTTACCGATTGTGACTGACCGATGTAGCATAACATATCTTTGCTTGTCTCTTGTCTTCGCTTCGCTCCTCTGATGTGTTGTGCTGACTCACGCATATTGATGAGCCGTGGAAAACCGGATATAATACAGAGAAAACACCATGACTTCTTGACTCGCTCGTCATCGATCTCACCAAACTGCCCAGGGACAAGCACATCGTGAAAAGCCTCACGACGTCAGAGGTTACCTACCTGTTCTTTGTAGTTACTGTAGAACGAACTACACTGCAGTGGCCCACTCACACTGACTTCATATTGTCTAAGCGCAATGCAAACAAAAACTCCTCTTAGTGTCGCATCGCATTGGACGGATTGGTGTGAGTGGAGTTTTCTGTTTTGCTAGTCATCAAGTTGAACTTGTAAAAGTGTAGGAGTACTACAGAAAAGACTGACGAGATACGGCTTGTTGGGGCTTATTCAGACGGTAACTTTGCATAACAAATGCACCACTACAGATGAGTCTCGACGTTGCTCATGACGATCAATTTCAAAGCAAAAGCCAAGTGATCGTCATTCTTTTGAACCAAAAGAGTATCTAGGTAAACAATCATCGTGATTCCGACATGAGCCGAAAATTATGTCCTTTCCCCAAATCATGATATCTCCTCTCACTCAAATCAACCAACACTCTTATTAACCTCGACAACCCATTTTGACTCAATTGAATCCATTATTGATCAAGCTACTCCGAATCACATAACGATTCCCCCTTTCCCCACCTCATCCTCTTGATCAAAGTCTGGGGTTGTATACACACATCTTCTCCCCCGCCAAAGCCACCACCGCTTCGCCATGTACCCCATCCTTAAAATACCACTCTGCAGTATCACTCTGTCCTGCGCGATATAACTGAAAACATGCCACAATGAACGTTTCTTTCCATGTCTTCATATCACAGTCACATTAATCGCTTCCCCTTCCTTCTTCCCCATATTCCCCCGCAAACCAAAACAACTCCACCTTCTGTACTCAATCTTGGCCTTGGTCTCACCACCAGCCGTTCTGTATCACTCCCAAAACGGAAATACCATCGACAGTACCAAGCACATGTAAGAGTGCAGTCAACATTCTCTTTGTAAGCCCTATACAGGTATGACTACAGTATTTTCCCCTCTCTATGAAGCATTACATGTAAAAATCCAATTCATCTTTCCTTGTTAGTATTACCCTAAAGGTAAGACGTAGTTCAGTTTCCACCATGGTAAAAGGCAATTCAAGTTCCCAGCATACGCACTCGTGAAACAAACTCATTAACGTACTTCCCAATGAAAAGCCTCAGCGTAAATGTTCTTACGTGTCATGGAGATTTGTCTGTTGTTGTCATGCTCTGCATCAAGGTGTTGCGATTAATGAGATCCGCTCAATGAGAAATCGCGCAACAGTTCTACATTCGGTTCATCGGGAAGTGTTTAGTGCAACTTCAATTACACATCTGGAAATTACGAGATGATCTATTGGCTTGCCTTACTGCGGCCAATATCCGAAGACAGAACTCACAAACTCATCTACAAGTGATACTTGTACATACACACTTCATTCCACAGAGTCTCGATCACACTTCAACGGTCCAGAACACCGAATTCAACCAATCTTGTTTATGCTATTTTAATTATTACCCATCATCGCGCCACTCGCTATCCATTATCGTCACTCATACTCCTTTTAGTTCTGACCATACTTCTTGAAGGCACCAATGAGACCACCAGTAGAAGCATCGTGACCCTCGCCGTTGCCCTCCTCGTCAAGCTCCTTGAGGATCTTCTTGGCCAGGACCTTGCCCAGCTCGACACCCCACTGGTCGAAGCTGTTGATGTCCCAAATAGCACCCTCAGTGAAGGTGAGGTGCTCGTAGTAGACGATCAGAGCACCCAACTCGGCAGGGCCAATGGCACCACCAACGAGAATAGAGGTTGTAGGTCGGTTACCCAAGAATCGCTTGTGAGGGACAAGCTCCTCAGGGGCACCCTCGGCGCGAACCTGCTCATCAGTCTTTCCAACCATGAGAGCCTCAGCTTGGGCAAAGTAGTTGGAGGCAAGCATCTTCTGGTGAAGGTTGTCACTGACGGGGTTGTGGGACTTGGCAGCGAGGATGAAGTCGGTAGGGATCAGCTTGGTGCCCTGGTGAACAAGCTGGAAGAAGGAGTGCTGAGCGTTGGTGCAAGGCTCTCCGAAAAGGATAGGACCTGACAGGTTAGCTTAGTCCTTGCTCACTATGCAATGACTTACCAGTGGTGTACTTGGCGGAAGATCCATCAGAGGTGATAGTCTTGCCGTTAGACTCCATAGAGAGCTGTTGGAGGTAGGCGGGGAATCGGTGGAGGTACTGGTCGAAACTGATAACTGTTAATGTATGTGCATACTTACTGAACATACAAACTTACGGAGCAACAAGGTGAGTCTGGGCCTGGAAAAAGTCAGAGTACCAAACGCTCAGGAGGCCACCAAGAATAGGGATGTTGTCCCTGAGGGGAGTCTCGCGGAAGTGCTTGTCCATGGCGTGAGCACCGCTGAGGAACTTGTGGAAGTTGTCAAAGCCAACGTAGAGAGCAATGCTCAGACCAATGGCACTCCAGACAGAGTAGCGACCGCCGACCCAGCTCTCGAAGCCAAACATGTTCTTGCTGTCAATGCCAAACTTGGTCACCTCCTCCTCGTTGGTGGAGAGAGCAACAAAGTGCTTGGCAATCTCGCCCTTGTTGTCGGTCTTCTCGAGGAACCATGTCTTGGCTGTGTTGGCATTGGTGGTGGTCTCGGCAGTAGTAAAGGTCTTGGAGGCAATGAGGAAGAGAGTGGTCTCAGGGTCAGAGTCCTTGAGAGCCTCGGCGATGTGTGTACCGTCAATGTTGGAGACGAAGTGAAGCTTCATGTCGTCAGCACCGTAGTGCTTGAGAGCCTCAGTGACCATGACAGGGCCGCTATACAATGTTAGCTTGGTCTGTAGCATACGGTATAGCAACATACAGGTCAGAGCCACCAATACCAATGTTGACAATGGTGGTGAGCTTCTTGCCAGTGTATCCCTTCCACTCTCCGCTGCGAACCTGCTCAGAAAACTCCTTCATGTGCTGGAGGACATCGTTGACGCCGCCCTGTGTGTTCATGACATCAACGCCCTCAACCTTCATGTCCCAACCACCAACGTTTCGCAGGGCAGTGTGGTAGACGGCGCGGTCCTCGGTGAAGTTAATCTTCTCGCCAGCAAACATGGCATCGCGCTTCTTCTCAACGCCAGCCTGCTCAGCGAGCTTGACGAGGAGGTCGAGGGTCTCATCGGTGAGGAAGTTCTTGGAAAAGTCGAAGAGGATCTCGGAGCTGACGCCACCAGAGGTAAAGGTGCGGGTGAATCGGTCGAAGCGCTGAGGGTCAGAAGCAAAGGCTTCCTTGAGGACGAAGGACTTGCCAACGCTGTCGCGGTGCGACTGGAGGTCAGACCAGGCGGGGAGAGTGTTTGCAGGAGCCATTTTATCGATATATGGATGAGGATGGGGAATATAGAAGGGAAAGAGAGAAAAGGAGGGTTTAAGAAGAAGAGGGGAAATGATGTTGTCTTGTATTTTGCTTCAGATCAGGTCCTCATACCTAAGCTGTTCCATGAGTGGAGGGGGAAAGAGCAAAAGCATGGGCGGGGTGGGGGCATCATCCCACCAAATGGAAGCTTCAAGTCAACCGTTTGATGTTGTCATGATATGATATAAAGATGGGTATCGATATGGAATAATATTCATTTTTAATTGATTGTTAACGTTTCTATTGTAATAGTTAATTAATATTCAATCAATTATACTTTATCAATTGTCCCCAAGTTAATGTCTCCTGCGCTCAAACTCGCCCAGCATTTTAACCCCTCCAATGACAACATTCCTCTACACCATGCTTCTCACCAAAACATAGAGAGCTATAGCTGTGCAGTAGTTACTACGCTAATCGGCAGCCCCCCTAGCAGTGTTACCTACTGCCATGATTGAGCTTCATTCTACTACCAATTTTTTACTTCTACTGACTGATACGCATATTAGTATATTTCTAATCATCAAGGTTGGCTGACTGAACTTTTCACAGACTTTCGTCATGTCTCCATAATCAACAACCCTGCGTCATCATGTCCAAGTTCCGGTTAAGCCGGGCACTCGCCGCAGTTGTCCCGCATCACCTCCGGTCTCACCACCCAAGAGGTCTATCAGCCAAATTCGCTCTTGTTGTTGTAAGGTGATATGTGAATGATCCGGAATGCAGAGTAAACTGTACTCTAACAATGAAACAGCCATTATCCATAATGATCCACCTGCAGTAGTTTGTTTACTGTGTTGACACACCGTAGTGACTGATCCCCCAATATCCATGTCTTCGGTAATCTCTCCACCCCCAAAGAAGCATTCAAAACTAATAAACGCGAGTGTAATGAGAAACTAAGTGTATTTATTTCTCAAATCACGAGCCAAAAAATGCCTCAGGATCAATCAGTTTTGAAGCCCAGGATACACAATACATACCTATCTATAGTAATCACGGCAATCTCTCCGGAAACCTGTGTGGCCAAGCTGGTTGGGATTCATACTTCATGACATGAACATAATCACTGAGCCTCACTCTAACCACCGTCTCATGCTGGTCAACATGGGTAACCGGACAACATCACAGCCTTAATACTTCAACATAAATAACAAGTAACTGTCAATTTCTTTTCATTACACTCATTGATGCCATGGCAACCCTGACGAAAAATGACCAAACCTTTTCTACACCAGCCATCTAAGCACCATTGCTCTGTTTAAAACACACGCACAACATATCTGATAGCTACTACAACTGCATCTACTCGTCGTCCTCCTCAGACTCGTCATCCTCGGCCTCAGCCTCGGGTTCAGACTCTTCCTTCTGTCCATTAACGGTTTCTGTAGCAGCGCCACCCTCCTTCTCAAGCTTGAGCCACTCGTCCCACTCGGGGAAGAGCTCATCGTCCTCACCAGGCACACCGATGAGCTTGGCTACTCGAGCCTTCTTGTTCTTCTCCAGACCCTCCTTCCACTGGTTTACTAGTGGCACAGTCAAGCTGGGCTGGTAAGTTTGGCTGAAGAGAACGGCTTCCGCGAGTCTGCCGGTGTTGGTAAGAATTTGTGTGCAAGCCTCAATGTTGCCAAGGAGCCATTGGCATGAAAAGGCAACGTTGTGAGCGCCAGCCTCTTGTGCCTGGGCAGCCAAAGCAGACAGACCATCTCGGTCACCTGTTGATGAGTGTAGAAGCAGCAGGGATCCGAGATCCTTGGCGTGGGTAAAGCACTCAGCAGCAAGGGCGACGTCCCAAGCTGATAGCGCAGCGTCACCAACAGTCTTCCACTTGTGGTCGGCATCAGCCTCGCGAGCAAGCTCCAGAGCAATAGCAAGCTCATTCAACGATAAGGCAAGGTCAAACTTGTGCTCGGGATCTGTTGCAACCTCCAATGCAAGCTCCTTGTGGCCCTGACCTTCCAAGAATCGAGCAATCTTGTTGAGCTGGTCTTCGGGGATGGTTGGTAGCAACTCGGCAGCTGTCTCCATATCCTCTCGGAGAACAAGAGTCTGGTATTCGAGCACAGGGAGGGAAAGACCGAAAGAGGTGACGTTGACATCCTTGTCGGCGAGGTAGATTCGAGAGTCACGCTGGATGTAACCCAGGATGTACTGGGGCTTGTCGAAGTGAGAGATGGTGTAGGTCTGGTCGCCAACAAGGTAGTTGAGTCGGTTAGTGCTGTTGGTGTAGATGAAACAGTCGCCAATCCACTCTCCAGTTCGTACACTGTCTGGTCAGCAGGTTCAAATAAAAGTTTTGAGTGGTAGACATACGATTCGCTAATATCAGTGATAACCTCAAAGGCAGCCTCGACACCATCTTCCTCGACTTGTCCAGATTGAACAGCCTCGGCATAGTTCTCGCGAGAGAATCGTAGCACGTAAAAGGTATCCTCGCAAGCAATTGTAACTAGCTCTCCGCTGTCGGACCAGTAAACCTGCTTAGGCTCAACCTCAATTCTTCGAACAAGGCCACCGGTAGCCCAGTCAAAGAAGGAGACACCGCCCTGGCCAGTAACTCCGAGAAGAACACCACCGTGGAGTCTCTCGGCCTGGAAACCGACATCAAGACCACCGCTCTTCTCGACAAAGTTCTTGAAGAGCTTGACGCTCATAGCTGACTCTCGAATGGCAAAGTCGTTGCTGTTATCCTTGGAAGCCCAGACAAAGTCGAGCGCTGAGCCGAAAGCCTTGTTACGCCAGGCAAGGGCGGTATAGATGATATATTCTCCATCACCGCAGACAGCGACGAATCGACCGTTAGGAGAGTGAATGAGCGTTTGGGGGTAAACTTCGCAGGTGCCGAGATCCTTGGTGGGGAGCGAGATAGGCTCGTTATCCTTAATAGAGGCATCTACAACTGTTAGCATGATTCGACAAATGAATATGGGTACGCACCTCCTCCCTTAATAATAGAAGAGACAACCTCGTTGTGACGAGCCCAGATGAGCTTGCCAGATGTGTCCATCGATACGGCTGGCTCCTCACGACCAAGCTTGACAACGACAGCACCATCGTCGAAACCAACAGCAACGCCCTGTTTACCCTTTTGATAAGAGACACACCAAGCTCGTTCTAGACTGTAGTTGAGAGATTGCTCGAATCGGTAGGTGTTGGCGTGCCATATCCTTATCGTACCGTCCTCAGAACCGGAAATGATGACAGGCAGTTCGGGGTGGTAACAAGCGAACGAGACATTGTTAGTGTGGCCTTCGAGAGTAGCGATCAAGGACTTTGTGGTGTAATCCCAAATCTTGACGGTTCGGTCGTCTGAAGTGGTGAGGAGGTAGGGCTTGTCGGAGTGAGGGTAGTAGTCGACGTGGTTGACACCCTTGGTCTCGTGGGCCTCGAGGGTGAAGTTGGGGGTGGAGGATCCAAGACTCCAGATCTTGACAGTTCGGTCGAGACAGGCTGACGCAAAGGTGTTTGTGTCCTTGGGGTTGATGGCCAATCCCATGACATAGTGGCCGTGGCCCTCGAAAACCTGCACGCACTTCCATCCCTTCTCCCAATCCCAAAGCTTGATGGTCATGTCATCGGAGGCAGTCAACACAAAGGGCTGTGTGGGATGGACGGCAATCGCTCGAATGTAATCGGGGTGCGCCTCGAAAGAGGTGATCTTCTCGGAGGTGTTGTAGTTGTAGACTCGTAGTTGGAAGTCATCTGAACCGCAGACAATCCAGTTTTTCCTGGCGATGAATCGACCGGCGCGGACAGGGACATCTGTGAGCTCAAAGGTCTTGACAATCTGTTGGGTTTCGTGGGACCAGATGTAGACGTGGCCTATACTGTTAGTCAGGTGCGAGGCCTCTGCAATCGAAAAACATACCGCTGTAGAGGGTTGTGAGAATCCATGGCTCGTGAGGATGAAAGTCAATGCCCTTGACTCGCTCACTGCGAGCATAGAGCTGGCGCTGTATTGCGAAACGTGTCAGCTCAGATCAGATCGCAAGGTTGAAGCTGTGAAGCTATAGGCATTTGGTTGCTGCGCTCGAGACAGCATGACATGATCTTGCTATCAACGAGGCGCACCCAGAACCACACCCAAACTGACCTTGACGTCTAACTTCATCTTGTCTTATGTCGTCGCTGTCGCGTTGCGCAGAGTTGAAGTTGCAAGCTGTCCAGCAAGGGCGGTGATAGTAAGGTAGTGGGGTCAACGGTAAGAATCCCTGGAGGAGTCTACCATGCGGGACGACAGTGGTCACAAAGAGAAGTAATACTAAAAGGAACAAGAGTGAAAACAAAGCCAAATATTCAAACGCTAATCATCAATCGTGATTCGATTTTTGGATTGACAATGTAGCTTGAGCTCTTCAATTTTGAGCTCTCCAAAATGTGTCCTGCGGCTCTTGCCAGGCTGGCCATCCCATCCAATGCCATGTGTTTTTGGCCTGATACTTCAGGCCTCTCTACCTCCTTATCCCTTCTTATCGCAGGGATGCTCCAGAAAAGGGGTTATAGGGTAACTCAATCTTCGAATTGGTAGGTCAAGAACTTACGTCTTAGTTGAGGTTGTTTTACGTGATTTACTATGTTTTAATCTTTGTAGTTTGTGTTGGTTCGTACTCTATTGCATGTCTGTTGCCATTGGCGTAGTCGAGACTGTGATCTATGTTGGTTGTATGCATTTGACACTTTGGTCCCAAGGACGTGACATCCAAAACAAAAGTTTCGAGGTGGACCTCTACCGATCTTGACAATCATGCACAGTTAAGTAGGTGTTCTATTCTCAAATATTCCAGTCCGGCAATTTATCCTGCAATTCCTATTCAGCCAAGCAGGGTTTTTCGACACGCGTCGTCTTTTACATCATCAGGTGTGGCTGTACAAGTTGAACGATCTAATGTACAATACCTACAGTGCACCCTCAATTGGGCTTTGGATTGGGCAAACTCGAGATCTTGAGCGCATGTCCTGCTACATGGACTAAAGTCCCATCTCATTTACCCCTTATGCTTATGAATATTTGACTGGATCCTCGCCGCTTTAAGATCAACAAAGCTAGAGCCCATAGTGGCTTTACCTCAACCTGACAGCACAGCCCAGACCAGCCATTCCCCACAGTCTGAAGCTCCTGTGTCGCAGACTGAGACACTGTGTTTACAGCACTCAAACAGCGCTGCACATACTCTAGTCACAGTGCATATCCCCTGAAGCTATCTCAAAAGGTCCACCGCCACGGACGGCTCCCCTGGACTTCTTTCCATCCCCCCGTTCACGTCCACTAGGTGCCATATCTGGGCTCGGCTCGTCTCGTCTCGGGCTCTTGTTGCTTCGCCTCCTCATACCTGACTTGCCTCGACAACAAAACTCTCCTCCCCATCTTCCCTTCGATCTCACTCTTTTCCAGATCGTTGGCGCACAATCTTCCTTTCGCCTTCCTTTCGACCTGCAAACTTTCGACACAAAGCGGCCGGTCTACGCTCTCTCCACGTTTATATGCGGGGTTACAAATCATCCACTTGAATCCTCTACCGTGCTCTTACCATCTGCCTTTTTGCTTGATCAGGAGTTTGTCAGCGAGCGCAGACTTTGTCTCTCTGCTCACAAGTCATCGACTTTGTCGACAGCACCTTTTCTTCTGTAAACACCTCGTCAACAGTCGCAGCCATGTCTTGGAAGCTTACCAAGAGTATGTTGACATCCAATATCTATCTGACACCTCCAGCTCCCAATCGCAACAGCTAACGTTCATCAGAGTTAAAGGAAACCCATCTGGGTCAATCCTTGAGTCCCTTTTCTCGATCACCGTCTACCTCAACCATCACCGACAAAGAGAAGGAGGCCCAAGCCAGCGGTGCCGTCACACCCACGACCGAAAGTGCTATAGGTGAGTATATCAAACTGGGACAAAAGTCAACGACTGACGGGTATAGCTGCCTCTGAGGCCATGACGCAGTCTCCCGTAGTCAAGCCGCCCAAGCCTGGTATTCTCGTCGTTACCCTCCATGAAGGTCAAGGATTTTCCCTCCCCGAACAGCACCGAAGTGCATTTGCTTCATCACACCAAGGATCAATGTCCTCTGGAAGCGCTATTTCCGGCTCTGTTCGACCCGGCTCCTCACAACGTGCTGCTGGATTTTCCAACGGAAGGCCACAATCGTCCGCTGGTGGCTTTAACGGTATCCCGACCAACCACGGTAGAATTTCTGGCAAGTACATGCCGTACGCCCTCCTCGATTTCGACAAGGTTCAGGTCTTTGTCAACTCGGTCGATGGAAACCCCGAGAACCCCCTTTGGGCTGGTGGAAACACCCAATACAAGTTCGATGTTTCAAGAGTGACAGAACTCGTCATCCATCTGTACATGCGCAACCCGAACGCACCACCCGGATCCGGTCGAAGCCAGGATATCTTTTTGGGTGTCGTACGCATCAACCCCCGATTCGAAGAGAGACAGCAGTTCGTGGAGGACCCCAAAGCCAGCAAGAAGGACCGCGAGAAGGCGGCTGCCGAATTCGCAGCGCGTCACGGCCACCAGGGTGCCGAATGGGTTGACGTGCAGTACGGAACAGGAAAGATCAAGGTTGGCGTCGACTACGTTGAGACCCGAGCAGGCAAGCTCAAGATTGAGGATTTTGAACTTCTCAAGCTTGTCGGTAAGGGCAGTTTCGGCAAGGTCATGCAGGTGCGCAAGAAGGACACGAACCGAATCTATGCCCTCAAGACAATTCGCAAGGCACACATCATCTCGCGATCCGAAGTCGCCCACACACTCGCCGAACGGTCTGTGCTGGCGCAGATCAACAACCCCTTCATTGTGCCGCTCAAGTTTAGTTTCCAGTCACCAGAGAAGCTCTACTTTGTCCTTGCCTTTGTCAACGGAGGTGAGCTGTTCCACCATTTGCAAAAGGAGCATCGATTCGACGTCAACCGATCCCGTTTCTACACCGCCGAACTTCTCTGTGCTCTGGAATGTCTACACGGCTTCAGTGTGATCTACCGAGATCTCAAGCCCGAGAACATTCTCCTCGATTATCAAGGTCACATCGCTCTGTGCGATTTTGGTCTTTGCAAGCTTGACATGAAGGATGAGGACCGAACTAACACTTTCTGTGGTACCCCCGAGTATCTGGCGCCTGAGTTGTTGATGGGTCAAGGTTACAACAAGACAGTCGATTGGTGGACCCTTGGCGTTTTGCTCTACGAGATGTTGACGGGTCTGCCACCCTTTTATGATGAGAACACTAACGAGATGTACCGCAAGATTCTATCAGAGCCTCTTCACTTCTCGGATGTGGTCCCCCCAGCTGCCAAGGATCTCCTCACCAAGCTTCTCAACCGTAATCCTGAAGAGCGATTGGGAGCTAATGGCTCAGCTGAAATCAAGGCGCACCCCTTCTTCCATGCTATTGACTGGAGGAAGTTGCTTCAGCGCAAGTACGAGCCTACATTCAAGCCTAGTGTGGTATGTATTCCGTTTCCCATCTTGAGCTGAATCTCACTGACATGAATAGGCCGACGCTCTGGACACAACCAACTTTGACCCCGAATTTACATCTGAAGCGCCCCAAGATTCTTACGTCGACGGCCCCATGCTGTCACAGACGATGCAGAATCAATTCCAAGGATTCAGCTACAACCGACCGATTGCTGGACTTGGAGATGCTGGCGGCAGTGTTAAGGACCCGTCCTTTGTTGGTAGCTTGACGGATAACCGATAAATCTTGCCAAAGACGGAAGGCAGAAGTTAGACAGCGAGCGGGCTCGAGTCTGAACTGGCTCGACTCACTCAGGCAGGACGCCAGTCTTTTTGCCAGTTAAAAGAGCCATGTAGCTGGGAGGCGTGGGAAACACTGGTCAGCCATGAGAAGCACAGCACAGAACAGAATAGTCTGGGAGAATCTAGAGGATGCGGATGAGAATGAATGTAGATAAGAAGCCTACTTTGTTTTGGCGTGTTTGGAGTTTGATACACTCGTTAGTGGGTTTGATGCTGTAGTTATGTTACTGTCTCATGTTCGTTAGATTCTTGGTCTTGAAAACGTGTTTCATGTGATGAATCTGAGTCTGTGATCGGTGTCGTGTAGTGGATAGTAGGGAGAAACTGAGGAAGAGAGCATTGCGGTTTAATAGCTGTTTCCCTCAGTTAGAACGTATGACATAGTTGCAAAAATATCGACTTGGTTGCTACTACTCGAGACCGATATTTTGCAATGGCGATGCTTTGTTCCTTGATTGCCGGTATACTATTATATACACATGAGATGTTGACCCTTGCCCCAATTCAGAATGAGTAGACAATGGTAAGCGCTGTGGCTGACATCGGTCAATTTATACGAGACATGGCTGAACTGACCATTTTGTGGCGTTATGCTTAAACGGTTAACCAACATCACTAATATTACATGCAGTTTTATAAATGTTCAAGTTTGGCACGAAAGAGATGTGTTTGTATTAAAAACTATTAATCTTAAATGCCTTATCCAACAGTCCATCTGTTACCATCTCAAATTTAGAGGGCAGCAACAACACCGGCAACAGCGGCGGCAGCGACGTAGAGGAGGCCACCCTCACGAGCGACAGCACCGTTGGTCTCAACGGGGGTAGACTCGCCAGAGGTGGGAGTAGCGACGGGGGTCTGGGCAGTCTCGTCGGCAGAAGAAACGACGGGAGGAACAACAGCGGTGGTGGCAGAGGCGATGAGGGAGGAGGGGACGGCAGTAGCAGAGGCCTCGCAGACGGGGACAAGGCTGGCGAGCTCAGCAAGCTCGGGGCACTCCTTGACAGCGGACATGATGTCGTCCTGGTTCTTGGCGTACCAGGCAATGATGGAGGAGCTGTAGGCACCGTACTCGCTGGAGAGAGAGGCGGGGGTGCTGAAGCTGCAGGGGTCGGTCTGGGGGTTCTCGAGGAGATCAGAGACGATCTCAGGGGCAGGAGTAGGGACGCCCTGGGCGATGTCGATAACGGCAGACTGGCACTCCTCGCTGATGTCACCGAGGGAAGGGAGGCCGGTCTGGCGAGCCTCGAGAGCACCACGCTTCATGATGGGGTTGGCCATGAAGTTGACGTTGGCCGAGACGGCGGTGGCCAGGAGAGAGGCGATAACGATGGACTGCATTTTGACGGTTTGTAGTGTCTAACGAGTGAAGACTGATTATTACTGAGTTGAAGTAAAGATGGGGGAGACGAAAGAAAAGGGGATGGGAGGAGATGGTCTTTAATAGTTTAGTATGTTCCGGGGTAAAAATAAGACTATAGTTCTAGCCTCTCTTTAAGTCTCTTAGTCTAGGCAGCCCAGGCAGGCTGTAAGAGACAGCTCACTTCCATCACTTTAGCCTCACCGCTGGCGGCGCTTTTCCTTGGCCATATGTCATATATCAAGTGGAACCTGAAGCAGTTCAGGGGGGGGTTTCGTTGCTTTTTCACCACTGAAGTCGCTTCCATCACATTGAGTCACAGTTGCAGTTGACCAATGCGAATCAGCCCTATAATTACTGGGGTATCGGAATGCGAGGTTTCTTGTTATTGTGCTGATCGATACCTTGGAGGGTATCTTGGAACATGTCATGAACTGCCGATAGCACTGGCTGAATCTTGGGGCTAAGCCTTGGCGCTTACAGCTGAGGTTTTTACATCGACGATCTCGTCTCTAATGGGATAGACAGACAAACAAAGAACATTTTCATGAACCAACATGTTTAATGGATGGAAACAGACTTACCGTCGCTTATCATGGGAAATTCGTTAATGTAAACAAGCTCTCTCGCTAGCATTAAATGATTCGGTCATTTGGCCATCACTGGTTGTCTAGATTTTATTAGGTTGCCCCCTGAAATTAAATTACCTTTGCTCCATGGTAATGGCCGGACTAAGACGCTCAGACAGACCTACAATTAAACCCGCCTACTGAAACCCCTAGCCTGTTGCCTCCACCAATTACCTAAACTCTAGCAAGCCATTATTCCCACAGCTTAGGTTGACCCTTTATCATCACCAAGTAAAGTTTGATCCTTTGATGGAGACAAGTCCAATCCTTCTCGTCATAGTCAATGCCAATAATACCATAACCAAGTTATACCAGTCACACTGTAGGGTGGGCAACTTAATTGCATGTTCCGAATGCGCTTTGGCATCCAGTTCCACAGTGGTCACTTGAAGTTCCACACCATCCAGCTCTTGAACAACACGGATCCCACTGATCACACCTCTTCCCTCCAAAACTAGGACCGCATCGCCCCGGGTTCGTTGCAGTCGGCTCCGGTCCCGCCGGCTCCGAAACCCCACTGCACGTCCCGAAAACAGGTTGACATCCTCTCCCGCAGTGCGCATCCGTACTCCCGCACCACCCGTTCTGTGAACAGCACGTCTCGCCGTTGAACTCTCCTCTGCACGTTGCCCCGCCGTGTCGAGAACCGCAGCGTCCGTTCGTAGTCAGCGGGAACGTCGCAGAGCTCGTGGCCGCTGTAGTGGTGGATGAGGCAGACGAGGGGCTGACTTGCCGGTACCAGTTTTCTTTGGGATCCTGAAGGCACTCACCGACTGTTACGCCGCGGAAGTTGTTGCGGACAAGAGACTTGAGCATATACTCTGTGAGGTTGTACACGCTTTGATACACTGGGTCGTGCTCGATGTGAAGCCACTTGTTGCTCGCAGGGGACTTTCCCTCTACGGTGGTGTCCCAGATCTGCTTTGAGGTATCAATGGTGTTTGGGCTGTCGTGCAGGTAACCCTCAGTGTCCAAGTTAAAGTAAGTGACGTGGTATCCCAGCTCACCCAGCCACGCATCTGTGGTAGCGTTGCTGGCTGAGTACGGAGGACGCATATACGTTGGGAAGTAACCCAGGATGTTTGCAAAGGCGATCTCGTTGAAGATCATCTGGTTCCAGAACTTGGAACGTGATAGTGTGGTAAGGCGCTGGTGAGACCATGTGTGACTGGCGATTTGGTGACCGTCGCGAGCCATGCGGCGGATCAAGCCAGGCCATGGGGTTGCGGGATCATTGATAGCGCCTTTGCCGAGATTACGACCTGTGATGTAAAATGTTGCTTTGACATTGTAGCGCTGTGGCTGTCAGACAATATTCGTGAATGGGTGTGATGTGTGGATTGGGGACTTACTTGGAGTAGGTCAAGCAGATCCTCGGTATAAGTATATGGACCATCATCATATGTCAAAGCAATATCACCGTTTCGATTACACCGATAGATCGCCTGTCCATACGGAATACTTCCAACCTTTGGCCTCGCAACATTGGTAGTATCAGGACCGGTAGGTCTCACATTCGCATCACAGCCAGGGCCATACTCTATTTGACACGACGGAGCGGAGCAGTAAAGGTAACCAGTTCCACACCAACTTGACCATTGTCAGATCATGCAAACTCATAATGGAGACGACTTACCCAGCGCTGGAACAGCATTCGTTAGCAGCGCATACGCCTCCAAAACCTGTTCCGCATCGTCCAGCTTGTCTTTTCTCAAGACCAAAGACACTGCGGAAACTAGGTATTGAGAGGACATTAACGGCCAGGAAGGTAACGACAAAGGCAAATGAACTCTTCATGGTGAAGGAGTGTCAGAAACGAGTGACTGTAACGAATGGATGCCTTTAACTCGAAAGGCGTGGTTGATGAATTGAGTCTGCTGTGGCCTAGGCCATTGTTATATACCTACTTTCTTTTTCTCTACTCAACAACCTTTTGAGTCGTGCGGAAAAGAAAAGTGACTCTTCATATTGCGATATGCAGTGACAGCTCCCAACATCCTGAAGGCGTAAGCCACTTATACATATGCATATGCAACGACAAGGGGGAACACCCTGCAATACAACCCATTAACGCATAAATATCGAGGCCTTGACTCTTCAGCCGCACCACACAGAGGTGAATATTGTCAATAATCTCTGAGTGTTCATCTCCACCTTAGTTGACTCTTATGCGAAAGATTATGCTGGTTCCTGCATATGGATGGGAGTCCTCGTATCGCAATTTAAGCATGAACACGTGTCACAGAGAATATGTTGTGCTAAAAGAGCAAAAGAAAAACGTCATCTTTGGAGAGTTTTCCCCTCATACGAGGGATGCAGATGCAAGCGGGATTGTATTGGCTCAGAGCTGGCGTGAGCGGTATGGTTGCTTTTTAGTGAGAGTGTATACATGCGACGATCAGTAAGTTGAGCTGATAAAAGGGGACAAATGCTTTGAAGAGATCTGCAGTTGGGAATAATACGGCTGAGTGAGATCATATCAGATATATTGGTTGTCCCGTGTCGGTACCTTGCAGTGAGGCTTTGATAGTGAGTGGCCTGATAGCCGAGTAGACGATTGATTGGAAGATGAGTTTTTCGCGGTGCAGGTTTGTACTGCATGCTTTAAATTATGCTTAATGGGCATTGAGTTTATCATCATTTGGTGGCTGTTATACAATTGCTTTGTCGAATGTCACTGATGAGCATTGTCTGGAGGTCAGGTTGAAAGACGGGAAGATGGGTCTAAATATAGATTGGCGAGCGATTGAGGGTTGCATCAACGGTAATCTTCGTAGATGTACCAGAGCCTGGTCTTGACTGGTAGAAATGTTCAAATCGACGTGGTGACGATAGAGATCGACGTTTGCTTAACGTATTCATTAATCATAAGCAACAGCCACAATCACAGCAACCAACCAAATGTACAATATAGCCACAGGCTTATCCAATTATAGCCACAGGCTTATCCAATTACAATTATATCATTATATACAACTTTTAAACATCCGAAACGTTAAATTTCGTCCCAAATCAAGCACTAGCACTGGTGCGCTCGGTGGTCTCACCAGGCCTCTCATCCTCAACCAAGTTCTGCTGATCAGTGAGCTTGGGGTTACGCAAGCACAGAGAAAAGGCGATAAGAGGGATACACAGGCAGATACCAGTAATGGTAAGCAGCCTCTGCACGTGCTTGTACGCGTCAATCATGGCAGTGCGCTCGTCGGAGCCGACAGGGAAGTCGAGGATGGCGGAAAGAGGCTGCGAGTAGGTGTAAACGGCGAGTGTCTCGTTTCCGAAGCTGGAGAAGCTGGAAGCCAAACGGACAGGCAAGACCTGGGTCCAGATGGCGCCCGACACAGCGTTGCCCATAGCGGAACCGACTTGGTACAAGGCCAGGTACAGGCCTGTCATGACAGCAAGTCGCTCGTGTGTAACGTAGGCCTGGAGAGAGGCCTGGGCGGGGTAGGGGAACATTCCACCCGCGATACCGAGGAGGATCTGAGCGCCAATGACACCGGATTGGTTCGAGTCGCTGGGGTCACCTCGGTAGCGGATGAGCAGACCAAAGGCGACAAGGAACAGACACGTGCCGGATACGATGAAAACCTTAAAGCGGCGCACCTTGTAAACGATAAGGCCGAGAATGGTGCCGGTGATGACACTTGCGAATGAGTAGAGGGACTGAACTCGGGTGGCCGCCTTGATGCTGAAGTTGAAGGAGACTTGGAGGACAGTGTAGAGGTAGTCGCCTTGCATTGTCCAGGCAAAGTTGAGCATGCACGCGATACCCATGGGAGCCCAGACGGAGCGGTCCTTCATATGGTGGAAGGGCACGAGCGGGTGAGGAGCGCGGAGTTCCCAGATAACGAACACGGGGATGCAAACAAAGCCGACAACAAGAGGGGCAACGACTTGGGGGGCAGACCACTTGCTCTCGAAACCACCAGCGATGGTCAAGGGGACGAGAAGCAGAGCGAAGACGGCAATGAGCAGGATGACTCCGATAATGTCGAGAAGCCAGAAAAGTTCGACGGTGAAGCTCTTGAGACCGAGTTGCTGGAAGGATGAGCGGTAACCAACAAGATGGCCCTGCTTCTTTGCGCGACGGCCGACGACGAGGAGACTGATGATGAGAGGAAGGGCGCAGACGGGGTAAATGATGCACCACATGCCGATTCCCCATCTCCAGGTTGTAGCACCAAGCACAGCAGCTGTGACATCGCCACTAACCCATGTGTTGATGATGAAGGGCAGAGCAGGGATGTAACTGAAGAACAGACGAGATCTGACCGAGGTAATATCTCCAATAATGACTTCGACCAACAACAAAATCATGGTATAACCAATCTGGTAGATGACAGCACCAGCAGAGTAGGTATCGAGATTCTGCGAGGCAGCCTCAATAACAGTACCGATGGTGTAGAAAAAGACGGAGATGCAAATAAGTTCGACACGGCCAAAGACATCAGCAATTTTGCCAGCGGTAGGCTGAGCAGCAGCAGCGATGACGGCGCGGAGGGTGTTGACGGAGGATTGCAGTGAGTGCTCCTTGAATTCGTTCAGGGCCGAAGGCTGGTAGGCGTAGCGAACTGTACCGTCGAGACCGTAGGCATAAGAGATGAGGAAGACACCTAGAAAGATAAAGATGCGATCCGTCATGGTGATGACCTCGGACATGGCCTTGATGCGTTGAACACCAGGCGACGTGATGTCGCGCACGGCCTCGGCGGGCGTTTTGGCCTCATGGCCGGCCTCGTTTGTTTCTTTGAGGGACATGATGTATACTATCTCATAGAGACTGAGAAAATAGTAGAGGGTCACATCTCGAGAAATGGTGTGGAAATGGCGACCTTTAAAAAGGTAAGTGGAAGAAAAGGCGAGTGGATCAGATAGTGAGATTGATTAGATAGATAACTCTAAAAGGCAAGAATTTTTGGTGGATCATGAGACCACTACAGCGCTAGGGACTTAATTAGCGCATTTAGGGGACTACCTGATGATGGATGTGGCGGATGAAAAGTTGCCATAAAAGACGATGTTGAGAGGATAGACTGTACAACATATTATAAGATAATACCGGAATTCGATTAGATGTTATTGTTTAGTTTTCAACGTTGAACTCGAACTAGAATATTGCAACGCTCAACAGTAACTGATAGAACCTACCTGTAGAAAGTACATGTTAGTATGTATAACGGCGTTGTAACTCCATGTCACATCACCCTCCGAGCCTAGGATCAACAACAGTGGATTCAAACTTCTTGGCGTTAGTCAAAAGTGAGCCGACCATCATTCCCTCTCTAAACCAAGCGCCAAGAATACTACAGGGTTCATTTACAGCTGCCTAGCCTTCTGCTTCATCCTTCAGTGTCTCAGTCTCACAGGAACGGATTTGCCGATGCAAGAACTCAGATGCCACATGCAGCAAAGATCAACATCCTCGGAGCTGTCCGTCGACGGTTACACAGCTCTCTCATCCACTCAGTGTAAAAGATGCTACGTAGTATCGGATATAAAAGTTTTATGATACGTTCGGACGCACGGATATCGGATATCACGGACTTGAGCCGCAAAAGGGAAAAGGACAAACTGATTGATAACAGACCGGTTCTCTTGGCTTGTCTTGTTCTTCAGCTCATCACGGATGTATTTCTCCAATCGGGTCATTATTCCACATTGTCGGGTCTCGAATCAGATGAAAATTTTACAAGTCAGCTCACTCCACTGTAACATGGTCTAGGGTTACAGTAGAAAGTAAACATTGATACTTTGATGATAGAAGGGTCACAAAGTAAATCTTACGTTACGGGAATATCGTCTTTGGACGAGAGCTGAGGCAAACTAGATTCAGCTTTACACTAGACCCGGAGACAAAAGTTATTTCCATCAATTCAGCATCATCGTGGCAATATCGGCATCAAGTGAACCAGACAAAGCACTAGACCACTTACTAGCTCTATGCAGGAAACACATTCCTTGAATGCATCAAATCTCGGAAATCACACGTCTCAGGTTTGTATTCCTCCCATTCCGTAATCTTATCAGATCAATCTTTCGTTGCCCGATCGCCGAATGAACTTTATTCCCAACGTCTTGGCGCTACGGAGCTTTTCTTTGTTTGGAAGCAATTCGTCACGCTATGGAACCGTTTTTCTGCAGTGGCTTGACTACCGTCAAACCATGTTGCCTTCTTTGCCTTGGCTAAACAATGAAACCATTGTGGCTCTTTGTTTGCCACAGTCTTGATGTGCATTCTTTTTGTCTAGTTTATCAGTGGTCATTTATGAGAGTGTCAAACATAACAAGAGAAATGATTTGCTTTACCAAATCTGGCATGGTTGGTACTCGCTTGATTGTCTCTTTGTGACAGCGACGTTGAGGAGGCGTTCGAGATCCTCGACGCAGCATTTGATCAGGCGGGATACCTACTAAGATACAGATATCGGTCGCTTGGTGGAGGGCCAAAACACCCAGAACAGGAATTAGATTGGTTCGAGAATCTTGGAACTGACTTTTCCTGGCTGTTAAAGGATGATAGATGGGACAGAGACCCAATCCATCATCTCTCAGACATCTGGAGGCTCAGTTTTTGGTCCCGAGTATGGACTCAACAAGAAGTCTTGCCAAGAAGCTTTATTATATCTCTCCCCACTTCAGGGTCTCCAATTGGATTTGCTTCTTTTCCAACACGATGATTAAACTGTATCTCGAGAACTTGCTGCACCCAGCACCGCTTGCCCACAGGAATAAATGGGACAAGAAGGAGGCTATCGTGATGCGCCGTACCAACGCGGAGCTATGAGTCTTCTTGAAACAAAGCGTCATTCAAATATGCCCACAAGAAGGGTTCTTGGTATTGACCTGTGCCTTTCAGGTCACTTGCAGGCGAGTGATAACTTGGATTACGTCTACGGCCTGCTCGCTGTGACTAAAGCTCCCATCGTTCCAGACTACGCGAAGTCCATAAGTGAAGTATACTCGGAGTTTACAGAATGGCTAGTGAAAGGATCCAACCGAATATTGGGAACCATCCCCCGTGGAACGCCGAAGGACGCAAGGTTTTTTTGGGGGGTTTGGACACGCACGCCGTTGGCACTTGACAGCTTCATGGACTGCCGACCTGGGCCCCCGTCTTCTCTCTTCAGGAAAGGAGAAAGAACCTTAGATTCTCGTACGACCACTTCAGTCCATCTCGGTATGGTTTGGAAGAATGCTCTGAGCTTCATGATCCGGCACTGATAGCTATCTCTGGAAATAGCCTATGGACGGAAGCAATATTGGTACAGACTATCAAGACAGTCTGTCATAAGCCTGTTCCTCGGCAAGTGTCCCAAAATCGATTTAGTTTCGTTGATATAGTACTTGAGGAATATGGAAGAACAACTTATTTTAACGGCAAGTCAGTTCTTGAGATAGTATGTTGCACATGTCTCTTGAAACCGGATGATACCTACGACACAGACGATTATTTTAGACTCTCGGGAATGATTCAATGTGCATCGATTGTTGATACATCTGTCTACGATGAACACTCTGTTGAGATTTTCCAAGAATGGGAGTCTGCTTGCTATCTCCTATCGGAAAGGAGGATGTTTATCACTGAAGACGGCTATATTGGATTGATCGGAGAGGAAGTCCTGCCAGGGGATGTAGTTTTCTGTGTCGCGGGATGTCGCTATTTTACGGTTTTACGTCCCAAAGACGACCACTACCTTTTCGTTGACAGTTGTTTTGTGATAGGCCTCATGGATGGCGAGATCAAATACCTTTTGAAAGAAAGAAGAGTCAAGGCTGAGATTATCGAACTGAGATGAGTTTTTTTTTATTTGTGAGGGTTATGGAGTGGTAGATAGGATGGTTGACACAGAAGGGCGGAGTGAGTTTTGTATTAGCCAGGGGCTTGGAGTTTTAGTTTTATAAAATAAGAGAAAGAGTGCTTTTGCTTTGCGCAGTTGTGCCTTGGTTGGTGTCTCCCCTTTTCTTGATCCATAATGAGCTATTAAAAAAGGAAGAACTGGGATGTCTTCAGAGTGTCATTTTATGTTAGATATAGTTATGACTAGACTGTTCTTGGGTTCGCAAGCTGTCTTTAGAGAAACCTATTGTCTATTTGCACGATCCTTCTTAAGAGCGTATTCATCAGCTCTACTTCGGCCCCCCCTTCTATATCTGGGTGGCGAGGGACTAGGTGCTAGGCAAGAGCTGCTTCCTCCGCGTGGGTAGCGAGCATAGGCAGGTACTTACCTAGTATCTATCTATCCTCCATTCCAGCCCGACTCTTCTTTTCCATTCTTCTCTTTAACAAATAGTTCAAGCAACAGCACTATAATCCCAATCGTTACTATCAGCGACATAATAATCATGAACGTATCACAAGATCCCAACCCACAGGGAAACGGGAATGGCCCATCCCCCGCGCAAAATTGGCTGAGACAACAAATAAAGCAGTTCAACGAAGACATGGGACTAAAACGTGTCGTGAGACAGACTGCAATAAAGAGACAGCACCAGCACGATCAGCAAATGAAACAACTAACTGATCGTTTAGAGGAACGCTCCCAATCCTACAATGAGCTCAAGGAGAAACACCGAGCCGCCAAACGGGAGGCTGAAAAGAATGCTGACTCGGCTCGTCGTTCAGAGGAAAACCTCCGAACATCTTACAATAAGCTCGACAAGAAATACAAAGATGCTGAAGGGGAGGTTCAAGATCTAAAAACGAAGCGCGTGGAGGCTCAGACGAAGCTAGTAGAGGCCCAGAAAAAGGCCCAGGATCTCGAAGAACAACTCAACAAGGAACGTCGAGACGCAAAACAAAATGCTCAAGATCTAGAAACGAAGCTAGGGGAGGCCCGGCAAAAGGTACAGCATCTCGGAAAACAACTCAACGAGGAACACCAAAACGCTAAACGGAAGGCTCAAGATCAAGAGACGAAGCGTGTGGAGGCTCAGACGAAGCTAGGGAAGGTCCAGCAAAAGCATCTCGAAATACAACTCGAAGAGGTTAAAAAAACCAATAAAGATCTCCAGGAACGATACTATCAGGCCCAGAAGCATATTGGAATAATGATAGAACAGTTTGTTGAAGCCAGTAAAAATCGTTCCTTCCATCGGGATACCTGGAGCATGGACAGGGTGGCTTTGCACCATGCCTGGAGCTTGGAGAAGGCGGCTTTGGAGGATACTTTGCAAGTCACGTTCAACCAAATAACTCTTCTCGAGAACCAACTCTATCAGACACAGATGAACCTCGACTTCAAGGTTCAAGAACTAAGGCAGGCCGAGAAGCAGCTTTGCTGGCAGCTAGAGAACCAATTTCCAGCCGTAACCCCCATTGAAGAGAGTGATACTGAAGAAACAGGAAATTCTCAATACGCTGATCAGATTCAAGACGAAACTTTCGTTGAAGAGAGTGATACTGAAGCAACAGAAAATTCCCAATACGGCAGTCAGATTCAAGGCGAAACTCTCGTCGAAGAGAGTGATCAAGAAATGGGAAACTCTCAGCACGCCAATCAGATTCAGGACGAAACCCCCGAGTCCCAACCAGTCGAATTGGCACGGGTTAGGGAGGTTCAGCTGGAAAGCATCCTCTACTAGGACTCAGAGGAGCAAAGGACTTACAAGAGCATCAGGATCTCTAACAGTACAGAGGAAAACAATATTGTGGGCCCAGTCGACGGACTTGGCGACACCTGGGCGGGCAATACTGACAGTTTACAACACTTGATGTACTTCTACAATAACTACATGCCTGACAAAAGGGTTTCCTTTATCATGGCGAGGTATGTCAAGCCCGCAAACCATGCAGAGAATTTGGGCTGGAGTGTCTTGGATCCAGACTCAAGACCAAAACCGGCGCGAGAATCAGATCGAGAACCAGAGCAAGACAATTTGAACCAGAAGAAGCAGGAAATGATGCAAGACTTCTGGCGAAAGACATGACAAACCAGGGGCGCTTCTGGATCACAGCAGCTGGATATCTGGATATACATGTGGCATTTCCCTGAGGAGTGACCAAGTTTGACGGCCATCATGGTACGAGGAATTGGTATTTCTATCTCTTTCTATGCTGTTTGCCAGCTTTTGGGCTTTTGGCATTGTAGCATCCCCAAAGTTCTGTCTCTGTATTAGCGATATTAGAAGGAATATGAAGAAGAGTATTAGCGCAGCAAAGATTCCCAACCGACTTGTGACTAAAAGGCCTTGGAGTCACAGAAAACTTAACTTTATTTGCCTAGGTACCTGAGGATGAAATGTGTCGGACAGCTATTTTTAAACTGCCCGTGCCTCCGGATATTAGAAAAGTTGACCGCTTTAAACGTAAGAGACGAGATTAGTAGGTCAATTTATGCTACTCAGACTATACTTTTTAGATTACTTATTTTTATACTCCAAGGAGGTTGCCGTTTCTACTACCCACTAGCCGCGGTGTTGTTAGACAGTTCCTATGTTTTGTCATGTGAGGTGTTCAAGAAATGTGAGTGAATCACTCTCCTAGACAGCACATTTATTTATGTACCCAGGGACACCATCTCTGTACCCTCATGGTCTCCCAGACATCCATGAACATTTGTCAATCAACAGATTTACATCAAGATACTTCAAGTTCAGACATAGCACGGAAGATAGACACTCTTCCTCTTTCAAGCACTTCCGGCGCTTCCGAGTAGTCTCAATCCAGCATTAAATACTTCCCTTCCTCTTTTATGACCCAATTGTATTTACGAGATGGCATCATTCATCGACTACGACAAACACAAGGATGTTCTGCATCATAGTATCTGATTGCTGGGAGAACTCAGATTGAGCGGTGATTGGTGGAACTAAGTTGGGATGAAATCGGTAGTCGGCACTTGGTGGGTTTCTACATCAGTCGAAACTTACCGGATATGTCGATTTTGAACAAGGAAGTGTTTCACCACGTATAAGTAATTTAGCTAAATGTTGGAGCATTGGTGTAAAGGGTCACCGTTTATATAGTAGGAAGTACAGTATAAGTTGAGCATTTCCGTCAAGTTTTCTTTTTTCTTTGCTCAGTTCATTATTCACTCCTATTTTCAAGGTTGTCTTTTCAGAATGAAGTTCCTTAACATTGTATCCCTCATCGCGGCTGTGGTATCAGCTTCGCCCACAACTCCCTCCAAGACTCTCGACAAGCGCGCAACCACCTGGTGCGAAGCCTTTGGGTCCGTTCAAACAGCTGGGTATACCGTCTACCACAACAATTGGGGTCGCGGCGAAGCAACATCCGGAGAGCAGTGTACAACATTCAACTCGTACAAGAGCGGCTCTTTCTCCTGGTCCACCAAATGGAGCTGGGCCGGAGGCAACATCCACGTCAAGTCGTACTCCAACGTGGCCCTCGAGAACATCAACAAAAAGGTCTCGGCGATCAAATCCATTCCTACAAAATGGACATGGCGATACACAGGAACGAACATGGTCTCTGATGTTGCTTACGACCTCTGGCTTGCGCCTTCAGTCGGTGCCAACAACAAGTATGAGATTATGATCTGGGTGGGTAGCTATGGTGGTGCTGGACCTATTTCTGATCATGGTTCTACACCTCTTGCGACCTTGACTATCAACGGGTCCCAGTGGAAGCTGTTCCGTGGACCTAACGGCGATACAACTGTGTACTCTTTTGTGTCGACTCAGAATTTGGGCAACTTCCAGGGCGATCTTCTTCCCTTTCTTACGTATCTTACTAAGAGCCAGGGTGTTCCCAGTAGTTATGTTGCTACTAGCTTCCAGGCTGGTACTGAGCCCTTTGTCGGTAAGTTTGTGTGGTCTTGTGCTGTGTTTGGTAGAGACTAACGTTTATAGGTTCCAACTGTGTCTTTGCTACTTCTGCCTATAGCCTATCTGTCAACTAAGAGTGGCTAGTTTCTTGATTTTTTTTTGATCTTTTTCTTCCTGCTCTTTTCTTGTATATCTTAACAAGTACATAGTATTGTATCTCCATTGTATATAGTAAAGTCTCACTCTGTCCCATGCAGGTGGAGATAATTGAACATGTTTTTGGCTAGCTGCTGTCTTGGTGCAGAACCATGCTCTGGCTTGGCAATAGTGTCAACTGACCAATTAACGAGACACAACAACTCACTTGTGTCTCGACTGTCTAGACCGGGCCACTTGTGAATGAAAAAATAAGAATGAGACTATTCGGGATATGGGTGACGTTTGAAGAGGGTGCACTGCCACCACCAATTATGGGACCAACGCGTCGACAGGGCCGCGCGGCCAATAAACCCCCCAGGCTGCGTTTAGAGGTTTAAAGTTGGACGAGTCCCGCGAACTTTATTGAATGGTTTGATCGCTTCATTTTGTTCATCTGATAGTGAGCGTCTCATTACTCTGGGTTCACATGAGGAGGCGTGGTTGTCACCAAATGGGTATTGGGGAGGGAGATAAGTAAGTGTGCACCCAGCATACTTGGTACCTATTGTCAACTCAGCCATGGCCTAGACCAGTTTGGTTACCAGCCCCAGGGCATCAACAGCTCAACAGACTCTCTTCAGACCTGATCAGACTCATCTGCAGCCGATACCTCGGAAATTGTCAACGTCAACGTCAACCGAAGCCACACGATTAAGCTTATTTAAGGACGACAACTCACCAATCATACCTGAGCCTCTTACCCATGGAGGTAACCCACCCCTGGTCGGCGCATGAGCACCCACTTCCCGGTCCCTGACGTTCGGGGGGGGCCTTTTGTCACTGAAGGATTCTGATTGGTATTCTTTTCTACGTCATGGAAATGAGCTGAGCAGGGAACAAAGCTAAAGCTAAAGATGCCTTGTATCTTCGACCGACATTTCTTATTTATGAATGTCCGTCAAATCCAAAGACAGTCTTTTCCTACTTATGACTCGACTTGGCTCTTCAATGCCACGACAAGGAAGGAAGGAGTCTTGTGCCCACTTGCCGCTCCCGTTCCTACCTGAACCTGGATCCTTTTATATCCTACTCGACCGCCTCACTATACTTTTACAAACTCCATTTCTCAAACCATCTCCCATGTTTCATCCGCCACAACCGATCCTTCATCTTTCAGCCGCCAAGAAGAATCTCGACCCAATATAGTCCCTCGGATTGTCTCCCGCCTTCGCCTTCGACTTCGCCTTTGCTGCCGCTTCCGCGACCGAACTCACAGAAATCATCATGATCCAAAGCATCTCAAAACAGACCCTTCCTTCTCGTTGGTCCACTCGGCTAGGAGACTACGAATAATCAATCATCTTATCTCACTCTCAACCTTGCATTTCAATGGGTCAACATGACGCCGTTGTGGAGTAACACTGGATCCCGGTTCCCTCGGCCTTGGTAACTCTTCCATGTCAGTGGTTGACTAAAGGGACTCTAGGAACTGTTTCTGCGACAAGAAATTGACTTCGAGCCAGTACTTTGTTATTCATCTCACGTTGGACTCATGCTGTTGCGCTTATAACAATTTTTTTTTATTCTTTTGCCATGGCTATTTGTTGCTGTGCCAAGCTTTTGCAGATCTCCTTCCTCTCTACACCTCTGAGGCGTTAGGAATCCCTGAATTCTTCCAGCAGCACATTGCATCGGGGACACCCTCCAACTCGACCGGCTAAGCATGTTCCCCGCCTGCACAAAGTCAACCTGCCCTTGTTATCCCACGTCTCCACCAAGCGGCCTCCCACCTGAACAACCTGAAAGCCGTCCTATATAACTCAGCATCTCACATCCAGGTCAAGGCATTGGACTGCCGTGCAGCACCCAAGACGCGGTTCTACAAGGTATATGCCTTCCCCGGTGCGATCGATTCGCTTCCGTAATCCTGGTATCATTTCATGTTCGACCCTGCAACAGATCTGGTCGCAGTACAACTACTCCCCCTTCCCTCCCCAGCTTGGCTCTTCGTGTTTTGCCAGCAACATCCAACGTTCTCGTCAGATACCAAATGGACTCCATCCGAATCTGCAACAGTATCGCCAATACTTGCAACATGCTTCCGCGTTGCCCATCTGACCTCGGGTTTGTCGTCAACTTCTATTGGATCGAGCAATGCCCACATTGACTTTATGTGTCTTCTCAATGACTCAATCTCAGAGTTGAGACGAGCAAGTCGACCTTTGTCAACTCAACCCGTGCCCGGACTGTATTGGACATACGCCTATGAGGCAAGGCAAAGTTGCCTCTTCACATTTCTCAATCAATCGATCTTGTTACCCAGAACTCCCTTCTCCGATAGCTTCACCGAAACCTCCCAATTTTGTCGCCACGTTCCCTGCAGATCTCTGCAGAAGCAGCTTCTTCATAAATTGTGCTCTCAGGGGTATTCGTCGGTTTACGAGAATACGGACTCGAACCCCATCTGCACTCGTATCTTCACGGCGACGTTGAACTTAAACGACTCGTGGGGGTTGTATGTGAAGATGCCGGCGAGCTTTGCCCTGTTATCGACGGGCTTGGAACCCGGAGACTGTCGGTATTGGAATGTGAGCGACGGTGTTTGTTGGCATCGGGTTCTTGGTGCACGCTGGCTGTCGCAAGGACCGACAATTTATCGAGAGGAGGGGGTTCTGGCCTGCCCTGGCCAAGTACAAGAGATGGCAGTGCTGGTAGTATGGGTAGTTGAGGACGAGGTTGCAAGAGTGGTTGTCGCTGTTCTATCGGCAAGGGGAGCTTTGGTCTGCCGTCTAATCCAGCTTTTCGAGAGTCTCTCTTGATCCCTACAACTGCGTCTACAACATCTCGAGTACTTGTGCTGGTCTCTTGTTGGAGTTGCGGCGGCGGTAACGTCCTCGGAGGATCTGACGGTGCTCTTGACAGAGGTTGAAGCATCTTGGGTGCGAGGGCGATGGGTGGTTGACCGGCGGTTGACTGCGAGATGGTTGCCTTTGCGGCATCGGAAACTGACTGATCAGGGAAGCTTTGCAGAAACTTTTCGACGTCATCATTAGTGATACCATGATAACCCAGCAGAATTTTTAGGCGGGAGTTTTCGACAGCAACACTCCGAGCTGCCTGCTGCATCTCCAATGTGGCCTCGACACCCCGACGCTCATAGTCTTGAAGCTTCTTCTGCAAACCCTCGACGTACTCCTTGTGCCGTGCACGGGACCGTCGTTGGTTGTCACGAATTCGGACAGCTGACGGATTGGTTGAGCCCTCCTTCTGCAGGGGAATGTGTCAGACAGAGTAACTTATTGCAATACAGGACGAACCGTCGAGAAAGATTCTCAAGGTGAAGGTTTCAAGAACTCACCTTTCCTCCAGTCATGTTGGCAAGTACAGTTCATCTGGATGCCGATCCAAAAAGTCTACGCTACGTCAACGATGGCGAACGCCAGTCCATATGAGACTTGAGCTCTTCTTGATGAAGGTCACCATTTGATTGATTTGCCAAGCAGGACGCGCGTTGACGGCCGAGCTCCGACCTCTTGGCAAAGACCCATGTCTTTACGATGCAGATCCAGCCGATGTCAAGAAACGCTAGCGCCAATGATATTTAAACATAGGTTCGGCCATGACAACCCTATCACGACTTCGTGCTTACTCAACCCGTTGGAAAGTTTATAGGTATGTGAGCCAATGAGACAAGCAAGGGGTTTATGGGCAACTGCGAGAGTGAACTGGGAACTGCGCTACCATTCGATTCTCGATCCTCTACGATAATCCTTGGCCGATCATTACGAGGACATTTTTAATTTAACAGTCATGAAACGCACGTCGTTGGCCAACAGTGACAGGCGACCAGGCAGTGGGGACTTTGGTCGAGTTTTCCGCCCTAAACCTGCTACCTCCCTTGAATGCCCTGTAAAAGACCCGGATCTTACAGGGCAGATTGTCTCTGCTTGCGGGATGCCCAGAAGCCTAGGCGCCCCGTATTTTTCAACGCATTGCTAGGCTCGCATTTGCTGCGCCACGGACTCTCGGGCCAGCCGACTTGCCAAGCCAGCCTCTCGGCTTCTTATAGCCGGTCAAGCTGCGATATTGACTATTCAGGTTGATGAAGGACTGTTGTGCATGGTCAGGCACGGTGCTTGAGACCTAGCAGGAGTCGTTGTGATTGGACACAATTGTCAATTGGCAGTTCTAGACCGCGATGGTTTTGCCAAGACTCGACGTCTAACTTAACTCCTTGCTCAAGTTGTCACTGATGCATTTCTCTTCGTCAATACCATTCTGCTGAGATTCCTGGCTGACGAGATGCTAATGTCATTCGGTTCTTGGCCAATAGACAGAGCAAGTCACCATACAACAGACAAGGAACACATGTCTCCAAGAGCCGGTAGCTTTTGCTCTGCTCTGCCCTTGGACCTGCGGTGCGGAACCCACTATCGGAGAGTGTCACGCTCAAGAGTCGAGACCTCAGCAGCCAAGACTTGGCTCCATTGACATTATTCTTTCCCTTTTTAACTGGGAAAACAACGTGGCTGTGTGCGTGCCGTCTTTCCCTTGTCCCCCGGCGGTCTCCTCTTGGCAGCCTGGTCTTCAAAGCGCATTACGCCGGCCAAGAATGATCCAAAACGGCGATCAGCATGATTTCTTGCGATGAAGCCATATCCAGCACCCATCGTGATGTGACACACTCGCCCACTCCCTCAAAAGTCATGACCGCCATCTTGACATGGCACTAATGAATCGAACGGTATAGTATGCATCTTCTCTCAGGTTTGACCTTTTATCCCACACACACCACCTCGGCAGTCCTTGAAACGCGGCAATAGAGCGGGTAGAGATTGGGGATGACTGTGCTTGCTCGAATGTCATTCGTGACTTCGTATTTGGGGTTGAGATTACGCCCTACAGAGCCTTACTGCTTTTGTATAGGATTTCCGCCAACTCCCCGAACCAACCACGTGGAGTCTGTTGATGCACTTTGCCGATACGGATAATGTTTTGCGTCTTGTGACTTGCTGGGTTTATTTTCAAAAGCGCCATCTGCCGATGGGGGGAATTGTCGTATCCGTAGATGTATACTTTTGGTTATTTGATGGTTTTACACGATTGCTTAAGTCTAATATTGAATACTTTTGGTTATATTATTGTATTTCTATGTTCTATCTCGGATTTTGGGGTATCATTATGCGCTGAAAAGAATCATCATCCCTGTACTCCCGCCTTACCAATCACAGCCATTATTTCCGCCATATCTAGGCGTTTTTTGTCATGGCCTCTGGGATAGTTCCTGTAAAGCATCTTACACATGTCATCCTTGCACGACGGGCTTCCTGTCTCCTGTAAAAATGACTTCTTGTCATCTTCGCACGGAACAACTCTCATCGTACATACTTGATCATACTTCACTTGAAGAGTCGCTTCCCCGTGCGTGTCGAGAAACGATCCACGCCATCGTTTTGCTGCGCATGCCAAAGCTGCTGCACACCCACACCTCGACTCTCTCCCGAAACTCGATAGCGTCGCCAGGCCTCGCGTAGATGATCAGGTCGTAACGGACCGCGCTTGAGATCGACTTCCTCCTCAGCTGCATCCGGGTCGTCATTCGTAGACTGTGGCGGCGTAGGCAGTTCGCTTTGTTTCTCTCCCGCGTGAATCCACTCGCCTTGAACGTTCCTCGCAGCTTCGATGATTTCTCCCGCAAATAGCTTGGCTACCGCTTTGACGGCTGTGCTGACATTTTGAGGCACGGATTGGGAGACTGTGGCGTTGACGACCTATGACTGTTAGCAACTTGTTTTATGATGTAAACGCAGATGTCGCTTACTCGTTTAACGACACTATCGGCTAATTTGGCCGCGCGCCAGAGCTCATATCGGTTGTACTGCTGAGAGTCGAATGCCTCGACAAGCATAGCTCGTAGACGAATCTCCTCTTGCTTCTGCTCCTGAGTTCGCGCAACAACATCCTCCAACGCCATCTCAGCCTTTTCATCATCTTCATCGTCATCTTCCTTATCACCACCCTGTCCGCCCACAGCAGTTGGAGCCCGCCCACCAACGAGACTGGGCGTCGCCTCACTCGCATCATCCTGCTTTGCATTTTTGGCCTTGCGACCGCGTTTTTTCTTGGGCGCTCCACTAGCCGTTGTGCTGACAGCGCTGCCGCTCACATGAGACTGAGCGTCTACAGAGGGAGAGCGCGGGTAAGGCGATCGAGCTTCGGGGGGGAACGATGTTTGACGAAGAGGATGGTTGGCCGCTGCGGCTGCGACGGAGGCTTGAGAGAGGGTTGATGGTTTGCGTCGCTTGTGAGGAGGCGCGTTGGCGTCGATACCTGAAGAGCGCTTCTTGTTGGGGATTTGAGCGGGTGATGGATAAGGAGGCGACATTCCTGACGGGGAAGTAGCGTAAGGGGGAGAAGCCATGATTGCGATGGTATGTTTTATCACTTGAGATGCGTAGATAAATAAGTAGGGTAAAAAGAGATGGAGTTTTGGCGATGCTTGAATCGAGGAGTAGCGTCAAGAATGCACGGTGTTGCACGCAAACAGCGAGAAAGCTTCGAATGAATAATGTACCGAGAAGGCGCTTCGGTAAGAAGTGGGATACGTGTTTTCGATATGCCGATTGTCGGCGTCGTATGTCTAATCGGTTCTTGAATGTTTCGTTCTGACGGCTTTCGGAGTGATGATCCGTGCTGCAACGCGTTTCTCAATACCGAACGGAGACCGTGAGGATTCTCCTTGAGTTGAGTCACGTGTTGGCTCACATGATCGGACCCACGGTGGCATGACCGTTTGTTCAGTGAGAATCGTGATTGGGCAGTAGCCAACAATTGACGTCAATCCACCCACTGATAAGATAAAGCAGTCTTGTCTCGTTCGCATATAATTCCACTGGATAACAACGGATCTGTAGCTGCCTGTTAGTTAGCGACTCAAGTTCACTGGAAATGATGCACTGAGCACCCCCGCAAACTTGATTAGTTCATAGTCCATCCTAATCCCGTGGCCCCTCTAAATTTTCGGTTCTCCGATCCGGCCATTGGATTGAATGTTTTGGACCCTGACTCAATTGTGCTACCTTACCTTGAACTAGAAGCTGTTTGCTCCCTCTACTTCTCGTCTAGTATTAATCGTCCGTTTTCTTTTGCGATTGGGTTTCTTATTTATACTTTACGAATTGGAGAAATCTTCCTTCTCCTTCATCTTTCCTCTCTTTCATCATCCCATCTTCAATCCCTTTCTCACCCCTCCCACTACCACTACTACACGATAAGAAAAAAAAAAGCTCGCCACAATGGCCCCCTCCGAAGACGGCGTCATCCCCTCGCACAAGCGATCCCAAGACGCAGCAAGCATTTCTGGCTCGTCTTCCAGCAGCGACGACTCAGCCCGTCGCAGAAAGCGTCGCGAGCGCAAGGAGCGCAAGAGGAAGAACGGCGAGACAGCTGCGATTAACGGCGCAAAGCCCAATGCTTTCTCGCAGCGTCGCAACAGCTTGGCTAAAGCTTCCCGAGACCCCCGCGATGAACCCATCCCCAAGAAGCGTCGCGCTTCTGTTGTTCCTGAGGAGGGAAGCGCTGTTGTCAAGGCCAGCAGATCGCCCAGCCCTGTGATTGACTTTGACGGTCTCAGCAGACCCAGTATGTTCTTACCATACTTCCTGCTTAACATTAATTTGCGCATAGCTTTCTTTTACTGACAAAGCTCACTATCTAGGCCGTGGAACGCGAGAGCGTCGGGAAGAGACGGAGGAGCAGCAGGTCGAGCGACTGGATCGCATGCGAGGTGCTGTGCGCACTCTTCTCGAATGTGTCGGCGAGGATCCCGATCGAGAGGGTCTTCTCGATACGCCTTCGCGCTATGCAAAGGCGCTTCTATTCCTGACCAAGGGGTACCAGGTCAACGCCGAAGACATTGTCAACAACGCTCTGTTCAGAGAAGGACACAGCGAGATGGTCATTGTCAAGGACATTGAAGTCTTCGTAAGTCTTTTGCCCATCAATTGACAGAAACCTCTGCTAACAAGGGACAGTCTCTCTGCGAACACCATCTTGTACCATTCACCGGCAAGGTAAGCAAAATCCCGCCAATTCCGCAATCCTTCCGAGCTGACGTTGACCCCCGCAGATGCACATCGGTTACATCCCTAACGAGACCGTCATTGGCCTTTCCAAGCTCCCCCGAATCGCCGAGATGTTTGCTCGACGTCTTCAGATCCAGGAGCGTCTGACCAAGGAAGTCGCCCATGCCATCATGGAGATCCTCAAGCCCCAGGGTGTTGCTGTGGTCATGGAGTCGAGCCACCTGTGCATGGTGATGCGTGGCGTCGAAAAGACTACCACCAGCACCATTACCAGCTGCGTTCTCGGCTGCTTCGAGCGCAAGTCCAAGACACGCAACGAGTTCCTCAACCTCATCGGCATTAACAAGAGATAAGAGGTAGAAACAAAAGGTCGGGGACTGCACAAAGTCCGAAGCAATTCTTCAACATGCTCATGATGGAAAATAACTATAAACCTATGAAGCAACGCAACATTCACCATGTATAGGAAGGGTACTTGTCTGTCTGTCATTTACCCAGGGTACCATCACCTTTGATTATCTGCATTTTTTTGGCGTTTACGGTCAGGTTTGGGGTGTTTTCTCCTTGTGGGACGGTTTGGGGCACAGAAAGAAAGAGACCGTGTCTTCAACATATTCAGGTCTAGGTTGTCATCAAATATTGGAAAACAGGCGGGTAGAAGCGTTCATTAGCCATTGTCCCATTAGATACGTCCGGGCTCAACGCCCTGGAGAGAGAAAAAAATCACTTTATTAGAATGTTTGCAAGTGATTGACAATTAATTCATTATTCACATACAGGCTAACTGACAAGGTATACAAAGTCGTACAACGACGACAAACTGACTCAAATCCTTAGCTAATGCTCCGCTGCCAGGCGCTCGTCTTATGCATCTTATGCATCAAGTATAGAAAGGGATTTTAGCTCACAAACACCTAATTGCATTGGCCTCCCATGACTCCATTCCTTCTGGTATTTTTTTGCCGAATGAGAACGCCCTGCACCTATATTAATCTCAAAGAAGCTCACGCCCCGTCGAGCAAAGCATCCATGCCGTTCCTCTCCTTCTCCAATGATGCTGCAGTCATTTCAACGTCTCCGTTGTCGTTTCTTTTGTCGTCTTCTTCATCTTGGTTTGTCATCTCCTTAAACATCTGGTCCACGTTGCCTTCGTCTTGCCTCATCATGTCCTCATCTATTGGATTAGACAAGCGTCTGCCAGCGTCACTTATGGAACCGCGTCCACGACCCCAGACATTGGGGCCCCAAAGTCTCTCGGCTTGCTTTCGGCCCAGCTCAGTTCTTGAAAGGATTTCTAAAGCCTTGCTCTTTTCAGCATCCGTTTGGAAGCTGATACCATCCTCTTGGCCTTGAAGAAGTCTCTCCTCCAAGGACATTGAGGAAACATCAGCAACCAACTGTGGTCCGCCGACTCCTAGTGGTCCAAGATGCAACCCGTTGTCGAGGTTGATAGAGTTATCCCTGGTGCGACTCGAGGAATGAGACTCTCGGCGTTCAGCATGTCCAGAGCTGGAAGGGCTTCCAACCTCACCAGGTCGCGAGTAATATGACGACCCGCTGTACCCTCCAGCTCCTGTGGGTGGTGGTGGAAAGGCACCTGGTTGTGAACCTGCTGCTGCTGCCGCCGCCGCTTCTGCGTTGGCTGCTTTTCGGCGTAAACTGTTAGCTTTCCCCTTGGCATGCTCTGGAAGGTCATCGGGGTTATCGACGCCATACTCGACGAGCATCTTCTGAAGCTTTGTCGGCCGAGGCTTCCGTGTGCTTCGGGACTGTTCTTGAATAGGCGGGGGTTCGGGGGCCACAGGAGACCACTTGTGGAGCTCTTGACGGAAGAAATTCGTCTCATATGTCAACAAAACTTCAGCGCCTTCAATCTTGCGCAGGTAAAATCGCTGTGTCTCTACTTCAGCTTCCGTAGATAGCAGTGGACTGCAATAGCGAGCTATATGTCGTCGAAATGATTCTGCGTTGTCGATAATCTTCGTCAACACTTCTTCTTCCTCTGGTTGGAAAGGCAACGTTCTCATTTCATCTGAGAGCGCTAACAGATCCTCTAATTTAGGTCGGGATGCATCTCGAGGGATCTTCATGCGCCAGTCACAGATTGGACAAGTGTAGTTCTCATCCTCCTTGACCTTGCCACGAGCAATCTTCAGACACTTGTAGTGGTACCTAGCAAAGTTAGAGTGGTACCCCATTTGTCAACGCCAGAACAACTTACCATTCATGGCATCTTTCGCATTCAATCATCATTCCGGCCTCGATTTTCCTGCAAATACAAAATACTTGCCTGGATCTACTGTCGTCCCATTTGCTCGTTCCAGGCTCGGGGCTGACTTCTCTCGAAACAGGCTCTCCGGGCATTCTTGGCGTGTCGTGCTCGATATCAAAGCAATCCATGTTGCGTTCTAGGACATACTCCAAGTGGCTCTTGAGAATGTGCAATGGTGCGTTAGATTTTCCGAAAAGTTTCTTACCTTTGCGCATCCAATCTTCATGACGTTTGCGCTCGTTTTCAAGATCAAGAGTACCATTCGGTTTCGAATTGAGCTCTTCCAGCTTCTTCTGGATCTCCACGACCTCAGCGTACTTGGGTCTCTGGCGAAAGTCGGGATCGCGACATCGTGTAGTTAAGTCAATGATCTGGCGGTGCGCTTCGCGCTGTTTGTGAAGAATTTGGTCGACAGCGCTCAATGTCTCCTGCGAAACAGGAAGTGCGTTTAACTGCACTTGCGCCGAGAGGGATTCCAGTTGTGGGTAGTGAACGAATTCTGCCACAATAAGCTCCTTGGCCTTTGTCTCCCATTGCTGACCAGCAACCATTTGGTCACGGTAGAAGGTCAGGTGATCGTTATAAGGGGGAATCTCAAGCCGATTACCCTCTTCGATGAGATCTTGCACCTCCTTAAGGGTCATGTAGACTCCTCGGTTGTTGCGTGCTCGTTCATTCCAGCGAGATTGTTCTAACACTTTAGATAACTCGTCGACTTCAGGAGTATCCACATTAAAGGTTCGCCCTTCTTCAAGAAGCTTCTCAATCATGTCTGCCGACAAGCTGGATGTGTTCTTCAAAGCCTGGGATGCGCTCATCTGGAACTGCTTGATTGCTTCAGAGCGCTCTTGAAGCTGGAGTATTTCGGGGCAGTCGAACCCGATTCGTTCAGCTTCTTCTAGTAGTCGATAGATGTTGCTGACGTTCCTCGACTCTCTCTCCTTTTGATCATGTTCCGCGCTACCGATGGACTTCCGCATGCTCGACTGCCAAGCCTTTTCGTTCTTGCGTCGATTCTGTTGCTTCCGAACGATGTAGTTTGTTGCCTCTTCCACCCAGTCGTTGCATCGATTGACAAAGTCTTGCAGAACTGATAGTGAAGGAAGATCGTGTGGAATGCGTTCGCCCTCGTGAAGAAGTGCACGCAGTGATTTGAGCGATGGCTTAGGCTCCTCTTCGAGTAGCTTCTCATATTTTTGTTCCCACAAATCAGGAGTTTGCGCCTTCTCCAACACCTTTTGGTGTATCATTTCCATGTCTTGCCTCTCCTTGCGAAAGAAGAGGACATGCTCGTCACCTCGGAAGCGCTCCTGCTCAGGCATGTTGCAGCATGCATGATATCCAGCATGCAGTAAACAAAGAACCTTGCCTGACTGTATACACTTGAATCGTGACAGATATGAGAAGGCTTTGCAGTAACAGCAGCACTGTTCATCCTCATCTTGAAGATCCTCGTTCTCGACCTTGATCTTCAAAGAGCATGATTCGTCACCTCCTGTACTTTCACATCGATGCGGGGCTGCTTCAACGTGCTTTGCGATGAAGTCTCTACGTTGCTCAAGTTCTCGTTTATGTATACGCTCGAGAGCGGGTGCCAACCATTTCGCCGTCTGGATTGTAAGGCCAGTTGCGGTGCTTTCTGCAGCAGTCCACAATAGCTCATCATGAGAAAAGCATGGCTGTCTTCGGAACAGTTGCAATCGTTCCACGCCGGCAAGTCCATAAGGTTCCCAATCTTCAGGTGCGAAATTGACTGCTTCGTTGAAATTGAATCCATGGTTAAAACCAGCATGGTAAGCTTGTGGGAAAGTGATGACGAGCTGGCCAGCTCTTTGATCAAGAGCGTATACACGGACGCCTGCTTTCTTCAATTGCTCAGGAGTTAATAGTGTTACCAACTGGAAGAGGAGATCCGGCTGAGTCTCAAAGAGCTCTGGCACAGCTTCCTTCATAGCCGTTTCGAACTTCTCGGCGTCCTCACCCGGTATGCCGTACCATGTTTTGGTGGCACCAAGGTGTTGGTAATTGGCAGAGTAGGCGTAATGATCCTCGTTATGCCAACAGAACGTCGAAAATATCATGCCCACATAAACCCAAGGAACTGTCATACCGGAAATGTCTGATTTGATGTGTTTAAACAAACTCTCGCCGTGGAATGGAAGAACATTTAGGTTCCAGGGATCAGTTGCATATGGGTTGCTGGGATCTCTTTCTGCAGTTGGGAATCCTGAACCATGAGTCGTACAATGGATATCGGCTCCGTATTCGACCTCTACGGTTTCCTCGAGGTCAGCAACCAGTCGCCAGAATTCCGTCTCCACGTCTTCTTCAGTAACAGGTCGGTGACAATTTAGCTCATGGTCGAAAGGCATCTTCTTCTCAAAGTAACCCTGCTTAAAGTCGTTTGCTTTTTGTTGAAATTGCTTGAGCGAGTACAAACCGCCCTCCTCAAAACCGAACTGGCCGTCTCCAACAAGACATCTTGCACAGTTCCATTCGCTATCGGGCTTTCGCTTCAAAGGTGGATCGAGACATCCTGGATGATAGGCATGGTCGCAAGATTCGCAAAGCAGTAGAATGTTGTCATCTCTCCCACAAGTCTCGCATTTCTAGAAACGTCAGCTACATTACATTGAGCAGTGGTATTCAACTTACTTCTCCTGGTGGTAGTGGCTCTTCTCGTGGAATTCTTGGTACTGAAGGACGGAATGGCGTCATGTGCGATCCAGCCACAGTGGGGACGGCATCTGTCGATGTTAGTCTGGGAGTCATAGAACCAATGAAAAACGCGGTCGGTCATTGCAGTTAAAATCCCTGCGCTTGGTCGCCAACGTCAAGACGCAGCATGTATGCGACAATGGGAATTGACGCCAAGAGAATAGAATACAGTTGTACCAACTTACCTTTCTTGAGTCGCTTACTGCGACGGCTGCTAGCCGCCTCAGAATCGTCCAGGTCATTGTCCTTCTTGGCTGAGTCGGAGGACTCTTCACCACTAAGCTGACGCTTTAACGCTGTAGCCTTTAAGCTTGATGCCCGGTTATCTGGAGTGTTCTTTGCGGACGGTGTGGGGCTTTCAAATCGCTTGGGATCAGGTGTGAAGCTTTTAGGCTCACTAGTTGCACTGCGATTTACACTTGTGAAGCCAGAATTCACCGCGGTAAATCCGGAGTTGACAGCAGTGAATCCACCAGACGTAGGCGCTGGTGGTAGAGGTGGTGCATCAGCCATGGGAGCATCGCGATCTGTTTCGGTCTTTACTCCACCAAGGGTTGCCTGTAAAGCGTCGGAGGCATTACGCGCTGGTGAATCACCTCGGAGGCTCACAGGAGTGTTGACATTGGACCGTCTGACCGGGGTCTGCCCAGGGCTCGGGGTCAATGGTCCACCATATTCCTGCTCCAGCTGTTGATGAACACCAGGTTTCGCCAGCCGGAGGTACTCCTCGTACGGACATAACCATCGTTGGTAAGAATTCTTCAGGGACGTTGACAGTGACGACATGATCTTGCCACTGTATCCCAAATCACGGCCTATTTCTGCCCATTTCTTGTGCTTGCAAACCTTCTCAAAGCCACCTCTTGACTCAACCGCTTTCTTTAACCTATAAAGATCAAGTGGTTTCTTGTCAACGTATGGTAAGCGATGAAGATTCGTGCCATGTTGCTTGTGGAATTTTGAGAGGCCATCGAGATAGGTGAGATTAGCACGTGTACCTGCGACATGTCAGCCAAAGTCCAAACGATATGGTCAGAAAAGGGTGAAACACGTACTCCCTTCCACGGAGTTCAGCTCTTGTTTTCGAGTCCTAAAATGGAATTTCTACATAATTAGCACGAGCCATCTTGTACATATAGCCTCAAAACGCGCTATAATGCGCCAGATTGTCGTACCTCGGTATCGATTGCAAACTCTGGGTTCCAAGAATCGGGGGGAATAATCTTGCATATGCCAAACTTCTTCGCTTCGGGTGTGATTTTCCGTAGATACTCGAAAGGGTCTCGCCAGTCTTCTTCGGTTGGTCGATACGTAGGTGCCTCTTGAAGACCATGTGGGCGACTCTCCTTGACTTTTTCTCTGACTGCGGTAGGTTGTCCACGACGTTCAACAGAAGTCAGGTCCAAGGCAGTACTTGAAAGAGAGCTAAGAGGAGTCTGTGGATTGTTCGGGTGGTATCCGTTGGAGTTGACTTTCGGCTTGGGTTTCGACGAGAGGCCAGCGGTAGTGGCACTGGGTGAGCTTCGCGAACTTCCGTTTGTGCTATGAGTGCCCGAGGGGGCGACGGCGCCGACAGTTGGTACTGAAACCATGGCGAACGCGAATGATGATGAACAGAGATTGACGAGTAGCAAACGACTAATAGAGAAACGTATTGGGGTATCGATCGAGCGTTACGGTTACGCGGCGTGCATCGACTTCATACTCGGGCAGTCCCTTCGTTAATGAAATATCAGCATCGCAGGCAAGAAGTCTCAATCGCGACGAGAAGCAGCTTGCATGTACTGGTGAAGCAGCTGAGAGGCGTGAGATCGGAGTCGTCTTTCAAGCCTGCAGTGGAAGGTTAATGTCTAGTTTATATATAGTAGTTATCATGTTACAAGGGAGTACAAGAGACCATGACCAACTAACATCAAGAATAAAATACATACTCACAACGAAAAGGTCAATATAAAAACACCAAAGATGCGAATGACACGGTCGATATTGTGCGTGTCAAGGCTAGAGTGATGGCACTGGATTTTACTTGTGGTAATGGTTGAAAGAACGAGCAATCTAGCTTCAAGCGTGATTGTCGATGTTGTATGAAAGAGCCAAAAGTGAGGAAGGAGCGGAGGGTGAAGAGTGGGTGTGAGTGGGAACGAAGATGGGAAGGTGGGAATGGGTCGAGGGAATCCTAAAGGTAACTTTAGATCTTGGAGGCGCGAGCGACCGACCAGTTCAGTATTCAGCGCCCAGGTTAGCTTCGGCAGGTACCTTTGCACACAAAGGGAAAGAGAAAGAACAAGGACGGGGGTGTGAAAGGGAAGGGTGCGGCAGGAGGTACAGGCTTAGGTTCCTGGGGGTACCTCCGTTTAGGACGCGCATGGCGCCAGGTACAAAGTATCCGCCATCCTCGCTCATTTACATACAGTACGGAGGAAGGACCGGTGGGTTCGGGCCAACAAATACAAATCTCAGAAACATTAATGAACAGCAACAACGAATTTCTATGCCTTTATTGACTGCTTTGTTTCTTTCTCAATTTTGACAATTCACAACATTCTTTTCAAGGCCACCGAACCATTGTTGGTTGTTACAGCGCTGAGAAACGCCGTTCTGATACAAGGACCCGAAAACTCATGTGGCGGACCCACTAGAGACGACATCCGGCCGGTGCCCCCTCTACCGAGAACCACATCGTCAACGTCCACAAAAGCAACATGTCGGGCACAAAAGATGAGAATATGAGCTCAATCGGCGAAATATGTTATTCTTTTAAAGGGGTCTGGGAAGCGACTATCATCGCGAAATATTACAATTCAGAACCTTGTTCTTGTCTCCACATAGGCTATGCGACGATGGGTGAAGCGAGCCGTCAGGGAGGATGCCTACAGCCTTGTGAGGCGCGTTATTACCACGATAACTGAATCATACTGTCGCAATTCGACAAGTTCAGCAACAAACAACCGTATTAAATTGAGCATCGCAGTCTTACAACAAAAACATCAAGGCGTTGTCGATTGTTTTGGGCCACGTCGTCATGGAGAAGAAGAGGATAATGTATCCGAATGCGGCAGATGATGGTGACATTGGAGAACAGTCACGCGCTGACTGGCATCATTTCCTTGTTCACCGCGTGGCTGCTCAATGGCATGGCCCCTAAAAGTCTGACGGGCCACAAGCTGGGCTTCAAAAGAAAGGAAAAAAGGCGGGCCCAGAAAAAAAACCGAATCCAATCTGATATCCAACTCTCAGTGAACAGGGGGTGGTTCATAATCGCCCGCTAACGAGCCAATCATGGTGAGATGACGTTCAGCGCAAACGCTGGGGTCTTCCCGGTCAGCAAGTCAACTTGCGTGGGGAACCGGGGGGGAAATAGGCAAGCGACAGGTTAGAATGCACTACGATGAGGTTGGTTTTGGCTTCATTTACACCACGAATTTGATGGCTTAACTTTGGCTCATGGTTCAAACTTACGGCACGGGAATCGCGAAGTGTATATCGTATCAATCTTTATATTATATCACTGACAAATTGTTATTGGTACAGTCAACATGAGAGGTCACTGCACAAAGATAATGAAAATACCAAGCCTGACAGCTATCATTTATTATGTCACCTAAAACAAGAGCGGGTATCAACCAACGCCAAAATAAACCCAATCTCCCAACCGATACTCAAATGTCCTCCTCAGCCTCAGTTTCAGCCGCTATAGCTTTCTTCGTACGCCGTGGCTTCTTGAGCAGTTTTGTTACCTCTTTCGGTCCTCGTATACGAAGTGTCAGTTCCTTCATCATATCAATCCAATTAATATTCCCGTCACAGCTCGGACACCTGCAGGACAGCGGTACCACAACACCCTCATCTTCGCCTTGCAGGGCATATTTTCCCCAGCATTCCAAGTGACCCATGGCCTCGCATCCTTGGTGAGGACATATCGGGTAAAGTCCGCTTCCTGACTGTAGCGTCTCGTGGCAATGAACGCAATCCCCTTCGCGTTCAAATGAAACGATGTTATGCGCCTTCTCGACGTAGGGTTTTAGAGGTGCGTAGTTGAGGGGCAGCGCGTGAATACCCCATGGTTCCGCTGAATCCCCTTCTGGTTTGTAATCCGTTTCAATCCTGAGACCTTCTCGGGGTTTTGCGTCTTTAGATACAAGCCAGGTATCCCACTTCCTCTTGATCTCTTCTGCAAAGAAATGTAGGGTAAGTGGCCACCGTGCAAAAGTCGGCACTCCAGTGAGTAGATGGAGGTTGGACACAATAGAAATGGCACTATGAATGGGTCTTTTTGATTTCCTTTGACCCTTTTTTTTAGGTGCTCGTTTTGTAATCCGTTCGTCTGATGGAATACTCGACGTTAAATGAGGATTCGTCAAAGCCCACCTGTAACACAGTCAGTGTTTAAACTTTACCCCGTGACAAATTTGAACCCACTCGAACTTGAGAGCTGCGATGGAGCTCGGGAATCCCGATATCACAATTACTACTTCCCATGGCCGTAACTTGTCTTTTGCCGTTCTCACAGCACCCCCGGTAGCGACACCATTGTGTTGCTTTAAGCGTCTGGGAGGTGCAGGCGTAGAACCTATGTAAAATGAGGCATGGCGAATTGAAGAGCGGAGGACGTACACCGTGTACAAGGCTGGAATAGGTCCTGGGAGTTGTGACATGGCGGCGATGAATGATAAAACTTTGACGATGTTTACTTGGTGTGAGCGTGAGTTGGAGGGGCGATGTGATGTCATGACTAATCAAGTCATCCCTAGTACCCCTTTACAAGACTTGGTAGTCGTGCAACGGTTGAGTCAAACTATTCAAGAATTCGATTGTATCATGTAGTATTACGTCTGTATATCCTTTTGTGAGACATAAATATCCCCAACAACGTTCCCTGCGCCGTATAGTACATATCCATCTACAACAAACCCTGCTTCTGCAAGTCGTAGTAGACCTTCTCAGGCATGACATTGCCCTCTCCATCCTCCATCTGCACCACGCTTCCCTCGTCGACTGTAGTTCTTTTCTTCTCCTTCTGAATCTTATCCCACAGCTGCAGCGCTTCAGCAATACCAGTGATATCCCTGAACAGCGTTGTGTTGGTGATGCCGAGACACTTGAGACCGTAAATGTGTCGCGCTTCGTTAAAGTGCTTGTCAAATGCGCGTCGGCCCATGTACACAAAGTTTCCGCAAATCTCGCAGGGAAACTCGACACCCAGACCGTGAAGGCGGTATAGCCAAAAGGGGATAGGCTTTCCGTCCCAGGCAAGAGGTAGCTTGAGGGGGTTGTAGATGCGCTCCTCGCCATCCTCATCATCGCCCTCACCCTCTTCCTGTGGCTCCTGAGGTGCATCTTCAGAGTTAAAATAGTTTTCGAGCTCCTGCGCGCGCTCTCTCTCCGTCATGCCTTGCTTGCGCTCCACGTTAACTCTAGTATCGCTTCGCTCCGTGCTCATTGCACTGGCAAGTCGCTTCACTCTGTACTCTCGCTCTGCCACTGCGCGCTCTTTTAGTCGCGTTGCCGAGGTTCCGTTTACAGCGTCATTGGTGGGGGCTGAGTCTTGCTCTTCACGCTGTTTCCTCTGCTCTACCGCCTTGATATGTTTTCGCCCTGTAAGATGGTTCTTGTAGACATTCTCGTTCTTGAATTCCTTCTGACAGTCATCGCACCATACCGCATCCGCCGTGCTGGCCTCCTTGGCGGTACCGTTTGTTGAAGATACATTCTTCTCCCAGCCCTGGATCTCGTCCTTCTCCCATGCTGTCTCAAACTCTTCGTCAAAAGAAGCGAGAACCTTACCCACGTTTTCCAGAGGTCGTGTTCGTCGCATGAAGCTCTCGAGGTAATCTGCTAGTTGACCGACATACTTGAAGTATTGATCTGTTAACTTGTTTGTTCTCGTGACACCGCCATGTGCTGGAGAAAAGTTGTCAAAAGTCTCGAGATATTGCAGATATGTGAGTCGTCTGACATTGGGAAGGTTGAGGTAGGCTTCGTGAGAGGTCGTCAAGTCGAAGAATCGTCCGTAAGCTTCCTCTCCAGAGAACAGCGAGTCCACAATTGAAGGCATCGGCTCTCCATCAGATCTCTTGACCTTGTATCGCTGCTCCGAGTTTTCTGCTTGCTCATGGGGATATCTCTCGTGATGCTCGCGAACGTCTTTGAGCTGCTTGTAGAACTCTGCGAATGGGTCGCCTGTACCGATCTGCTGAATCTCTTGTGCTCGAACTCCGTTTTCGTCCTTGTAGATGCCGACAAGGTTACTTGACTGGACTTGTATCTGATCTAGTAGTTGGGAAATCTCATGGTCTCTATTGAGGCGATCACGGATCTAAAGGGTTAGCGGGCGAACTGTCAGGGAATTGAAGCTGCTCACATGTCTGGGTTCGTCGCGAATGCGATCAGCGATACCTTGCTCAAGACGCTCTAGATCCTCATGGATGTAGCGCTGCTCTTCGAGGACGAGCATTTCGGCGGATCTGGCGGTACAAAAACTCTCAAAACGTCAATAAATGTGCTGTGACGGCCCTCAATCGATGAACGAGTGAATGTCAAGATGAGCCTGATGCTTTAAAAATTGCGGAGCTTCGTCGCGAGTTCAGTGGCGTTCAGGCGCGCTTCAACGTAGAAAAGTTGACTAGAGTTTGACGAAAGACGAAATAAGTTAGTCAGCTCATTCTACCTCCAAATGGGAGCTCTACTTTTTCTTTCTGGCACCCCAGACTGATCATCCCGAAGTATACCCGGCGCTGCGCGTTACGTCTTTGCTCCAACTAAAAGTTACACCCCAAAACTTTGACTTTACTTCGTCGTGAAGTGCTGTTCTTCATTTCCCCAATAACCACAATCAAAAACGAAACTATGGCTGAAAGCGCAGGAGGAATCGATCGCAAGGCCGATGAGAGGATGGAGTTTTCCACCTCCAAGGAGGTTACGGTCCATCCTACTTTCGAGTCCATGTCACTGAAGGGTCCGTCGCAAGCTTGTGATTGATGATGATCGAGCTAACAACATCCAGAGAACCTCCTTCGCGGCATCTACGCTTACGGATACGAGTCTCCTTCTGCTGTTCAATCTCGTGCCATCGTCCAGGTCTGCAAGGGCCGTGACACCATCGCCCAGGCTCAATCCGGTACAGGAAAGACCGCTACCTTTTCCATCAGTATGCTGCAGGTCATCGACACCGCGGTGCGCGAGACACAGGCCCTAGTTTTGTCACCCACACGAGAATTGGCGACTCAGATCCAGTCCGTCGTAATGGCGCTGGGTGACTACATGAACGTCCAATGCCACGCTTGTATCGGAGGTACAAACGTTGGTGAAGATATCCGCAAGCTCGACTACGGCCAGCACATTGTCTCTGGCACTCCAGGGCGTGTGGCAGACATGATTCGACGACGACACTTGCGCACTAGGCATATCAAGATGCTGGTTCTCGATGAAGCTGACGAGCTCCTCAACAAGGGATTCCGTGAGCAGATCTACGATGTCTACCGGTACCTCCCTCCTGCCACACAAGTCGTGGTCGTCAGTGCCACCCTGCCTTACGATGTCCTCGACATGACGACCAAGTTCATGACCGATCCTGTTCGCATTCTCGTCAAGCGTGACGAATTGACCCTCGAAGGTCTCAAGCAGTACTTCATCGCCGTCGAGAAGGAGGACTGGAAGTTTGATACCCTATGCGATCTCTACGACACCCTCACTATCACGCAAGCCGTCATCTTCTGCAACACACGCCGCAAGGTTGACTGGCTCACCGACAAGATGCGCGAAGCCAACTTTACCGTCAGCAGCATGCACGGCGATATGCCCCAAAAGGAGCGAGACAGCATTATGCAGGACTTCCGTCAGGGCAACAGTCGAGTTCTCATCTCGACCGATGTGTGGGCCCGTGGTATCGACGTTCAGCAGGTCAGTCTGGTAATCAACTATGACCTGCCAAGTAACCGTGAGAACTACATCCACCGCATTGGTCGTAGTGGGCGATTCGGTCGCAAGGGTGTTGCTATCAACTTCGTTACTACCGAAGACGTGCGCATCTTGAGAGACATTGAATGTAAGTGCCCTTGATTTGATGTCCGCTGGAACCAACACTGACCTTTTAAGTGTACTACTCTACCCAGATTGATGAGATGCCCATGAACGTTGCCGACCTTATCGCTTAAGCCAGAAGTTGGGGAACTGTAATATCATCGCTATGAAACAGGAACGCCGCGTCGAGAGGACGTGGTAGAAGCGGAGGAAGGGGGCCGTGTACCGAATTCAGTGAGTTTTTGACTTGCTCATCTCTTGTCACAACTGACTGACTCGAATATAGACTGCACGAGGAAAAGATTGCCAAAAGAAAACAGGGGGGATTACTTTGACCCTGAACAAAGGGCTTCTCGGGATTAGCAAACAGTTTGAGAATACTTAATGCAAAAAGCATGTTCAGCTTAAGGCTCAATAAATTGACAATGTTATTCGTCACGTCGGCAGTCATTTCGTCTCATAAGCGTCAATAGTCAAGTCTTTGCCCACCTACCTCGAACAACTCATAGCAAACGCACTATTGGACTGGCCGTACTTCTTATCTACTGTCGCCCCAACTTTCCCAATTCGTCCAAGCACCATCTTGAAGTTTATGGGTATGTGGATGCGACACACATACCCCTGCAACTCAGATCAACCACCAAGGCCCAATTTTAACGACCCGAGAGTGTCATTGCGATGAGGAACCAAGAATTTATTACGTGATGAATTGCTTCCTTTTGATCTACCTGAGATCTTCCCCATGGGGTATGCAAATTGCAACTTGACTACGATACTTCTCAACTGTTTATCAGTGTCCCTGTGTCGCCTACTACTGTGACAGGTCTGGCAACTACATTGTCAAAGTCTCGGTTGAACTGATATTCTCAGACTAACTAGGCAAAGTTATGATTGGTCTCAGCTACAGCCCGCTGTTAGGCCCTGCTATTCCATTATGATGGTTACACAATAAGTTAGTGATAAGTTCTTATGCATCTATATCTTTTCTCCGATACATCGCATCCTTTACTCGAAGTTTTACCTAAACCCGGTCATAAGATTCATACCCGGCCCGTATACGAAAAGATGTGGACTCACATATGCACGATATGCCATGCCATCCATCATCCTTATCAAACATCCGTAATTCTGCATAGCCAGTACCTGGAACTGATAACAAACCCTCTCCACTAGCTTAGACCTTCTGCCCCAAGGATGCCTGTCCTATGCTGTAGATGGAAATCTCCAACCGCCACACTATACTGCATGCGGCAAATACTTTGCACACTTAAGCATTGCGGCCAACTAGTGCACGGAGGTGGTCAATAGAAATCGGCCCCATGTAACGGCGAATATCTGGGGTAAAAGATAGGTTTGAGTACGTATTGGTGATGGGACTCAGGGATATAAAGTGCCCGACATCCCTACTCAACAGGAGCATACTGCTATACCCAACCCGAATCAAATTACCTTGAGATACGCTACATTCTATTATATCTTGATTGACTGCCAGAGAATGCCCACAACCTCCTCCCTTTACAACCACCCGACCATCGACTCAAGCTCTGGCGTACCATGGAGAAAGCGACACAAATGAATCAAGCCGAGCGCGACGCTCTCGACCTGGCCGCTCTCGGTCATGAACAAGTCCTCTCTCGCAAGTTCAGCATGCTGAGCATGCTATCCCTCGCCTTCTGTATCCTAGGTACATGGGCTGTATGCGCACAGAGTCTCGCGACAGGTATCCAGAATGGCGGACCTGTGACTTGCTTATGGGGTCTTGTCCTGGTTTGTCTCTGTAACCTCGCCATCGCCATGTCGCTTGGTGAAATGTGCTCTGCTATGCCGACGGCGCTGGGACAGGCATTCTGGACTGCGAAACTATGGAGGACTGCGACGGGGAGATTTATGAGTTACATGACGGCTTTCATCAGCACCTTTGGATGGTGGTGTCTTTCTGCTTCGCAGATTGCTTTCATGGCGGAGTTTGTTTTGTCGATGAAACTCATGTTCGACCCCGAGTGGACAGGAGGCAGCAAAGGCTGGGTATTGTTCCTCGTGTATACTGCAATCAATATCCTGTTTACCTTTGTCAACTATGTCGGCTGCCGCTCCGAGAAGTTCCTACCATACTTCAACAACTTCGTCGCTGTTGGCTTCGTCGGCCTCTTCGCCACTTTCTGTCTCCTCCTGCCTATCCTCGTTGGAACGAAGTCAGACCTCGATTATCAACCGGCTAGATTCGTCTTTGGATCGTGGATCAACCAGACAGGATGGTCAGATGGCGTCGTTTGGTTCCTTGGACTTGTACAGGCTGCTTATGGCTTGACAGCCTATGACTCTGTCATCCATATGGTGGAAGAGATCCCAGCTCCTCGGCGAAATGGACCCAGAACAATGGTGATGGCTATTGTCATGGGTGCTATCTCGGGCTTCATTTTCCTGGTTGCTACTTTGTTCTGCATCCAGGATCTCGACACCACTCTGGATCCTCCCTCTGGCTTCCCATTCATTGAAGTGGTCCAGAACATTGTGGGACTCAAAGGAGCAGCTGCGTTGATTGCTTTGTTCATCTTCAACGGTTTTGGTCAGGGTATCTCGATTATGACATCGTCCTCAAGACTTACCTGGAGTTTTGCCCGTGATGGAGGTCTTCCATTTGGAGATTATTTCTCTTACGTTGATCCGTACTGGGAGGTCCCTGCTCGCTCGTTGATCCTCCAAGGAGTAATCATTAATCTTGTCGGACTCTTGTACCTCTTCTCTAGCACCACGCTCGATGCTATTTTGAGCGTTAGCACCATCGCCCTCACAATATCTTACGCAATTCCTATCGCTGTCTTAATGATCGTCGGTCGAGACAAGCTGCCTTCAGGAGGAGAGTTTGGGCTGGGCAGATTTGGACCAGCATTAAACACAGTTTCCATCATTTATACTGTCATTACCACTGTGTTCTTCTTCTTTCCTGGTTCACCAAACCCAGCTATTGCGGATATGAACTTTGCCATCGCTGTGTTTGGAATTTTACTTATCATCTCATTGGGTTTCTGGTTTGTCAAGGGAAGCAAGTCTTTTTTGAGGATTGAAGATGTCTCTGATGATATCCTGTATGGTCAAGGGGAGGACGAACAGTCAGGAGCGATTGATGTACCAGCGAAGCAATGAACATATGTAGCTATATATGAAAAGAAATTAGTGATTAAGTTCCGAGTCGCTGAGCGCACACTTACAAGCATGTTATCCCTTATACAGCCTTGCTTTATCTAGAAGAACTCCACCATTTCTGGATCTGTAATTGCATTGCCTCTCGCAATAGCCGCTTGGCCAATCTTTTCGTTCGTATCCTCATATTCGTCCTTCAGGACATCTTGCAGGTAGTCCCAACCACCATCAATCACATATCCTTTAAGCCCTCTGTACCAGCTCACAAGGTCTGTCTGGTTACATCTGACGTTCCTCTCAATGAGTTGATTCAGTATTTTGGTTGCCACAGTAACGTCTCTATGTTTGACAACTCGAATAAGGCTGCCTATGGTCGACGTTTGACGTCTCAATTCGGGGATCAATAAATCGAAATAGAATGTAGTGAATGCCTCGATCTCTTCCACGCTCTGCCGCGGGAAATGATTGCGTATTCTCCAGCTAGGACGGCTGAAAGCTGCGTATGGCATATACAAAGTGTTACTGTTAAAGGTATTTCGCTGTTCCACCTCGACTGCGGAAAGATCCTGTTTCCCAATATAGTTGATCATCTCAACATCAGGACAAACAGCCGCAATGTGAAGGTTGTTGTTATCCTCCGAGTTTATGGCTGTTAGCGATGCGCCTACGCTAATTAGAATACGCAATGCCAGTATGTTCTTGCTGTTTACAGCTGCCATGGCCGGTGTGAAATCAGAAACATCCTTTTCCTCGAGGTTTGCCCCATGCATCAGTAAATCCTGGAGTATCTTATCGGCGGCGTCTCTGCCTTTGATGTGATGGGAGAAAATGTGTAGAATGGGTTTGTGGTAGTATCTAACTGTCGCTCTAGCCTCAAGTAACATGCGGACAATTGCTGGGGTATTGTTATATATGGCACAATGTAGCGCACTGAATCTATTATGAGCCGTATAATTCACATTCATCCGACACTTTTCAGACTCTAAAAGTCTTGCTGTCACTCTCTCATGGCCGTGACATGCAAAATGCATAAGAGGAGTGAATCCGGTGTAACAGTGCTGGTTGATGTTGGCTTTGGCCATGATCAAAAGGTCGAGTGCGTCCAAGTTTCCCACGGCCACTGCATGACGGATCGGAAAGAAACCAGAATCGTCCAACTCATCGATGGCCCACGATTGCTCTCATAGCGCCTTCAACATTCCTTCTCATGTTCTTTCTGGACCCATTGCCTCCAGATGGATATCGCTTCTATGAATCTCATTCCAGTCAGGGATATAAGATGTCACTCTTTCCAGTATAATACACAGCGAGTCAGGACGCTGTTCGGATTCACTATACTCCCCTCTAAGGCGGTAACCGACAGTTCTATTGAAAGTTAGCAGTATCCGTCAAACTCATCGCCAGACAGCCCAACCTCGGTAATCCTTGGTGAGGTAACAAGTTTTCCCAAAGTTTTAACAGGATTTCGGCAGCCTCCCATCTGTGGCAAGATATTGCGTACTGAATTTTTGTCTGTTTAGCTTTGTGTACCGGCATAGTGTTGTGTGGAGTCTAGGTACCTCCAATATAGCATCGCCAAATTCGTCGATATCGTCGGGGAAGTATTTGTGGCCCTCGCGGATATTTTCAAGTAGTACCGAAGGATGCTCTATCAGAGAGTAAATAACGTGGCCTATACTAAACACTCTGCAGGGACGCAATGACAAATTCAACCTCGGGTCTTGACATACTTCGACTGAGACAACTCCCGCCCACAGCCACCTTGGAAGCCGATACTCAAGTTTGACGGCTGTATTCGGCCTGCACCTGCATCGGCAATTATTGTCTAAGAATTCATACCTGATGAGCCACGATCCTAGCAGAGGTTTCGCCCATGCGCCACCAGTATATTCTCGTTTATTGCGGTGACAGCGGCATTGGCAACTAAGGTTGCACATGCGAGGGCCCCGAGGCTGGATTATTGTTACATTCACCAAGCTCTCCTCTTTCCTGGTAATGGTAGTAACAGACATGCTCTAGCCGTCAGTCTCTGTCATAGATAGGTTCGTTAAACGGACTACGTCACGGTCTTTTGCTTCGTGATTATGAGGCTGTTGGGCTACCACTGAGCTCAAAGAAGCTGTGTTGGACGTTTCAGGTAGGGTGTGTAGTGTTTGGCTGATATGCCGGTATTGGTGCATGTAGTATATTAACTGTTGCGTCACACGATGAAAGAGACTGTCGTTGTTAGTGAATCCGCAATAGTGTCGCATTAACTTACACTTCTTGGCGTATACTACCATGATCTACAATTGGAGAGACCCGGAATGTGATGGCCATAAATAGGTTTGACTTTCTCGCCTGAGATCTCTCGCGAAGTTCGTCGATCTTGTTAGCTTCAGAGAACCACTTCACTTTATCCATGAAGCGTTTGGGGTCATTCAATTTACGATAGTTCGAGTACTTTTCCACGACATGATTGAGTTCTTTCAATATATCCTCGAGCTCTTCTACCGCCAAAGAGACTAAGGAATGTTCTGTTGATCCAAGAAGCCGTTGCGCTAGCATTGTTGGGTCCGCCTGTTGCTGTGCTTGCATAATGAAGCATTCAATCATGAGAATCTGATATCACTTTAGTCATGAGACGTTCAAAACTTGAAAGATGTCTCATATCGCTCCTTAGGTTGTCACACTCCTTTTTCACTTCAGAGTTCTGCCGCAAGAAGTCGACAGCCTTGAGTGTTCCTTTCACTGCTTGCGCCAGAGCTATGGAGCTTGCCACAGCCCCTAGAATCTCCAAGCCCGACATCTTGAAAAAAAATTTAGTCTTGCTGGGAATGATTTGGATCAATAAAGATCGAAGGAAGAGAAAGGCAAGCCGCGCGGGGTTGGGCATACTAGATAGAAGCCTTGCTATGCTGTGCTGAGAACGCCTGGCCTGTAGAAAGGTTCTACCCAATAATGAGGTATGGGCAATGGGAAAGAGGTCTACAGATTTATCTGTCGGCATTTCACATTCCACAAGGCTTGTTTTACTGATGAAATCCCACAATTGGTTGGACATGAAGAACTACATTCGCAGAGAAGAATGCAAAAGACAAAAGATCGTAGCGACCATTCAAGGACACAGCAAAATATGTATATGAAATAGCTTAATTTAACAGGATCATGGTGCACGATGCTACATTGCACGATGCAATATAGATCTTATGAGGTGGTGGGTAACAGCTGAATTAATGAAGTTATTCCCAGGACCTACCCGAGACTATGTCGATATGGGCCGAAAACCCAACATTCTACAACAATAACGCCTCAGATATTGTCATCTGTCATAATTTCACATGACAGGTCTTTGATACCATGGTGGGAAGTCTGTTGCACAGTTATACATAATGTCTGGTTTTATGTGGCCCAAGACAAAATACACATTAAGACTCCTACCAATAGAGAAGAAAGGAATATGAAACCGAACCTCCAAGTTCCACTCCATCATGACTGTCGACACATCATAGAAACCAACACGCGTCATTCAAATACATGTTCAGTTTTAGGCCAGTCATGAGTTGTCGACCAACAGCTTTATTTGTCAGCTTCATTTTCCCTCAGCGACTCGTGTGTCCTGTTTCACTCTTAAACTCAAATATCCGATACCAACTCTCAACATTAAAAGCCTCAACCGTTATGACAAACAACAGGGTGTATATGCACGTTCTCCAGGTAGGTTCAACGGGAAGACCCTGTCTCATCTTTTCGTCCAAGCTAAACGTTATCGTAACCATCGTAGCCACAAGAAACGTCTGTTTCAGCCCCAACCTCTACCCCAGAGACAAGCCAGTGCATGAATTGGTAGTTTCTATTAGATGTATGCAATTAGGAGTTATCATCTTTAGGAACCAACGAGTCAAGCCACCGTTGTTCTCCTGTCTCAGCCTTTTTTCTAGAAAGACATTAGCACCCTCTCTAGGTTAGGAACAGTGAGTGAAATGTTGACAATTCGTATTTTGAAACCCAAGCGAAAAGTTTAATTGATCAGACCAGAACAGCTTAGGTTACCGGCTCTCTGGTCACAATGCAACGCAGTGATGGATCATCGGAGGGAAGGCCTGTTTCTGGCCATGGCTGAAACGTCCCGAGGAACAAACAAACCCATGCTTTGTCTTTGCCCTGGACATACGCAAGAAATCGTTGGAACCCACGGAGACAGTACGGCGTGAATTAAAGACATGGCATCATCATTTCGGACGAAATTTCCATGAGGCATGTGGAATGGACATGACGACAAGGGTGGGTGTATGTAGTAGTCAGATAGCAAGGGCATGCGCTCTTGCGGCACCGAGGTCCCCAAAATGTGGAAAACGTGGGATTGGACAGGGGATTGAAATGATCGAGAAAGTGATATTGCGCGTCAACTTGCAGTCATATCTTGCCTTGTGTTTTGAATGTCTGATTCAACTACGACACTCTCAATAGCCCATGCCAGATTCAAGCGAGACAAAGTAGACTCGTAATATCTTGTAGCTAATGATCAAAGGGCGCAAGAGTCATGCTACACAAGATTGGATAGTCTGAGGCACGGCGCGAGATCGAATTTGTATCTAGGTCAAGCCTAGTTGAACCTAATGGAGAAAGCCCGACGCCACGAATGGGTACCAAATAATATGCCAGGCTGAACGAGAGTGTTGTAGAGCATACGGTTAGTACAGAGTAGGGTAAGGTTGCCATGTGGGATCAAAGTGCTTGTACGTGTAGCGAGAAAGTAATGTTAAAAAGAACGAATTGAACGAATGGGTGCATGGTCGGGGAAGCAAGCCGGCGACAGGGGGCTTTTATTGGGAAATATGGGATCCGGGAAAACTGGTAAATGAATTGTGAGAGGATAAAAACAACGCAAATACTACATGCGACATTGATAATCTTGGAGTTTGGGATTTCGGCCAAGTTCAACCCGCTGGTCCGAGCTAGTAAAGGTGATCATAATGGCGCGGAATGGATATGCAAGATTGAGTGCAGCACCAAGACCAAGACCGTCCACTTGCATGGCCTAGAAGAACTCAAATCCAATTGACGAATTACTCTTTCAACGTCGAGTAGTTTGGATCGTCCAAAATAGGTAGTCATTGGTATGGAATGTAAAGAAGACGGCATTTTGTTTGTCATCACCACACCCAACCTTCTCCCGGGCTTCCATGCTGCAGTGCATCCCCTAATCTTGTTGTCGGTACCAATCGCCTAGAGTCTCCTCATGTAGGTTCCGCTTAGCCAGGAACAAAGACAGGGATCAGGCAGTTGGAAAGGCTGTGATGAAGACCCGGTGAAGCCCCAAAACGGCTTGGTTCCGCCGGGGGAAGACGATCCGGGCCGATGAAAACAAGGGTTGGAGCCGTTTTTGGTACCGAGCGTCTACAATATTGTTCCGTTGACACCAGGAAAGGTTCTTTTGCTTCGCTTTGAGTAGATAGGGATACGGACTTGTAAGTGGGCGACGATGAGATCGGTGATGCTGAGCTTGAGCTCGTATGAAGATTGGCATCTTGGTGGATGTACAATGTCGTGTAATGGTATGAGGAGAATCATACTGTTATTGCCGTTGGGAGCTTGTAACGTCATTGAGCCATGCTCGTGCGTACGGGTGAGGCGTGACTTGACGATGCACAACATTAGAATTCACTCGCACAGACACTCAATAGGAGCGCTATTGTAGGTACATGCTAGTTAGACAGCCAATGTCTGCTAGGCTCTTGATGGGAGTCAGCAGAAGCTTGATGGAAGAGAAGCCGTTACCAGCATCCGGAGGAAGTGGACAGACGAACCTTAGCTTTACCCCTGACTTGGTGATTAGTCCCGGGTGATTTACCAAGTAAATTATCTCCCTGCTCGGGTTAGCTAGCTCGCTCCGGTGTTCCTTTGGGACAATCCATGATAGGGCGAAAGAGGCAGGCCGACCGTAAGCTATTTGTGTTAGTTGGACGGAGCGAATAATGACCTTCGGTTGTCACTCACATGGCCCATGCTTGGCAGATCACCAACCGGAATCTGCACAAAGATCCCTGGAGAATGCAACGACGGGATCGACAAGAGCTACTGCAGTGGGCCATCCAGAAGGCTGTTTATAATGACGCTCGAGTCAGTGCCATTTTCCTCTCGAGCTTCTTCTCGCAGTAGCTTTTTTGAAGAGCTGAAGAAATGTACAGCACAGATGAGGAATAAATATGCACAAATCTCGTTCCTGAATATTCCCTCGAGGCAAGGATGTAACCCCGGGCCACCATAATGAAATACTAGGGTTCAATGTGACAGTGAAGTATCATTGTACCCCGTCAACCTGCATGGCATTGCAGGGCTTGACAGCCTAAAAAGCGACAACAAAGACTGTGTGGGTGGCATGAGGCTGACTCGGAAATCTGGACATAACATTGATAGCAGTTCAGATAATGGAAGTGTGCTGATGGGATTGTGACTGTCGCAATATCAGTGCATTGCACGAGTCATTGTCTGATCTGGAGCTCTTACCGCACACAACCTGCCATCTGATCGAGATGGATGTCTATTGCTGTGCACTTCTTTCATGTCACAAGAGATGAAAACACCATAAATATATGCATATTTTCATGTCTCATTTATTCAAGCTTCTGTATGTACGGGCCGTCGTGTCTCTGATTGCCACGTGCTATTCCTTCCGTTCCCGTACCAGTACGAGTGGAGATTACAAATACCCAGGCGAGTGTGAGAAGAAGCAAATTGTCTTGTATGATTGTTTGTTGATTGTTATTAGATAAAAGGTGCAAACATTGATCTGTTTGCTGCATGTCGTATTCATTGTGTCGCTTTCAATAGGAAGGTAAATGCGCCAGGAGGGCAGATGTTGTTGTGTGGCTGCTTCCTCAACACCAACATTTTCACCTGTAGCGAACCTTGCAACTTCACCTGCTCAATTAATTGTCGACAGTTTTTTTCTTTTCTCTCCTCCAACATTCGATATCGAAAATTTACTATGCTTGGCAATTTTCTCCTATCGTTGCATTCTTTTCTTTTTCTCTCCAAGGGCCACTTTCCTCTTTTCGCCTGACATCTTGACTGATTGGCGTCCTTATCTTAATTTAGTCTCGAAAAAGACCGTCATTGACACCTTGGCTGCCTGCCCCGACGAGAAGGCTGATTGATATTGATTGATTGTGGATTTTGCGGTATTACGAGCGACCTACCTTGTTGGGCATGCATTCCAGAATGTCTCGTCTGTGATGACAGCCATCGGCACTTGCAAACATATTGCCTCGCTTCTTGTCGATCCTCTCTCTTCGCCGGTGGTCAATATTGTGCCAGAATTCGACTCGAACAATAATATTTCGTTTCTGTTGTGCTTCCGATACACTTGTTCTCTTTGGGAAAGCAGTTTCCAGCTGCGAGGTCGGTCGTGTTAGTGCTGGCACTTGACTGGTCCGTCGCTCACTAACATCTCCGTCTCTTTGCGTGCAATGTACCAAGAGCTATACTAGCAGGCTGTCACGAACCTTTCATGACTCGTTGCAGCCATCTCATTTCCGTATCGACACTTGCCGTCAATCACTACGAGCCGGCTCCAATAGTCTGCATCGCTGATTTTGGCTATTCAACAAGGCTGCCAGCATCAATGTTACTATTGACTTGACTCCCATATTCGCGAGGTCACCCTGAAAGGAACCCTGTCCTCCAGAAACGCCATTGCACTACTTTAGACCTCTGCCGAGAGTAAGAATTCGTGACCCTTGGGTGATGAATAAACCGTTCATAACTTATCCCGGTCTGACTTGAAAACAAAGAGTCTTGAACGGG